TGCACCCCACGGTTTACGTTCTAGGGGGCGCCAAAGATAACCCAAAAATCCACATTCTTAAAAGTCTTATAACTTTTTATTTTTGTCCTCACTGGCTTCCAAGTTTTCTAGGATGATGCAATGTCTAGCCATCAACACATTTGTGAAGGAATTTTTACTCCCTAAAAGAGTGCCCCCCCCCCATGGCAGGAGAAAAAGTCAAGTTTTTCCTGCCCATCGTTCAATGGCTCAAACACATCGCTCTCTCGGCAAAACCGAAAGGAGGAGCAACTTGCCATTTGGATATATCCTAGCTGTGTTTGTGCCCTCACTCATGGTCCAGACTTTTTTCAAATAGGACATGTAGTTTGTCTGCAGCGAGCGTTTTGGTAGAAACTGCGCCTCCCATTCATTATAATGGTAAATGACCACAGACAAGTGCGCACACCATCTTTGGACCTTGAGTGTGACGCGATCGGGAGGGAGAGGCGGTCGTGTTGGGGGCGGCGCGACACGGCTCGGGCCCGCCAGTGCCCCAACGGGGCCCTAGTGTTTGGTTTTGTTACTTTTCTTATAATCTCAATTTTTTTGTTGTTGTTTTTTTGTGTTTTTTCTTCTTTTTTTTAATATTGCTTGTATGTTTATATGTCTGTTTGTTTTGTTTTGTTTGTCCTGTCATGTGTATTTGCATTATATCTTTATTTGTTGGTCTACTTGAATGAAATGGAAAAAACTTTAAAAAAAAACTGTATTGACAATTGTTGCATTCTTAGTGTGTGTGTCCTGTGCAGACTCCTGTGCTTGTACCGTTGAAACTGGACTGGTAGATCTCAACAGACTAGTAATTTTGAGAGTAGATCCTGGGTCAAAAAAGGTTGGGAATCCCTGCTTTTGACCAAATGGAGAGCACTAACACTCTCCATTTAAAACTACATCCCTCCATGAATATATTACACAGGCTACATACATGTGCTGGAGGTATACTAAGTTATTGATCTATCTGTTGCTTATTGATGAGAAATCTTTGCATGCAGGTCCTTTCAAGTTATAAAACCTGTTTTGAAATTTGATTAAATGTCTTTTAAAGTCTTATTCTGTACACAACATACATCTGGTAAATACAAAATTTCATCATTACGACCATATTTCTGTTCTATTTATCAAGTCCATTAATATAATTGTGATCACTAGTTTTGTAAGTAAAGTAATAGTAAGCTAACTCACATTAAAAATATCCAATCCTGCTCCATTTGACTCCAGTTTTCCTGTTGCTGGGGCTTACTGACAGGGTTGGGTCAGCAGACCTTTTGTGTTAACCACAGCAGCCGTGTCCTCCGACTGAGACTTAACCCCGTAACCCTTCAGTCTTCCTATCCTCTGAACTGTTGTTGCTCTTAAGCCTTTATTTCAGTCATATTTCCACTGCTTGGAAACCTGAAGGTCAGAAAAAGAAGACGATAGGAGTCAAAGATACAGAAGATGATTTAACACCTAACTGGGCTAATAATTGATTATCAAATAATCTTTTGTCAAATAAAAGTCAGTGTTGTGCAGATCAAAAGCTTAACCAGTTTCCCCTGTAAACATGTGCTTTAATTAACACAGGAGAGGTTGATATAGTGCAGACAGGAACATGATATCATATATCACCAGGAAACAGAGTCAGAGACAGATATTATCGCTGCACAGCTTATATATTCATTGGCTTAGTTAATATTTCATAGGGCTCTAAAAACCTCATTCTCTCTAAATTGTCCTCCCTTCTTGGCAATAATAATTTAAATGCAGGAAGCTTCTCAGTGTGTCAGAGCCCACATGTAAATTATACGTGTATGTGTGCACATATGTATGCATGTAGGCGCTCGCATCCCGGCAATAAAGGCACATAAAGAAATACGGTCAGGCACACACAGACGTGGATGTTGGCTGGTAGCGTACTGTAAAGGCACAAGCACAACGTTTCTCCAGGCTTTATGTTTTTTTTTTGATACGCCAGTTTTATAAAATGTAGAGACCACACAGTTTCCCACTTCCTGACAAGCAGTAGTTATTCTCTATCTCCAAATGCAAATGTGACTAGAGGCTTGGCATCTGCCTGAGGGCTCAGTCGGCTGACAGTATGCATTCAGGGGAGTGATCTATTGATCCATATTCAATATCTGCTCCTCTCTCCTGCTCAGTAAAGTTGGGAGATGAATAAATAAAGAGCAGAACTGACAGAACATACAAGTATACTTGTGCCTCAGACGGCTGGGGGTTCTTAAGTGGTATACTAACATTTTTTTAACTGGATACCCTCCAGAAAAAAACATTTCTTCATGGAATAAGCATGTCACAGCCATGATTTACTCAAGGACAGAACTGGCTCTAATGCAACTGAAAAAGACACAATCTCATAATCATGTCAGAGACACTTCTCCTTCAGTGGTAACAATAATATCATAAACCAGATTTGAAATAATTTAACAACAAATGTTTAACAAATGTTAAATCAGAGAGAAAAGAGAGCACAGGAAAGGAGAAAAGAAAGACACCAGGGGGAGATGGAGAAGGAGGGAGGGGTGGGGTGTCAGCAGCGATACATCTTTCATCTCTAACGAGGTCTGAAAGCTACAGAAAAAAAAGAAAAAACACGGAGACATTGAAAACAACCCTAAGAAACCCAGCTCTCTTTTTTTCACCTTATCTTTTTCACTCTCACCATCCTCTCTGTCTGTGATACGTGTCAGTCTCACATGCACACTCCCAACTCTTTAACAACTCACACCTCAGGCTCTTTACGCGTGCTGTGCTCAAATACTACTCAACAGGTAGCGGAGAAATGTTGACATGGCTTAGCAAGAGAACACTAAACTAAAAACTGAGGAGGGGGTCTTTTTAGGGGGAAGCCTTAAAAGAAAAAATCTGAAGGAAATGTCACTTAAAAAGGTATAGCCAAAGGGTAAGTTCAGCCACCCCCTGTTGCTTGGAAATGGTAAAAGAAATTGATCATGTGACCAAATATTTAGGAGATGGACATCAATTCGTGGAGTCTGTGAAGGTTAGAAGCACATGGGTGAAGGGGTTAAACATTTATTTACAAAAAAAAAAAAACGTTTTCACCCTTGAAAGTGAATTTAGTCTGTTATACATCAATTGTGGTATCTATGAGCTACAACATGAGGTCAAAAACCAGTTCAGTTCCGATTGTTGAAATGTGTTAATTTTTCTTTTCAAAAATACAGCTGTGAATGTTCTGAATCACTTAAAGACATTCTCATGTTAAAACTGCTTTTTACAAAACAATTTTTTATACAGTTATATGCAATAATAATGAAAATAATTATTGTATCAGTTAAATAGCGTATAACAGATAAAAGTACACATGAATGTGAAGAAGTGACTGTTATTTAGGGAGAGAGAAGGTGAGGGAGGGCTGGGGTGAAGAATGGGAGGGTAGTAGGGATACGGCTCAACTTACCCCGCTCTTATGGTCAACTTACCCCATACATGGGGTGAGTTGACCATAGGAGACCACTTTTTTTTGCATGCTATATTATCAAGACAGTTCTGTTTACACTCATTCTGTTAGTTTGCAGGGATACACAACATCTTCAAATATATGCAGATACACTAGTTAGAGACTAAACTATGATTGCCTTGATGTAGTGATCTGAAATATGAAAAACGGCTCATCTTACCCTACTCTCCCCTAAGTGACGCCTGTGATATTTGTCAAGGAAGCTGTAACTCAACTAAATAAGTCTACAGTAAGAGAAACTCAAATATTAACAGTGATATTTTTTTGCTTGTATATAGTCAGTGCAAATAAATCTTCAATATTTGAATGGCAAACGACAACCTTTGATGAAACTATTAAATGGATGTAGTCATTGGATTCGTGAAAAGGTCACAGGCAGGATGATGGGACGGTGAATCTTGGTGTGTGTGTGTGTGTGTGTGTGTGTGTGTGTGTGTCACAGGGAGAGGGAGGGGGGGAGCAGTAGTAGGCAGATGCTGAGGAGAGAGAAGCAGGACGGAAAATACAACAAGTGAGTGAACTGTTGCTCTGCAAATAAAGTCTCCGTGCAGCGGGATTTCTGCAGGGCGGAACTCTGTCAAAGTCACTCGTCAGAATGGGTGATTTTCTCTGAAGGAGCGCTGCGTTACTTTCTACCGTGTTGTATTGTTTCTTTTACCCTTTTTGTGTATTTCTCTGCGTGAACTCGGACTGCCCGTGAGCGCTGCCCGGAGCATTTCGCACGGTGCGGACCGGCTAGCAAACAGGAGTCGTGGTAGGAGGCTTTAAGTTTTTATATTAGTGAGACTTGGGCTGAACTTTACCTGATAAATGAGAGAGAGAGAGGAGTCTGCGGCAGGATTTCATCCGACACCTGAGCCAGTTTACCGCGGCGTTTCCACCTGAACCCGCAGCGTAGGGTCAAAAACCGGATACTGGAGAAAAGACAGGAAGAGGAACAAAAAAAACAAAAAACGGTAAGAAGACCCTTGTTTCTCTATTTTTCTCTTTCTTTTTTTCTGGTCGGTTTTATTGAGAAGTTTCTCAGTAATTTTTTGTCGAAAAATCATATCACATCTGGGTAAATTGTCCGAAATCTGTAACTTTTTTGTTAAAAAGTTTTAGGACAAAATTTCAAAGGTAAAATGGCAGGTTAGATTTGCCATACATGGTGAATGTAGCCCTATCAAGATATAACTTTGATCAAATGTTCACTATAATATTACCAAAGTTTGTCCTGTCTTTGGCTACTTTTATGAACCAAGACAAAAATGACCCATAAGACTTGCTTTTTGACACTGCAACACCATCGTCCTACTTATATACTTTTTCATCTGTTTCAAATTGCTGCATACAATTTTAACATTAATCTAATAAATTAATTGTTTTAACAGAGAAGTTTCTTTTTATCATAGCGTTGGAAATATTTGTCTCAACAAAATGATCTGAGTTTGTTTGTTCATGACTGAGAATTGAATATTTTAATATAGCCTAAGTGAGTGTGTGTCTTTCTTTCTGTCTAGGTGACAACATACTCATGTGAATGTGCCAAAATGGTTCCCCTTTGCCTTCAGCACAAGAGTGTCCTCATTTAGTGGTCTACCCTGCCCTCATCGTTGCCTTTTTCTGACCTGTGACAAACTTGTATTTTTACTCAATCTAATCTTGACTAGTAAAACAACATTTTTGATAGAGAGAGAGAGAGAGAGAGAGAGAGCAAAAAAGGTGTAAGACTCATCACTAAATCACACCTACGGAAGAAGGAAGAAAGGTGTGGAGATATTGCAGTTTCCCTTAGCTCTCTTTACATTCCTGAACAGACAAGTAAAGCGCCCTTCCTCATATGTGGTGGGTGAGATGAACTCCTGTGGGAATACTGTAGACCCCACCTGACAGCTCTCTGCCTGAACAACTGGAAGCTTTTCACATGAGTCTCCTCCCCAGCTGAGCTGAATTTGAAGGAAAAAAAAAGGTCTATCATCTGACTGGTGTTATCTTTGGATGGCAAACTGATGTCTTTTCTCTAAATAATTTTAATAGTCACTGTGAACAGGGAAAATAAGACACTAAAAATATAATATCTAAACTCTAAGACATGGAAAGGAAAAATTGGTACTGTCCCCCTAATTTCTGATCCCTTGTGTTGAAAACTTTCTGTCACCAATTTACAGTAGGCCCCTACTTCTCTTGTCCACTTACAATAACGCTTTTTCATCGGCAACCCTCCTAATCCAGAGGTTACTCTCTGCCCAGAGTTCAGTCTGGCAGGCACAACCATTCCGGCGAAGGGGGAGGAGGATTTTCTCACGCTGGCCGCGTCCCGGCTCAGCCGTAAGAAACGTGTCATCGGGGCTGGAGTCGGCGTGGCCATGGTCTTGGTCCTGCTGGTGGCCATTCCCCTATTGGTCCACACCACCAAGGGGGGAGGGTCTGGAGGAGGGGGCACACATTATGAAATGCTTGGGAGCTGCAAAATGGTGTGTGACACTTTCACCCCCCCACAGGGAGAACTCACAGCCGTTTCCCCTCAGCCCCCAGACTTCCCAAACCGAAGGGGCAAACAGGGGTTCAGAGGGAGCCCTGGACTTCCTGGTCCCCCAGGCCCTAAGGGACCCCCAGGTGAACCTGGCAAGCCCGGCCCACCTGGTCCACCTGGACCTGGACCTGGTGGATATGGCCAATCCCTCTACAGCCCCAAAATTGCCTTCTATGCTGGCCTCCGGAAACAACATGAAGGCAGTGAGGTACTGAAGTTTGATGATGTGGTGACCAATGTTGGGAACTACTACGAGCCAAGCACAGGCAAGTTTACCTGCCCGCTGCCCGGCATCTACTACTTCACTTACCATGTCCTGATGAGAGGAGGGGACGGGACAAGCATGTGGGCTGACCTGAAGAAGAACGGTCAGGTGAGTGGGGTTGTGAAGGGGTTTGTGTGGGTATGAGCGTTTTGGAAAAGTTCTGCCTTTTCAAAGAAACTCTCAGACACTCATAAATGCAGTTACATAACACAGAAACTGCTGAAAGAAGACACAGGCTAATAAAAGTTTTTGCAGTTTAGGCTAATGAATACTTATTTAAAATTAGGGAAAGACCTTTTGGCCACCAAAAAATAATAATTTGAAAATGTCTTGAGTTCTTTATCTTAATGGTTACAAAATGGCCACTCGGAGTAAATGACCGTTTACCTGGTTACCAGAAAACAAAGTTCCCTGATGATAACAGGAAACACAACAGCAGTTTATTCACCTCCACTTCCTTCCTCTGCAGAGTACAACGATATAAGACTCCATGAAACTGGTTTTCCTATCTCTCACAATGATTTTGTTGCCTCAAACAAATGCCAGAGGGCTATGATACTGAAAAAAATAATTTGTGTGCTGAAATGCCTGATAATGAAGTTGTCCTTGGTAATGCAGTCCATAAGTTAATGTAGAATTTCATTAACTGAAGATGGTTTCAGACGAGTTGCAAAATTGAACTGTATGCATTGCACAGTTGTAGCTAAGATTTAAAGTGTCCTTACAATAGAACAGTGAGAGCACACTGATGAAGAAGTTTTAGGAAAAGGATGTTGCCTCATAATATACTGAAAAAGGGGATGAAAATGTGCTCAGAGCAACATTAAAGCAAACTGACACCCGCTGTATCGTATTTCTTTTTAAAGTTGAATCTGAAAAGTTTAAACTGCTAATTTACTTTGAATGAAAAAAAAGTAGTAACAGAGTTAGGACAAAAAAAATGATTTCACAGTGACTTAAATTAGCAATTAAATGTACAAGTTGCCACTGGAAGGCGAGGGAGAGAGAAAGTGACAGCCGAGTGATCAGGAGGATAACAATCCTCCACATCTCAGTGGAACAAAGCCAAGATGCAACAGCTGGCTACTGTCCTCTGAGGAACTCTGGCTTTAACTCTAATAAATAAACAAGCATGAATGCCTCGAAAAAGCCTTGAACGCTTCCATCTGGAGATCGGTGACAAGCTTGAAGTACTAAGCCTACACTGTGGTGGGGAGTGCTGATCCTGATGTGTGCCACAGAACAGAGTAACGTTGTGGGGATTATGAAACAAAAGAAACTAACACTTATTGCATTGTTACAGACCCAATCCAACTGGGTGTTTTGGTTTACAACAGTAATTCTTCGGCATGTAATTTGCCGGCAGTATGCTGCTTAGCAGTTTATCACCCTGCTTTCTGCAGACACTAAATACCCATGTTAAAAGGCGTTAAATACAGTAAGTCAACAAATAAGAATCTCACAAGAGTCTGCTCAATAACTGACACCTTTCTCAGCTATGGTTTCTTAATTTCTTTATAAATCAAGATTATTATGTTTATATTATTTTCCTGTGGAAAAAAACAAACAAACCTGTGACCTGCAATACAAGTCCCAAGCTTGAGCCTAGCATTTGTGTATTGGCACTGTTTGCTGTGGAAGTTTTAACTGATTTTCTCCTGAGTCTTCTTGTTCATTCACACCTGTGCTTTGTTATCCCCATTTATTAACTCAAATCCTGACAAAGGACAATCTTTATTTACAGTAGTTGGAGAGGTACAGACAACAAAAGATTTAGATATAAATAAAATCATTCAAGAAGGCAGAGTGAACCAAAAATAATATAAAAGGATTAAACATTCGTAATGCAAAAAAAAAAAAAAAAAAAAGTGCAAGAACTCATTGTTAAATAAAATAATCCATTAACACAATGGTTAAACCAAAAAGCTAAACAATTGAAACTTAGAGAAGATCACTTATGCAGAAACAATAGCATGCAGCTAGCTTTGTTAGCTCTACCGCTGTTCGTTGTGACCACAGACTGTAAATAGAAGCCACTGGGTGAAGCCACTGCAAGAACAGCGCCCTCTGGTGACTGGCTGCAGTATAGGTCATAAATCCCAACCTCCTCTAGTCATTCCTATGGAGCTGTGGACAAACTTTAGAAATTAATGACACAGAATATATATTTTTCTCCCCGCTGGTTGCGATGTTTACATGTAGTTACTGTGAGACTGATTTGTACTCAAGTCCTCTTTTTTCCGTACAGCTCAATATTTAAAAGTTATGAGGGGGTTCATGTTTTCTATGATTGACACTTGATACAGCCTATGGGCGTACGAAGGTTACGTAGCCCACCTGGGGGATGCGCTGTTTGAGCCGAGCGACTCCCCGGCAAAATGCATACAATGCTACTGCGCAAGTGGTGGTTCCAAGAAGTGGTGAAAATCCCGGAAATACGGAGAGCAATTCGGCTTCAAATTCGTACAACGACAGAAGGCGGAACCAGGTTGTCCATAGTATATACAGTCTATGGTTGTGACCCAGCCTATGACATCACCAGTAATCAGATCAGACGGTTTCATACTGAGGAACAAAGTTTTAAAACTTTTATTTTGGCATTTCTTGATGTTAACAAACAGCAAGGGCTTTATTTTATAAAGCGTACTTTGCACAGTTAACAGGACTGTCCATCATACTGGATAACCAGATTAGGATCCAGATGGATTCATGAAACACTAAAAGCTGCGTATATAAAATTTACTTGTTTAATTTTTGAGTCTACAAATATAAAAGAAAATATTCTTCCAGAGAATAAGGTGATACCTGCTGATCCTCACTCCAGCTAACCCTAACACTAAGTTACTTTTAAGAAACTTACGCCTGGAGCCTCAAACCTGGACTAATATGTAACATTTCTATTTCATGTTTAATCACCTTTTTCCTACACTACACAAATCAAACCTTGATACTTGGTTGGAATAAGCATGGAGTGTTTTTATTCTGTAAAATTAACATTGGTTAAAGTGATCTAAAGTTGCACAAGATCTGTGTGTCATATTTATTTTTAGTGACTCACCAGATACACACAACATTGTATTGTAGATCATTTTTGACTGATCAAGTCTATAAAATAGTCACTTCCTGTTTTATTGATTTGACAAGCAGTGCTCAAAGTGCAGGGTAAAGACGATAGACAGTTTAATGCGAGGGTATAATTGGGGGGGACTTGGTTTGTTGCGTGCCTTCACAGACATTGTCATTCCTGTCTTCTCCTGCTGTTAAATCTTTCATAGCCTTTAGATGAGATCCTCTCGCCTCCACCTGTGCCCCCCGTCTAACACACACACATGCAAACACACACACACTCACACACTCACTTTTATCATCCACACTGGCTATTGACTTCTTCCCCATTAATTATCTTTTCCATCATCTAAATTATTTAACCCAAATCTGTGCTGATCTTGCCCTCAAAGTGTCTTTGCTCCCTCCATTTTTTTTCTGTGAACAGCAGATTGATCCAGTCAGGTACCAGAAAGAAACCTTCAGGATAACCCCTGAAAACTTTGTTGGTTTGGGCACAACTTAACTCCTGTAGTAGCACATTTGTTCACCATGAACACATAAGTGAGCAATCTTTTGATATTAATATTTTGTTCATTTATTTTATCCGTTGTCTATTACTGCAGTGTGAGACAGAACATGCATTGAAAGACTAACTTCCTTTAAGATACACCTTTATGCTTTCTTGCCCCATTCTTGTATCTGTTTAGTTGAGCTAGAATTAGCAGCAGTTGGCTTAGCTCAGTTTAAAGACTATTGAGTGAAGGAAACACTGAATTAGCTGGGATCCCTCTGAGCCAAATGGTTATTTAAGTTATTATATCACTTAACTAAATTCCCAAACGCCAAATCAATTAACTAAATTTCTTGAAATTGAAATCCTATAATTAGGAGTGACTGAAAGGATCAATCATTTAACAGCCCTGCTTGAAAGTAAGAGGGATTATGTGAGACAATGAAACTAAGAGGCTATGATAATGAGACCTTGCACTGACCGAAGACATCCTGCGATTGTCGCTGTTCTTATTAAAGAGAGGCACATGTGTTAAAACCTTCATGAAGCTCTTATTAGACTGCAAACTAACCCCAAAATGACAAAGTACAATATCACTGAGATAAATATAACTCGATATATAATATTACTGTCACTAGTGAGTAGTTAATACCTCATTACTTTTTTAATTAGTGTGAAATTTGATCAAAGGATGTCATGTTGCTCTCATTATGCTAATCTAAGCGATCAGGCAGCTTCAGCTACATATTGATCACATAAATCTGAGAGCATCTTTAGAAATTACACATGTCGTCAAACTGTTTCCTGTTTCCAGTCTGTCTCAGCTGTTAGCAGTGTGCTCACAGCATGGGTGGTGCACACTTACAGGTGTGTGGATACAGAAGTTGTCCGACTGATATGCAGTGTTTATCAATGTCTTGTCAGAGTTTACTGAGAATAAGGCAGCAGAAATTGTCTGGACATGGACATTTGGTGGACAGAGAAAAGAGGGATGGATGTATTTATGTTCATGAAAAACAGAGGCAGGAGTAGGAGGAGGAGGAGAGAAAAGACAATAGCAGAGAGTTTTCTACCCTCTGTTAGAGCGCAGAATTAATGAGACCTGAAAAAGCTATGATACTGACATATTTTTAACATTTCAAACCCATGTTGCTGAACGATCACCTTTCTTTTTCATGGGGTGAAATCTGCTCTGATGTCTTACTGATGTGAAAGTTAACAGCAGCGCACAATCAATCAATGCAGGGAATTTTACCCACTCTTTGGGTCCCATAACTCATTAAAAGTGTTGGGTGACCTTTTCAATGGATATATCATTCACCACCAATATGTACTTTGCCCTTTACAGTGATGAGCATGGAGGAGGAGTATGAATATTTATAGCAGGTCCAGGTAGGTTGGTCAGTTGGTTGGATCGTAGCACCCTGATTCACACACATACACACACCTTAGCACACACACACTCTAGCTTTGATGACATCACCTTAGTAAACACACATAAATCTAGTCTGGGCATTCGGGTGAGGCTGTTGTAAAAGTTTATGCCTATTAATGCTTGACTATCTGCTCTGTTGCTATATTTGTTAACTTTTTTTAGGGGGTGCATTGTTTTGCCTGGGACAGCTGGAGAGAGACTGGAATTGTAGGAACATGGGTGTGGCTGGGAGGACTATAGCCTTTTGGAGTCTGCCCCTAAACCACTCGAAAGGTGCCCCCAAAACAAGCTTTTTAAAAGTGTTTTCAAAGGGTACATGTTTACTTTTGACAAATCTGCATCTTGATGTTATTTTGACAAATCCAAGACCTGCTAATTGCAAGTCAGTCTCAGGAAGAATTGACTTATTTTATGAGCTCATATCATTAATACAATCAGAGAGAAGCTTCTGCACAGGGCTCTCAAGTCTCATGCATTGGGCGTGTGACACTCGCATTCCCACCCGTTCACACGCCACACATTGTATTTCTCACGCATTTAAATGACCACAGTGACGTCCCCCAAGTTGCACCGTTTTTACAATGGAACAGGTTGGAATCAAGTGAGTTCCCCGAGAGTTCAGAAGCTGCGTGCTACGCACAAGCCAATCAAATAAAGTAGCATTGCTGTATCCGGGTAGGTTTTTGATATTTAGCCAAACTACAAAAGAAGACTCGCCGAAATGAAGCAGGTTTCATTTGGACGAAAAAGATCTGATGATTACTGTAACTCAGTAACCTACACCTGCAGAGGCCTCAACATCTCATGGCATGTGAGACGCATATGATAAACTTAAGCCCTATTCTATTGCTATGAACAGCAGACGGATTTAGCCTCTGTACAGCCATTTCCAGCCATTTTCCCCTCCACCAAAGCAGCGATTCCCTTGAAGTCCATCTGTTTTTTTTTTTCTGTGGAAAAGATGCATTTCTCATATATTCTGATGTACCAAAAGATTAAGTATCTCCATGTTTGTGAAACCTATACTGAAGTACAATTCATGTAAATGCCCCACAGCCCTCATTTTAACAACTCTCCTCCACAACAGGTGACTTTACATAAACTTATAACTTTATTCTCATAAGTAATCTCAAAGTTTTAAAAAGGTTTTTTTTTCTTAATGTGGCCATTATAGTCCGTTGTATTTATTAGATTAATATACTAATACATAATCTTCAATTACTCTTCACCTTTAAGATTCCAAAAACAGACTGTTTTCTACATGTCTTTAATTGAATCTCAGGCTGTGTGCTTGTACATGAAAAATAACTTAAATGTCATGTTATTAGATGATTTAAATATACCACTAAAAAGTTGGAGTGATGACACACTTGTCTCATCTCCAGTAGCCAGGTGTGATGTAGCTACTGCGAGTGGGTGGGTGGAAGTTGCTAATTACATGTCAGGCAGGGTGTCAATGCAGGCCTCCTGTGTCTCCTTGTCAGACAACTTCATATTTGATTTTGGCACTTTGGGAGCCCTCCTCGCCACACACACACAAAGTATGGCGTGTTCTTTGGTGTAATTCCTAATCCATAGTAATTTTCTGTGTGCATTGCTTTAGTGTTAGACACAGAAGCATACGTTACCATGGTGGATGTGATATGAAAGAAAAAAAAAAACAGGTTCACAGTTTCAGACGGCGTACAGAGCCTCTCATACATCCTGCAGCTTGCTCTTGTTTATCATCTCGCCTTTTTTCTCTGACAACACACATATCTATGTTCATACACACAGCCATTATTTGACTATATGTTTCTGTTATAATGGCAGAGGCCATTATATTCTGTTGGCTATAATGACTGGGCTGGTTGTTACTGTGCTTTGTCATGCCTTTGTTGTGCCTTCTTTTTTGCTCCCTATTATACCGTTATTCCTGCTCATCAAGGAAGCAGGATTCTGTCTCTCACACAAACAGTGTTTGTTAGTAGCAGAGGCAACATGAACAATGGTTGAATAAAAACCGGGTTATTAGAATTGACAAGAGTCAGTAAATCATATTCAGAGGTACAGTGACTTCTGACCTTTAATTGGTTTTATGTGACAAAAAATGGCACTGCTTTGTCCCTGCATACTGTGTACAGGTATAAGCGCAAACACCTTGAAAACACACACACACACACACACACACACACACACACACACACACACACACACACACACACACACACACACACTAACACACACAAATTATATTTTGGACTGTCTCATGGGGAGATTGTGCAATTTAAGTTAAATCTGAGCTTCTATACTACTACTATACAGTATTTTCCACAAAACCAATTTATATCCAATTTAAGCCCCTCTTCCACCCTGAAAGGTTTTGGTCTAGCACCAATTAGAGACTTTCTAATCATCATCTTGACACCTTGGGTCTTGGGTGTCTTGGCAAAATATTAACATTTAGTATGCCAATTAGTGTAAGCGCGTACACTTCAGCTGAAGGGTAACACGTAGACGTGCTTAATAGAAACAGGAAACCCCAGACCAGTACACATGTACAGAGGCAGAAAGACACAGCAGCTTCTACAAAGACGGCCATGTCAATTGCCCTCTTTCTTCTCCCAGTTCCCCCTTAGAGGTCCCTCAGGTAAGTTTAAGAGACCCGGTCTCAATTGCCTCGCTCTGCTCTGAGAGGTCTGTACATCACAGTGAATGAATCCTGTCAGTTTTATTACCAGAGGATCAAGGCACCACTGTGAAACAAAAACAAAAGTGAAAAAATAACAGTGCGTGCACGGACAGCCCACCTCCCCAGCCTCATTTCTATGCCCTCCTCTGACGCGGGCATGCTTGATCAGTTTGTTATCCAACAGGCTCCCTCCCCATCACTCAAAGCCCTGCTCAACTTTGGCTTCCTTTACCCGCATCCTGTGCTTAGACTGTTAAAAGTGCATGCAGCTGCTCAGCCGTCTGTGACTCCTTATCCAAATTTCACTCCCTCACTTTCACTATCCTACATTTCTCCTTATCACTACCACTTCTTTATTACCTTTATCTGAGAAAAAAAATCGGATTTAAATATCATGAAGCCACACTTTGATGCTGCCATGAGATATAATAAAATCATTTGGCTGAATAAATCTGAAATACAGTATGTCAGCTCTTAAATATGTCGCACAAATCAGAGGCACTGAGCTGAAAATGTAGTTTTTATTGGGCGTTTAGTTCTGTCAGTGAATTATTTCCATGCTGTAAAATCTTTCTCTCACACACACTTTTCCCTGGCTCTCTTTCCATTTAATGTTGCCCCCTAATGAAAAGTGTAGGCAGTGTAATCTTCTCCATTGTCCCGCGGGTCTCCCCTCTCCCCACCAGCAGCAGATCAAGTCAGATCAGCATTGGGCCAACAGACAGAAATTCACTCCCCTGTCACTATCAATCTCCACATCTGTTGACAATAATCCTGATTTGTCTTTCCCTCTTGTTTTCACTCCCAAAGCCCCCCGTGCCTCGTGCCCACTTTAAGAACACGAGGTTTCACTGTGATTGCTGCTGACAGCAAACCTGCAGATTCATCTGCGCCGGTTTCAGAGCCACAAAAGCTCTGCAGTCTCACCAGACTGAGCTCGAACCAAGAAATTATAATCAGTACAACAGGGAGGATTCTCACTTTTAAAAAAGAAAATTAAAGGGATCCAGTAAAGGCTAAAACTTTGTGAAAGTGAAGTAGAATATTTCCATAAGAAATATATAGAAATATAGAGTGATTATCTTTTATTAAGAGGTTTACAAATAAGCTGGGTTGGCCTACTTATGAAGCCATATTAAAGATACAAGCAGTACACAATGATTGTATTCAGATACACAACTGACAACAAAAAAGGGAGTAGGAAAAAAGCCTGGGAGGTTTTCCTCGGGTTTGGGCAAGACTGTTTGTCATCTGTACAGATTTCTACATCTGTATGATAAAAAACGCTCAGGCCACAACAAAAGCACTTTCTTAAAATCTATACAGTTTCAAGAAATCAGTAAAAGACCTTATTACTTTAGTTAAAACAACCTTGAAGAGAGGGATGTGCAGAACAACAAAGCAGATGTGCTATCCTCATTTTCTTGTTTTGGTGACCAGTTCCTGCTTTTATTTAAAAAAAAAAAAAATACTTAATTTATTATTTATTTTTAGCATTATTAGCATTTTATAGATTCTGCAATGAAAATTGATTTAGCAGCTGTGGTGGAAGTACACTGTCAAGAATTATATGTCAAGAAATATACATCAGTCATCAATAATGCTTTTTACTGTGGTAATTAGTTTGGATTAGCTAATTTCACTTGACTACTGTCGGATAATCTAGTGTATAATTGTACTGTATTGTATAAATTGGTCAAATCTTTTAGACAAAGTATTTCTATTTAAAACCTACTTCTGCCAAAAGCTCTTAAGTAAATGCAATGTGCGAAAATTACATGATTTTTATTTGAATTTAGGTGGAGAAGTTTTACATTTACAATAAATGATATACAGAAATGCTCCAGCTCAAGAGTAAATACACTCATTTAGAAATAAACAAAAGTACTTCATTAATTAACTTTTTGCTCCCATTACTTGTTTATATTTTTGTTTCCAGAGTTTGTTTTTCCAATATATACAGTATAGGCTTTATACTCCATATTTTCTTCAGTTGCAAGTGTCTTTTTCTAATAAGCTGTGATTTCTTATTTTTGGCTTGTAATTTTATTTATGCTTGACACAAGTAAAACAACAAATTAATCAGTTACTCACAAACTTTTATGCATTAGATTTCTCATAGCTGTTTCCATAATGATGAACAATGAGTCTTATTAACTCTTGATATGCTCCTTAACTGGTATAGCATGAAAACTGCTCAACACTGCGATAATATTTTAAATGTCACAGTCTTTAAAATTTAAAATGTGTAAAATGACTAACTTCTGGCCTGGGTTACTGTAAATACAGGGTGGGGGGTGTGACCATGAATTAATCATAAGCGTTACACATTAAATGTCAGCATCTCCGCTGTCTGAGTCGAGGCCAAGTAAACCTGCGTGTCTCACAAGGAAGTCATCCATAAAAAGCCATAAATAACATTTTGTCCTTTTGGCTGGCAAATATAATTAGACAATGTTCAAGTTTAAAAGGCCATTTCAATAAGATGATGTGAATTTCACAGCCGCAGCAGTTTTTACTGTCCTTAAAGAGGAAGTCTCTTTTTTCAGCATAGTTTAATTTCACATTTAAGTAAGTGTGATTGTAGTATTGTTGTCCAAACATGTGGAGAGGTAAACCAGAATTGATGTCGATCTTATCCTGTTCTTTTTTTTTTATTTCATTTTTTGAGAAAGTTACAGCAGCCTATCAGCCTGTAACTCCAGAGAAGATACTATCAGGGGAATCCTGCCATTCAACCATGTAGACAGATGTTGGATGTACAAGATGTCAGATTCTCTTTGCTGTTATATTTTTCCCAAAACCTATTAAGCCTCCTCAGGGGAGCTGTTCAGTCCCTTCAGAGCAAAGCAGTCTAATAGTCAAACAACAAAACGTCTTATATGCCAAGTGGTTTTTCTCAGGTGTTCACTTGAGATTCATAAAAAACAAAGAGGAATGAGAGCTGCTCTCAGGAAGGGAAAGTGGAGTATGTGTTTGTGTGTGTGTGTGTGTGTGAGTGGGGGGATCTTATCCCGACCTCCTGCTAGTGTTTCATGGGCCTATTTGACCACTGTAGCCTATCCTGTGCCCCCATTTATTGTGATTGTATGGAGTTATTGAGTAGTCAGACCTATTAGGCCGGGAGCTGCCATGGCTGTCCAACTACCAATTACTGTAGCCTACAGCCGTGTATGGCCTGCCCCAGTGCATCTAGAGGCAAGGAGGGGTGAGGCAGAGAAGGGAACATGTGTGTAGGGGAGTAGGGGCAAGGGGGGTGGGGGACTCAGGAGACCTGCCACAGCAGCGTGCCGTTAATCAATCCGATTTAGACCGGACAGGGACACACTTAGTCGCTGCTCCCACCAACACTACCATGTCGGGGGGGAGAGAGGAGAAAATGTGTGCGTGACCTGCATCTCATTCTGGCACGAGGATACAAAAAGATGGATAGATGGGCGCAGAATGAAGAGATAGTGATGGTGTAGCGATTGGGGTGGGATGATGGAAGGGGGCTTGAGGTGTGGAGGGAGAGACAACAATTAATGGAGTGATGTGAGTAGAATTAAAACAAAGGAAATGTATTGATCTATTTCTGTCTGGAGGAAGGGAATAAATATGTTCACTTTCTCTACATGGACAAAATGCTTGTATGGAGAGATATATTGATGACGTGGGTGGGGAAAAAGACTCGCTATTAAATGGAGGATGTGGAGAAATGGGAAGTTTAGTCTTCTTTGATTTGTCTTGCTGATCAGGAGAGAGTCAGGGAGACTTGATGACTGGTGGAGATGATGGACCATATCCTCTGTTAGACCCAGACCCAGAGCAGTAGACAAGGATGAAGTGAGAGGATTATATTTGCATTCATTAATATGTATGCGCTTGTGTACTTTATTTTCCTCCATTAAATGGATTGCCTGCTTGAATAGTTGGTTACTTACCCAATGATGGTGCTATTTATTATAAGCTGATTTGCTTACTGGCTGCTAAAATGACTCAGGACCTCAGATAGAGGTAAAATATGATAGAAGCACTGTTATAATGAATCAAGTTGCTCTGTTTGCCACAAACAGCTGATTACCCGCCCTGAAACCTGATCTCTTTAAAGTGTGGTTCACAGTTGTTGTTCTCCATCAAAAGACCTGGCTTTATATCTCATGACTGTGTGGGTTTGATTTCATCGAATGAAACCAACATCTATAAACAAGAGCATCAGATCAGTATTAGATCTGTGTGCACTGGTAACATGTACATTAGTCGTTATATGTAATGACTTCCTCTTAAATGGTCGGTCGTACCATTACATGTTCAATCAGGGTGTGTGAGTCTTCTCACATAAACCCGTCCACATGTAGATTAAAGAGTGAAGAATGACTCATCAGACTGTAATAATATGATAATTACTTTTTTATAATGTGTGAGTCCACAGGTTCTCTTGTCTTTGCAGCAGATTGCGTGATCATTACCATGTTGTTTTTTCTGCACCTCTGTTTTCCATGTCTATTTGTGTTGTTTGCATTAAGTCAAATATTAACCGAGTTTGGATCTTTCCTCCAAAAGTGTACACTAATACAACCAGTGTAAATGTTGAGAGGGTTGTGTTACAGTATTTCGCTCACTTGACTGGTTTTGTCAAAGACATATGGCATCATGACAGCTGGTGCGTACACCACCTCCCACCGTGAGTGTTTGAAATGATCTCCTATTCATTGTGTATTTGTGTGGAAAGCATGCTGAAATACAGTAGCAAAGACGATGCTGGCATTGGCTTTTTAAAGACTTGTCTTAGATGGATGGATAGATAATTAAAGTTAATTTATATAGTACTTTTCAATATAGAAAACAAAGTGCTTCACAACCAAAAATAAAATACATGTAGAACAAACACCCAAGAAAAATCAGAGTTGATTATAACATGAAATTAAAAAATTAAAAAATAATCAATGATTAACCCTTTAATGCCTTTTGTATCATATTTGATATATACTTTTATGATACCTCTATCAAATCAATATGATCAACAAATCACTAAAAAACACCTGAATATTCATAAAAACGTCCTCCTGTGGTTTATCAATTTCCAAAAACATCTAATGTATCAAACGAGATAAATAAATATATTTGTTAAATTTTAAGGACATTTTCATATTTTTGGTTTTCAGTAGTAAGTGAAATAAACATTTCAGCTCTAAAAAATTTTGAATTTTATGGCCATAATTTGTGGTTTCAGGCATTAAAGGGCTAAACATTTTTCTGTAGAAACGTGTCTTAAGCAGTGAAAGAAAAGATGACACTGACTCTGTAAGTTCGATCTCCTCTGTTCCACAGTCTGGGGGCTCTGACAGCAAATGCCCTCTCTCCTTTGGTTTTCAATCTGGACCTTGGGTGGTGAGAGTCTAAGTGAAGTAGGTCCTCTACGCACAGTGTGTTTTTTTCACCATAAGCTGAGCTCAACTACGTAGCAGTAACTAGGAGAAATACTAACATCACAGAGCTACAAAGCACTAGCAGCTGCATAAAAACGGCACACTGTGCAGTTTGCTGAACCGTCACACAAGAAGACAGTCGAAACCTTTTTCCTCTGTAAAGACAAAATCTAAAATCAATACGTTTGTATCAGACCTGATTGATTTCTTTATATAACGAGGAAGAGTTTTCTCACTTTTATAAAACTACAGAGGATTGGCCCTGTACTGCTTTCTTCCATTCTTGTGAAGCCTTTTCCTGTCTTTAAGCTGGCTGTTTTAGTTTTGTAGTATGAACCTAGCTCATATTCAACTGTGACAAATAAGTACCCACTGAGCATTTTTTGGTCTAAAAGAGGTCTAACAGACGTCTAAATGTAGTGTATACCACTGGTCTAAAATCAGGCTACCACAGGACTAAAAATTAAAGTTTTTTTACATCTAAATTTAGACCAAGTTAAGACTAAACCTAAATCTGGGCTATATCTAAACTATACTGTATATTGCTTAACGGCTATCCTAATTATTTTGGAAAGTACTTGGAGATCAGTTATGCAACTCACAGTTATCGAATAATGGGTTAAAGTGCAACATCTAAATTCCATCTAAAAATATCTAGATGGTTGAAATTAGGTCTAAAAAAAACTAGACGTCTAATAGCTGTCTATTGCTCAGTGGGTATGGAAGCCCTGAGAAACAAGTCAGGTGAAAAGAAAAATCAGGAGATGCTTTTTTTAAAATTTGATCTGACTTTTCTGTCAATATCACTCAAAACTTTCAAAATGAGTGACCAGATTATTTTTCTGACTTGCCTCTCAGAGTTTTAGCACAACGAATGTTTATGAATCAACAGTAAATATTTAGATGAACACTCATTCATTGTGTCTTCTGTAATGGCCAACCAAATGATCTGAAGATAACCGTCCTCCTCAATTTTGTCCTTGCAATGTCCATCAGACTGATCTCGGCAACAGGTGGATCAGGTGCGAGAGCAACAACCTGCCGGAAAAAATTGATAGTGGCTAAAAAGGTTGAGCTCTAAGATGGAGGTTTGAGGCCAAAGATCACTGCACATCTCATCTATCCATCCAGTGGACGGGAAAGCATCTGTACTGATGACATTACACCGAGATCACGGAATGAAACTGGAAATAAAATGACACCAGATACATCCAGTGAAAGGGGGTCGGTCAGGTTTAGGTGTGATACTGAAAACAGAGATAAACCAGCTCAAATTATCAGCCTTTTTTTTTTATAACATGGGGCTTTAAAAAAAAAATCTGATTTCGATTAGAGTAGCTTTTTTCAATCGTTTTGGATTATACCATCAGTGTGTTCATTTGACCTGGTTAACATATAGATAGTTGTGGCGAGCGTGCCGACATGCAGGTGATAATTAGTGTCCAGGGGCTTTATGACCAGGGACTCAAGGAAGAGCAGATGGGATGGGGGCGCTAAGACTTACGGATGAGACTCATGAATAGACTCATGAATTATTGAGTGAAAGTCATTTATGCTCGAGAAATATAAAATTTAAGGTATTTATGATCACATCTACAAAAAAAATTTGGAGAAAAAGGATTGACAATTTTGTCTTGTAATCATACAGTAAATTTATATTTAATTCTTAGTATTGTTTCCTGTCAACTTAATAGACATGCATTATAATGTTAACAACCAGAATTTAAAAGCTGATGAAAGTTGCAAGAGATTGACTCTTGCAGCTGTAACACATTTTTGTGGGCCAACCATAAATTTACTATCCCCGTGTTTCCCTTTTCAAAATGTTTACAGGATTTCCATAGAGTTTTGAATCATCCACAAAAACTAGTCTTGTGCCAAATAACAGGTTATGAAACACATAAAAAAATATCACAATGCTTTTTTTATGCCTTGCAAAAGCAAACAAGACCATCAACAACTGAACTGGCAATGTCTCTTTTTCATTTTTATGCATGTAACTGCTGTGAGTGGGGTAGATGTTGGAGGAGCCCATTTTCAGCCTTGTTTCTTTTCCCACAACAAGAATCCACAGTCAGTAATGCCTTAAGCTGTTAAGAGAGAACATGATGAGATTTTTTATTTATTTATTTTGTCAGGAAAGATTACTCACAAGGTTCAACTTTGTCTATAAGAGGTACCAAAATGGATACAAGCATAAAGTTTTTCACAGGAGTTTAAATTTTGCCCTGGAAAGCATGATTTCTGCACTAACACCACTGCTAAACTCTCACTCTCACATGTTAGGCATTATAATGAGAATCAGCAACATATGAGTCTCTAAAAACCTCTGCAAGCTCATTTAATCATGTTATCAACAACTTTGTAAGTGCTTAAAATCTGATTTATATGTTATTATTTAAGAAACATTTACAACTGGTCATTGAAATGTACGTTAGGAAATAAGATATTAACTCTGATACATCAGAGGGAAAAGTTTGCCTTTTAATATTTTTGGTCTTTTGACTTACAGTGCTCAGCATAAGTGAATACACTAATTCAGAGTTGTCAGAAAACCTTAATTTTCCTTTCAAAATCAACATTTTCTATGTCAGACTATACAACAAAATACTACCCCAAATGTAGGCCATTGATTGCAGACAAGATTTTTTAAGTTGCATACAAAAAAAGTTTTTTTTTTGTTTTTTGTTTTTTTCAATTTAAAACCAGGATGCAAAAATGAGTAGACCCCAATCAAAGTTCTGAGGGAAAAGTTAAATTTTAGTTACCATATTACCCTTATTTTTATGTTATGGTAAATAAAATGTTATGTTAAACTCAGCTTTGTCAAATCTTTGGAAATTGTTCTTTTGCTCATCTAGATATTGAGAAATACATCACTTTTAATAGGCGGTGTACTAATTTATGCTGGGCACTGTATTACTTTCATCTTCTGTCTTCTGTGAAGCTTTATTCCCCCACCTTCTTCCTCCTCTACCTTTTTTTGTAAACCTTACAATTATAAGTGCTTAGAAAAATATCAGGTCCTTAAATGGCACACAGAAGAGGACTGAGCATCCCTGCAGCTAAGGTATCAAGGTGACAACTGTAAGTCTATGGTTAAAGTTTGTCGGGGACCTTTTAATCTTTTCTGCCTCATGTTTTCGCTTGCTTTAATAAAAAACCTTTGAACCTTTGAAAATGGCAGAAGAAATAAACACGTGACATGAAACGACTTTCTTGATGGCATTTCTTTTCACTTGCACCTTATTAACATTTTTCGTCTTTATCTCAGGTCAGGGCCAGCGCAATTGCTCAAGATGCGGATCAGAACTACGACTATGCCTCCAACAGTGTCATCCTGCACCTGGACGTGGGGGACGAAGTTTGTGTACAGCTAGATGGGGGCAAAGTTCACGGCGGAAACACCAACAAATACAGCACCTTCTCCGGTTTCCTCATCTACCCAGACTGACAACATTCATGTCCACCCTCTCTGTAATCAAGCAAAAAGTCCTCCCATTTCTGCATCTAACACACCACCCTACCATGATGTAACTCGTCATTTCAATGCTGTTATGTACACAAAACATGTAATGACACGCTAACAAATAGAGCTTGAAGAGAATTTGTGTAAAAATGAATATAGTATTGTATATATTACCAGTTAACATGTACTTCAGATACACACTCTTGTGTAATCATTATTCTGTGCCATGTACAGTTTGTGTAAGCATGTATAGAACATGTGTTTCACATGCACTCTTGAACAAACACAAGTGTATACGTACACGCGAGCTGAACTTCTCCTATCAGGTGCAACCACGAGACAAGATGACTATTTCAGCCACCAGTCTGAAATCGACTGAAATGATCTCTGAATGTAGCCTGTAAATCGAAGTGTGTGTACTTGGCTGCAGCTTCTCGCCTTCACTGTGAGATGGATTTCCAAACAAGAAAAGTCATGAATATATTGATTGCAGCTGATAATACAGCCAACGTCGTGAACATAATCCAGTGTGTTGTATGTCTGTGTCCATGCCAGTGTGCGAGCATCTGTGTGTGTGTGTGTGTGTGTGCTCGTGTCAGGGCGAAAAAGCATCACGTTGCAGTTATGTTTGCTTGCACTGTGTCCGGCTTCTGTCAGGGGAAAGGAGAGGGGGGGTGTCGAGTTGTCGGTAACAGTCCCTTAACACACACAGTTTGTCAATACTGAGGTTTAGCTTTGAGATTTTCCCTGAGCCTGAGCTTATGACAGAGTCTCATCATGTCCTGCTAATGAGCTGAGGTGCCCATCAGTTCACTCACACTCACACCTGACATCTATAGTCTGCTGTATGACTCTGCTGGAGTAGTTAGACATTATAAGAAATACAGATTTGCTCTTTGATGAAAAAATACAGTATACAGAAAAAAAAAAACTATGACTGTATTTTTGTTTTATGCACGGGGTTAGTTTTGCTTACAACAAGGGCTGGATTGTAAACAAATTGGAAATCAATGTGTTCAAATAAGGTGAGAAACCAGTTCCTACCACTCATAACACTCAGCAGGGACCAGCTAGAGTTGATGTTTGAACTTGATATCCACAAATATAGAAAGTTGAAGAGCTGTTACAGTTTTTGTTACTTTTTCTGTTCCTTCTAATCCATTTAATACTGAATGAAACACCCCACCAAACATCGGACGTCGAAGAGACGTGAAGATCAAGTCAGCATTGAGTCGGTGTTAAAGACCACATCTAGACGTCAGTGCGACATGCAAAATAGGTTAGAAATTTCGACGTCCAAATTGGACCTTTTTTAGACGTCGCTCTGGCGTTTAGAATTTGGACGTCATCTGAAGACCAAATCTAGACGTCGGCACAATGTGCAAAATGGATCCAAGATTTAGATGTCATTCTTGGACCTCTTTTAGACGTTGAAATGACGTCCACATTTGTACCTCATCATCGAAAAAATATGTTAAATAGATGTCATTTTGACGTCGCATTGCACAGTGGGACATTTGTGAACAGCTATCAACACAAGCGTTACAGCACTATATTTTAGCATCAGAAAAATAGCTACATATAAAAAGAATATTTGGATAAAAGTCAGCATGATGATACGTAATTATGATTATGGAAACATTAAATCAGAGAAGTTTGTATGAAGTTTGAGGCATGTCCCATCAGTTGGCATGGAGGAGACAGAACTTATGACCATTTACTATTCATTCACTTCTCATAACTCCTCCTATTTATCAGGGTTAAAAAGTTGAGAATTTGTTGTTTGTTGCCCCAATGCTCCCTCCTGAGTCTGGTCTTTTATGCTAAGCTGAGCTAACTGGCCTTTAGGAGTAGCTGCATACTTAAGTACAAAAACATGGATTCAGTCTTCTCTTCTCATTCCCTCAAAGACAGCAAATCAAAGTATTTCACAAAGAGTTGAACTTTTTTTTTCATTTTACTGTGGAGACACTCATATAAAGGGCGGTGTACTGCAGGTGACTGTTGTTGTGATTCACTGCCATGTGCCATACCTCTAGGTTTTCTGTGCCTTACATGATCTATCTAGCTGTGAGAATGAGCAGATTTCTGGGATAAAATCAGAAGTCCATGCAAGAGTTGTTACCTCCTTTAAACAACAAAAAAATCTATCAGAGGACAATGACCCCGATTCTTCATAATGTACGTGGATGTAACTCAGCGCTGATAAAAAAAAAAGACCACAAAATGGAGACCGATGTTGGATGAAGACTCTGTTTGAATAGAAACACCAGTGGAAATGAATGGCAGACGCATGTCAATGTGTGGTGAAAATTCGCATTTATAAAAAAGTATAAATATATAAATGTAAACAAATTATAGTATTTATCAAACTTTTTTTTATTCCCCTCCCTTTGTGCCACGTTGCATCCTGCTGTGTGTGTGTGTGTGTGTGTGTGTGTGCGTGTGTGTGTGTGTGTGGTTTTGGTGCTGTTACCTTTGTTTACGAGCATTGTGGTCACTGTACTTTGCAGGCTGAGCTGTGTGTGTATTTGTTATGTATGAAATCAGCATAGATTTTTCTCCGCCCTTGAAGACCATGAAACACAATAAAAAACAAGAAAAGAAATTTCTTGGTTGTTTTGCTGTTACTGAGTGAAAGTAAAATCAAAGCTGTCTTTAATCTTTATTCATATTGTGTTTGGTTCAACACGATTTCATGGCTCATGGTGTTATTAAGTCAGATATTTAATATCAAAAATTTAAATGCAGACAAATACCCCGCAGTTCTTCACGCAAGTGTACCTAATTACATTCCTGTACGGCTGTGTTTCACCCTGAGGTCAATTCTCTTTATTTGGAGAACAGTTATATTTATTCAGGTGCCTAAAATGAATAAATCTGTGGAGTTAACCTTCATGTATTTATGTGGCTTGGTAAACAAAATACAGCAAGAAGACAGAAAAAGGAAGAAAAAAAGATGAAGAACCTGAATATAATCCACATAACTTCCTTGTGCTGAAGAGGATACACATGCCATGCTGATAGATTTGTTTAATAGAAAGTGAACATCACCCTGTTTTGAGTGAACATTTAGCAGTATTTCAGTGCGTCACAGATTTTGTCTGATATGTGGCTCTTTATGTTTTGATGTCGGAGTGAGAGTAATAACTGAATAAGTCACAAAGTTACATTAATTTCCAGTACGTCATATTCGAAAGTAATAAGGAATTGATGATGCAGGGGTTATTATGAACATATAAATGATGTTACTAACCAATACAGCACAAAACAGATATGTGCTGTGAGATTTAAAAAGCATTCGAGCTTTTTCAGTTTTCATGTGATTTTGAGTCTGTATAGACAAACGTGTAAATCAAAAAATGTTTTTAATCTCTTTTCCAATTATTCAAACTCCCTGTTCTGTTCTTGTTATTGATTTCCATCTTATCCTTCAATCATTTATTCAGACTTAGGCATATTTTCAATGGTCTATGGGATACATTTTTTCAAAAAGTACTTAAAAAACTTTATGAATAGTAATGCATGGTCCAATATTACATTAATGTGCTGACAGATTTATTTATACAGTAAACAGTATATGTGGGTCAGTGAAAATAATGAGACATACATTAACAGAGACTTTTAAATATACAATATGGAGAGTTAAATAAAAAAAACAGGAAGTGTAAACCCTTGTTTTTTTATACAGAAGTTGTGTTTAATCACATTCTTGATGGACATTGTTTTATGATATGAATATAACAGAGATCTGTTGAGATTAGATAACCTGTACTGTACTTTTAAAATAATTGTTGACACCTCAGTAAAGCTGAATGATGTGATGCTGTGATTTTACAGATCTAGTGTAGACAGCTGTAAAGAAGCAGAGTATATGTACTGTTGTAAACTGACTCAGTACTATGTTACTTTGTGGAAATTAATACTATCACACAGTTTCAATTTAAATATCAGTGCTATGAAATGAAACAAATCTTTAGTAACCGCTTCATAATTAAAGGTCTGGCTCTCTGGATTGAGGCTTGAGGAATGAGCTCTAACAAAAATGTTAATTGGAGAAATACTTATTGCAATGCTGCACGGTGAAAATGAAACGCTGGCTGAAGGAACTTCTCACCTCACCAGAATAAGACAAAGGGCTGACTCTTTAATTAAAGGTGAGTGGTAACACTATTCTAGGTGAGGAGGTTCTTGCTGAATGATCTGCACACAAGGGGTTTGAGGAAAGAAGGAAGGAAGGAAGGAAGGACAGAAGGAAGGAAGGAAGGGGGGTGTCTCAGTAGTGCCGCCCCCCCTCGTTCTCTGAGTCCCAACGCTCCTCCTGGCAGATTCCAGAGTTAAGTTAATTGGACAGAGAGAGCGCGGCTGAGGAGGGAAGCATTCAGCCCCATTAGCAATCCCCCCGAGGAGGCCGAGCTGAGAGGATCACAGACTCACAAATAGGAGGATTAAAATAATCAATAGGCTTCACTCTCCCTCCTTCAGCACAGACGGGTCTGCAGCCATACACACACACACACATACACACATACGCACTCTTGACCAGATATGCACACAAGTGTAAATAAGCAAATACAAATACACAGACAGTGTGAGTTATACTAATTCAAGACGAATTACTCTCTAAAATGTTGTCTCTGGACTTTTAAAAATTAGCCTGGGTTAACATGATTCTACCCTTGGACAAACAAAAGACCCCCCACCCACCCACCCACCCACACACACACACACACCCACACACACACACACACACACACACACACACACACACACACACACACACACACACACACACACACACACACACACACATCTATTCTCTATTAACGAAGGTTAATTTGAGTCTCCAGTAAAAAGGTCAGAGACGTGAAAACAGTCTGACAGTTTATATTTTGCTTGGTTATTTCTGTACTATCGTGTCTGTTGGATTTCTTTTTAATGGCTTCACTACAAAGTTTCTTTTAATTCTGTATCTGGATCAAATCATTATGAGAGTATGTTTCAGAAAACTCACAGTACCTTTTGACATAATAAATGTAGTTTTATTGAGAGTAATTATTTCATCATATTTTCTTTCAGCCTTTCTAAATCATTTTTAACCATATAAACTGATTTATGTTGCATTATATTATATTATATAGTATTATATGGCATTTAAGGGACATAAATCTTTGTGTAGATGTACAGAACAGGTGTGACTTGTTTGACATGCCAGAGTTTTTGGCATGTTCATAATTGTTTTATTATAATCTTCAAATCTCTTTATGAGCATGGAAGGAAAAAAAGTCTGGGTTTTTGTAGTATTAGTATATAACAGTGTTACATATAACAAAAATAAATGTCTACTTCTGAGTAGAAAAACAGTTTCCAAGCCAAGAACTACTGTAAACCTTCTTGTGTAGCAATTCCAACACTTTATTTTTAAAGAATAATGAGAAAGCTGGTCAAATATTTCTTCATCTTGAATACTTCCTGCAGTCACCACGCGGCTGAAGATAAAAAAAGCTCTAATATAGTAAGAACCATAGCAATTCATAATAAACAATCAAAATTTAAGTGGGTTAAGTTGCTTGACATTGCTGTTCTTCTCTATTATACCATAACCTTAATGAATGAATCAGAAAGACAAAAGTTAATATACATATTTCAGGTGTTACAGTATTTTGTTCAAACACAAGTGTCACAGTGCTATACAGTTTTCAGCCCTGCTGAAGGAGGTTTTTATAATTACCTTTAAAAAATTTATTGTTTTTTTAAAGCTTACATTATTCGTAAGAAACGTCCTTATTTTGGTGACTTAAATTTTGTCCTTGTGTACTCTATCTGAGACAGCAACATATAATCAACCTGTAAATCACTCTCAGAGAGGAAGCAGAGAGTGACAGACTGAAATGCACTGAGACGGCTGTGTCATAATTCATTTCCAAACAGACACTCTTCTTTCAATGGCCACTTTCAGAGTGCACTGACAACACTTGTAGTGCTTTAAACTACCTGCAGAGAAGATATATACTGAGGTGAGGATCTGCCTTTGACAGTAAACAACTGACATGACTCTGAAGGATGCTCCTCTGATAATAAAGCTCACAGTCTGTCTCTCTGACATTTAAACTCCTCTCTAACAGTTTGTAACAAGATCTGAGGGAAATTGTGGAAAACCTACTCAACAATATACACAGCACAGGGTGTTTAAAAACTGTAACTTATTAATACATATTTGCTCTCATTTTGGGGGATACTGCTGGAGTTGTGAGCTGCTGAAAATAGAGTATTTGCCGTTACTAAACGCTCCTGTACTTCTATTAGTACTGGGAGAAAAAAGAAATTGTTTATGCAAATACGCAGTTTTTTTGCGAATACTATACTCTGTACAGCACTGCAACAGGTTTAAGGCAGCTGCTTCTTGAATGATTTAGCTTTTCTGTTTTAAAGAGAAAGCCACAAAATAAAGATTTTGTGCCAAAAATACAAAATGGCATTGAGTGGCAACTATTGCAAAATGATTTGGGAGATTAATTGTGTTGAAATAAAAAAATAAAAAATAAAAATAAAAATAAAAATGATAATTGTTGTTGTTGGTGATATTATTTTATTTTTATTTTTAACAGTCCCATCTCTTTATATGTCTGTATGTGATACTTTCTTCGTTATTTAGCCCTTTTTTTTTAAAGGATGTGCACGTTAGAAATTGGAGACAGCAATATGAGCAAAGGCAAAATAGATAAAATCTAAATGCTTATTAACAGTAGACAAATAAATAAGTTGATGATTGTAAGAAAAATGGTGAGTAACTGAAGTTTGCAGAGCCAGTGACTTGTTAAAATGTACAACCATCTATTACGGCTACTGCTCTGAGAAACGTTGTGTTGGTAAAAGTCACCCTCATACACCACCTCTGTAAAATTTTCATTAACTCGTAAAACACAATATTAAATTTTGTTTTCAAGAAAATCACTCGTTAAATCTCTCACATTGTTGACGCATTGAGAAAAAAAAGATTAGCTGCATAACTGCGCCATCTGCTGTACATTTGTTGTTATTGCAGCCTGAGTATTGCAGAGTACTTGCAGTACCAGTCTTTGGCCAATGAGCGGCAGCCGGCGTCGACTAGTTGTCTGCAGGCAAAGATGGCGGTGCGGAAGAAAGACGGCGGCCCGAATGTAAAATATTTCGAAGCGTCTGACACCGTTTCTCAGTTTGATAATGTCCGCGTCTGGCTGGGGAAGAATTATAAAAAGGTACTGACCGCATGTTTTGTAACCAGACACACTAAAGCTGACATTCTCAGCCTGAAATGTGGGCACTTATCTGTTAGGCAGAGGCAGTGACAAAGAGAGGAGGGAGGGTGCTGCTGAACATCCAGCTGTTGGATTCACGCGAGCCGGGATACAAAAGGATGCTGAGACAACAGCTGCACCACGAGCATCCGCGAATGTCGTTTCCCCCGTAGCGTTATGTTATTGTAGCTGAAACGTTAAAGAGCAGCACATATGAAGACCTAGAGGAGGATTTCTTTTGGGGAAAAGGGTGACTTTAGCTGGCCAGTCAGCTAGCTAGCTCGGTAGCTAGGAGGCTCGCGGTAATGCAGCTCAGATCCAGATGTTTGCTCTGTGGCGCGGCGCTCAATGAAGAAACCCGTCTGAGCTTTAACATGCTCTGCTGCGTTTATACTCAACGATTAGGTATTAAAAGGCTCAAAACATACCAATGTTTAAGAAAATGTTTAAGAATACAAGGTTTGGTTTTAAATCCTATAGGGGAGAGTGGGGTAAGATGGGCCATTTTTCATATTTCGGATCACTACATCAAGGCAATCATAGTTTTGTCTCTAACTAGTGTATCTGCATATATTTCAAGATGTTGTGCATCCCTGCAAACCAACAGAATGAGTGTAAACAGAACTGTCTTGATAATATAGCATGCCAAAAAAAGTGGTCTCCCTCACCTTCTCTCTCCCAACAGTCACTTCTTCACATTCATGTGTATTTTTATTTATTATAAACTATTCAACTTGTACAATACTTCTTAATATTATTATTGCATATCACTGCTAAAAAGCTGTTTTGTAAAAAGAAATATTTTAACATGAGAATGCCTTTAAGTGATTCAGAACATTCACAGCTGTATTTTTGAAAAGAAAAAGTAACACATTTCAACAATCTGAACTGAAACTCTGATCCTCTCATCAGACTCCTTTACTTTCTCAGTTGAGCCACTGACTCAACTTACCCCAGAACTACTATTATTACTTTAATAATCCTCTAAGCTAAAATGGTGGACTTTTATGCTAGGTTTTTGACCTCATGTTGTAGCTCATAAATACCACAATTGATGTATAAAACAAATTTAAATGATCTTTTTTTGGTCTGAAAACAATTCTAATAAAACTTATGACAGACTAAATTCCCTTTCAAGAGTGAAAAATGTTTTTTTGTAAATTAATATCCAACCCCTTCACCCATGTGCTTCTAACCTTCACAGACTCCATGAATTGATGCCCATCTCCTAAATATTTGGTCACATGATCAATTTCTTTTACCATTTCCAAGCAACAGGGGGTGGCTCAACTTATCCCACTCTCCCCTATTAGATATTACAGAACACAGCTATGCCCTGATAAAAATCAAACACACAGCAATTCCCCCCTTTTTCAAAATATACTGACCAGAAACAAAAGTCTATCTACATACTTCTGTATTTGTCTCTAACTGTCTTTATGTATTTCTGTCCTCTCAGTACATCCAGGCTGAACCCCCTACCAACAAGTCTCTTTCCAGCCTGGTGGTCCAGTTACTCCAGTTCCAGGAGGAGGTGTTTGGTCGACATGTCAGCAACCCTCCCCTTACAAAGCTGCCGGTACGCCTCAGTCATCCACATCTACATATTTAAAAAATTAAACCATTATGAGGCGTTCTGAAAAATCCTGTGTTGCATTTGCAGATGAAGTGTTTCCTGGACTTCAAGTCAGGAGGGGCTCTCTGCCACATCCTGGCTGCTGCCTACAAGTTCAAGAGTGACCAAGGATGGTAGGACTTTCTTTCTAGCTGATTGAAATACTTAGACAAAGCAAAACTGGCTTTGATACCTTAATTATCAGTGCATAAATGTATTTTGGCTAAGAAGCCGTTTCGTGTGTAACTCCAGTCTAATTTCCTGGTAGGCGCAGGTTTGACTTCCAGAACCCGTCGAGGATGGACCGAAATGTGGAGATGTTCATGACGATTGAGAAGTCCTTAGTGCAGGTAGAACTGTTTTTATGCTTCTTTGAAACACACATTACCTGAAAGTAATAATTTAATTGTAAATCTTTCACGTTTTAGTGTAGTGGCAACCAGTATTTTGTCTTTTTCTGCTAAAGCACCAAAGCTAAACAATTACAAAGAAAACACCATAATTCTACCATATCTTCTTTAGTTACATCATATTGGTGAAGTGTTTGGACAGTTAGGCTGTCTAAACTTTGAAGACAGAATTGATGAAAGGCACTTGGTCATGTGACAGAATGAGTAACCCTACTTAAACCACAAAATCATCAAATTTTCCTTATCTAAAATGTTAAAACTGCCAAGATGTATTTTTTTAATGGAAATTATCTGAAATTAAAGATATTCATTTTCCTGCTGATTCAGGTATTTGCTTGTAAATGCATCAAATGTTTCATTATTTTCACATCTATTGTATCATTTCAGAACAACTGCCTGACAAGACCGGTCATCTACCTGAGCTCTGACATAGAGCCTAAACTGCTGGGAAAGCTGAAAGACATTATCAAAAGACATCAGGTACTTTTCCTTTTTGTCTTCTTATTACAGTCAAAGAATTTTTCCCTTGTTTGGATTCAAAAATACACCTGTGTTCAAAGGTTAACTCGTATCTCCTTGAGTTCCTTCAATCTCCAAATTGTTCAGATGTTTTTCCTCATCATATGAATCAACTTCATCTTTCACAGGGATCAGTCACAGAGGACAAGGCCTCCAGCTCCCATGTTGTTGTTCCTATTCCCAGCAGCCTGGAGGAAGGTGAGATTTCAGATGTTGTGTTTTTAGCCACCTTTGTCCTTTTTAAATTTTAATGCACTTTTTCCACTCCGTATATTTTCCTTTTTTTGCTCCAGAGGAGTGGGTGCGTCCTGTGATGAAAAGAGACAAACAAGTGCTTCTCCACTGGGGATATTTTCCTGACAGGTACCAAATTCAATATTTTACACCTGTTGCCTCATCTTATCATCAGACGTTTAACTCATTTCCCAAACATGGGAGGGAATCTGTTGTACTCTTGTTCTCTTGAAGCTTCTTTCTACCTCATGCTAGACACATTAGTCCTTCTGCAATATGTTTAGAGGCTTTCTTCTTTGCTGTAACCTTCGACCTTGGATCTTACATCCTTTAGCTATGATACTTGGATTCCAGCCAGTGAGATTGAAGCTGCAGTGGAGGATGCTCCCAGCCAGGAAAAGCCCAGAAAGGTATTTAAATTCATGTCATGCACTGTTCTTTGCTTCAGAGTGAATTTAGTCTCCTTATTTCTATCATCTGTTTCATATTTGTAGGATTTATTTCCTTGATTTTCCCCCTTAATCTAATAAAGGTCATTAGCCTTGGATGTAATTTAGTATATTTCACTGGTCAGTTGCATGTACTGTTTTTAAAGGATGCATGAAGGACCACAAAAACAGACTTTTTGAAAACTTATTTACATCAGAGTTGAAAAAAAAAAGTTTTCTGTGCAACATCAATCTGTATAAGGGTCAGTGACAAATAAGGGTTTGCATCATGAGTAATTCAAAACTGTTTTAATAAATTGTTTTAAAAGTTTGCATTAGGTTTGCTAAGATGTATGCTTTGTATCTCTGTTGGTTTCATATAATTTCAAATAGCATTTAAACCTTTTTTTACTAAATGAATGATGGACTTCCTTTGACAATGTCTAGTGGTGTAACCACAACAAAAGGGGAAATATTTAATACTTATTTCCACCTATAGTGTATGCAAGTGTACTTAAAAGTTACTTAATCATAATATATCAGTTGAAAATACATTTTGTTAGGGTTTTTTTTTACAAAAACATTGGATGCATTTTTGCAATATAGAGCAGAAGAAAAGCTAAAAAGAGCTGGCATTTTCTAAATAACATTTGACAAATCATGTTGAAACTGTAAAGATATTATATCTGTTAAGATGTTAGTGCATTGCAATAGAGGAGTACATTCCATTCCCCATGCATTTTCTCAAATATTATGTTTTTCTTAATGAAAAATTCTGGTTACACCAATTGACACAAACCAGTTACTGGGTTTTGATGGTTACACCACATTGACATTTTTCCCATTATTCCCTGAATATTCCCTCAAAATGGATAAAATCTAGAAATTTTAGACAAGGTCTTGAAAAAGAGAACGTATCCAAGTAATTAGTGGATTTATTTTTGAATTTTAGCCTTTTCAAATCGAAGTAAACCATTGGAAGAAAAAGAAAACTGTCACGTCACTGACCCATAAATGGAAGAAAATGTAAATCTCACCCTTTTTTTGTTATATGACATGAGAGTCTTGATAGGATTGTGAAGCAGTTAAATATGTAGGACTGAATGAACAAAATCTAGAGTCATGCTTCTCTGTGTACTCACAGCACGATTGTCTGGATCAGTAAACTGACAATAACTGACTGACTGCTGCCTTTACCTCCTCTAATAATGCTGCATTTACTTGACATCTGGCACATGCAGAACTTTCAGCTCATGTGCTGCTTTGTGGAAAAGTTTTATGTGAAATTATGCAAATTATGAAAATAGTCTGCAGAACGTGTGAAGGTGTCATTACCCAGCTGTAAAGCAAAAGTAGGTCCAGTAACGACCTCCATCAATGTCATCGTAACTCTACTGTTGAAACTAAACCCAGAGACATTTGGTGATGTCTAGAAGATGCTCCAACTCTACTTTTCTTTCTCTGACATGGTTTCATGGATATACTTTGAAGTAAAATTTTGACCTCTCTCTCAGTTTTATGATTTAGTATCAATATTGCTCACACATTGTACACATTGTGTGGTCTTTTCCTCAGGTTCACGCCAAGTGGATTTTAGACCTGGACCAGTATAACGAGTGGATGAACGAAGAAGACTATGAAGTGGGTGAGGGCTGCCCCAAGAGGAAGAGGATCTCAGCCAAGACCCTGACCGATGAGGTGACCACGCCTGACGAGCGCAGGGATAAGAAGCCTGGTAGTGCCAAGAAGAGAAAGCGCTCACCGTCGCCCTCCCCGACACCCCCGCCACAGGAGAGCAAGAAGAAGAATACCAAAAAAGCGTTTGTGACCTCATGTCTTTATGAAGCACACCACTGCTGTACTGTTGGTCTCAGTGTCAGTATCATCAAAGACAATAATGCAATATAATGTCCTTTATGTGTGTTGCTGTGTCTGTGTGTGTGTACAGCCCAACCACTCCATACACCAAGTCCAAAAGGGGACAGAGGGAGGAAGAACAGGAGGACCTTAGCAAAGACTTGGATGAAGCGTCACCTCTTCCACCATCTGAAGAGGGGAACCCAGCAAAGCCAAGTACACAAGTCCACATAACCTTACAAACACTAGCTCACCTCCAACTTTAGAAAACTATTCAAATCGACATAAGTTGTCATTTTTTGTGCTTTGAAGTAAGTTTTGACTTCTTCTATTTCCACAGATAACACAAAGAAGGACTCTGACTCAACTCCAGTCAAGGGAGATATAGGTAAGACGTCTCCTTCAACTTGACTAGTTTCTTGTCTCTGTTTAGTATTAGATCATTTAAAAACTGCTTCAAGGTAGGATTTGATTTTAATATATCAAGTATAAAGAAAGATATTTATTACCTTTTTTAACATGTTCCTTGAGACTGTAATCTCTCCCAGCGAGGTGAAAGAAATACTCGCTCCAAAATGTAAAAAAGTTTTATTCATTTTGAGTGTTAATCTTGTGATGGCCCGTTTTTGTTCAATGTATTCTTCTATAGAGAGGATTTCTCCAGCCTCTTTAACATAATGTATGGACATTAACTTAGACGGTGTATTTGTTTTCTAACAGATGAGCCAGAGGATGAGTCCATGGAAACAACGGGGAAGGTACATAGTTTTTTTGAAGTGCAATAAATACATCTGAGGGGACAGTGTAAGCTTTTATTTCTCTGTCCAAACAGGAGGAGGAGGAAGGCTCACCAAGTGTGAAGGGAGAACCAGTGAAAGGCTCGGACCTGCATGAGGACAATGTAACTGAGCAAACTCATCACATCATTATACCCAGCTATGCTGCTTGGTTTGACTACAATAGGTACGAATATTTTTCTTTTTGTAGCACTTGTGCTAGAAGAGCAGTTTGTATCTGTGATTACTTAGGTCTATCAGAAGTGTAAACATGAAGGAAAATATTGAAGAATTTCATGCAGTGCATATTTAAAAAGTGTAAAATATTTTGCGCAGATGAATTTTAGCTGTGTTCTTAAAATTTCATAAATCTTTCCCCAGTGTTCATGCCATCGAGCGCAGAGCCCTGCCAGAGTTCTTCAATGGGAAGAACAAATCCAAAACACCTGAGATGTAAGGAGTTCAGCTGTACTAAACAGTGTCAAAGATGTTTTTAATGTTCTTCTCTTTTTTGACGAATGTTTCTCCTTTTTTTCAGTTACTTGGCATATAGAAACTTCATGATTGACACTTATCGGCTAAACCCTCAAGAGTACCTGACCTCCACTGCCTGTCGCAGGAATCTAGCAGGAGACGTGTGTGCAATCATGAGGTGGGTGGTCGCTGAATAAGAATTCAAGAATTTACATAAAGTATAAATATATAAAGCAGTCACTAGTTTGGTTAAATTGCTATTTATGTCTCCTCTGCTGTAGAGTCCATGCCTTCTTGGAGCAGTGGGGTCTGATCAATTATCAAGTGGACTCGGAGAGCCGACCCACACCTATGGGCCCCCCACCCACCTCTCACTTTCACGTCCTGGCAGACACTCCATCCAGTCTTGTGCCGTTGCAGCCCAAGACGTCTCAGGTCCACTAACACAACCACACGCTGACAAATAGACACATGCGGACTTTGTCTGTGTTGTTTTTAATGTTGTCCCTCTGTTACTGCATTCCTGCAGACTCCTTCCTCCCAGCAGATGATGTCCTTCCCTGATAAAGTGAAGGAGAAACCAGCAGATCTGCAGAACTTTGGGCTGCGGACTGACATGTACAACAAGAAGACGAGCTCTGCAAAGGTACACATTTTGAACAAAACAAGACAGAATTGTGTTATACTTGGACAGATCATGCTAACAGAGCTGCTGTCCATATTTGTGCACAGAGCAAGAGTGCTGCCAGCTCTATGAGGGAGTGGACTGAACAAGAAACACTACTCTTACTTGAGGTACAAAATGGACTTTTTCAATGCCAGATACTGAGCCAGGAAATGTAAAATAACAAAAAACAGACAGACAGAGCTTAATGAAGCCCCCTCCTCCCTCAGGGTCTGGAGATGTACAAGGACGACTGGAACAAGGTGTCAGAACATGTAGGCAGCCGTACTCAAGATGAGTGTATCCTGCACTTCCTGCGACTGCCCATTGAGGACCCTTATCTGGAAGACCACTCCTCGACCCTGGGACCACTGGCTTATCAGCCAATACCTTTCAGCCAAGCGGGAAACCCCGTTATGAGCACAGTGGCTTTCCTCGCCTCTGTGGTCGATCCCCGTGTGGCCTCGGCTGCAGCCAAGTCTGCTCTGGGTGAGAATGAGCTGATTTAAAACCATCCTCAGACAGAATATCCTGCTGCACAGACCGCAGTGTGAGCACGAGTCAAAGAAACGGAGGGGTGTCTCTGTGGTGATGCTCTTCTCTCCACCTGTCACCACTCAGCACATCTGCAACATAAAGTTTAAGTACAATAATCCTGCTCTAGTGTGAATATGAGCTATATTAGACACTCCACATTTCACACTGATGTCTCATACAGTTCTCCCACTTCTTCTTCTTCGACATTCATCACTTTCCTCATCTCTGAATCTGATATTTTCTGTGAATAAATCAATAACCCGGATCCATCTCTCCTCTTCTCAGAGGAGTTCTCTCGTATGAAGGAGGAGGTTCCTGCTGCGCTTGTTGAGGCTCATGTGCGGCGGGTAGAGGAGGCAGCGAGGGTCAGCGGCCGACAGGACCCTCTGTATGGTCTGGAGGGGAGCGGGATAGCAGGCACGGGGCTTGAAGAGGGAGAAAGAGCAGGTAGAACGGAAAAACAGCACACTATCAAAACACGTCTTATGAAATAACTTATGAAGTGATTATAAAAGTTCACTTCATCTTTATTTTGTAGATGAAAGCAATGAAGAAAGCAAGAGTGACGGCCAAACAAGTGAAGAGAAGAGGGAGGCCAAGGTATGACGTGTGTTTTTTATGATCTGACGATTCATGATTATTTATGTGAGGCTCACTGTGCTCTGTGTACTTTACAGGACAACAAAGATGGAGCGGCTGAAGAAGAGGAGAAGCAGGCGGAAAACGGAAAGAAGGAAGAAGAAAGAGGGAGGGAACAAGAGGCAGAGAGGGAGGCGGACAAAACAGAATCTGAGATGGGTATGAGAGATAAACAGCATCCCAGTCAGATAAAGAAAATGCAATATTGTTCTTATTAAAGATGGTGAAAAGAACCGTTTCTTTTTTCTCAGGCGATGGAGAGAAAGAGAAGGATGGAAAAGAGGGTGCAGAGGAGGGACAAAGAGAAGCAGAGAGTGAAGGAGAAAGAAAAGCAAAAGTAGAACGAGATGTGGGAGAGGGGAACCTGGCCACAGCTGCAGCATCTGCTCTCGCTGCTGCTGCTGTAAAAGCCAAGGTAGAGTTGATTCTGACAGCTTTTACCATCCTCTATCCTTTCTTTGAACGTTTCTCTCATTTTCAAAGCTTCTCATTTTTTTTTTCTATGTAGCATCTGGCCGCAGTGGAGGAGAGGAAGATCAAATCTCTTGTTGCTCTGCTGGTGGAGACCCAAATGAAGAAGCTGGAGATCAAACTGCGACACTTTGAGGAACTGGAAACCATCATGGACAGAGAGAGGGAGGCTGTGAGTAATGGGTCCTTTGATTTGTGGTATCTGAATGTAGTAACAGCTCTGAACCTGTAACATCTGATGTTTTTGTCGGTGTGTGTGTGTGTGTGTGTGTGTGTGTGTGTGTGTGTAGTTGGAGTACCAGCGTCAGCAGCTGCTGGCTGATCGTCAGTCCTTCCACATGGAGCAGCTGAAATACGCTGAGATGAGGGCCCGCCAGCAGCACTTCCAGCAGATCCAGCACCAGCAGCACAGCCAGGCCGGGGGTCCTCATTCCAATCAGGCTGCCACCGCCACAAGCCAGCCACCCCAGGGTCAAAGTCAGCAAGCTCCCACCACACCAGCACCACAACCGGCCCCCAGCCCCGCCCCTCCAACCTCCTCTGCTCCGCCCCCTGAATCTCAGCCAGCTCAGGCTGCTCACACCTCTCCCCCCTGTCCTCCAGGCCAGACCCCAGCTACTCACTCCAACTCGAGCTCCAGCTCTGCTCCTGGACTTCACGGTGAGTTTGAGAGTGAAGGACAAATCAGAGGCTTTAACTAGGGTGACCATACGTCCTCTTTTACTTGGACATGTCCTCTTTTTTTGGGGGCCTGTGTCTGGGGAAGTTTATAAAATCCTTCAAATGTCTGCGGGTTTTGTATGGAAGTTTGGAGTTTGTGTCACGTGGACTTACTGAGTGAGAAGCGCGTAAAAAACTCTTGACCCGAAAAACTATCAAAATGAACTTAGTGCGACTCTGTGACTCTGCCCCCATGTAGTTGTGTTCTCTTTTTGGGAAGTCAGAATATGGTCACAGACTACTTTAACAGAGGTAAAACTCCAGTAGATTTCAGGTTTAACTTCCTTTTTTGCATTGTTTGACTTTGTTTTCTAATGAGGAAGTTATTCATTTTTAAAAAACAGTCCCAGAAAATGGAAGCAAAAAAATTTAAAAGAAAAAGCCGAAATTTTTATTCAACCGTGGGCTTCACCTGATCATTTTGCAGTACTAAGATTCTTAAATTTGTCTCCTCTTCCTTTGTTCATCTGATCACAGAGCCCAGCGCCCCCCTCCCCGGGGAAACCCTCCATCCTTCAGCTCCAGTACCGCCTCCACAGTGAGAGAAAATTTCATCGCCTGAGGATCTGAATGACTCTCTGAATCCTGCCTGTATCATCTGAAATGAAGAAGTCATAAATTGAAGGAAAAGAACAAATTTTACATGTTCAGCTCTTTTCGTTTGTTTTCCAAAAAGACAATTTTATGTGAGAAAAAAGAAAAAAAAACAGCCTCTATGTGGAACCACTTTGACTATCTGTTAAAAACAAAGAAGTCCTTGTCAAATTGGATCTGACTGCGAAGAAAACTTCAAACAGAAGCCATTCATCCTGCGTGGTCAATTGGACAGTAACATCCCACTGATTTGAAGCCTAACAACACCAGAGACTTGGTGAGCTCAGAGGGTCTTAGAAACATTCTGGCATCTATGGAGAAGAAGAGAAAAAAGACTCATCTCTTTTTTTTCAGTGTTTTGGAAATCGATGCATTTTATTTCCTGGAATGGTTTGTGACAGCTCGTGAAACCTTTTGCTTTTGAATCTCCCTCCCCTTTGTACTGAAGGTACTAATGAAATTATGTCAGAAAAAAATGCACTTTTAACCTTGGTCTCATTGAAAGACTTGAAATCCATGAAATCAAACTCTAGCACTTATATTGTCTCTGACCTTGTCTTAAATACTGAAGGTTTTGGAAACTTGATCGGGAATATTACTTTTTCCTAATTATTGTACGACATGGATGAACGGTCACTCCACAGGGTCAGGCCAGAAGGTCGCATGCCTAAGACTCACTTTTTTCTCCAGAGAAGTGTGTAATGAAGGAATATCAGAAGCCAGTTTGAAGGAGGAAAATTAGCTGGTTAAATGACAAGTTGTACTGTAAACTAGGAGTATCGAGCCTTTTGGTGCACTTAAATGACAACATTTGAAGTACTGACAGCATGAGACCATCAGCCTGAAAAGATTTCTCTCTAAAAGTATTTCCCAAATGTCCCCCAATTCAACAGCACTTATAGAAGAACATGAGGAGCTTCATGTTTTTGCAGATCTGGATGAATTCAAAACATCTAGGTTGTACTTTTTTGAAGAATGTAGTTTTGTTCAAAAGGAGCGAATGGAAAAAAAAAAAAAGGTCTGACAAAATTATTCTACCAGCGACTATAAACATTGTTTTTTTTTTATTTTTATTATTATTATTTGTTATCTGTGTTTATTGCTAAACCAAAATGTTTTTATAACTATGTTTATCTCACAATCATTCAGTGAGTTTTACTAAGGTTACTTGGGAAATGAAGAGGATTTGTTTTGAAGCAGCTTGTTTTTACTCAGTGCATTTCAAGTTACACATTGAAGAAATGTCACAGCTGTCAAAAAAACAAGGGAGCTCGCACCTTAAACAGCTGACAACAGATGAATAGTGTTCTTAATATTGGCAACAGCATCCTCACTTTTTATCCTATCGATTTTTGTACTTTTTACTGTCTGTTTTTCATCCTCTTTATTTGATATGTCAACATTGTAACTGTGTATTATTACCTTTGTAGCCTATATTTATCCTCTCCTCTGTTGTGAATGATGCGGGCAAGTCTGCTAGATCTGCCTGAGATGTGACTGTGTGCATGTTTGAATGTTTGTGGACGCATGCCATTCGGATCTGTAAACATCATTACCGTTCAGTTTTATTTTCAGTGCCATTTGCTGTTTTTTGCAAAGTCTGAATAATTAAAAAAAAAAGAAAACCTGCTCTGTTCTGCTCACGACACATCACGTCAGTGTCATGGAATATAATCCAGCCAGATGATGAAACTTTAACGTCTGTCAAGCCAGTATTGCAGAGCTCACCACGGCTGTGAGAAGAAATGGACTTCTTTTATCTGTGTTATTACTACATAGTGTGGATTTTGTGGTATGAAATAAGTGTGCGTTCAGTTTCTGTATGTTTTTCACTATGCTGGAGGTAGCAGCAGTTACATTGACTATTATACAGTAGAAGTCAATCTTTCCTCAGTAAATCATCACATTAGTGCTGACAGATACTCTGGCAGTTTGTATTGATAAATGGTGAGACAAAGAGGTTCAGGTTTTAAATACATCATGTTCTGGAAAAAAATAAAGATTTGAAGAGGAGTCACCGTGGGATTTGTTTTTTCTTACTCAAGTTTTACAGACTGGTAACTCCTAACACTCAGATAAACATGTTTGTGTTTATTTTTTAAACCTATTTTATCAGGATACAGCAGAACAGGGAACAACAGAGTTATCGCACTACTTTCACAACAGTTCAAGACTTTATTTTGTTGGCACTGAACATGCTTTAAATACCTGAATGTTACTGTGTGATTTTTGTTTCCAACAAGAAATGCATTTTAACAGTCAGATGTATAACCTGTTGGGAACCTTTGCTGTTGATCATGTGACAAAAAAAGGCTGTATCAATAGTGTTCAGTGAATAACTCGTCTGATGACTACCCCCTGTCGGTTTCAGACATTAAAATAACTGTTCAGAAAAGTCACTCTTCTTGTTTGTCTTTTTTGCTTTTGTAGACCACAAAAGGCATCAATATTAACATAGTCTGTTTTATCGCCTGTTAATGTTTCGTCACAGAAGCTTAAAACATTACACATTAAAGGGATATTCCAGTGTAAAATTAATTAAGGGTCAAACACACCGTAACACCGAGTTAGACACCCCCTCTAGAGATGAATGTTGCCGACCGCTTGCTTCTCTAGTTATACCAACTTTAGTAACGACTGCATGATAGCAATACACAGCGGTCTGAGGAGCCATAAACAAACCTCAACCAAAACGCCACTCTATAGCCACAAATAGTAATCAGAACAGCACCTAACTTCATCAACAGTACATATAGGGTCCCAGCCATAGTACTAGCTACCAAACATCTTTTTAACTTTGACTAATTTCTTTAACAAAGAGACTAAACACAACTCACCTACTCTCTTCCAGAGGCCGCTTGTTTGTAGCGAGACCTCGGGCCAGTCCATTATAGACTACAGCGAGGTGACGCGGCTCAAGGAAGAACATTTATGATCATTTCTTCATGGAAATACAATCAGACCGAGATGCTAAGACAGAAGAACTAACGCGTCTGCAGTGCTAAATGATCAATATGATGATTATTACTTCAAGGAAATGATAAAGAAATGATCATAAATGTTCTTCCTTGAGCTGCGTCACCCTGCTGTAGTCTGTAATGGACTGGCCCGAGGTCTCACTGCTGCTGGAAGAGAGTGAGTTGTGTTTAGTCTCTTTAGCCTGCCCTGTTTTTATTTTTTTAAACTAGAAACTGTTCTCTTACCTATTTTTAAAAACATCAGATTTACAGGACCATGTCTAAGTCTTCTCATACTGTCAGATCAAGGCACGATATCAACACCCCTGTAATGTCTCACCTTCATCATTAATGTTTTAGAGGCATCATGGTATGTCCCTCTGAGGTAGCAGCAGCGGCATGACAAAGGCGTGATGGGATCAGTGAGCTGTTTTTCAGGGTGTGTATGTGAAGCTCCTGCTGTGTTTACCTCTTCAAGCACACACTGGGACACCACCCTAGAATAAATGTGGAAGTTCATAGGCGTGATAGTGCTGGGTGGAGGGCTGTAGCAGACTAGTGACACAAATACGATTTGAGAGCGCGCTTTACAGAACCAAGCAAGGGCTCTTCTGTTGCCTACGCACAACAAAATGTCACTATTCTTCCTTTATTATATGATTATGAGTCTGAGAAATAAAAAAAGATTTCAGAAGAAGACTCAGCCTGTAGACACACTGGAAACACGGACTTTTATTCAACACTGAATGTAACATTTCACATTATCATATCCACCCAAATAATAAGAGAAAACTGACAACAGCAAGACTGACTGAAAGAAATGGGATGAGAAATCATGAGACCAGGTTACAAATGTGCCTGTGAGATTTAACGGAGTTTGGGGAATGAGATGAACGGGCTCGTACACAGAAGACAAACAGAAAAGGCACTTCAAAAAATGTAATAAACAGCTGTAAAAAAAAAAAAAAAGAAAAGGACAATACAAAACAAACAGACTTGTTGGAGGTAGGAAAACTGGATGGAGGGAAAACACAAGACCAACAACAACAAACAACAAAAAAAAAACATTTAGGAATAGGATTAAAGCTGGAAGTGTGTGAATCTGAAACCCTCAACCGCTCATCACCATCCGGACAAGTTCTGCCAAGAGAAAAACACAAGAACGCGTCAAGTGTGAATACAAGCTTCTTACTAAGCAACTATAGCACCATAGACAAACCTCAACTCGTAAATGGTTAAAATATATCAACACTGATATCTGGACGGATGACTCACAGAGGAAAAGAAAGAGGGAAAGAACAAAAGAAACTCAAGACATTACAGCTTCTGGTTAGAAAAGCAGAAAACATGACACAGATTTTTCCCTGAAATCTTGAATAACTATTTTATTTCTCATTCTGAAAGGCTTTTTTTGCCGTAAATCAGGGCAGATGCCAAGAAACTTGCAAGTTTTTAGGAGTCTGTGTCCTATAACTGCTTGGCTTCATGAAACAAACTGTGATTTAAGATGAATGTAATGCCTCTGCAGAGTTTCTGTTCTGTTTCTCCATCTGAATCCAATCACAAGTCACTGAGCATTTGGCACGAGGAAAATGTGACTCTTGTTGTTAAGATCATCCAGATATTTTCATTGGGCGCATTTCATGGAGGCAGAACTGCACAGTCTGCTTTTGTTCAGATTGGAGGCAGCCTGCCCACATTGCAGCTTTACCTTCATAGTTAATGCAGCCGTTGGCATCTTCATGTCCTGCTAGGAGAGTCTCCACCTCCTCTTCTGTCATTTTTTCACCTTCAGCAGACAAAAAATTAAATTGAGATGTATAGAAAAAAGTGCTTTTGCTTATTCTTTTTTTTGATGCATAAAAATGTTTAAGGGGTTTGTTGAGGAACAAGCCAGACATGAGTCTAGTGTACCCCTAAGGCAAGGATGAATAACAAACTGTGCTAAGCAGGTTTTCTTAGTCATACCTAGTGTCGTGAGCACATGACGTAGCTCTGCTCCCATAACAGTACCGTTGCCCTCCTTGTCAAAGACACGCAGACCCTCGACTATGTCCTCAAAGGAGCCCTGGTCCTTGTTCTTAGCGATGGCCTGAAGCATGGGCAGGAACTGTTCAAAGTCCAGCATCTTGTGGTTCATCTCTATAGAAGAAAAATGTAAAAATGTGAAAGATGTTGATTTTAGTCCGAGCTGATAAAACAGGTTCAGACAGGTTTGTGTGGAGGTTTTGTAGCTTTCACACAATAAAAGAGAACATCTCCCACCTTTGGCAAAAATTAAGATAAAAAAATGCAGAGAGCTGTCTGAATTTCATGTTTGGTTCAAAGGTAGTTTTGCTAAATTTCAATCCTCAAAGACAACATTATGGGTATTTATTTCTATTGTACTAGAAGTTAAGAATAGTACAATTACTAAACAGTGAGTACTTATGTGAAGAATAGACTTTTAAGGGTCATCTTTACTCACATAAGGTTACAGTAAGGGATTTTATTATACACACACACAAAAAACTCAGCTGTGAGCCAAAACTATAACATTTAAGTAGATTTTATTTACTGGTTAAATCGTTTCAGTTGTTGGTAATGTTTTGAGTATGATAATAACCTTCTAACTTGGGGTTTCCCAGGACCTTGAGCACCTCAGCATTGATAGGATTCTGACCGAGGGCCCGCATGACGTCACCACACTGACTGTAGGTGATCTTCCCCTCACCCGTCCGGTCGAACAAGAGAAAAGCCTCCTTGAATTCTAATATGGAGACAGAGAGGCAAAGCTCAAATTCAGCTGTAAACACACACAAAAACAAATGTACAAAATGCAAAATTTCCTGGAGCAGAACAGCTAGTGTCACTGTATTAGCTGTTTCACTTGACCAAGAAAAATATATATAAATCTGAGGCAGGAGCAGATTCAGACAGTTTCATTGGATAGCAACAAATCAATTATAACAAAAAACTCAGTTAAGAAGTGAAATTTAGAAACATGAGTGATCACACATTGACAGAGAACTGATTTAATCCACACAAACCTGGACACTAGCCTAGTCTTAAAATATTTAGTAGCAGCTTCTACAATCAAAGTGATCATTTTCTTGCCATGGTACAACTTTGTTTACTTAAAAGGCAAATTGTTAAACATACTTTAAAGGAAACACTGATTTTGACTATATTTATCAAACTCCTACTCCCCTAGAGCAACTCTGCTGAGTACCAGAATAAAGAGTGGATGTGGACGATAATTGTATCTAAAACACAAAGCAGGTTATTCCAAGTCCAACAACACAGCAGTTCAATGAACTTTTAGAGTAGATTTTAAAGTTCTTTTATTAGTTTTTAAAGCTCTTCATGGCCTCGGTCCTTCCTATTTGTCTGATTTGTTTTTACCGTATGAGCCTGGTAGAGCCCTCAGGTCTTCAGGTGGTGGTCTTTTAATTGTTCCCAAAGTAAAAACTAAAACATATGGTGAATCATTGTTCCTGCATTATGGTCCTCGTCTGATTAATACTCCATACCGATTAATGTGCCAATTTTAAATTTTTTTTAATTAAGTTGTAATATATGTGTGTATATATATATATATTACTATGTACTGTAGATAAACTGTAGGCTACTGCTCTTCACGCTGACAGGAAGACCAACTGATGAAACTCGGACCAGAAAAGCGTTTTCAACTCTGCTGTGCTGTGAGGTAGTTAGTGGATGAAGATTGTCATGAGGTCGCTGCGCCATCTACTGGATAAGTTGGGGAACTTTTCAAATGGCGGAACATTTTTTGAAGTGAAACCGAATCTTATTCTCCGCATTTTGTTTCTGAAAATATTGGTGAAAAAACGGCGAGTTTTGGCCGATTAGTCTCAAACAGGCTAAAACTGGCCAATTTAATCTGTTCGCCGATAAATCAGTCGGGCCCTAATCTGCATTATGTGATTTTACGCTATTTTAGTCCTAGAGTAACTATTTTGTGTTTTATTACCTCTTTTTTTACTTTACTTTCTTTTATTGTTTGATTTTAAGACTGTTTTGTTTAATTTTCTTTTAACGCTTTATCACCTTTATTATATTCGATTATGGTTTTATCGTTTTAGTCCTAGATCCAGTGTTTCCTCAGTCATCTGTGGCAAGTTGAAGAGTCCTTACCTGGTCTTTTGAGTGTACATCTGTGTGTGTGAGCGTGTGAGTGCTGTATGTGTTGAATGGGGGTTGGGAGGGTGGGTGGGGTTTGGGATTTGTATTTTTATTTATTTTACTTCATTGTTTTTTAATATCCTGCACGAATAGACAGCACTTTATGCTACATTCTGTATATGAAAAGTGCTTTAAAAATAAAGTTTGATTGACTGATAGTAGCCTGTGTGCTACACTGGTGTGTGTGCCTGAGACTACATTTTAGAGGACCCTGAAACAGAGGTTGAAGTATCCCCTTGCCACACCCTGATCCCTCACTGCTGTGCAAAACACAAGCTGTCAGTGTTGCAAACATGCAGGGAATGTTAATTGCATATTAGGTCACTCACTTGCAGTTACACTAACATGCAAAACATTGATTTTATTAGCAGCTAGTACTACAAAGCAGTGAAAGAACAAAACACTTCACTTCACATGGTTAGAAAAATGCTTTTAAAATCATTTTTATCTCAAATTGTCATCACAGTGTGGAGTTACCTAAAAGGATCCTGCAGCTTTTGGAGACTCAAGCTGAGCTACGAGTCACAGTAACGAATTCAAAGAAATGATTTAGAAAATATATCTCTTTGTATACCTATATATAAAACCTGAAATGTCCCTTTTGCTGCTGAGGTGTAAACTCACCCAGGATCTGGTCCTCTGTGAAGTCAGACTGGTAGAGGCAGGCCGGGTTAAAAAGCACAGGGAAATAACAGTCTGGTTAGAGATGCAGCTGACGAACAACAGGCTGACATTAGTGTGATTAATCTGCGTTAAAGCTGTTGGGGAAAAAAAGGATGGTGGCTAAAGGTTTTAACGCTGAAGCTAGCTGCTGCAGTCAGACTGAGTAAAGCAGGCCTGGGGGATAACGCAGCTAGCTTAACGTTAACTAGGTTAGATGATTTTAAAGCCTTTAAAAACAAGCAAAGGGGGAGCACAACAAGCTGTTTCAGTTTCTTCATTCAGTTCTATCAAAAGCTGCTTTTCAGAAGAATTTAACAATATTCCTCATTACTTACCATGTCCGCGGTTGTTTTTGTCGGATGGCAGACAGTGAGGGTTTCTCCGCTCAGCTACGAGGAGGATGACACTAACGGCGAGCCCCGGCTGCATTACATCACTGATGACGCCTACTCAATGGGTCAGAGCAACCAATCAGATGGCTTCACTGCACAGATGCTTAGCTGGCATGTTGGGGGTGGGGGGCTGTCTGCAGCTTCAGGGCACCCTCGAAATACCTTTAACTCCAGTTTAACTGAATGCATAATTACGGTGGCCGAGAACCGCCACTGCTGCTGCTGCTGCTGCAAAATAAAAAAAGCAAAAAAAAAAAAAAAAAAAAAGCAACAACAGAAGTTCTGATGCAAAAAAGCAAAACAAAACTGAAGCCCACTGCAAATAAAAAAAGAAACGGTGCATATAAAAAAAAGCCACAATGGACGTTAACGACTCAAAAGAAAAGTGGTATTGCCAAAAAAAAAAAAAGAAAAAAAAAAAGAAAATGTTACTTAAAGTCCTTTCACACCTGGACCGCTTTTTTCGTGCGAATATTGCGAACGTCAATATTTTTTTCGAACCCGTATCCTGCCAATACAAGCGTTCACATCAGCAATGTTTTCCCATCCTGCGATATTGCGGCATTTATTTTTCGGATCATGGTCAATTTTTCAAAAGTTTCCCATGCTGTGTGTCCACTTCTGACCAATCAAATTGCGTGTTGTTGCGTCGTCTGATTCACCCGTGTATCCAACATGGCCGACAGGCTGATTGTTTACGTGTTGGAGAACAGAGTGCTTTTTGAAGAAAAAACACAAACATTACAAAGATAACGACCTGAAGGACAACTTGTGAAGAGTCATAGAGTCGGATCTCTCATATAACGATGGTTTGTGTGCTTTAACAGTTCGCTAAATGTCTTTGTTTTAACTTTCATCTGTGCTAAGTAACTTTAGCTAGTAAACTAACCTGTTCAGATACAACATACCATATGTATTTTCACCGTCTCAAACTTATTCACCCTTAGCACCATTAGGTCTCAGTTGTTACCGTACGTTTATGGATTATAGTTTAGTGTGCTTATCTGGTACTGGCCCCGACTCAGTACATGCTATCGTGACAGACATCCATCTCAAAACTAGTGTCTAATCAGAACTGAAAAACAGTCAGTCTGCTGTTGTGTCAGTCTTCTTGCCTTCACCCGGGACACATCTTTTTCCCCCCGGAAAGTTGAAAAATCACATCGGGCTTGATGTCTATAGTCAGGCGTCAAAATTCACCTCTGAATATTTCCTAATCTCGCGTTCTATATTTGTGTCGGCCCCGGTGTGTTAGGACCTTTAGGCTACATTCACACTGCAGGTTATGATGCACACTTTGGATTTTTTGTTAAATCCAATCTTTTCGTGCGGTCCTTCGCTTTACAACAATGAATGCGGCATCTAATGTGAACAGAATGCGTCCGTGAAGTGACCTGCCTGCGCACAAAGCACAAATTGCTTTTAGCGCCTGTTTGTGTTGTCACGATTTATATCCACATACAAAAGAAGCCTGGGTCGGATTTGAAAAAATCACTTACATGAAAAAATCAGATATGTGTCACATATGGTTAAAAAATCGGACTTGACCTGCTGTGTGAACATAGCCTTACTGCGAAAATAAAAGGATGCAAATTGAAAATGCCACAACGGAAGTTCACGACGCCAAAAAAAAAAAAGTGGGGATACAAAAAAAAATAAATTTACTTACTGCAAAAATAAAAGGATGCAAAAAAAGGCTACAATGGAAGTGAGCTCCGGGGACCAATAATGATGATGCAGCAGTGTTTTACGATCTAGGCACAGAAGACAACGGTGAGAAGACGAGCAAAGAAGTAAGTGGAAAGGTTATTGTTTAAGTTTGCTCTATGTACTTTTCAATGTGTGATTTGGTTCGGCCATGTTGCGCCTGAGTCGATATGAAGTTGAACTGGAGGTTGCCTGTATAGTGTTAGCTTTGGCTAATGTGGGAAACCCGCTACAACCCGAAAGACCATCCACGAGAGGAGAATCGAGTTCGGTTGCTTTACTCATAGAAATAAGTACACAGACCGCTTGCTTTTTTGATTACTGGTCTCTGTCAGCTCACTTACATTGTGGCTTTTTTTATTTGCATCCTTTTATTTTCACAGTAACTTTTTTTCTTTTTTGGATCGTCATTTTTTTTGCGCTATTAACTTCTGTTGTGGCTTTAAAAAAAATCTGCACCATTTCTTTTTTTTTTTTAAATTTGCAGCGTGCTTCAGTTCCTTTTTTTTGCATTGGTAACTTCTGTGTTTTTTTAATGTTGATACAGAAAATACATACCAACGGTGTTTTCCTGAAGGATCCACAAACAGGTGTGTTTGTGGAAAGAACACAAAAAGTGTTAAAACTGATCATAAGCATTATATTCAAATAAAAATTATCTTGCAGTGCATGTAATCCTGATTGACATATCATAAACTTTAAAACTGAAAAACAAACAAATAAAAAGTTCATTTTATTCTCTTAAATTTGATGCTGGCAGGCACCTCTGCTGTCTTTACTGCTCTGTTCTTCACTCCTCTCTTCTAAACTCCTTTTCATCTGTTGTGTTCAGAAATCTTTTTGCTTCACTGTCCACTCCTTTCCTTTCCAGCATTAGTTTGATATCTTCAGTCTGACTCTGCTCTAAACTCAGTTTCATCTCTTGTGTTGAATTGTCATTTTTGCTTCATTGCCAGTCAGTGACTCGTGGTTATATTTGATCAATTTTACCTTCACTTTAGATTTTTATCATGTAGCGTTAATGTTGTTGTTATTCACTTTCATTGTGTATGCTAACTGTTATTACAAACAACTGACGTACTGAAACCATCTAGCAAAAACTTTATCAGTCTGTAACTTGTCACACACTGAGTATTAAACTAACTATGAACAAACTATTTTGGAAATAGCAACATATCCACACATAATGGTTGGAACACTAACAAAAAGACATCTGCAGGGTTAATCTTGGGGTGCTGACTAACTTACACAAATAGAGGATGGAAATAAAATAAATGAATGAGATTATTTTTTTCAAAAAGAAAACATTTTATTGTTAGATTCATAATTTCATTTGGTACCTGTGCAGGTGTGTCTATATATTCAGCTTTAAACTCATACTGCCACATTTTGACTGTTTAGGAATATGTTAGTGGTTGCACTTTGTCTCAATATGACATGGAAATTCATGATAAATCCCTCTGAATTCATTATTTTGCATCTTCAGTTATCTCGCCACGCTGAAACCGGACAAAGTCCAACACTCGAGCCTGTTGTCCCCTGAGGAACTCTGCCACTGTCCTGCTTGGGTCTCCTAAGAAGGTTTGAGGCAGCAAACGGGTTTCACTTTCTCCACAGGGCAGGTCGTCCATGTTTCCCAAGGTCAAAGGAGCTTCACCTACTATGTGCTGCCCAAGTTTACGACCAAGAGTATGCTGCTCTCCATCCTTTCCTCCCTGAAATACAACCAGAGCGCCATAACGACCCATGGCCACATCAGTCTGCCCACTTACACCGCCATGAACGTATGAGCTAACATTCCACTCAGCAGGGACACTCAGGGTTACCGCCCGCTTTACTGACATGTTCTCACCAAGACGACCTGAGAATAAAGAAGGGCACATGTTTTATTACTAAATGGTAAAAAGTAATTATATAACATGCTTCATTTTAAAGGAAGAGTGGAATTAATTTTGGTGTTATGGTTTTTCATTTTAGCACTCTATTCACACTGTTCTTAAGTCAGGTCTTCAGCGACTTACTGCGTCAGCACGCAGTAAATCACACGTTTATATGTAAGAAGCTTGCGTGAGTGTCAACGCACAATATTAACATGATATGCAGTTAAAAAGACTCTCAGTTTTGCACTATAACACATTCATAAATGAAATATAGATATCTGGGAAAAAGAAACAAAGAAAGAAAATGTAGTTATGAGATAATGGTTCAAAGCCTTTAACAATAATGCTGAAACATGCACAAGCATGTCTGCACTTGTCAAATTGGCAGTGTTTTTTCTTTTCCAGAACTACAGGTTCGTGCTGTGATATGTCTTGAAAAAAAAAATTTAAAACAACATCAAAGTAAATTCAGACACATCTCACAGGTTGTGGAAAACTTCATAAAATTAGCACATGGAAGGTGTCAGGTAAACAGCAGTCTTTTAAAAAAAAAAAGTTATGACCCTTCAGGGAAAAACTGACCTATTGTTAGAGCCACGCAGTCAGCAAGTGAAGCTCCATCATCCGTGCTGAGTTTGCAAACCTCATCACCTGACAGGATGCTCTGAAATAAAGCAAAACAAATTTAATAGAACTGACCATACACATTCTTTCAGTCAAGTTTAATTCAGTTCCCATTTGCACTTTACAAATGCCAAAAATGAATTGCAGTTTTGAAACCTGCTTGCAAAAATGGTTTTATGTTGTTGCTGTTCAATAATATAAAGAAAAATTGGAGGGTTAACTAGAAAATTCCCTCTGGGAAATTTTGAAATGGCCACAGGGGTTACTGCTGGGGTATGTTCATTATGATGAGATTCTTCTGAGATTTCAATAATTAATACTAGTGGTATTGTGAAATCATAAACAAGCAGCACACCTACACCAAACATTCCTTTTTTTAATATTAATTTAGACGACAAAAGCAGTAGATGTTTCAAAAACTTCTTTTTGGCTTCTCCCATTGACTCCAGCGGAAAAATTTTCAGCAGATTTTAAAGTCAAATTCAATATAGAAAAGTAATAGCACACTGATCCTGATCAAACCACATGTTTTGATATATAACCTGTCCGACAACTCTTCAGGCAGTAGGACTAGTAGCAGATCAAATTTTTCTGGAGGAGGAAGAGTCCCACAGTATAACAATAGTGCCTTAAGGCTTCACCTGAGGCGTTATTGTATAGATGCATTTGCCCCGTCGCCCTAATTACTGTACAGTCTCTGTCAACCAAGTTGATTTTCTCTATAAAGATAAACATTTTTACAAACACCTGAACTTCAAAGTTTATTTAGCCCTTAAGAGAGTGAAAATAAAGATTGTGTTCATGATTCCTCCACCAAAGAGATGCTTTACGTTGAAATGAAAGCTAAGATGCTGAGTGATTAGGATCTCATGTTGAAGCTTTATTTACCTGAAACTGAAATTCCCCTACAATGTACATTCTATGAGTGCAGTAGTGTTAATTATATATTAATCTATTTCAAAGCAGGTACTTGAATTTTATAAAATGTAATAAATGTCATAAAAAGAAAAGTCCAGGTGTTGTTTTACAGTTATTGACAAAAAATGATGCCAAAAAATGAGATAAATTCTTCTGAATTTCAAACACACTTTGCAGGAAACACAGAAAAAAAGCTCCTGCCTTCACTGTGTGGCCTTACCTTCACATATCCTGCTTTACTTCGGTTTTTGTTCTGGTGATGAGCCAAGGTGGTAAATGTGACATCCTTCACCAGTTGTTGAAACTTCTCATTACGGGCAACAAAGTCTGTCTCACAGTTAACCTGCATCAAACAGAGAAAGACAACACATCCTGACACACACTGAACATGTCTGACAAACTTCTTTAACCAAGTGAAACAATGATCGTAGTCACTGATCCCTGTCCCTCTGGCCTCACCTCCACCATCACAGCGGCTTTATCTCCGATGTAGAGTCCGATCAGACCCTCTTTGGCTTTACGCCCCTCTAGTTTGTTTGCCTTGTTCCAGCCTTCTTTCTGGGCCTGCTCATGAAGCCATGCCTCTGCCTGGAAGTAAAAAAATAATCATTAGTGGTACAGAAACACAGTTTGTGGGTGTAGTAGTCAAACACATAGTTCAGAAAGAGCTCACCTGTTTCATGTCATTATCAAACTTTTCCAGAGCTTTTTTGCAGTTTGTGAAGGTGTAGCCGGTGGATTTTCTGAGTGTCATCAAGAGAGCTTTCTCAGCTGCCAGGAGATGACAACCTGTGTGTAAGGACTGAACATGCTGGCAGAAACTGACCTGAGGAGGACGAGATGAGAGACAAGATGTTACAAACACTGTGGGCAGTAACTCTGGACTGGATATACTCTGGCTCTGGCTTATTACTCATTAGAAGTACCACGACGTCAGCTAAATCTTAAATTAAGGGTTTATATATTCAGATAAGCAGGAAAACTCGCTGAAATAACACAACTAACTAAAAGTTTAATGGGCTTACCTTCGCAACATCTCTAGTAATTGTCCGGAATAAAAAGGTTAACGACATTTTTAAAACGCGAACACCTGAACTGTCTTACCAAAGCATGAATGTCATTGAAACACACGCTGAGTAAGGAAGCCGTTTCAGGCCAAAAAATCAGAGTGATTTATTGCTGCTCAGCGCCATCTACTGTACGGGAGTAACTACAGCTGCGTTTTTGAACACCAAATCTCTGACTTTAAAATGGAAGCAAGACTGTAATACAGTTTATTTTCAGTCGCTAAAACCTACTTTTAACTGGTTTGTCCAACCAGTTGTCACATTTTCAAAACTGTAAACACAGTTATGCAAGACGTCTAAACAAACTGGTGAAAAAGGCTGGCTCTGTGGTAGGACTCAAGCTGGTCTCAGTGGAGGATGTGGTGGAGAGATCTACACTGAGGAAGGTGGAGACTATTCTCAAGAACATGGATAACCCACTTCACAACACCTTAATGGACCAAAGGACAAATGGTGGTGGACAGCTCATCTCTCTTCGCTGCAGGACAGAAAGATTCAGGAGATCTTTTGTACCAACAGCCATCAGACTTTATAACTCTTGTGTAAATAATAGATAACTTTTAAAAGACATATTATGTGAGACAACAGACAATTTAATTTCCCTTCGGTGATTAATTAAGTTCTTCTTATCTTACCTTATCTTATCTTATCTTATTAGAACAGCATCGGTCTTTTGTGGCCATACCATTCACACATTTCATGTTGTTTTCACATCATATGCAGTCAGTGAACATATTTCCACAATGCTTACATTTTCTTAACAGACAAGCTATACCTCCCAACAGAATTATGGATTGTTTTTGTGTTATTTACGAATGTTAACACACAACATCTCACAATCAATCAATCAATCAATCAATCAATCAATCAATCAATCAATCAATCAATCAATCAATCAATCAATCAACTTTATTTCTATAGTACATTTAAAAGAACCACAAGGGTAGCCAAAGTGCTGTACAGTGACACATAAAAACAAATAAAACAATCAAAGAACAAGATAAAGCAAGCAGAAATACAGTAATGCAAAAGAATAAATAAGTGTATAAATAACAAATAAATAAATAACAATAGCAAAAACAATATTCCAAACCGTATAATACATATAAAAACCTCAGCTTCTGCAATGATATCAGTTCAAAAACAATATATCTCAGCTGATGATAAACAAATAATTGAATAACGAATAATTGACATACTGCTGATTTATGTTGGGTATATTGGTGTCAACCACAGCTGACTCCAGTCTGGCTTAGACTCAGTGGCAGGGGTTAAAAGGAGTACTTTGAGAAGTGATGTTTTTAGAAACAGAAAAAGACAAACACTGTAATGTTTGGACGAGGAAGAGTAAGGGCAAGGGGCCCAGGGAGAAGAGCAGGCCCAGGGTGAGATGCAATGAGAGGAGCAGGTGCAGGATATTTTATTCACTGTAAGCAATACTGTAAAAATGTTCCTGTTCTATCATACTGTAAACAGTATTTCTATTGTACCTCCTGTAGTAAACAGTAAAAAAAAAATAAAAATATCGCTTTTTACTGGAATGCTTTTGAATGTGAACATTACATGTAGACATACAGTTCCCAACCAAGAAATTTAGTATAAAAACACTGAATTGCATGTTTTGCATGCAAATACCTGTAAAACTGAAACATAAAGGTCTATGCAGTTTTTGTACTGTCAGCAAAAGTCAGTATTTTGAAACCTGGTGTACTTTGATTGACTGCATGTACCTTGTGAAGTGAAAACAAGTTATTCTTTGACAGAATACTTTCATTTTGAGTCAGATTTACAGTGTTACAGTCTACAATCATAAACTTCATGTTTGAGGATACCAACAAAGAGAGAGTGCTCTTTTCATTTTGATGACTGAGGACTCACTGGAAACCTGTGAAAGAACCTCTGTCACAATACAAGATAAGTACAAGCTGAAAGGAAAACCAGAGCTGTTCTGTTCTCCTTTTCAAGATTTTTGTAATTGTATTTTTTTAAATTCATATTAATCATATTTATAACAATCTGATGACAAATGTTTTTATTGCATTGTGACAATAATATTTTTAATGCTTTTTGGTACTGGATGCTGTTTGTTTTGGTCATTCTGAATGTAAAAGTCCAACAAGAGACAAGAATTGAATGTGCTTTACACCAGTTTTATGCTCTGTACTGGAACTACAGGATGTTAAATTGATCTTACCTATTACAAAAAAATAAAAAAATAAAAAAATAAACTCACAAGGTCAGAGTTGAGGCCAGTTCAAAGTTACCTGGGATATTACTCCTGGTCTGTGATGCATAATATTAGTCGGCCAGCCCCAGATGTTTTCAGGGTCAGAGGGTGTTCACATAACTAGAATAATATCAGAGGTGTGTATTGGAGCTGAGCCACAGAGAGACAGCAAAAGGATTACATAAAAACAGGAATAAATTACCATTGCTATGAGAATAGATATCAATGCTGAAAAAACACAAAAATGATGTCCTGCTTTCCCCCATTTTTTACCCATTACTGGAAATTCAATACTGCTGATTCGTTTCATTGTTAAGTTCTTTTGGTTTTTAAAAAATGGTAATTAACTTTTCCCTGTTTACTCGGGTCTGTTTGAAAGCCTCGGAGGACGCATTTTGTTTGTATAACTTCCAAAAAAGTCAACATGTGTCTTTGCTGCATGGTATTTGGAGAGGGAGCATGTGAGCGTGACATGCAGCAGGTGAGCCATTTTGTTATCTTGTGTAGACCCTGTGAAATACAGCAGCTGGTCACATTGGCAACAAAAAGGGACAGCTCTTTAGTGTTAATGTGTTTTATAAACAGTTTATGTAGAACTGGACAGTGTGTCGTTGTAATGCCTTTTGTCTAAAAAAAGAGCACAACATCCAAAAGATAGTTATTATCACGTTTCGTGTTTTTATTCTGATACATTAAAGCAGTGCTCAAGGGTCAAACAGGTGTCTGTTTTCACTGAGACAGAGATGTTTCTAGCATTTGAAAGCACCATGTGTTTCCCCTTTTTCAATGAGGCCTTGTTCTTCACTTTGTCAGACATAAACCTGTAACATATGTTTATCCAAACAGTGTAAAAAAGCCTACAGTCACATGGGGATAAACTTTGTGTCAGAGACATGATACAGGGAAAGAAGTTGACCTCTTAATTTGTGGGCTGGGCGAAAATGTAGTGCAGTGTTTGGTTTGGACAGGTCAGGCTTACTATAAAAAGGAGACAGTGATAACAGCTGGAGCACCTTGTCTTTTTTAGGTTGCAGCTGAGCCATGATGAAGGTTATTGCTGCCGTTGTGCTGCTGTTGGCCCTGTCTCACCAGGGATATAGCAGTAGGAATTATTTTCTAATGACTGTAACCTTTTATAACCGGTATATCTTGAACCAGTTAAAACTATGATTCCTTGTTTTTTTCTGTCTGCAGACAGCCTGGATTCATGTGAGGGTCGCTGTGGTTATGGAACAGACAGTGATTTTACGTGTCAGTGTAACCCATCCTGTGAGCGCTACGGAGACTGCTGCTCTGACTACACTGAGATCTGCAAAGGTGAGTGACAGAAACAGATGTTTATTATTTTTAGCATTACTTTAACATTGTAGAATCCCTTGTTTGTATCACTATGCACCTTACCTTTTTGTTCCAAGTGTGTTTTCATTCCTTCTAGGTGACTCCACATCTTGTAAGGGCAGATGTGATGAGAAATATGACCCTGACAACGAGTGCCACTGCAACTCCAAGTGCTCCCAGTACGATAACTGCTGCAGCGACTACACAGACCTCTGCGACGGTAGGTACTGCACGTGCTCCCTTTCACATGTCTGGATAACTGCAGTCAAAGCATATGATACTGCACTGACAATATTTATGATGATTATATGTGAGAGATTTTACTGCTTAAATTCCTCTATTTGACGGTCACTTACAATTTCATACAGCAAGTGCTTTTGTCACATGTCTTGTACATTTGAGAGAAAGTTCAAAACAAGCAAAGATCCATATTAATAAGTCTAAACCTGCAGTTTAATCAGACGCAGGTACTGGCATGCCATGTATTGTCCAAAGCATCGGTTTTATAGAAGCTGTTTTTTAAAACTTAAACTTAAATGGAAGCCTGAATCATATCATGAATTATTTTATGGCCCTTTGCAAGGAAGTGACTCCCAGATCAGAGACCCAGGAGTAAATTACACAACTGCTTTTTTTTTTTTTTTTTTTAAGTGAAAACAAATTTTTCAGCCCTTGGATGTAAAAGCTACGGCTGTAAAATGATTCTTGCACACTGATTCACAAGTGCTCCCTGTTCAGCCCAGTAAATCAAACACAGGGGGGATTTTATTTAAAATACTAAGAGCAAATATTTCAAAAGATACTGCTTTATTTTAGTTACATAGTTTAAATGTTGTGGTATTACTGTTTCAGGACCTTTGTAGATCTCCCCCTGTCGCTGAATTCGGGTCAAAGTTTCGTACAGTGGTTGACCAGCAGGTGTCAATGTTGAGCTTTGTAAACCACTGAAAACCACAAAGCTTATCCTCTCTGTTGAGTTTAAGTACTCAGATGTAATCTTTGACCCCACTTTCAAGGGTAAAAAAGGTAAAACTACAATATACAGGTTATCTAATAAAGAGTTTGAAAGCACATATGAGTTTATCTAAGTTATGGAGAATGGCATCTTTAAGAATGATTTCCTTTTTTATCTGTCAAAATGTTGGAGGTGGCTGAGTGGAAGTAAAATCTATATATTTGATCACATACTGCTGTTTATCCTTTACAATCTCTTTGTAAGTTACGTACAATATTAGTCTGGATAGAAACTGTAAGTGTGAAGAGTTCAAAAAGGCTCAAGGTATAAAACCTGTGATACCAGTAGGGGAGAGTGGGGTAAGTTGAGCCACCTCCTGTTGCTTGGTGATGGTAAAAGAAATTGATCATGTGACCAAATATTTAGGAGATGGGCATCGATTCATGGAGTCTGTGAAGGTTAGAAGCACATGGGTCCAAAAAAACTCTTGAAAGTGAATTCAGTCTGTCATAAGTTTTATTAGAATTGTGTTCAGATCAACTTACCTTGGTCAACTTACCCCATACACGGGGTAAGTTGACCATAGGAGACCACTTTTTTTTGGCATGCTATATTATCAAGACAGTTCTGTTTACACTCATTCTGTTGGTTTGCAGGGATGCACAACATCTTGAAATATATACAGATACACTAGTTAGAGACAAAACTATGATTGCCTTGATGTAGAGATCCGAAAAATGAAAAATGGCTCATCTTACCCCACTCTCCCCTATATACTCTTGACAGCTCAGCTTAGTGATGGAAGCACAGAAAGCAGAGAAAACTGTTAGAGATTATCAGTAACAGAACAAAGTCAGCATATGTGGTGTTTGCCATGGTCTACAGGGGATGGAGGAGGAGGTTCGATCACTGATGCTGAGATCGAGGCCCTCTCAGAGACGCTCTATGCCCTGGATTCAAACAAAGCTTCAGCCTCACAGCTGATCATTGACCCTCAGGCTCTGGTGCATGACTCCCAGACAAGCTCCCAGTCAGACCTCTCCTCCAGACGGTGAGGAGAAAACATAATTATAAAAACAGCTAACACTCACTTACTCAACTACTCTTACATGTCATTATTGATGTCTGTCTTTGTGCTTTCAGGTTGTTTAAATACCTGGATGAGAAGGCTCTGTTCTCCAGACCCACCTACTCTGCTCTGCTGGCTGTGCTGGACAACTACAACAGGATGACAGGACAGACTGAGAACTTCAGTCCTCAGCAGTTGAATGAGCAGGACGTCTTCCTGAGGGAGACCATGTCCAACACTGAGCTGGGCAGAGAGCTGTTCTCCTTCCTCTACACAAAGGGTAACTTTTTCATAGTTCAACATTATACTTATTCAAATTTGTTCACAGACGACACATAATGTGGTCTGATAATGCAAGTTAAGAGAAAATAGGGAACTGAATTTGCACATGAAGAAAATGATTGTATGAATTAAGATTTCAGGAGTATATACTGAATATGTAGCTGCCACTGCCACCGGGACAGACATAGCAATAACTTCCAATGAGCATAAAACAAACAAAAAGTACCACAGACAACTACCTGGAAATAGCCCTTCGTGCTCTAATGTTGAAGGCATAGTTCCAATGTGTATTTTCAGGTATCTACACATCAGAAGAAGACTTCATTCAGGACCTTAAGATGATGTGGTTTGGTCTTTACTCCCGAAACAACAACAAGTTTGACTCTAGTGGATTTGAGCATATCTTTGCAGGTACGAAAAGAGCAGATTTCTCATGAATGCCATGGATATTTTGTGATTTAGTTGTAAAAATTATGAAATTCACTCTGTGATAGGTGAGGTCAAGGGTGGAAAGGTGTCTGGTTTCCACAACTGGATCCAGTTTTACCTCCTGGAGAAGACAGGGAAACTGAACTATTACAGCCATAGCTTTAACGGACCTGTAAGTGTCAACAGACCATGCCTCGTCATCTATACTGCGACATGTGCAGCTCTCTGTTCATACACCCTTTTTCTATATTCCACCTGCTCTTAGTGGACCACCTATCCTGATGTTTTGGGGATGCAGTTCATGTGGGAAGGCTACTACAAGCAGGTTGGCTCTGCAGTGATTGGCTGCAGCCCTGAATTTGACTTTGCCTTGTACAGCCTCTGCTACATCACTCGCCCAGGGAAACGGTGAGTTCATCTCCTACTCTATAGTTATCGCGTCTCTTTTTTAGAGGTAGATATTACATTGTTGATCCTTCACAGGTGTCACCTGAGTCTGGGTGGGAAGGAGCTCATAATCCAAACTTACACCTGGGATAATTCTTCTTATGGTGATGGGAAGAAGTTCATCGGCTCTGCTTTTCCTGCATCACCGAGGAACTGAAGCTGCTATCTGCAAACTCTAAGAAACACACAAAGGATTAATGTAAATCATGACATAAACACTTTAAAAGTTAATGTTCCTTTGACAAGTCAGAGAAGCAAAGTTGAACTTTTTGTCCAAAGTGTTCGAATAAAACAGCTGAAATAATATAAAAAAAGAGAAAAAAAAATCCTCTCCGATGGCTTCTTTTCAGATGCTGCCCCTTTTGTCACAAGCAGTTGCACAAATAAAACAGTGCAGCAGGCGATGGATTATCTGCAACGTAACCTTTCTACGGAACAAGGGAATGTGCTGCTCTCCCATGGGCACGATCAAACTGTGCCTAATGGGGCAAAAAAATGGACGTTTACACACCCTGAGTGGGCACAATACTGACACCAGTCGTAAGAGCATGAGTGCATGTGACACAATTACTTATTGTCTTTGAAGGGAGCAAAACAAAAGAACAAACAAACAAAAAAATTGGCATACGATCTTTTGCAGATTAAACTATAGAGACAAAAAGACATTAACAGATCCTCTTCTGCTTGACCTGCTTCAAACACTAGCCACCAGTTAAACCTGTTCCTATCAGCTGTCCATAAAGCTGTGTGTCAACTCCCCAGTTTGGGGTTAAGAGCCTGTATGTGTGTGTGTGTTTAGGTCTGAAAGGGTGGATCTTTGTGTGTGTGTGTTCAGCTGGGATGGGGGTTGATTTTACTCTTTCACTCATCTAGGGTGACTAACAGGATAAATTTGGGTCTGCCGACTGAACAGGGGGACACACTTGCTGGCCTGTTTGAAGAAAGTATAACAGGAGATGGATCTGCCACGGATCCCATTGTTCGCCAGTCTGCATGCATTCATGCAAAAACAAGCACACAGGGCTGGTCAGTATGCAGGAAAAATGTGGCCTTCAGTGATTCGTCTCATTTAGGCCTCACATGCTGCAACACAACAATAAAGTTAGCCTAGAGAAGAATTTCTTTCACTGTTTTGTCAGACTATATTACATTTTCTGAGCTGGTGACTCTGGAAATTAGAAGAGTAAATCTTTTCTCTTTTCACACTGCTCTTTTTTGTGAAAGCCCCAGTGGAATCAAATTAAATCACAGTGAAGCAAATAAAAGAAAAAAATTCAATTGTGTCTTTTGTCGCTCACACAACTTCATAATCGAATTATAGCTGGCCACCCGCCAGCGTGTCCTCACATCTACCCCCAATGGGCTCCTCCTGGCAGATCTCGTGAGCCACCTGACTTTTGTTTTGTAATTATATTATCCCGCGCTCTCTTTAGCGTGTTGTGGCTAATGGCTGCGCGGGCTAGCCCAGCTGCACATGCAGAAACAAAGCTGCTTAAGGGGCCAGACAATGGACCTGTGGAAAAGGGACGCCCGAAGGCGGTCAGCCAATGAGCACGCACAACAGGGGGTCGGCAGAGGGTTTAGAAGAGGGTTAAAGGGGTTTAGAGGTTCTGGGAGAGGGAGGGGTTTTATTTTATCCAGTGGTAGGGTCCATCAATGAGATGGTAGGAGGACACATGGTCAACATCACCCCTGTCTCCTCAGGGTCGGTGCTGGGCTGGAGGGAGGTTCAAGTTTGGTTTAAATGCTGGTCATTTCTTAAGTTGATTGAACGGCATGAAATGCAGAGTAACATTCATTCTCTGGACTTTTGAGTCAGCTCACTGAACAATTAGGTGTTGAACAATTGTCATAGCTACCAACACCACCAATGGATTCATCTGTGATGATCCTGCAGACACACGCAGACAAACATTTATCTTGTTTCTACTCCTTGAGTATCTTTGCACAACCTCCAAGGCTGCAGAAAATACAAGGAATAAAAAATAAATAATTGCTGCAAGTGCAATTTATCTAGCTCCACAAACAGAAACACACACACACACACAAACATGCAAACACTCCCCATGCTGTGGTGTTGGCATCTCTCAGAGGACTCCCTGTATGACAGATGGACAAAAACCCACTTTCTCCAACTGTCACACTTAGAAACTCTGGGGATTCAGAGGAAGGTCATGTCTGTGTGTGTACTGGAGTGAAGTTTTATCCGTCCTTCCTATTTCCATTATATCAAACTAAAATCCTATCTCTCAAGCACACCTAGGAGGAGGTGAGGGCAGCATGTCCTCTGAGCCATGTGAACATGCTGAGTGAGCTGAGCAGCCAGTGGAGGATAGATGAGCATCTGAGCCACACACCATTAAAATAAGAGAGATATCAGAAGGCCATCTGCAGGAGGCTTTTGTCGCGTGTGGTCAGCACTGGGGGACCCGGGGACATCATGGCATACATACTGTGTTAGACCTGAGCGACACTTGTGGAACATAAAGACTGGGTGATATGCAAAAAGTGGGTCAAACTAAAGTCACAATTTTAAAGAAAAAAAAAGGCCGTTTTGTAATGACCAACAAACTTCGACAGTTTGACAGTGAAATACAAATTCTCATTCAGGGATGAAGACAGTACTCTGATTCTGATTCAGTTAAGTATCATAGCAGTGTTTGGAGCGTATGCAAAGGGGACATTAGGCCTTAGCCATTATATTCCCCTGCCAGTTCTGACTCTGACTCGACTCTGCTATTCCCCTTACAGGCTGCAGGTGTGGAATAGGAAAAAGCAGAGACCCGGGGGAGAGGAGAGGTAGGGAAGGTGGTCGGCCTGGGAGTGAACTGTGGATGAGAGGCTGATAGTTTGGGTGAGCAGATTACCTTCTAACCAACCTCCAGACTCTCGGTTCGTGCATGAGATGCTCTGTTTTGAAGTCATGGTTATTCTCTGTTGGGCCGTTTCCTGATCACAGCTGATGAGTGTTCACAAGATGTCCATATTGGTGGCAGAAAACAAGTGTGGTAGCTTGACTGCACACTGACTGAGGACTCATTTACAGCATTAGTGTCTTATTAATGTTTTTACACGTGTGGGAGTTCAGGGACCTTAACCCTGAATGTGACTGCCAACACCCTACAAATTCACTTTTTTCTTTTTCACGATGAGTGCAAATCATAAAGTAGAATCAGAATCATATTACTTTATTTATCCTGAGGGAAGTTCAGTCATTACACTTGCTCTTAAAAACAGAAGGATAATAGAAGTAGAAATATAATTAGTATAAATAAGAAGTTACAAATAGTTACTACCAAGTGCAGAATATTAGAAATAAAGCCGTTTGCAGTTTGCAAATGCAGTTTGCAGCAATGCACTGTGGGATATTGCACAGAGTATTATCAGTATGATAGAGTATTGCACAGTGTAGTTTAAAAACAATGTCGTATCTGTATTGCACTCTTAGATCAATAATCAGATTACAATGAGAGTAATGATTTGATCAGAAGTGCAAAATTAAGGTTTGATTTCATCATTTTTCTGGAAAAACATGTAAACCAGCACCATTATCTCGCAAAGAAAACTCAAAGTAATATATTTAGTTGGGCTGCTAAAAATACCAAACTTTTAATTATAAGTTACTTAAGTCATTTTCAATAAAGGAAGTATTTGATAGATAATCTGCTCTATTCATAAGACTGCCATGATGGCACTCTGGTGTCTGTGTGGGTAGTGTAAAAAGTTTTGATGATGAAAAATTGTACTTAAAGACAGAAAACATCTTTGAATTTTGTTGCATCAACCCTAACTTTCCTCAACAAATTAGAAAATCAAGTGTGCATGCTATCTTAATTGCAAATCTATTTATCTAGATTTTAAAGAAGTTGTTTCTTTCACTCAAAAACATCAAACTGAACATACAGAGCTTTTTATTATGCTATTTAGCCTAATCAGCAAAAGCGAAGAAGAGAATATATTTTTTGGAGGTTTATTATCCAATCCAAACTTTGTCTCCTTATCTGTCCATTCTATAAACCATATTTCTGTCATAGTCTTAATTTTTTTATTATTATTTTGCTTTGGCTATCGTTGTTTTTTGTTTTGTTTTTTTAAATTAAATTTCTAAATTAGTTTTTGAAATAACCTCACAGTGCTCAATATGTAATAAATAGCTACATAATAAAAAGATTCAGCTTTTAAATGCTTCTTCTACACTGGAGCTAAAATAATAGCCCATTATTAAAATAGAGAATGTTAACATACGTTTTTAAACTTCTTAATACCATTTGTTGACTTTCTTTTGCATTGCTGAACAAAAACAAATTCTAAGTTAAAACAAGGGGTACATTATCTTCATTCAGTGAATGAAAAGAGCTTCTGAACTTAAAGTGGGTTACGGTGGGAATCCTTCCTGCGCAGACCTACATATTACAGTTTTCTTCAGTCGCTAACAAGCGCTTACCCATACTTCAGATACTTTTTCTTAACTCTTAACACAGGCTCACACCTACAAAATAAAATAAGCCAAATGTATAATTTTCTTCTCAAAAACACATTTTGTTAAATATATACCAACTCTTCATTTCAAAATAGAACACATCTTTCTCTGCACACACTAACTGTACCAAAACACTTAAAAACTGACTCAGAAGGAAATTTCTCTGCCAAAGAATAACACTTGTCTTCACTTCACAAGGTACAGTGCATCCGGACAGTATTCATACCACTTCACTTTTTCCACATTTTGTTATGTTACAGCCTTATTCCAAAATGGATTAAATTCCTTTTTTCCCTCAAAAATTCTACACAAAATACCCCATAATGACAAAGCGAAAAACTTTAAGAACATTTTGCAAATTTATTGAAAATAAGACACTCAAATGTTGCATATACATAAGTATTCACACCCTTTGCTATACAACTCCCCCAACTGGTTGTGGTTTGGGTGGGGATGTGATGGGGCCCCTGATATTGATTGTGGCCTTCCATTTTGTTGCACTTTAAACAAACTATGACTTCACCATGGGATATCATGAGCTTCTAGATCATCTAGAGTCTAGACAAGTGGTGGGCAACTTTGATGATGGAGAGGGCCACTATATTTCCACACTCATTCCAGGGGGCCACATTACATATACTGTCGGTCCATTTGATGTCACACAAAAGTTGCAAAAATGGGGGGGGTGATGCTGTACTAATTGTGTTTAGAGTTTTGAAAATGTGACAACTGTTTGGTCAAACGCTTGTTAGCGACTGAAAAGAAACTGTAAAGAGTGTAGAGACCCTCTAATGTGTCCCAGAGACATGTCCTCTCAATCTGTCCCTGTCTAGTCAGAGCTGCTTCCCTCCCGGCTAAAATGAACTTGTTCAGCAGCCTGTAGAAGGACAGGGAGGGATGGAGGAGAGGACGGAGCAAACACCTGCTCATATGAAACTTCAAGCTGTCACATGAGGTTAAGATCAACCGACTGAGCGCGTCTCTTCCTCCGCTCCACGAGGACGTGCTGCGGATTTGGCGGCCGCCCTCGCGACTCAACAAAGGCCGGGGCCTCTCGTGTTTGTCTGCGGAGTTTCACTGAGCTTATGCGCATCTCTGTGACCCCCACCCACACACACACTTATACAGGCGACACACATGAACACAGGATAGCTGAGCTCGAGCCACGGGCCGGCCACGCGCGAGCTTAAGCGCGCCGTCAGGAATTGGATGGGAGGGAGGAGGGGGAGGAGTTTAAATGTGGAGGTTAAAACCCAGATCCCCCGCAGAGTGACCCACGCTGAGACTCAGTGGGACGAGTCTGTTAGGGGGAAACAACACGGAACTTCTCCTCAGTTTGACAGAAGACAGAAACACGCGCAACTAACCCTGAAAAAACCACTGACAAACTTCACGAGACGCTCGCGAGACTCACCAGCAGAGGTTGGTTATCCTTATTATTTATTATTATTCAGTAAAGTAATTAATACTGCCTGTAAAGTTTGTGGGGTTTACTTTCTGTTTGTGTTTATGTTCTTATCAGAAATAATATCATTATCTTTACATTTGTAAAGCTGTTGCCTCTTTCATTTTCAGTCTAGGTCCAAGCAGTAGACTATTGCAGCAAAAATCAACAGGCATGACTGTTTCTTTTGCAAAATAAACATTCAGAAAACCTATTTTAATATGATTCAGTCGGCATTAACCAAAAGCCACATAAGCAAGCAATTCCGAGTAAAACATTAATGTTTCTGCTTTTGCAAAAGCCGGAATTCAATTCCCTCTGAGTCGTCTGTCACTGATCTGGGGCCGTCGATCTTTCATTTAATCTCATGGTCGTCGCTTCATCCACGGAGCAAATCCTGCGATGGCCCAGATTTAAGTGCTGCCGGGGCTTTACCAGTTCACAAGATGACCGGGATTACTCTGAGGGAGAGGAGAGAGGACAGAGAAAGAGGGGGCAGTAGGAATAATAACAAAAAAAAGATAATGAATTTATATGGAGTCTAATTGTCATAATTTACCACTAAGTTATAGTCAGTGTCATCTCTCCACTGCACGATATTGACTCTGACAGCAACACCTTACAGGATAGAGCTGTCCAGTGCTGAAACTGTCAGGTTGGTGGTTTGAGAGCAGCTGACAACCCTGTGGAGAGAATAGACTTTAACACAAAACAAAAACATATCCCCACTAAATCTGGATAGCACCCTCACATCATTTAATATGCATTCTTTCTGTCATTAAATTTCAACAACTCACAACTATTAAATGGTATTTTTTCATGTAAATCATGACACAGTCCATGAGTAAGAATTAGTTTTGTTGTTTTTTTTTTGCACTGGAAAAATGTAGAGAATGTTTTATAGTCAGTAATTTGATAGAATTTAAATAACAAAACTCAACTTTATTTATAGAGCACTTTAAAAACAACCAAAGCAGACACAAAGTGCTGTTCATAATAACATAAGACAACAATAAATAGTTGATAAGTTGAATAGTATGATAAAAAGCAATTAAAAAAAAAAACAGAAAACAAATGCCCTCTCATGCTGGGTCAAAAGCCAAGGAGTGAAAGTGGGTTTTTAGACGAAATAACTAAAGATGTAGCGTGCAATATTTGTTTTAAACTTTGTCAAGAACTAGCAAATACTATGAAAGTGTCCAGTGGTACATTGTTACTTTCATTTTTCACACTGCTTGTGTGTATGACAAGAAGTTTCCAATCATCCATAGAACAGACTGGGTTCAACTATTTTTATTTTATCCAATGTTTGTGAATTCAGCTGCACTCAGTAATAAAAAAGAATAGCATGAAACAGTGAGGACAGACTAGCTTTATAAAAGACAACCCTATAAAGCGAATGACTCTAATGACAAATATCTTCTCTGTCTCCGCAGTAACATGATGATCAAGCCATACGCTAGACAAGGCGAGGGAGAGGAGGTGGTCAGTCCTCTCCAGTGGATGGATAGAGACATGAGCTCACCCGATGGGGAAGCATCAGGCTCGTCACAGATCTTTAGAGCTGCTGAAGGAAACCAACAGTTCCATGAGATGGGGAGTGAGGATGCAGAGGAAGATGAAGACGACGAGGAGGGTCAGGAGGATGAAAGTGGGTCCAGGCGACGAGGGCCGAAGAAAAAGCGCATGACCAAGGCCCGGCAGGAACGGTTCCGTGCAAGACGGGTGAAAGCCAACGCCAGGGAGCGTTCAAGGATGCATGGCCTGAATGATGCGCTGGAGAACCTGCGCAGCATCATGCCCTGCCACTCCAAAACTCAGAAACTATCCAAGATCGAGACTTTACGGCTGGCTCGCAACTACATCTGCGCTCTGTCTGAGGCACTTGAGGGGGGTCTGTCCACAGAGAGCAGGGCCTTCATGGAGACACTGTGTAAGGGCCTCTCCCAGCCCACCACCAACCTGGTGGCGGGCTGCTTACAGCTAGGACCAGCTCCCAGCAATGGGATGAGACCCGAGGACAGACACAGGGTCCGAGTACCACCTACTTCTCTGGGTGGCATGGTGAGCTACTCCTCCCCAGGCCTGCCGAGTCCACCATATGGCACCTTTGACTCTGCTCACCTGCTCCACCTGAGGGCCATGAAAGGTGGGGTGTACGAGAGCCACTCACCCAATGAATACAACACAGGTGGTGTGGGGACCCCTCCCTACGATGGACCCCCTACACCCCCTCTAAGCATCAGCAGCAACCTGGTGACCAAACAGGAACCATCGCCCCACTACCAGGCCACGCAGCACTACTCCCCCTCTCCTGTGGAGCAGGGCCTGTATCAGACTCAGCCTGGATATGATGTTCACTTAGAGGGAACGTATGACTCCTACCATGCAGCACACATGCCCCCCAGACAGATCACCTCTGTGTACAGGGACTGAGACAGGTCAGGGTCTGCTTCAGCCATCAACACATCTAAACAGATCCTCTTGTTACTCACGGACACTGGTGGGCATCAGCTGGATGGATGATCATACAAACCATGACTCAACACTCCTTTTAGATTAGAAAAAACTCACAGACTCACAGACACAGAATTTCGTCCAAAATAAATCACCATCTGGTTAAGTGATCTCAAGAATCCTGATGAGATCAAATGTCTTATCGCTGTTTTACAAGCACTTCTAATTTACCTTTAACAGCTTTGGACACTTCACACAAGTTTACGTGTTTCTATTTATTCTCTAAGTTAATACTGTGTATATGACGTGCAGGTGTGTGTCTCTTTCTGTATATATTTGTGGTTTGTCCTTGTTTGCTGCGTAGACTGATAACTTGTGACTTATGTTTGATTTTGTCCGCTTTTTTGTTGTTGTTAAAAGAAATGACGTAGATTTCTTTGCACAGTGTAGCTGATCTATGTCATCTACAAAACAGAGAAGTTTTTATTCTCAAACTTAAGGATCAATGTGACAAAGCAACAAAGTCACTTGGTAAATATCTTATTTCAGACAAACTCTGCTTTAAAAAACTTGTCTTTTTTTTTGTATTTTTCATTTTTCTTCTCTTTTTAAAAATGTGATATCATTAAAATGCCCATAAATTCAACCAATCCTCCGACTCTGTTTGACAGCATTGTTCCAGCAAGCATCACCATCATCAGTAGCAAAGGATCTTGTTCAGTCTTTGTTTCTCATTTTCTCCCCAGATCTTGGTGGTTTATCTGCACTAATCCTTTGGCAGTGGTTTGATGAAGGGTTAGATGTGCAGGACAGGATTGTGAGAGAAAGATTTATGATTAACATGGATGCAAACACTCATCTTCATCAACACTGTAGCAGCATAATCCTTTCCTGATATTCACTTAGATATTATTCAACCCTCAAAAAATTTAGTACACAGATCTGTATGTATGTATGTATATATTTTTTACTTTCACATAAATTCTAACTTATCTGTAAAACCTAAATGAACAGTTACAACATTTTTGGAGGGTTGAGGGATTATAGAAAAGATGTGAGGAAAAATCGAACGACAAGAAGTAGAACGAAAATAACTTTAAAAAGAGAGTCTGTCGAAAGCCTGGAAACATGCCAAAACAGCAAAAAAAAAAAAAAAAGACCTGATCTGAGGGCAGCCACTTTAGTCGATTCATGGTCTAAATGGTCAGTGTGGGGGCCACCCACTGAGAGGTCAGGTAGAGGGGGTCAAAAGGCCACACAAGGTCATGGCTCTCACGGTGCCAACGGTCTGAAATGGTCAAAACTTCCATCATCTCAATACTAGTCAACTCCTCTCTTCTGTGTTTGTAGCTTCTGTCTCATTGGGGCTGTGAGTAAGTACGATGTTAGAGGTCATATTATGGATAAAATTCTCTTAATCCCGATAAACTCCCGACCAACATCCCATGCATGACCTGCGCTGGGAGAAATATATCACTTTGTTTTTGCAAGGATTAGTATAAGCCCGAGTGTGTCTGTGTGTGTTTGTAGAACATTTGCACTTCTAACCAGGAAAAGTCGCAGTAGCACCAATAAAAAAACAAACCTCAGCTTTTGTAACTGCACTCTGAAGACAAGAAAACATGTTGAAAGAGTGCGTGACTCTCAATATGTGGGATATTCTGATAAATCAAAATGATCGATGATAGACAGATGATAGACCAACGTCTCAAGGAGACAAAAGATTCCCTGTTTGAAAAGGACACTTTGGCACCCAAGACAAACGGAGGGCTGCATTGGCCCTTACCCTTTTTGACCTTTGACCCCTGTGATTGTTGCGCTAGATCCAGTTAAGATTCTATATTTTATTTGCCACTGACATCCTGACAAGAGCACATCTAAATATTAGACACATTAATTTAAATAGCATTTTAGTAAGGTACTATTGACAGTTTTTGAATAAAGAATAAAACAAGAAATTCCCAGTGACAACAATGTCATTTGATAGTTAACACCAAAAAAGACGTCCAAATCAAAATACCCAGTTTTTCTCATTAGTAATGTAAACAAAACTGAAACATTTCTTAGTTGATTAAATCGTTCAACACATGGTAAATAAAGTTTTTAAAGGCAAATAACGTGAACTATTATTATGAAGCTCCTGTGGCAAACTCTGGACCTCTTTGTAGCAAGAGCAAAACATCTCTTCACTATTCATGCCTTGTTCAAACATAAGCAGTGATTCCTGATTTTAAAAAAAAAGTCATCCCTTTTATCTCATTAATCAGTCATATCACAATATTTGCTTTGGGAATATCTTGCATCAGCAGCCTGCTTTAACTTTCTTCACCTGACACATAGCCAGCAGCAGCAGCAGCAGAGGGTTAAAATTATGATAAAGAAATGATGATCAGCCCTGTTACTGACGGCTATTTGTTTTTCTCGTTAATTAAGAGGCATCAGACTTGACATCACGGTATTTAACAACCAGCTAACAACTCTGCACACAGCAGCTTTAAAGGGAAAGGAATATGTATGCTCGGCGTTCATGAATACTGCCAAAAAGTGGCTGTCTGAGGGCAAAGTAAAATTTCTCAGTCAAATGAACACTGAAGCTAACATTTGGGTCGTACTTGGTTAAAATTAGCTAAACTTTGTAGGATACTTGACCCTGTCTGTGAGCAATGGATCGCCTAGCTTCTGTGCCAGTACTCCAGTCTGTTTCTCAACATAGTGGCTGAGCTACATCCTGTTTTGGTTAAACTCTTGGAATTGACAAGTAGTTTTTTTAACCCCCCTTAAAAAATCTACTCTAACTCTCTCTACTTTGTAACACAGAAGCTTTTCAAGTGAATTCACATTTTTTTCTATTCCTTATTTTTTAGATTTTGCCAGCATTGACAGAAAAAAAGCTTTAAATACTGTTGTAATTTTAATAACATATAAAATAGAGAAAGCAATGGAATTGGGAGGGTACATGTCTATTTGTGAGTGTGATCTGTGCGTCTGTGGAGGAGAGCACATCATGTGTCTGTGCATGGCTGTGTTATTGGGGATAAAACAGTATTAAGCAGCTGATCAGAGCTCAGTGTCTGAATGGTTGCATTAACTCACTAATCCTGAGGAGAGAGGGGCAGTTGGAGCAACAGCCTCTCATCTCCTCTGCAACACAACAGCAGGCAGCTATTGTGCACTAAACTACAAAGCAACTGATGGTGCAATAAAACCAACCAGGCACCAAACGAGGTTTCTTAACACAAGAATGGTTCAGAATTTATCATTTTACTGCCCTGTTTAAACTATAAGAAGCGATTTGGCTATTCTGAGAAGCATTTCTTTATCCTTGAGGGTAGACGGGAAGAGGGTAGACAGGAGTGCTGCAGCACCACCCTGTGGTTAGAATGGTTTCTTGAAATAAAACTATTTGAAAGATGAGAGATGAGTGTTTGTCCACTGGGTGTCAGTATTTGAAAACCCTCTGAATCTAGAGCTCTGACTGAGGCCTTGTGGTTGAAAAATTAGGTGTTGAAAAAAAGGTGTTTACGTTTTTTTTATTTTTTGCTAAATAGTGATAACTATGATTAATACTGTTTGTTTAACAATACGCTGCACAAGAAACTCACAGCTTTTGTGGTGTGTATTTGACAGAAGCGAATGTACAAACATAACAGATATTCAGTGAGATTATGTCTGTAAACACAGCAGAGTGAGTGAGTGAGTGAGTGAGGAGTGGGAATAGTATTAACCTATTTACATGTAAACTGGCTGGTGGAGTGTGTTTGGATGTGAATAATCAGGCTAATGAAGGCACCTGGGGACTCGGCTGCGTCAGAAATCTCCGCTCTGTCCTCTGTATCCAGCCACCGATCGTATCTAACGGTTATTTACCGTGAAAGGACATGAAAAAGGATTAATCAAGGAAATCTCACTGATTCAATCTTCAAAGGCTGCACCAAAGAGCAAGGTCTGATAGAGAGGAGGGATGTGGACTGTGCTTTTATCCTTGAGGTGGTAAAACAAATGACTGAATCAGACCGTGCTCTTCAGGACTGCAGGCACAATTCTTTGCAATTTTTTAAAATTTTTACTTTCACCAATGATAAAGCCTTTTAATACAAGTTATTAGTAAAGGTCATGATTAAGGTCAATGCTAAGCCCAAGATTAAATCTAGGCAGTCTGAAAATATGAACGTTTTTTTTGACAATTCTGCGTTCTGCCAACACATGGTTGATGAAAAATCGAACCTAATGCAGAGCTGAACATTTAATGCCCACGAAGAGAATAAAAAAATTGTCAGAAATGTAAGGACAAATGGTCAAATTGTGGAAATCTCAGGTTTTATCCTGATAATTCCTTTCCTGGTACATAGCTTTATTTACCTGCATTTCTAAGTGTAAAACTGTTCTTTTACCTTTGCAACTTCTCTAAAAGCATTATCTTCTTTGCAAGCCATATAGAAGGGATTACAACACAAAATGATTTCCCCAGGCTTATCTCCCCAGAAGTATTTAGTGGACATAAAAAAAAAAGCTTCGTCTTGATGAGCTACAAAATTTAAATACTGCTTGCATCTTAATAAGCAATGATAATGAACCAACAGTGTTTCTATAATTAACCTATTTAACTGACAAAGTTCTTTTTTTATGATCACATTTTTTGTTTTTACTTTCACTTAAATCTGATGAACGGGATTTATTTCGAGATTGAGAGGCAGCTACAAGGACAATGAAGACAATAGATGAAGACAGTTCAGGCTGTTTTAAATAAAATAAATAAATAGATAAATAAAATATAATACAATAAACATATTTGATCTGCTGCAACACAGCTAATGTTAGCATTTAACCACTTCTTAGACATAAACTACGTGCTCTTGTGAGTTTTTTTTTCTATTGATGAAATACACTGAAATTCATATTGATATTTGTTTATAATAAACAAACAAGCAAAAAAGAACAAAAAAAAATCAACAATAACAAGGTTGTACACATTTATAGAGTAAATTTTGTTCCCTGAAACTGGTCCAAGGGGGTACATGACAGCTGAACAGTTGAAGAGGCAGCCCTGAGTCGTGTAAATACATGGTTCTGCCCTATCACTGTGTACATAAAAAAAAAGCTAAGAAAAAGCTAAAAAGCTAAGCCAAAATGTCTTTGTCCACAAACCAAATGATCCTCACAGGAGCTTTAAAAAACACAGATGCGATGGGAAAATTGAAAATTTTCCTCAAGCAAAGTGAGGATTTTATTTATTTTATAAATAACTGCTTTGGATGAGCACATGGTTATCTGTACATCATGTTACCCAACTAACTGTTCTATAGGATGTCTGTGTAATTGAGTGGTGACCTTGCTTATGAGTGACCTTCAGCCTCTTAATACAACAACCAACAAAAGCATTCAACTGAAAGTCAGCAGCAAACAGAGTCAGTCCTTTAACCCTTTCACCAGTGGCCTTTCTTGGTAAATCAATTTGCAAGAATTCAGAATGAAAACATTACCACACTACTAAAATTCTAATGTTAGCTGTGAGTCATCAACATTTTTTACTTAAAATATGGTTTTCATATTTTTTCTTTTATTTATTTTATCAAAGAATAACACAACGTCTAGTACAAGTGTCCTGCAGCTGTTTTGTGTTTGACCTTCCTCTAAGGACAGACATTATTTTTAGGGAGTTGTTTTTTTTTTTTTTTTCTGAGACAAAAGCCAACAAACTGTAGACATGTAAACAGAGGGCTGTAAAAATGTAAATGTAATCTATTCTGTTCATAAAGTATATAAATATATTTTATGTTACATTAGTCCACACAAGTCAAGAGGAAATGAGGACATATGTAAGAGATGATGAGACACATATAGATCAAAGAGAGAGGAGCACTCTGCATTACACTGACAGATATAATGGTGAGTGTTCTTGTAAAAATTTTATAGGAGAGACAGAGAGAGCAAGAGAGAGAGAGAAGAGCGACCCTGAGTGTGTGTGCGTGTGTGTGTGTGTGTGTGTGTGTGTAACTGTATCCCCCTGGTGAAATGTGCTTACTGCTTCAGTTTGCTGTCCTTCACCACTGTCCCTTAACCTAACCCCTACATGGCACATTGCCAGACGGTGTGTTTATGCGTGAATCTATAATATGCAAATGTAAGAAAGTGAAGGTGTTTGTCTTCATTCAGAGAAGGAGAAGGGTTCATACATACATCTTCTCTTCAGAAGTGTCACACTCGTACCCTGCCTGACTGGACACTGCCATTAATGCTTTACTGCCTGCCTCAAACACTGGGTTATTCTCAACAGCCTGACCTATTATAACAAGAGTGCTTCACTGACTGAATGTCATTAAGTGTTCCTACACCTTGTAATTCTTCAAGCAGAGCACAGCTGACTTCTTGTTTGAAGGCTTTTTAGCATTTCAGAATTAGCTTGACATTTACTCGACATTGTACCATGTGTCAGTCTCACCTCAGCCACCTCCACCTAATACTCTCCCACCTCTCTGAAACAACACTTGTAAGCACTTTTACGATATCTGATCCAAATTAACACTTTGTCAGGCAGGATTCAAATTGCTCACACATGAAAGTGGAACTGTATCGTGTTTTTCAACTTTGTGCTACTGTCCTAATCCCACAGCCATGTTTTAATTTCATCATCCTGACTATCCAAGCACTTCACTGTGGGAGGTTCATTGAATGACAAATTGGTAATGGGAGATTGGTGTATCAGAGTTTCACTGAGGGCCACCTAACCCTCTGGTATTTGACGCTTTGCATTGTGGGACATGATAGGATAAAGCATAAGGAGGCTGTCATACACCAGCCCATAGGCTTATATGCTGAATTTGCTAAAAAAAAAAAAAAAAAAAAAAAGGCTGACAAGATTTAGCAGGAATACATAAATAAAGACTTTCCTAAACATTTATTTCAATGTAGGAATATATTAAATATAATATATAATATTAATATTCAGTAACACTTTACAACAACCATAACTTCTTAATGGTAAATAGACCATTAATAAATGGTAATAACTGGTAAGCAGATACTTTATTAATGTTTAATCATCATTAATAAAAAGCATACAGACCATTTATAAATTGTAAAATTTACACTTTTAAAAACCCAACCCTAACCCAAACTTTACAATAACCATCTAAGTAATGTTTATAGGTGGTTTAAAAACCAAATATTAACCATTTACAAAGTGCTACTGACACACATTTTAATCTAGATGTTTTACAACCAATATTTAAACCCTTTATAAACCTTTAATAAATAGTCCATTAATAATTAATGAAAATTATATTAACTTACATTGATAAACTATCTATTTGCCATTTATAATTGGTCTACATACTGTTTTTCAATAATGATTAAACATTAATTAACTATCTATTTACCATTTATAGATTACGGTTATTGTAAAGTGTAACCTATTATTCTTTGTTACAGTTTATATAAAGTAGAACACACTGATTTGATTTTATAAATTAATAAAAGAGTTTGATGTACATAGTGATAGGGCAGAACCATGTATCGTTTTAACATTGCAACAGCACTATGAGCATGTACATTAGTCACACTGCAGGACTTGTCAATCATATTACCCAAAACCGTTGTCACATGTTGTCACCACTTCCTCTCATCCAGGAATAAAATCAGATTAATGTCTATCTGAAATCACTCTGATGTAGTCCATCATTAGCACATGCCGACAAACTGACTGCTGAGCAGACAGTCTGTATCTGTATGACATGACAGTGGAAGGGAACATGCACCCAAGTGCTGGCACTGCTACTGTCACAGATACCCGGAAAACACTCCATCAAATATCATGATTAGACAGTGTTGTCTCGCTCATCTCAACACTGTGCTCGTTGACAGTGTGGGCATACAGACTGCAAAACCTACAGGGCTACAGAGGGTTTACTTTTAGTGTTTACTACACCTGCAGAGCACAGACATTGCAGTCATGTAAATATCATATGCAGAAGAAGTTTTTTTTTGGTTTGATTTGGGCTTGCAACAAAGATAAACAATTTTTAGCATTGAGAGGAATGATAATTTACATGTAAGTTAGTAAGTTACGTATATTTGTATGGTTTAGTTTGGTATGGCCACATATTGCTCTCCCTGTCTCCTCCTCTCATGTCATACATCTCCATACACGTGTCGGAGCAGCTGTCGGAGAGGTGAACACAGTGTAGCATAAGTAGTCATGAGTTTTGATTTGAAAGCTGGAAACAGACTTTGAGATCCAAATCATAGATAATAACAATAGTTGTATTGAAACTTTTAGATGTTTCTAAGCAGTCAAATACAGCACATTTTTCTGTTATAAATTCCTGTAATGCTTTATCACAATATACTGTATCGTGCAGAAAGGGAAAAATAAATGACTATAATAGTATTTTCAACACACTCACAACAAACTCAGCTTTATTGCTCCCCTTAGCAAGCTCCATTGTCCATTTAGTGCCTCTCATCTTATTGTTTTGAAATTGCAACCAGTAACTTTAATTGTTAAAACCAAAATCAGAGTGAAAAGTCAGTTTTTGTATAAAACTGGCCAAGTGTGTAATATTTGACATGATTCCCACAACTTCCAGAATTTGTAATCCAGCGTGCAAGTTTAAAGACAGCCTTTTTCCGTGTACTCATGTGGGCAGAAAGTCAATCAGGTTTAAGATAGCATCACTGCTATACAGCACATGTTATTATTGGATACATTCACTGTGTCTTGAATGTCAGCTGAGGCCCCTGCAAGGATGATTTCACCTGGTTATGAAATATATTGAATTTGATTGACTGAAGTTTCTCTTTAGAGGTTTTGCCTCAAATGATTGGCCTAAGTCTGACTCTAGCCTGTGGCTCCTGTCGTGCATGCCTCTCCCTGTAGGACATAGCTGTATCATCTCTAATTAAAAACAATAACAGCCCCAAAATATTGGTTAAATAATCAACTTCATTAACCATCTAAAAAGTTGTCATCTTTGATAACAGTACATCCATTAATTCTGTTCAAAACTAATTTAAACCTGTTGTAGGTCCAAAGGTCTGCCCTCCTTTTGCTGCTATGGAAAATAAAGCGAAGCAGATAACTTACAATGAAATGGTGTGTGCCCAGCTTTGTTGGGTTATACATGGAGCTTTGACTAACATAAATAATAATGATATTTTAATTGCATTTTGTATTGATAGTTTAATGAAAACTTAACTATGAATTCATAAATGAAGTCAACTGGGTATTCATGGTGTATTTTAAAAAAAAATCTGGGTTTAGGAGAAACATCAAAATTTTCTTAAGTGTCCTTTAGTTCTCAAGTTTAGGAAGTTTAAGAAAGATGGGTGACAATGTACAACTGAAACAGCATACATCTTTGGCCACAAATGGTGCCAAATTTATGCAAATTAAAAGTTTCTTATAGCAGCTGTAAGTGGTTAACCACGGCAATAAATCCTCTACATCATCAAGGAAAGATATCGAAGGTTAAGCAAAATGGTAACTGAAAACAAGATCTTACACATAAACTGTCTTAGATTATGAGCTGTATCGGCAAAGCATTGATCAAAAAACAGCATGGTCTTATCTCCATGACAACATGGAGAGAAGGTTGGAACTTTCTTACCATATTTTTGTCTTAAGTGGTGTATTTTAGGAATAAATTTTTTAGAAATATATCAGATAATGTCAGTAAAGAAACAACCCATCTTATCTAAAATCTATGGCCTACATCTCCAATTAGGTTATCTAGCCCTGATAGATTAAGTTAGGCTATCACAGCCGGTGATCATGAACAACCATAGACTGTACATACAGTTTATGGTTGTGATTAAGAATTAATAAATGAGAAAAACACACAATGCTGCATTTTCAAGATTAAAAAAACTGCCAGAAAAAGACAAATATTAAATAAATGTTGATACAGATCTCTGTAAACAAACAATCAAGAAGCAGGGTTTTCTATTTTCCCCACAAACTGTGTTTACAATTTAGGTCCAATAAGTTGCATGTGATTGCAGTCTGGGAACAGACTTTTTTGTCTGGTTATCAACTCAGGTATGTGTGTTAACAACATTTGAAGATATAAAATGTCCTTTAAAAACATACTGGAGATATTAAGTAGAATTTTATCCATGCTTTATAAGGTTTTATGACTAAATAAGGACTGCCAAAAGTATCTAGGGGAAAGCTTGTTCTGCAGAATATTTATGTGTGTACTCATTTCCAAATCAAACAAATACAGCGGTGTGTAAGCGCTCTGCTTCATCTGCATTCATATTTTTGCATCATGGTGTCAAAATATTCTCTCTTTTTCTTGTCTATCAAGTTTCAATGACTTCAGTCCTTCTTCTTGACAGCACACAGACAGACACACTCCAATCCACATTTCCTCTGATCTGCCATCCGTCGCCCTCCTCTGTGTCCTCCCCCTCCTTTTCCTCTCTCTCTCTCTCTCTCTCTCTCCTTCTCTCCCTCTCTCCATGCCTGTATCTCCCTCCTTCCACAGTTGTCCTCACATATTAGGTTCCCATGTCCTAAGACGCAGAACGAGCCTCTGGAATCTCGTGCACTGCTGCCTCTTCAAGGAAAGCTGTGACGGTATGAGGGGTAAACAAGGAGGGGATAGAGAGGACTAGAGAGGGGGATTAAGATGAATCAAAGAGGAATAAGAAGACAGTGAAGAAGATGAAGAAGCTGAACATCAGGACACCTGCGGTTTAATGCAGCGACACTGCTGGCATGTGGCTGTCTGTGCAGAGTAGTTCCCTCTCCTCTCTAGAGCTGCTTGCTGCAGGATCTGCACTCATGTCTCTGCTTGCTACTTTATTTATCTCATAGCAGCGAGCAGTAACTTCAGCATTTTCTCTCAAAGAGGACCTCTGTCTGTCACTTTATGCCAGCCAACACTGACCTTTGGGGAAACTCTGCTGGACTAAAACCTGGATCACTTCGATCCTGGTGAAGAACAGAGGCGACCTATGTGGGGCTCAGGTAAGCTCATCACAGACTACTGAGCAATGTGAAACCACTGACAACCTCGTGCATTCCCTCTTTGATCACCTTAAAGTGAACTGCAGGGGGGGCAAGCTAGGACGCCCTCATTATTGCAATATTCAGAGCAGAAAGAAAGAGTGGGTGACAGTCTTTCAGGAGACTTTGAAGGTTTCTCTCTTTGATGAAAGTTAGGGATGTCTCCAGCAAACGTCGGCACTCAGTGTCAGAGAAGACTCTGCACTTAGACCTGGGCTAACCCTTGACCTTTCTCGTGCAGCTGTTATTTGACGGGAGGGATTAAAGAGAGAGAAAATGCGCTGAAATAAAGACAGCACTGTGTTACATGTTATGGCACTCGGGTGTGTGCCGTATCATACCGTGTGCTGTATACCGGTGTATATTTTTTGGTGATACAAATTTGTAATATTGCATTATTTATACTGTAGGGACGCAATGACGTATGACATTCCCAACTGCATACACAACAACAATGTCAGAGAGCAAGAGCAGCACAGCAGAGTCAACTTTGTCCACAAATGAGGATCTAGTGCCAAAAAAGGGAGCTAAATCTGTGGTGTGGAGGTGGTTAGGCTAACACAGATAAGAAGTTTTACCACCTAAAGCTAAAACACACGGCTGAAAATCAGCAGGCTTTGAAGGCACCTGATGAGGACATGAAAACAGCTACTGGTGTTGAAATCTACAAGAGGATAAACAGCGGGACTAATGTTGTCAACCTATTACGTTTGAGGACATATTTAAAGATAAAAAACATGGGAAAAATTTTTTTTTGGGGGGGTTGTAAACTTCTGTCCTGTTTATGTGTGGAAAATCTGAATTTCTTTTCATAATTTAACCCTTTTTTATCACCAATAATAAAAACACTGTTGTTTAGAAGCAGCAGCCGGTCACTAAAAATATGCTCTGTAATTTTTTTCCATATCATTATCGCAAATTGCCTTAAAATATTGTGATATCCTTTTGAGGCTATATTGCCCACCACAAATCCTATGTCAGTATCATGGAGGAGCTCTGCAGATGCAAGAGAGATTACAAACAATGTGAGATAAATTGGAAGATGCATAGTCACATGAATGTAAGAAAAGTTTTGTAGGCCTACAGAATGAAAAAACCACGAGCACAAAGTCAAAGTGGGAGAAGTGAAAAGAAAACTGTAAAACAAGGAATAAGAGTTTACAAGTGATTTAATTCTTGCTAATATTAAAGATGAAAGTGAGGAACTCATTGTTAATGTTGGCTTAAACTTTTCTTTAAATCTTGTTAATCCACTTTAAGTTAACATTTCAACATAATTTCTGTATGCTTCATGGCACCATTTTAATGATCTTTGCCAGATGGAGTTGACTCAGCTGTTTTCATGTGACTTTACACGTGATGAGGGAACCAACTTGAAGGTGGGGCTGTTAGGGTCTTAAATCTGGTCTCTGATTTGCACTAACATATGGAATTACACATTCAAATACCCAAAACTCACTTTATGTATGGCCTGGAACTCCAATTTATCTCTACCAAAAAGCAGAGACAATTTCAATACCTCTCTTCAGACCATATTATTCAATTTGCCTTTTCAAAACATAAGATATACATATAAAAGTCATTTAAAAAAAGGTTTTATTATAATGAAGGCTGCGTGATTCTACATGCTGTGAGACATAGCGCCCTCTTTTGACCAGTTGCCACTGGCATTGATGTATAGTTCAGCTCATTCTTACTCTCCGTTCTGGTGACACCTTTTTTTAACCTCTGAAGTGCAGTAAACAAACGCTCTACTCTCCACCCCTCCTATTCCAGCTGCCACCAGAGCAGAAACTCAAGATTTAGATTTACAACGAAAGACCTCAGCTTCCTGCTGTTAGCAGTCTCCAGGGTTTCTTAAGAAGCACACCTTCAATATATAATTCCTCATAAAACCATGGCTTAGCATGCTGGAAGGAGATTCTCTGTGAAAAGTTGGACGTTTCATGAACTGATTTGTTTTCTTCATCTTTGCCTGTTTGGTCACTTTAACCCATACATGGCTGACTGCTTAAGGATGATTAATGTGTGAGGGACGTTAAATGAAGACTTTGTTAAACATGGGAACTCCTCAGATCTCCAGAAAGCTCGCCAGTAATGATGACTGCTAAAATTAGAGCCCAACAAGCCTGTCGACACACTTGTGGCCTCCTGGGGTAGTTTGAGAGAATGACAAGATGGTTGAGGTCACATAGCTACACTCAACCACAAACACACAGACACACACACACGGCTTCTATTTGCGCTGCACACAGACATTGTTATCATTTTGTCTATATATCACAAAAATTTCTGCTTGACAGGAGGAATGTAACTCCACCTCAACCGTAAATGTGCGGCATTTAGCGTGCTCGGCTCATCTGCAAAACATTTTTATCGCTGTCTTTAGCAAAGTTATGTTTTTGCTGAATGCTGAAGTCTTTTCTAATGTCATCACATTTTTTAAATAACTAAATATGATTGGGTGACCATACGTCCTCTTTTACCCGGGCATGTCCTCTTTTGAGGGGCTGTCCAGGGGGAGTTTATAAAATCCTTCAAATGTCCGGGGTTTTGTATGGAAGTTTTGAGTTTGTGTACCGTGGACTGAGTTGGTGGCACGTAAAAAACACTCTATTCATACCAAGCGAAGATGCATGCAAACCATGTTTCTGTGCCTTACCTTTGTACATTTTTAGGTTGAAATACAATGTCCAAAGGAGAAAAAGGCTAAAATTGCATTAAAAATAAAGTTATCAATGCTCAGTATTTTGCAACAGTTCTTAATTTAGTAATAAAAAAAAAACAAAACATTTTGATGAATTTAACTTTTGAATTGGACTTTGACGCATTGAGTGGAAATGGGAAAGTTGAATGACGACAAGCAGTAAGAAATGCTCCCTTGCTCACCCCTCCATACAGCGACCAACAACCCCAAGTCCACTGGTGAATTTCTAAAAAGACTCTCCTTTTCCTTGGCTGGTGATACAACAACAAATTGCAATCAACTTTAATTGTGACAAATTAACATGAATCTGAACATTTCAATTGGGGTTGAAGTTAACATTATTCTACTTATTTGTTATAATCACTTGTACCAAACATTTCCAGTGAACGCAATGCTGAAAAAAAGAAATTAAGACTCCTTCAAAAACAATTAAGTTGACATTTTTGTTTCAGCACAAACATAATTTATGTCACAAATACTAAGTTATCACAGCTAGCAGTACTGCTTTTGGTTTCAGTTAGTTTGTGGGAAGTCTTTTCTGTCTATTGGGAATTTATCCTGATTGTTATTGAGTTTTGACCAATCAGAATCAAGTATTTAATGAAGCCTGCATGATAAAAAGTAGGAAAGTCTCCTATTAGTGATGCAATTACATCTTGCAACCTTAGAACTGCAAAACTAGTCAAGCGCTCTAAAGGCAACTTAAAGCCTTAAAGTCAGATTCCCATGAGACACGTGGACACTGAGGACGGTGCTTCACCTGAGCCAAGAGGCCGGGTCTCAGTTTCCCATGGTGACACCCATTAAAGTCCTGCTGCGTCTGACCCTCTTGCCTCAGACAGCCACATTAGCACCTGGCCCATTGGCTACAACAATGCAGCTACCTGCATAATTCAGCACAACTCAACTAATGAGGAAACCTAACCTGATGCACACAAACCTGATCCCAGCCTTGCGCAAGTTAAACACACACACAGGCATCTGGTTTATTGTGTTTGTTTTGTTGTGATGATTATGAGTCATGTCAAACTAGATCCCTTTTTTTAACAGTCATCTTGTGATAGTGCTGCCAGATTTGCTTGAGTGAGTTTCATAAAGTCATGAATATACATTAACACAGCACTCTTCTTCACAGACTTCACTCTGGTTAATGTTGGTAGAGCCATGTGTGCACAAGGCTAACTTATTGAGCTCACACGGCACCTTTTGCATGTCAGTGAGCTGTCAGCGACCTCCTTCATCGCGCTGTTCCAACATATCTTCAACATTTCCTCACCTTCCTTGTCATCTTCAGTCATTCCGCATTAACCTCAATCTCTCCTCTCCTTCCTCTAACGCTTCATTGAGTGTCTCGAGCTGTCAGTCTCTGTCGCTCTTCAGTGTCTACTTTTCTTTTTGGCTGCGTTTCCAAAACAAAGGAAAGAACTTGGTCCCTTTTTTAACCTTTAACTCTGCTCCTCTAAGTCCCCTGTGCCTTTAAAGGGATATTCCGGCTAAGATTAAGTTAGGGTCAAACACACTATAACACCGAGTTAGACACCCTGTCGAGAGATGAATGTTGCCGACCGCTTGCTTCTCTAGTTGGAAACTATGGAAACAACTGCTGGATAGCAATACAGAGAGCCACATGCTCAATCAAAACACCACTCTATAGCCACAAATAATGCTCAGAACAGCATCTAACTTCATCAACAGTACATATAGGGTCCCAGCCATAGTACTAGACACCAAACATCATCTCAAGACCTTGAGCCAGTCCAGTACGGACTGCTGCGGGGTGACACAGCTCAAGGACAACATTTATAACCATTACTTTATCATTTTCGACATAATCATTTTGCACTGCAGACGCGGTAGTTCTTCTGCCTTAGTGTCTCGGTCTGATTGCATTTCCATGAAGAAATTATCAAAAATTTTCTTCCTTGAGCTGCGTCACCCCACTGCAGTCGATGGACTCGTGCAAGGTCTCCGTACAAACAAGCGGCTGCTGGAAGAGAGTAGGTGAGTTGTGTTTAGTCTCTTTGCGAAAGAAATCAGGCAAAGCTAAAAAGATGTTTGGTGGCTAGTGCTATGGCTGGGACCCTATATGTACTTTTGATGAAGTTAGGTGCTGTTCTGAGCATTATTTGTGGCTATAGAGTGGCATTTTGGTGTTTTTGTGTGGTTGTTTCCATATATAGTATAACTAGAGAAGCAAGTGGTCGGCAACATTCATCTCTCAACGGGGTGTCTAACTTGGTGTTATGGTGTGTTTGACCCCAACTTAATTTTACGTTGGAATATCCCTTTAACAACCAGGGAATATGATGTGGGGCTACACATCAACGTACTCCAGACATGTTTCAGATGTTGCTGGTGTGATGCAGGAGGCAGACAATAGAGTGAGACAAGATGGAATAAAAATCATCAATAGTACACAACAGGGAAAAGGGTGACAGAGGGAGAGGAAGAGCAGAATCGACAGCAGCATTATCACTCTGCCTCCTGATTCAAACACCCAAAGAAAATGCTCGGCACCCACTGCTTTCATTGGCCGAACCTGCAGCCAATCACAGCTTGGGAATGCAAGGTGCCTTTAGGTTATACCCAACCCCAAAACATGAGAGAGGGAGAAGGGGAGGGAGGGTGAGAGAGAGAGAGAAAGAGAGAGAGAGAGAGAGAGAGAGAGAGAGAGAAAGAAAGAGAGAGAGAGGGAGGCATGCTGTGGTGCAGAGGTTCTCTCACTGATGCAGGGCTCCATCTCAACTGCATTTTCTGCTGGCCTGAATATATAACTGTGAATAAATTACAGGCTTCTTTGCAGTAGTTTGAGTGTGTTGTGTTGCGGTCAGGGCTGCTTCTGCTGCTGCGGTGCTCACTCCTCCTCCTCCTCCTTCTCCTTCTGCAACAGCTGGCTGAGCAGGAGACGTGTGTGTCGAGATCTGAAGGAGAGGCATCTCATGTGGAAGAGGGCAAGGAAAGGGGAAGACACAGCGCTAGAGATGCAAAGTGAAGGTTGTGATGCTCCATGTTTTCTTCGAGTTGAGTTTTGAGTCACGTCAGAAGCAGACCGAGACAGGTTGGAGAATTGGGCACAAGGAGAGCGTGGGACAGTGAAGTTGACAGTGGAAGGACACAGGATGATTTTGGGTAAGATGGTGTCAGAGAGCTTTTTTTGGCTTTACCTCCTTTGATCCGGTTGATTTATTCATTTAAAGAAAGTCATGTCTGTCAAATGTGTTTTTTCCTTTTGAACTTAAGTTGTGTTTTTGATACTCCATTCACTTTGGTATACAGTTCTGTTTAGATTACCCACTTTGCAGAATCTATAGGATAAGCTGAGAAAGACTGGTTGCTGTTCTTGTAAATGCAAGATTTTCTAAAGAATTTCAGTCCTTTTAATCGATATGTTTAAATAAGTAATCCACAACTAGCTGAAAAATCACATCCATCTTCACCTTTTTAGGAAATCTGACAAAATGTTGTTAAAGAAAATCTCCAGCATTTTAAATGTCGCTGCTCTTTCTGATCATGCAGTAAATAACATAATCAGTCATCTCAGCTTCTCACCACTGACAGTTTAAGTGCAATTAACAATTACAGTGTGTGTATGGATGTAACTTATCAAAATAATCTCCTGTCACAAGTACAAGCTTCATCATCTTACACCTTTTAGATTTCAAAGTCAACATTTATTTAGTCTGAGAATTAACTTACCAGTCTACTTCACTTGAGTCTCTCACTCATTCAGTTTTAATACAATGCTTTAACATAGTGTGCCTATACTTAGACCAGGGAGCCAAGTGTGCAAATGATTATGTGAATTTGGTCCTATTTGTATGCAAAAAAAAACAAACGAAAAAAACAAAACAAAAAAAACTATATCTTAATACAAAAAAGGATGGAGGATGTAAAATATCCATGTTAACACTTACATATCCATGTAAGTGTTTTGAAAATCTGATTAATTGGATTTAATCCATTATGTTGATGGTAATGACTGTATCTTTATAAAAGTAGTTCTTCATTATGGTCAGTTGAACTGTTTAAATTCACAAGACCAAATTCTTGTAGTATTAGCCCCTATAATCCTCATTCTGTATTAATCTGATAATAATGAAGACCATCAAAGTGAGACAGTCATTTTACATCAAGTTTTGCTCTTTTGAAATCAAAACATTTTCCTTGTCTTTAGTCCACTTTGCTAATACTGATGCTTCTCGTTCTTTAGTTGAATTCATTGCTATGATCTTCCTCTATGTAGATGTTCATTGAGTAAATATTTGAACACTTTATTTTTGTTTGCCTGCTCTTACCCCTGCTGGGGTTTTTCTGTGATCTGACCGTGAGTTTGGGCTGGTGGTTATCCCTGCACTGAGCTCTGACTCTGTCTGTGTAAGACCTAAACACCCTTACAAGATCACAGCAACCTGGGCTGATGGGGTTTATATACAGTGATAGTTTCCTCTTATTCAGACAGGGTTGAAAGTAAAAAATAGTGATCGTGAAAGGCTACGACAATGACACTGTTGACAGGAAAATAGGGAGACAGAAAAAGAGGAATAGTCTCCATTCCTCTCAACGAAATTATGTTTATGGTGCCTCAGCATGCAGCATCCCCAGCCTTTGTTTACTGAATTTCTCTAATGAAAGGCAACGTTCAAACAAGTCAACACAACTAGCAATGAGTTACGAAAGATTTGTGTTAAAGCTGGCTCATCTCTCTCTGTGCAGAGCAGTGCAGAACGCAGTTTACTAACTCTTGTGCGATTTTAATGATGAATATTTCAGACCCAGAGGTTTGAGGTCTTTATTTATTTAAAAATAGGCCAAGGCTTCTTCCAGTCTGACGCAAAGACCTCTCTCAACACCATGAAAAAAGCTTTGTGGCTTGCATCACTGCTCACCCAACCAATACAAAGTAATCTATAAATACACATGAATGCTTTCGGCATCCAGACGCACTCACAAAGACAAAAATTTCCCCACTAATCAATGTCCTCTAAAGGACTCACAGGTGTGTTTTCCCTGATAATAAAAAAACAACAATGTCTTTGAACAGAGGGAATGAAAAGCATTGGCACTGAACAGAAAAAAATGGGATGCCAAGTTTGATTTATGGGCACTGACAGCATTTTATAAATGTGAATCCTAATGATGTAGGCCTGAACAAAAACGGCATGTTAGCAAAGAAGAGAAGGTCAAATAGCTACAAGCGACTGAATTTACAGTCTATGCTACCTGCACTGTCTGCCCTAAAAAAAAAACCTTTGGTTTTCATTAAAATGCCAACCACGACTCTTGCCTGTCATTAGAAAAGGAAACATAGTAGCGTGGCCTTAAATAGGAGGACTTTTAGCTGGATGAAGTGACAAAGAGTGCATGTTTTGGTAGATCTGTGAAAAATCAACAACATGTAACTGCATGTTGACTTTCCTTTACCTGCTGAACATTTTCTGTGACAAGTTTCATGAGAAAATGAATGAAATCAGCAATAGAATATAAAGTGCCATTTAAGGCAGTATTTTTATTTTTACTTTTTACCACAGCGACTAAAGAGACAAGATAATATTCATCGTTGTGCAAAACTAGCAGGTTAAGGGTGCCGCTGTACACCTGGTGCAAAACAATTTGTCACGCAGTGCTAGTGTCACTCGTCAATTATAAACCCAGCACTCAAGTTGCATAAATAGTACTTAAGACTTGTGCTTACATGTGAAAAGCGTTTTCGCTTCAGACCAACAAAAAACAAATCTCAGACTAGATTTTGGGGCACTTAACAACCAAAAAGTGTTCATGTCCTGATTTGTTAAGTGTACTGTAGACAAGGCATTTGGGATTGTTAGAAGTGGGCCCTTTGTGTTTTGTTTTGTCAAAGGTCCTATGAGAGACTTTCTGTTGATTTTGGTGTACTGTGCAGACAAATTGATACTCCTATCTCTTTGATGACTGACATTTACAATTTAATGTCAGTCTTTTGGTCTGACATCTTACCCCTTTTAATTGGTTACAGGCTTTAAAACTAAAAATATATACATTTTTAGAGTTGTTTGCTTCTGTAGGTCATAACAGGCACAAAAGTTTATTTTAACTTTTTCAAAATCATTAGAAACTCTTCACAGGGGCTTTAAAATGTTCCTACTTTGTATCATACACGTATTATCAACAGGCTTTTCACCAAACTTTAGTTGTCTGTAGGAAAACTGTTTGTATGGTCAGCAAAAGAGGCGAAAAACAGAATCCCCCATGATTTAAAATAGTTATAACAATAATTTAGCTTAAAAAAAGAGACATCAGTAACTATCTGCTTAGCTGTCTTCTCTCAGCACTAATCCAACCTGTGCTTTTTGAAAACGTAAACAAATTGAAACCTCAGCCTTAAGTCCTTTATTGCTGGCTGCAGAGGAAACCCTAAAAAGTTGGCCATCACCGTCAGAGGCTATTGGTGTAAGATGATCGCGAATGTGTTCTGAGACTGCTGTATCATTTAACCTGGAGATCATATTACCAATGGTCACAACATGAAGACAAAAGAATATAATCCTAACAATAAAGGCTAGCACTACAAATTACTTTAAATTCAATAGTTACTGTAATGTTTCAGAGGAGCGGCCAAACTGATCAACATTTTTCCATAAAGTTCTTCTGCATAGAGTTAACAGTTTTACAAAGCCCGCCACTAGTTTCTGGGCAGGGGTCAGAAAACACTGATAAATGATGCTTTGGACTGAATGACTGATTTTTTGTTAGGCTATTTGTTACCTATTTTGAGTGGTTATAAGTTGTAAATCACATTTGAAACATTGCATCTATGCTGCGGCTGGTTATTTTGGCTTAAATAAATGCTAAGAGAAGAGATTTTGAGTCTCATGAGACTTTACGCTTGGTCATGAAAATTATATGAAAACTTAAAACACATAGAAAAACCTATTCATCACTTGGTTAGGAAAACTTCTTTAAACTTTAAACTTGGCCCTAAAAACAAAAGATCAAGAGTCAAAAAGGCACATGGGCATGATCACCACAACTCTTTGTTGTTTGTTTTTTATTATCCTGAAGTTATTCAGAGCCACCAGCTTGACTCTCACCCTCCATAACCCTTGCCAGCCTTCCTGACCAGGCTATAGCATAAAGCCACATTCTGCCCTTCAGACTCACAAATTACAGCCTGTAATTTGCAGGCAGAAAACCACAAAGCTCTAAGTAGTTCAGCTGTATACATCCTTCTCTTGATCTATTTTGATCAGGTATTCATCAGCTTTGTGTGTTTTACGTTCGGTTTGTTGTGTTAACTCATAAGGAGAAGCACCTGGCTGCTGTGCCTCTAATGCCATTGTTGCATTAGTGTGTTCGCCTTGCCTTTTCGTGTTTGTTTAGTGTGATCTCCCCTCTCCCAGCAGGTGTGTAAATGATCTGGCAAACAGAGTAATAATGCGGGGCAGGGCTGCAGATCATGTTCTTATCAGTGATCTCCTTATAGCCTGTAGTTTGTGGTGAATTTTTTGATGTGGTGGTGCTCTCTGTTTGCCTCATACTGAGCTACATCAAGACCGCAGTGTAATGAAAGAGAAAGCTGGCAGCCAATTTCATGTTGTTCAGACACCTCCCTGAACAGCTGAAGCCTGAGAGGAGCTACAGGAAGGCAGATGTTCATACTCTTTACCCAACAAAGCTCTGAGGGATGCTGCACATTACCAAGCCAGAAGTCGACCACACAGAGTTTATCAATAGGACTATTTTATGAATATGCTGTACTCTTTTTACAAAATCTTAGTCTAACTTTCTGCAGGAAAATTCAATGTTTTTCAACTTTTAACTGTTAGAGTTCTACTCATTAAGAATATATTTTATAAAGGCAGAATCTGGTAGTAATGCCAACTTGGGCAATGAAAGCCTGCCTCTGTTGTCTATCACACAGGCTAGAGATAGAAGATAAAAACTGATTAAAGTGGACTGATGATCCAAGGAACTATTCATCTACCTTGATCTCTAACTCTAACTAATTCCTGCCTCACACATCTTAAATTACTAAGGCCTCAGAAGGGATCTGTCACTTAAATGTAAACTTAAAAAAGAAAAACAGGCTAAATGTGGTAAATGGTGAAGGGAATAAAATAGATAACTTACATAGGCTTTCAATCAAATATGTATAAATTAACACCAGCCCAAAATGACCATTCACCCAAAAGGTGACATGTCATTTCAGAGGCTTTATTTTACATTAGTCAAAAGTCTTTTTTAAGGGATACACAATATAGACATGTTATTGGCACTGGTGAATGAAAGCCTAAAAAGTCAGTTACTGGTATTGGTAGATTTAAACATTTCTCATGCTGTGTAAAGCCCATAAGGTGATGCATTCATTATGACAACTTGACAATGCCAACAATAGTCTTTAGCAGGTTGAGATACTTACACAATATCAAAGTATTTTGAAGTTACTGGAACTAACAACAAAATAGCCATTTGCAAGGCTTATACAGCACAGGCAATGCCAGGAGCAACACAACTCTCCCTTTAAACTACTGAATAAATTATGCCCCTCAAGATCATCATCGTCATCCTGAAGAGTATGAAGAGTTTCTAAAAAGTAAAAGTGAACAGCAAAAATCTGTCAGCTGCCTTCATATTCAGCAGGGACCAAATATCTGAATGTCTTTCACTGAAAGAGAATATGTTTATCATTTATGGGAGAATAATATTGTGCCACTTATTTTATGTCTATTTCTGGTACAAACAGACTCTCACAACCAAAATGAGTTTGAAAATATCAGAAGACCAGATAAAGGCAGAAATACTCATTCTAATACCTAATAGATATCCATTTATTTTACATGCAGCATACAATTTATTGATCCAATAGCAGCAAACGTTTGGCACCCGGGGCTTCTCATGACACAGAGAAGCCAAATGCCAGAGAGATGACTGAAGAGAAGGAAAGTCAAAAAGCATAAGCAATGGCACCAACACTCTGCACTCAGCTCCCCTATGCTCCTTCTGTGAACTCTTGTTACAGAAAAGTGTCTGAATATGAACCGCTCTTACAATGGTATGATAGGATAGTGGGTAGATGAAGCAAAAATGCTGCAGTACTTTACTTCTGTGTTCATTGTTCATTGTATTTAAAGCAAAACACCTAGAGGGACTCTTTGTTATTGAAGACCTACAGTACTTGGCAGTAAATCTAACTTAAAAACAACACAGACTGCAGCGTCAGACCAACAAAAGGAACATACTAACTCCAGTAGTTGTTTTCATCTTAAAAACAGAAAAATAATTTAAAGAAAAACAAATGACCTTTTTATAAAAGAAGACTGTATCCTGGAAAAGACAAAGGTATTTACAAAAATGGGAAACTGTTAAGAGTAGTGGGGAGGACTGGGTTTTTAGGTTTTAAGGCTATTTCTCAGGTGAGTCATGCAGAGCCAGTATAGCAATGCAGTATCCCCAGCAATAAAAAACTGAACATTAAAACATATGACAGATAAAATATTGCAGTAATACTTGCAACTTCATTCTCACAGCAGGTGAGCCTTGTTACTCAAGGCACACTATGCGAAAGCAAAATAACAACAGTAGCAACAAGCTGCACAAAACAATCAAAACAACAATGTTTAAAGGTACATAACTGCTATGAGACACTGCATTATGATCAACACGTTTAAGGAGAGACAGTACAGCCGAGATCTCTGTCAGTCTAGTCATCTGAAGGGGCTGCAGAGCAAGAGGAGCTCCATACTAGTCTGTGACTGGCAACTGTCATGAAATATACTCGGGCAGCATTGAATATCCGTACACTGGTTCTTTGCACAGATTTAGTCTATGTAGGAGAAATAGTGCTTTAACAATCAGCATGTGAAATTGACATTGTGCAAGAGGGCATGTGTTTTTGAACATATTAATGGCTTGATTCTTATAGGGTAAGAATCACAGTTTGTTTAACGTAAAAAAGGTCATGAAATAATCACTGACTCTACAGTTAGGCTGCTCAATATTTCCTTTTATGCTCATTCTAAGTTTTTCTTTTCTATTATTATGAATCAACTAATCACAGCTTTTCCAAAACTAAGTCATACCGTGCACTCTTCCCTTGCTCAGAGATCTTTTAAATCACTCCTAAACTAGGATTCCTCATTACGAATGTTTCAGCTAAGACGGCCCATATGTTTGTGAAGACAGGCACAGGTCTCAGGATTTGGATAAACGCTTACAACAAGACAAGACATGCGGGCAACCTAAAAAGAAGGCAACAAAATAACCCAAGTTTCTTCAAGCGCATATGACATTTTGCATGTGACAGCCAAAGGTTAACTCCTACAAACGTCTGCACCATCTGGACTGCTTCCATTCCTCTGAAAAATGTTACCATGAGATTTTAAACACATGACCAGTACAGCGTGTCACATGCTGTGTGGAGTCAAACTGCTTTCTTCAGTTTACAGTTGGTGGGTTTATTTTTTTGGTGCATTAATCTGTAGGTTAACATGGCTCTTTACCTCCTCTGGTCACCTTGGACTCACCTCAAAATATGCGGCTCCCTCCCCCTCCTCCATGCCTTCCCATTTTTCCACCTCATCTCCCCTCTTCATCCAGACCTCTTTTTCTTGCTCAATCGACTTCAACCACTCAGCATCACCGCCATTATTTCCCACCCAAGTCCTCATCTCCTCGTCCTCCTTAATCAAGGGGGGTTACCTTCTAATGATGCTCCATAATGCGACACTACAGAGAGGAGACACCGATTTTTCATGATGAATTAATCCAAACGAGGAATATAACACATTTGTTGCATAATGATTTTTAGATTCATGAGAGTTGGGCTAAACCATCAAAGTCAACATTAGTTACAAATACGGCATTAAAGTAAATCAGGGTTGCTGAATAGGGCTGATATCAAGAGCACTGAGCACATTTCAAGTGAAAGAGGGCTTCTACGGGAGGTGGCATATAAGTGTGGCCACTGAGGTGCAGGACATCTATCATTAAAAGAAAGTGCAGGCTGAAATCAACTGTGTTCTCTCTCTGCAGCACTCTGCCCTCCTCTTCACATTGTCCTTTTCCTCTCTTGAACAAACAACAAGCAATGTTGAGCCAATAAGTTACCCTTTTCATTCGTTCAGACTACAAAGGTTTGTGCGTGAGTGAGTGAGTGTGTGTGTGCAGTGGCGTTTGTCCCCTGCTTAGGTTAAAACAGCTGCCTTTGACTTGAGGCTAAGCCGAGCTGCAGTAAATTGGATTTCATGCTCAGTCCTTCACAGTAGCAGTATGCGACACCAAGACAGAGCCATCTTTCCCTCCCTGCAATCACGACAAAGTTAGCACATGTGTTTCCTCAAAGGTTAACACACTTTTATAACGTTTACACCGCAATGGCAAAGCTGATGTAACACAACATTTATACAGCTGATCTGGGAGCTGGTTTTTATGTCAAGTAGTCCAGAAATGTGACAGCTCAGCGTTCCTGCAACAGAACAGCAACCAGGAGTCGTAAGGCATTTAAACAGATGACAATCATAGTCATAGAGATTGTGTCACCTGCCACTAAATGTTGGATCAACTCTTTTTAACGTTGCCTTGCAGAAAAGGCGAACAACACAGCAGATCCACTATTTTTTATTTATTTTTTTTTTTTAGGCTACAGTGTCGACTCTCTTTGCTGCAGTGCCAGTATAGGGTGTTTGTTGGGGGAGGTATAATAATCTACCATTGAGACTCATTTTAGAGCCTACAGTGCAAATACAGATGTGGGGCTGGTGTCATAAGATGCCAACGTGATTGTCGTAAATATTGGTCTTGGTTTTATTTTTAACATTTGTTTCACTTTAATTTTGGTAGATGCATGCAAAGATAATCCTCTGCTTGGACTTTATTCTGTTCCCCAGTCTCTTGGTCCTATCATGGAGCACAAAAACAGAGGCAGGCACTGAATACAGAGAGGCTCCAGCAACATCACTGACATTGACATTACCTCTGTGATCATTAAACCTAAATTGGCTTAATGAATTGCCAATTTAAGAGGCCGTAGTCACAGCATTTCGACCAGTGTGTGCACACGTCTCAGTTTGTGAAATCCACAGTGGCGATTAGATCGTGTCCCTGGATGTCTATTTTTCTTTTTTTCCTCCCAACTACTCTGCATCTCTTCATTTCTGGCCAGCTACCTCTCGCTCACATTTCATGCAAAAATTCAATAAGCTATTACACGGGCATTGATCTTTTTCTCAGCCAAACATTTGCATTAGAAAAAAAAAAGGCAATAAGATGAGGGTCTGGGTGAGAGGGAGCTGTCTGTTCGTTTTAGAGGAGAGAAAGAGCAATAGACAGAGCGGCCTGGATTTATAGAGTTTGGCAGCACTTTAACACTTTAACGCTCCTCAGAATGTGTCCAATCAATGCGCTCCCTCCCTGCGTGGCCGCTGTTGAAGAGACGTGGCGTTCATTTATCTGATGTCATTGTAAATCACTCAGGAGGAGGGTAGGTCAAGGGATGCTGCTGCCACTGCTGCTGCACTCACAGCACATCCAGCTGCTGTGGAATGGCAGAGGATATCACTCCATCACTAAATATATCACTCTACTGTGAGTGTCTCCACAGTGAATTTAGATTTATAAGAAACAGAAGACTTGCTTTGACCTTTAAGTTCTAATGTGGCATAAAATGAGCTGGGGATTTACCAGGAGCGTGTCAGGAATATGCTCCACTGACCAAAGGGGAAACACAATGATGATACCTCTGGACTGATCTATAAAGCTTAACCGTTATTGTCTCTCTGTGAGCTTCGTTAACCACATGTTTAATTACCTTCCAGACGTTCCCCACCGTGTAATTTAATTTTTGATAGAATAACTACAAGAAAAAGAACCCTCAGAGCTTTGGGAAGAGAGGTGTGATAATCTTTTGTATTTTCTTCAACAAATCCCCAGAGCGGAGAAACACCTTTAATGAACATCAAACAAGTATCAGAGTAGCATGATAAAACTAATAAATCTGGTCAGTGAGCTCCACTGATGCCCATAAACTACAAGATACACAGAGTGAGTTACACCACTGGCGAGGTGTAGGCTCTTTGTATGAGTATATGGGCCATAAATAACTGATGTAGTCATCGAATGAATTTGTGTCATTCTATTTTCAGACATTTTGTGTGTTTTATGATATTGTTTGTTTTGAAAAGTTCGCTTTGGCAACAAAGGTTGTTACCATTTTTGCCAATATGGCATCTTGCACTTAGGGATGCACCGATCCCATATTTGGATTGGATATCGGCTCCAATATTGACTAATTAACTGGATCGGATATCTGACGAATGATGCCGATCCAGCGTTCCGATCCAGTCTTTTTTTATTTTTAATTAATATCATACACAGCAACACAGTGATGCTGTCTGCTTTATATTCTATGTCTGTCTATCCTTTTGCTCTAAATATTTACATGGACGTGTTACCTCTTTTTGCTGTGTGCTAATGTGTAATTTGTTAATAAATAATATTAAATAAATTTATATCTGTGTTAATTTGTTACCTTTTTTTAACAAGGCTAATGTCAAGCCTGATGCCTTCACTCACAGGGCAGTTCATTCATTCAACAGTAGTATCTGATCGGTATTGGTCGATAGGCTCAGCCCAGGTATCGTATCGGACTGGATTGGAAAAAAATGGATTGGTGCATCCCTGCTCGCACTTAAACTTAAATATAAATGATATAGCAATTGTGGAGTCACTAACAAGTTTGTCAGTGTCCATTTCAGTTTCTCATCATGCTGGTTCACTAAAGCCAGAAGTGACCATATTTGAACATGAGGATGGTGTTGGGGAGGAAGGGTGAGAAAATGCCAAGTTATGGAAGCTTGTCATGGCTAATTAGCTGATTTAGCTAACAATTTTGATGCTGTTTGTGGTGCAGACCAAAAGAACCTGACTGAATGACACAAATTCTATCATATAAAATAACCTCATCATAGTGAATCTTTAATCTTCTCAAAAAATGGGGTAATTGTTGATCGGTAACACTTAAATTGACGCCTCTCTCTATAACGCATTATAAATATATGTATAATCACGTTATAATCACGTTATAACTGTAGTAATAAACACTCATAAATGATCATAATGCTTAATATGCATAACACGCTATAAACCATTTTATCATGACTAAGGTCAGGTATTATAATGTGTTATGCTTATTGTTAAAAAGCCTTATGATAATTAATGAGTGTTTATAATGATAGTTACACATGTTTATAAGCAAATAATAACACATTATGAATATATGTATAGTGCATTATCTATGTGGGCATTGTCAGTGAGTTGTTTACAGTCATAACACATTATAATTCCTGACCTTGTAAGTCATGTTAAAATGCTTTATAATGTGTTATGATTGTTGCTGTAAAGCATTATGATCATTTATGAGTGTTTATAACTATAGTTATACGGTGCTATAATGTGATTATAACACATTATACATTTATTTATAATGTGCTATAGAGATAGGCGTCAAATTAAGTGTTACCTAAATGTCATTACTGAGAACAACATGCTTATTCACTGGAAACTAGGAAAGAGACCTCCTAAATGGTCTATTAATTCAACAAACAGAAAAGTTAGCAATTTGATATGTCTGATATTTGTAAGATAAAATCCGCAGCAGGACTATTAACACAACCAACTTAGTGACTTAGTGACTGAATTAGCTGAGATGACACCTAGCACACAGCTATTGTCAACCAACCTGTCACTCTTACAAATAATGAAACAGAGTCATATCATTATAGCAAGACATTTTTTTCAAACCCGTCAGGAGAATCAAAGTCTGCCATGATATAGTTTTTGCACTACAGACATATTCATCTTAAACACTGGTTTTATTCTTTGTAAACATTATGAATTTTATCCTCATGAGGAAGATTTGCTTACACAGACATTGTGGATGGCAGCCATGGCAGCGCGTAAAACGTGTTGTAGTGCAGTGATTTGTGACAAAAAATATCTATACTGCTTTGAAAGCAAAGCCGACATACTAATCAGCCATCATTTTTTAATATATTTTACTTGAAGTCATATTAAGCTTAGGGATACATCTTAATAAACAGTTAATTTACGACTATGTTTTCAGTTTGGGTCTGTTCATGTGATTTGTTTCCTCAAAATCATTATCATAATTTAAGTCCCAGATTTTTAAAACACTTTTGCATGTATTCATCCCTCTGTGCTATCTTGTGCTGGGTGTTCAGTCATTCCCTTCGGTTGGATGTGGGTGGGGGCTAAGGTGTGTTACTCAGCTGTTTCTTTAACCACACTAACCTCCCTGTGGTTGCTTTGCGGAGGTGATAATGGCGGCCATGTGAGCTGTGGCATCCATGGCATGCCTGTAAGACATTTAAAGCATAACCTGCACTTGCATATCACAGTTCCCCTCTTACCCTCTACATCCAGTCCTTCCTTTGTGCAGCACATGCAAAATTAGCCGCCAGACAAAAAAGACAACAGTTACAGCTGAGCTTCAGCTGTCATGGCCTCACAAGGACTGAAAGAGCCTGAAGAGGAATGCTAGAAGGGGAGACTTTCCCCTCCATCTATTTCTGATCCTGACAGAACATTCTTCACATCTCCCCTGCTGTCAGTGAAAAAAGCATTCTATGCTGCTACCAAAATAGCTTTTTCTTCCCCTCATTTTACAAGTGACCAGTTTTCTTTTCAAATGTCACAAAATTGGTAAGTAGTCATCACAAAGCAGCGGCAATAAAGGATGATGATTGCATATAATCTCTGGAGAAAAGATTATACAAATTCTCTCTGCGTAGCCAGATAGGGCCTGAAGCAGCCTGCTGGTGAACGCTGCAGAAAAGAATGAGTTCAGGAAGGAGAAGTGAAAAGAAAGAGCGCAAAAACAGAAAGAGGATGAGGAGAAGCAGGAACAAAACAACTTGGAGGACTGGTATGAGGGGAACTGCAGAATAGGGAGACAGTGGCAGGCAGACAGAATAAGAGACCATGAAATGGAGATAGAAAACAGCACTTGGCAAAAGAGAGAAAGAGAGAGAACGAGAGAGACAGAGATGGAGAAAAAGCGGATATCTGCAGCACCCCAGCTGCGAAGCTTAAGGAGCTTAGCCCTCCTGCCCATCACAGAAGACTCCTCAAGTGCAGGCAGTCACCACTGCTGAGCTACAACTGAGAGAAAAGTAAGAAAGGCAGGGAGAGGAGAGGTTTGTTGGGCTCAGTGTGAGGGAAAAATGAAGGGTTTAGATCTTTACATGAGTTAGATGTGTTTGAACAGTGACAGCACTTTTCTGTGGCACATATTGATGCTGAGCCTCAACGTGGGAGCTTGATTTAAGGTTATACTTTGAGAATACCTGTTTTGTTGCCAAGATTTAGATGAAAAGATCAATACTAATCTGGTGTCTGCAATGTAGTTATAAAGCTGCAGCCAGCACAGCATTGTCTCACAGAGATTGGTGAAAAGACCAAAACATCATTACACTGCATTTTATAGTGCATATTATGTACTAGATTTAGTGCCTGGGTAATAAGAGGTATTCCATTGTAAAGTTTATTAGCATGCGGCTTGTAGAGGGAAAAACCTTAATAAAATGAAGTGAGGTAGAATAAAATGTAAAAATGAGGTGGCAGACTTTTGACCACCACCTTTTTAAACCTTATCGTGTAGTTTCGGTACCTAACCTTAAACAAACAGCCATTATGTCACCATACTGACAGTGTGGTGGAAAGGTTTTTGACTTGCAGTGATGAAAGACTGAAAATTCAGGCAGACAGGGACCTGGCTTTGTCCTGAGGTAAAAAAAACGCCTTGTAGTCAGGGCTCGGCGATAAAACGATATATCCAAAATTAATTTCCCTTGATATCGGTATGGAACATGGTCAATGTGCTTTTCAATATACGGCATTCTGCCATGTTTTGGTAGACTATACGAATAGCCAATGAAAAGGAGATTTGTTCGGTCCGCTCCGCTCTGAACCAATCTTGTGCTGAATTAGAGCCAAGTAGCAAACAAGTGCGTAGTAGCAGGCTGCAGCTACACCCAACCATAGCACTTAAATACGTAAAGCCGACAGCACTGTCGGTGAGAAAATAAGAAAATGAGTGCTACAACAGATGGCGACATCGTCGACAACACTGGCATGATAACGTTGGTGATGTGAAGGAAAGTTTTTTTGAGGTCGGACATGAAGCAGAGTAATGTGCACTGCAAATTATGTCGAGTGCATGATCTCGCAAAGTCAGGGAATACCTCAAATCTTTTTTTACCACCTGAAGTAGAGCCACGCAGCAGAGCACACGCAACGTCATGGTTTACAAACACCGAGCTGAGCAAGGAGCCCATGGGGCCTGAGCAGCCGAAACAGTCAGTCTGCTTTCTCTAGCGCAGTGGTTCTCAAGTCCAGTCCTCTAGGCCCACTGTCCTGCATGTTTTGAATGTTTCCCTGCTCCAACACACCTGATTCAAATGATCAGCTTGTTATCAAGCTCTGTAATGGCTTAATAACGAGCTAATCATTTGAATCAGGTGTGTTGGAGCAGGGAAACATCCAAAACACGCAGGACAGTGGGCCTCGAGGACTGGACTTGAGAACCACTGCACTAGTGCAATGCCTTATGATGAAATGTCGAAGACGTGAAGACCTCACAGATGCAGTAGATTATTGTATTGCAAAAGACATGCTACCAATAAGCACTGTTAAATTTTTTTATATCATGATATATTGATATTGACTAATATGGAAAATATATATTGTGTTTAACTTTTTCCCATATCTCCATGCCCTACTTGTAGTAGTGCATCTAAATTTTACAGAATTAACACATTTATCTACCCCTTTCATAAAGAACGGGACAAATATTCTCAAGACCCAAGAAAGTTGTTGCTTACAGCCTAAAAATACTCTATATGCATCGAACCTAAGAAGTCTGAAAGCATTGATGTCACCAACTTATTTACAAACCACGTACAATGATTTCCTTTCATAATCATCCACATAATACATTTGATCGACCATATCTGTTTGTGCATCTTTCACAGGAAGTGTAAGCCGACCAGGGCCAGTTCCTGCCTTCCTCAGGAGCCCACCTGTCATCCCAACCCCACTGGACATGAAGCCCTTCCTCCAGTTCCCCTTGGAGTCGCCTCACCCGGCGAGCATCGGCCTCTTCCACAATTTTAACACGGTGAGTGCTCACAGGCTTTCCTGCACTTTGTGTGTGCAATTTGTTTTACATAAAAAAGGACAGCGCTGGGATTTAGTCACAGCTCGGGACAAATACCTTCTGAGTGAATAAACAAGTGATAAAGTGCTGAAGGTTTATACCATATAATCCAAAATGATAAGGTGACAGCTGTTTACTTTTTATTTAGCAGAATGAGTTTCAGCATAATTGAGAAAATGCCCAGTGGAGTGTTTTACTGCAATAAAATGAGTAACAGCTAATCAATTGTATAAGAGGCCCACCATGTGTTCTTAACAGTCAGCACTTTCTACGGCTCCTGCTCATTTCCAGATTGGGTTTCATGTGAAGGTCAGAGTGGCGACAAACAGGGTTTCACATGCATCTCTCTCTCTCTCTCCCTCCCTCCCTCTCTCTCTCTCTCTCTCTCTCTCTCACACACACACACACACACACACACACACACACACACACACACACACACACACACACACACACACACACACACACACACTATTGTCTCGCTCATTGTCATGCACTCAGGCAAAATGACTTGTCTGCAGGTTCATGATTCATCCAGCTTCAGGGAGTACAGTGAGTGTGTCCACTAATGCCCGTACACCTCACTTTAAATCCCCCTGTCTACACAGATTGTTATCAATCATATTTCAAGGATGGACTTAAATTCTGACAGGATCATGACCATTTTAGAATAAGCAGTGTTTTAGTTAAAGCCGTGACCCTGTCTTCACAGTTGTGTTACAGTCGGGGTTGAGTCTTCCAGTAGAGACTGAGAACAGTATCAGGTCTGATTCATCAGGATTACAGGAAGTTTTTAGCCAATTAGGAATCTCAGGAGTTTAAAACTGGTCTCAACTCCCTGCTTAGAGACGAGGGCTGCACATTGATGCATGGTGTGTGATGGAGAAGGAGACAGTATGCCTGTCTGCATAAAGATCTGTAACACTTCAGCGGAAAATACCCTTTCTCACCTGGGCTGGAGTTTGGAGAGCATTTTATTTGTCTGTGTGTCTGTTCTGGAGAGTGGTTTCAGCAGACAGTTGAAATGATAAAGATTGTCATCATATCATATCCAAACCGTGCTTTGAAAACATTCAAGATCGCTTTTCAAAATTACCTTTTTTTTTTCATTTTTTGCGTCTTCACCAGAGCGATGGTTAGAGTTATTGACTCATAATATGATTTACAGAACACAGAGTTCAAACAAAGTGCAGAGAACATGAAAATAAATATAACCACTTATTTTTACCTGCACTGTTTAAAGGACTATACATAGCTTGATATGGTGTTGGTTTAATGAATATTCTGATAATGATAAAGCTGAGATATTCAAAGGGATAATGAGTTAAAATTAAGAATAACATTTATTATTATGGGTTTCAGTTATCTATTCTTTTTTGCATCTGGATAGCTGAGCCTTGAACAAGGTAAAAACTGTATCAAATCTGTCATCTCTTACCTGAGCTGTAGGGCTGGGCGGTATGTCGTTTGACCATTGTAATTGTGAAGTGGGCACGTGCAATGATCACAGTGTGAAACATATCGTGTTTCCTATCAACACTTTCTTGTATACCATAACCAATTGACAAAAAAGTCAGTCTGGTAAATGGTGCTGCTGGCCCAGTGGTCTACGTACACGCCCAACTTACAGAGGTTACGCCTTAAGGTTCTGGCCTGGGTTCAGTTCCAGTCTTTGGCTCCTGTCCCTCATGTCACCCCCACTCTTTCTCCCCATTTCCAGCTGTGTCCACTTTCCTGTCCTCCCTAAATAAATGCAACAAAAGTCTAAAAATATCATTTGACTTTTAACTTACTATCAGCGGCATTTTTTTTTTTTTTTGTAGCAATCCAAATGTTTATAGTAATATGTTGCTCCACCTGTTTTCTCTCCTCCTCTTGCCTCTGTACTTCTCCATGTGGGTGTCAAAGCCAATAATATGTGTCTGCAGAGCCACTGTCAGAGGGCTGGACACAATCTGATCAGAAAACAGAATAGTCTAGTCTAGTCAAGTTTCTTGTATTCATTCATATCCCGAAATGAATTGCAAAAGGAAAAATATCACAACTTCTGTGTCTTTCTAAGTATCCTGAAGCCCTTGTTCCTGGTTTAGTTGTGTGACCCTGTACTGAAAAATAAAACATGAGCCACACTCAATTGGATAACTCTCAGGTGTTGTTAAATCAACATGTGAGACAATTTTGTCAAATTTGTGAAATAAATGCAAAAATGAGCACAGAGACCTTTCATATGTTTGAGGTTTGTTGTTGAAGAGTTGAGCTGTAATTAAGCTAAAATCCAGTGGTCCAAACAGCATTAAGTTTACATACTTTTGACAAAGGTTTGATTGGTAGATGGAAGAGAGGCTAGAAAATTAGATTAAGTAGACGATCAGTTGATTAAATTTTCACAGTAGCAATAAACAAGCAAGATTTTGGTGAGACATGGAGTAGTAAATAAATGGTAGGAATCATAAGTTAACATCGTAAACAAAAGCTCCCAATACGAGGTGATGGGGTTTCCCTTTTTTTCACCTCATCGGTAACAAATACTGACACAGAAATAAGGGCAGCATCTGGTGTGGGCAAGGAGACAAATATGCAGGTGAAAACATATCTGAGGGTGTAACAAATGTACAAATGAAAAACACAATATAGAAGAGAGGTGCATAAGAGACTTAATCAGAGACAGGAGGGAAAATCAGCAGGCTGCAGTCTATAAATACACCCAACATTACAGTCTAACAGGGTTTGGGTTTTCAGACCAATTATACTATATTCCCTTGTGCCTGAAGCTTGAGAGTGTAAACAGTCTCAAATTTGGCAGCGAACATTTACAGTCTGAGCAGAAGATGAGAGGCTGAGTAAAACCGCAGCGTAATTTGGCTGCCAAATGAGGGCAACACCCAACGTTGTGGTTCTTGAACTCTGCCAGTGGGTCAAGGAGCTCACACGAGTTTACTCAATTCATTTCCAAATATGGCACTAAAAATATCCTGAGAAAATATCATGATATAAATTTGGTTTGGGTGCTACTTATAAAAAAAGGCTGGAGCCACATTTGGTCATAATGAAGGGGTATTCCAGCGTAAAATTAAGTTATGGTCAAACACAACGTAACACCGAGTTAGACACCCCGTCATGAGATAAATGTTGCCGACCGCTTACTTCTCTATACTAACTATATTAACAACCACATGATAGCAAAACACAGCGGTCTAAGGAGCCACAAACAAACCTCAACCAAAATGCCACTTTATAGCCACAAATAATGCTCAGAACAGCACCTAACTTCATCAACAGTACACATAGGGTCCCAGCCATAGCACTAGCCATCAAACATCTTTTTAGCTTTGGCTAATTTCTTTAGCAAAGAGACTAAACACAACTCACCTACTCTCTTCCAGCAGCCCCTTGCTTGTAAGGAGACCTCAGGCCAGTCATTACAGACTGCAGAGGGGGGACGCAGATCAAGGAAGAACATTTATGATAATTACTTTATCATTTCCTTAAAGTTATAATCACCATATTAATCATTTTGCATTGCAGAGTAGTTCTGATGCCTTAGCGTATTGGTCTGACTGCATTTCCATGAAGAAATGATCATTCCTTGAGCTGCGTCACCCCGCTGCAGTCGATGGACTCGTCTGAGGTCTCTGTACAAACAAGAGTTATGTTTGGTCTCTTTGCTAAAGAAATCAGGCAAAGTTAAAAAGATGTTTGGTGGCTAGTGCTATGGCTGGGACCCTATATGTACTGTTGATGAAGTTAGGTGCTGTTCTGAGTATTATTTGTGGCTATAGAGTGGCTTTTTGGTTGAGGTTTGTTTATGGCTCCTCAGACAGCTGTGTTTTGCTATCATGTGGTTGTTACCAAAGTTGGTATAACTAGAGAAGCAAGCGGTCGGCAACATTCATCTCTCAAGGGGGTGTCTAACTCGGTATTACAGTGTGTTTGACCATAGCTTAATTTCACACCAGAATATCCCTTCAAGCAATGTCAGTTGACATCAAATTCAGGATATTTAATGAAAATCTATGGGTCCACTCAGTTTTTTTACATTTATTGTTCCTCTTCTTTAAATTATGTAGCAATTCCCTTTAGGACGAAGATAACTGGTGCCCTGTGTATTTCAACTTTCAATGGTTTTACCTTTGAATTGACATAACAGAACACCTCACAAATAACTTTGGTTGTGTTTAACATAAAACTTATTCAGTGTAATCATAATCCTCTGGTCTTGTATGTAAAGCTGGGCATCTGTGTTATGTTCAGCCATTTTTAGTGTATCAAAATATTATTTGTTGGTATCACTATCATTTTGTGTACTCATTATTGCAAATGCAGATCACAGTTCCCTAAAGCCATATCAGATCAGAATCCACTCTTCCTCAGCTAGGTCGTGTCTAATGTACGTTTCATTTTCATCAAGATTCCCCACAGGAAACACCTCAAACATTTCAAACATTTACCAAACGTGATGTTTTGAAAAACAAAGGTTTTGTAGCACACAAACAAACTAGACATTTTATAGCAGCAGAGAAGCTGTAATTAGGCCCCTCTAACCTCGGCATGAGTTAAAGCGTTTGAACGGCACCCAAAAACTGAGGCACAGACAGCAACACCAGCTGCTGCAGAGAAAACACACACCCCCCTGTCCACATCAATCAATGCTCCCTCTTCAATTCACTCTTCTACGCTCTTTTTATCTTCAAGCTTCTCCCTTCAGCGACTCCCCTGTCATTCACCTGCACTTTTTTTCAACATTACTCCCTCTCATCCTCGTTCACAGGGCTGCAGTTAGGGGAATCAGAGACACTGCCCTCTGAGCTCTTACTGTGTTGCAGAATAGCTGATATGACCTCTGGATTGTCTCTCCTCAGATGGACCCTGTCCAGAAGGCTGTGATGACGCACACCTTCGGGCCACCTATGGTGAAGACAAAGCGGCCAATCATTTCCTGCAACGTATGTCAAATACGTTTCAACTCAGAGGTATGAAATCTGGAGTGGCTTAAATGTGGGGACTGCTTTTAATGACAATTCCCCACTATCTGTGCACTAAAGCCATTCCTCACACCGCAATAATCCAATCATACTGTAGCAGCCATTACTGAGAGCTGCTGTGATTCAAACAAATCTAAAACACTATGAACAAAGCAGTGGAAAAAGTGAAACTTTGACATGGTGTTTGATTCTGGAGGGTTATGTCTTATACTGCAGTCAGGATCAGAGTTGGTGTATCTATTTGGATGTTTGCTGCAAAAATCAGCAGGTTTTTCTTTCAAACTTACAAGTTCCAGTAACAACAGTAACCAAGCAAACCATAAATGTAACTTTGGGTGTGATTAACAAATTTAAGATGTGAAAAAAAAAAAAAAAAACACAGCAGCTTTACAGTGAGGGGAAATTACACTAAATTAATTTTTATCCAAGTAAAAACTGCTACCAAGACCTTCAATACTCCAACTTACGAAAAAACACGACCAAAAATATTTAAAAGGATGCTGAGTTAGCATTTTCAACAGCTAAAGATTCATTTTCCATAAATCTGTATAGCTACATGGAAGTTACTGACAGGCTGATTATACAAAACATACAGCTTTGACACATTTCAAAGCTTTTTAGCCCAACCGAATGCTACAACAACTTTTTTTTGTAATCTAATGTACATCTTTTGAAGTGCTTTTCAAATGACTACAGTATGCTCAACAAATGGAATAAAATAAAATGATGTCTTCTTGGCATTATTTTTGCTTTGCTCTCCTGATTCATTTCATAGAAATAACAGGGTTAGTGTATCGAACTCTGCTGCAATATGTCGACCACAAATGCAAAACTCAACACAAGCAAAAGGACTTAAAGTTGAAAACAATAGTTTTGGTTGCAAATAGCTGACACGTTTAACATACATTTAAATTTTCTCTATTAAAACAGAAAAAAATATTTGTTACCACAATGCTATTGGCTATCACGCTAACAAAGACATGATTGAGGTCAAACTTCAAAGTGTAGCTCCCATAGCGCTCTACGTATTCACTCCTGATCTATTCAGAGAGTTTGTAGGGACCAGAGTTAGTTTGTGGCTGAGAGTACAGCTGAGCAAGTGAGATGTCTGTTCACAGTTTCTCAGTTCCAATTTTAACCCACCTACAAAGGAGAGTAGAAGGGGGGGACACCCTGCTTGCATAGTATTCAATGACAGAGCTGGTTTATTTTCATGTCTGTCTACACATATTTTTTAAATATTATTTCAGCCAAACAAACGAAGAGACGGAGCAAATTGAACCAAGTTTGCATATCCTTTTAAGCTGGATTTTTTTTTTTTTTTTTTTAATATTTAGTCGGGCTACCTTTGGTGAACCTTGATAGTATATCTTCAGAGCTAAGACAGAACCTGAGTGCAGGTTTTCATGACCACTGGAGAGGTTTTTGTGGATGAGCGTAAAATGTGACAGGGTCAAACAGCTTACATGAGCTTGTCCTCAAAGCTACCTTGAAGCTGATTGTGCACATTTTTTGCATTTCACTCTTGACAGATGGAGCTACTCCAACATGAAGCACTGAAGGACTGAAATTAAAGAGGCCAGAAGTGATGAAACTCTATAGGACTGATTCGAATGCTTGCATTAAAGAGGCAGTAGTGTTAACCAAGGCTGAAAAGTAAATAACTCATAATGCGGACATCCAAAACCTTGTTACTGAATGACATGATTGATGTGTTAAGGGTCTGGTGCTGGACCTTTACAGTATGTTTTTGTAAGCATGTGGGTGGGTATATATTTTTATGGCCTGATACTATCTCTTTGCAAGAGAAATGACAGGTCAGATAACACGTTGCCTGGTTGGATAAAAGGTTTTGACACAACTTTGATGAATCTCCGTAAACATATTTACTGTCAAAAACTGCTTAAAACTTGCAACAATTTTACTTAGAAATTAAAAAGACGTAAAATCTCTGAGCTGAATTCCCCTCACAAATAACCATCTTGATGTGTTTTGATCAATACCAAACTATTTTTTCTGTACACTGTAACCTAAACATGAGGAGAAATCAAACAAAAGTAAAGCAAACAAGTGCAGCTAAAAATATGATTGCATTCCTGTGATCGAGTGCTAAATACTTGCACTCTAAATGCAGCGGTGTGTAAAGGACACAGTCAGGGAGGGAGTCATCCGAAACTCATGTAACACTGCCATGTTCTCTCTGCGAGGGGCTGCTTAATTATATCTCCCCCGCTCAGATCCGCATGTTCTCACGTGGTCTCTGCAGAACACAAGTGAGGGGGGGGGGGCTGCTTTAATTTACTCCAGCAAGTTCATATTTACTTTCTCTGTATTCTTTATGTAACTACATCTGTACGTGGATAAAAAATGCTTACATGTATGATCTGGCTGGTAACTAGACTGTGTAATGGAGTGAGAACTTAAAAACTGATCTACCTGATTGTTCTGCCTGCTGTTAAACTTTTGAGCTGAGTGGTGCGTCTGCTCTGCTGCAGCTATAGAGCTTTTTCCATGGTAACCTGATAGACTGGGAGCTTAAAGCATGGTGAGCATTCTTTAATAATGAAGGAATACCCTGCTTAAAGGACACTACTCTGCTCACGCAGGCTGTTCGGACTGCACCTAAATTCTCAAAAAGAAAAACACTTATACTTTTACTTATTTAACCAAGTGGTGGATACTGTAAATCATCTTTGGTTGATGTAAACAAAACAACAATGCCTGAAATGCTTTAAAATGATGCTATCTAGTACATTTACAGTCAAAGAACCCTTTGACTACATTTTGTGTGTTACCCTAAGCACTATCAACTCTGCAGCAGATTGAGAAGATAATCACGGAATAGTAGACACGCTTTCTCTCTTTCTCATGTTGCAGAAACAGCTCTCAAATTCTTTAGCATAGCTCTTTGTGTGAGGAAATACCCTTCTGCATACCCCTGCATAGTCATATCAGTGCAGAATTGGTGCAGTCCTGTGGAAAAGGTTTATTTTTCATTGCAGATTTTAAAAAAAGGCACTATATTGACAGAGCTATAAATTCTTCCCCTAAAATCAGTATCAATCCTCCTCTACTCCCGTAATGTCCTCTTCAGTTCCAAACAATTGTTATAATATTGATGTTTTCGTTCCTTGTTTGTGAAGGCTGACATTGAACAGGAGTTCATGGGTCCTTCTGCAAAGTGAAACATGGATTGGTAGAGAACACCTAGCAGGCTTTATCCTGTAGCCACTCATGTCGTACTTGTAACATTGCAATGCGTTTCAGGCCACAAAGGACAAATTAGCCTGCCGGTGTTTAGCTCGGCTCTGCTGCAAGGCTTACGTCACACTGTGCTGCATTAGCCATCGTCACCACTGCAGTACCACACTGGATGTGTCTCTCTTCCTGTCTTTTCAAGCTTCTTGTTCTCCACACCAAACATTGGCTCATTCCTGTCTTCAGTCTGCTCAGCATGTCAGTTTGTACAACCATTTCCCCAGTCAGTTTTTATGTTTCTTCATGTTTTTCCCTCTTTGGAGTGAACTGTATCATCTGTCCCTCTCTCCCTCTCTCCACCTCCACTGCTCCTGCACACCCCCTCTTCCTGTCGCTGCTGCCAGTACCCCCGTACAGTAGATTTGGCTGCTAGACCCGCTCTCCCTGCTTTCTGCGCCTTTGTCGCTTTATAGATAAAACATCAAAGCACATCCTGCTTAGAGAGAAAAAGGATTTCAGGGACATTCACTTGTTCTCATTTTCTCCCTCTTTAATCCCATCTCTGCTTCTTCATTCATCTTAATCCCCCTTTCCATAGGCTCTCTCGTCACCTCTCTCAGTCCATTTCACCTTCTGTACCGAACATCATTTATAATTTATCATTATTCACTTTTTGACTCTTAAGATCAGATATGTTGATCTCTTTTACATCTCATCAACTACTAGATCCCATCCCACCCATGAGGCTTTCATTTTTCTTTATAGCTAGAATTGATGGCTCAACTTTATCGATTTCTTACAACCTGACAGTGGAGGTCACAGGAGGGTGAAAGTATTAGAGCTCAAATCCATAGAAAACTAGTCAGAGTTGAGTAAGGAACGAGGAATGAGAGTGAATTTCAAAAGAAGACGGTGCATTGAGTATTTTTTGCCTTGAGAGCTCTTTGTTTTTTTTGTTACTTGGAGGTTTAGGACTTCCTCTCCATGTCTGACTCCAGTACTTTGGATAGCAGCAGTCGGAGGAGTTGGGTTACTCTGGTGGAACTATATCTGCGTTTCTGTCATCACTAATCAGGATAAGGGCTATATGGGTAACTATCACTGGCAGTTAATACCTCCGGCTTAAACAGGCATCCAGAACATGTCCCGGTAGTCTACTTGCCCAGTAAAACAACCCATCCTGCAAGGCCCCGACATGTACCTGTCACACACTTAATGCAGCAAGTCCCTCAGCTTTGTTATTGACATCAGAAACCTGTCTAATCTCAGCAGGCCGCAGCCTCTACACTCACATGTACCCACACAAGCACACGCACAGTCTCGTGTTGCTGTATTAGTAAGAAGCTTAAAGAAAGTATTATAAATCTGTGCCCAAATACATGACTCTGCTCTTTGATTTCATCCGATGAGGCCATGTTTGTCCACGCTTGAAGGGTAATATCGGTTTCTTGGATGAGTGTCTCTTGGACTGAACTTTTCTGCACTTGGCTATTTCTCTTAGATTCAAAGTGCCATGCAGTGCAGGGGGTACTAAATCCTTCAAGCGTAAGCCAGATTGTAAGAGTGAGGAGGTTGTAAAGCATGAGAGGTGAAACACTCACAAAGAAGAGAGCAGATCCGGGGCCCTCACTTTTAAATTACCATTAACTACAGTCTTTGGTGAATCCCAAAGCCACTGGAAACCTGAATTCACACTAGCTTCTCAATATGCCAACCTCATTTGCAGTGCCAACTATCTTGAGAAATGATCGTTAGTTTACTATTATTATCATTTTTATTTTTATTATTATTATAGCTCCAGGTTTATCTGCCAGACAATTTAAATTCTTTGGGAAAAATTCAGCATTAAAGGGATATTCCGGCATAAAACTAAGTTATTGTCAAACACCGTAACGCCGAGTTAGACACCCAGTTGAGAGATGAATGTTGTCGACCACTTGCTTCTCTAGTTATACCAACTTCAGTAATGACTGCACAATTGCAATACAGAGAACCACGCACTCAACCAAAACGCCACTCTATAGCCACAAATAATGCTCAGAACAGCACATAACTGCATCAACAGAACATATAGGGTCTCAGCACTAGTCACCAAACATGTTTTTAGCTTTGCCTGGTTTCTTTAGCAAAGAGACTAAACACAACTCACCCACTCTATTCCAGCAGCCGCCTGTTTGTGCATAAACCTCAGGCCAGTCCATTACTGAATGCAGAGGGGTGACGCAGCTCAAGGAAGAACATATATGATCATCTCCTCATGGAAATGCAATCAGACCGAGATGCTAAGACAGAGGAACTACTGTGTCTGCAGTGCAAAATGATTAATATGGTGATTTTTACTTTAAGGAAATGATAAAGTAATGATCATAAATGTTCTTGCCCGGAGGTCTCCATACAAACAAGCGGCTGCTGGAAGAGAGTAGGTGAGTTGTGTTTAGTCTCTTTGCTAAAGAAATTAGGCAAAGTTAAAAAGATGTTTGGTGGCTAGTGCTATGGCTGGGACTCTCTATGTACTGTTGATGAAGTTAGGTGCTGTTCTGAGCATTACTTGTGGCTAAAGAGTGTTGTTTTTGTTGAGGTTTGTTTATGGCTCCTGAAACAGCTGTGTATTGCTATCGTGCGGTTGTTAATATAGTTGGTATAACTAGAGAAGCAAGCGGTCGGCAACATTCATCTCTCGAGGGGGTGTCTAACTCGGTGTTACCGTGTGTTTGACCCTAAATTAATTTTACGCCAGAATAACCCTTTAACAATATTTGTACATATACGTCTGTTGATAAAGAAAACCATCAACCCTGAGGAATTTTAATTTTTCTGAATGTCAAACCTTTAATCTTATACATAACTACTCTCAAAGTGCTGTAATCATAGCTCTTTTCAGACAAAACGCACCACCCACAACCAACAGATATCCTTTTTCTTGGTTTGAAACCATAGACTGTATAAAGAATGGACAGAGTCTGCCTCCTTGCTGGGTGAAGCCACTCTGAGAACAGCACCCTCTGTTGATGGGCTGCAGTATAGGTCATAAATCCCGCCTCTGTCGGCAAAGCTCATGGAGCTGTGGACAAACATTAGAAACTTATTACACAGAATATATATCATATATATATCACTGCTTGTGATGTTGACATGTAGTTACTGTTGGACTGGTTTGTGCTCAAGTCCTCTTTTTTCTGTACAGCTCCATTTTTAAAAGTTATTTGGGGGTTCATGTTTTCTATGATTGACACCTGATACAGCCTACAGTATTGGCGTTCAGGGATTGCGTAGCTCTCCCGGATGATACGCTGTTTGAGCCGAGCATCATCACAGCGACTCTCTGCGACTGCGCGCCCGAAAGCGCGCATCACTACTGCGCAACGCTGGTTTCAGGAAATGAAGAAAAATCCCGGAAATACCGAGAGCTTTTTGGCTTCAAATCTGTATACTTGCGGGAGGCAAGTTGTCCATATTATATACAGTCTATGTTTGAAACTGATCCTCTTAAAAGGATAGGCAGGCAAACACACCCCACTTCACACCCTGCAAAGTCTTCTTGATTTGCTCCATTTTTTCCTCCCAGCAGCTGACTGTCAACTGTCACCAGTCACCCACAGCCCATTTTAGATAATCCCTCCACTCAATAATCATCATCAGCTCAGTGGGCCAGTTCAGTGATTACACCAGAACTGAGGGAAGACGAGAACATTCTGGAGGCTAATCTTCCCTGACAGCCTCATCAGCACATTAGACCCGCAAACCATCAGCTCACCAGCCTTTCAGCGCTAAACCAGTGTGCCAGGAAATGTTTTGTTAATGATCTCTAGAAATTTAAGTAAGATATGAGACCTTTCTGGTGAGTTCTCTACACTTAACCAAGAAAGCATAGGTATCATGTGTATCTACAGACGCTTCCAAGGTATAATAGATCTGGTGGGTTAAAAGGCCATCACAAGTGAAAAGATGATTTACTTTTTGGAAATGGGAACAAACATTTTCAAGTTTTTTAATCTGTTACTAATGTGGATCTTTTGTATCTCATTTTCTCTGCCAGAGCCAGGCAGAGGCTCACTATAAGGGGAATCGCCATGCTCGGAGGGTGAAAGGGATCGAGACATCCAAGACAGCTCGTCTCCAAGATGGTGACAGGCAGCACCCTCCCTCTACTGCTTCACCCTCCCCACTAGGCCCATCACCATCCAGTCCTGAGCCTGATAAGCAGGGTGAGCATTACCTTGGGCTTTTGTTTGTGATGCAGACAAACGCAGGAATCTGTTACTAAATGGCACAAAGGTTGGACAAGAGTTGTTGTGGTGAGCTTACCAGAAGAGTGTCCTCAAGTGTTGATACGACTGCACAGCTAAAAGGGATTTGTCAAGGACACCTTATTATCATCTTCACCATCACCATCATAATGACACAAGGCTTGATGACTAAAGGGTGTAGTTGACTTTGCACAAGTTCTTCACTCACTTGACAAACTTTGTGTTGTTTACAGATGACCCCTCATCCTGTTCCAGCTCCAACAAATCACCTTTGACCCCTAGCCACCTTCCAATACCCACACTGAGCTCTGCAGACACAGAGTGTCCTCTCTTGCCTTCTGTCAGCATGCCCTTGTCATCCTCCCCCTCACCCTCTGCGGCCCTCAGTACCCCGTCTGCGGATCCAGCAGCATCTGGTATTCCTGACACCCCGTCCCCAGCACCCAGTCCTTTGTCAGGGGAGTCAGAGGAAGAGAAGGCTAAGAAGCTTCTTTACTGTTCATTGTGCAAAGTCGCTGTTAATTCCCTCTCACAACTGGAGGCACATAACAAAGGTAAATTCAAAACTGCTTTTCAGAGTTTTAAGTACAACAGGCTACAGAGCATGCAGTGTTAAGAAAGGAAAAGCTTTAGAGACAATGGTAATTTGCAGTATTCACTCTTTAGAGCAGCTTCTCACATGGCCCTTTAAAGGCAATCCTGCACTCTGCAGTGGGACCAGAAATCTAAAGAAGATGCTTTAGTGCCACTTAGTGGTGAGAACAGCAGGTTAAGAACTGTCTGTGGTTTGATTCTGTACACACTGTAGATGACTGCGGTAAAACTAATACTTCCTCCTCTACATCTTGTATATTTTCTCAAGTGAACAGCTGAGGAATTGGTTTCCTTAACTTTCAATCAACCAATAACCAGTAAATCAAAAGATTTCCCCTCAAGGTGCACTGAGTAACCTCCTCATGAATTGTTTACCCTGTTACTTGAAAGCTATAAATTTAACTTATTTACTTTTTTATTTCTCATTCATGTTAATCAAGTGTTTTTTTTCCTTCTTGAGTTTGATAAAGATACTGATCTAGTACATAGTCTCAATTACAATTATGGTTAAATATTTTCTTTTGATGGTTTTTAGGTACCAAACACAAAACCATACTGGAGGCTCGGAGTGGACTAGGGCCAATAAAGGCATACCCACGTTTGGGTCCTAAACCCAACCCAGAACAGGGAGGCGAGTTTTCCTCCGACCAGAACACTCAGGAACGCACATTTCACTGTGAGATCTGCAACGTCAGAGTAAACTCTGAGCTGCAGCTCAAACAGGTAGGAAATCTGCAAACAGATACAACTATCTTGACTAGAGCAGAGTGCAAGCAACCTTTAAATCCAATTTCTGTTTTTGTCTTTTTTTTTCAATTTACATTCTAGCATATATCAAGCCGGAGGCATCGAGATGGAGTCGCAGGGAAACCTAATCCTCTTCTCAGTCGGCACAAGAAGCGCACAGAATATATGGTAAAGACTCCTCCCTTTAGTGTATTTCTATGTACTCTTTTCTACCCTGTGAAAACATGGTGATGAAGGCTTTGATTAAACCCTTGCAGACTAAAGGGATATTCTGGCGTAAGATGAAGGGGTCAAACACACCGTAACACCAAGTTGGACACCCCCTCGAGAGATGAATGTTGCCGACTGCTTGCTTCTCTAGTTGCCAACTTTAGTAACAACCGCACAGTAGCAATACACAGCAGTCTGAGGAGCCACACGCTCAACCCAAACGCCATTCTATAGCCACAAATAATGCTCAGAACTGCACCTAACTTCATCAACAGTACATATAGGGTCCCAGCCATAGTACTAGCCACCAAACATCTTTTTAGCTTTGCCTGATTTCTTTAGCAAACACAACTCACCCTCTCTCTTCCAGCAGCCGCTTGTTTGTACAGAGACCTCCGGGCGAGTCCAATGACTGCAGCAGGGTGACGCAGCTCAAAGAAGAACATTTATGATCATTACTTTATCATTTCCTTGAAGTAATAATCATCATATTAATCATTTTGCTCTTGGTCTGATTGAATTTCCATGAGGAGATGATCATAAATGTTCTTCCTTGAGCTGCGTCACCCCTCTGCATTCAGTAATGGACTGGCCTGAGGTCTCTGTACAAACAAGTGGTTGCTGGAAGAGAGATCGTGAGTTGTGTTTGCTAAAGAAATCAGGCAAAACTAAAAACATGTTTGGTGTCTAGTACTATGGCTGGGACCCTATATGTACTGTTGATGAAGTTAGGTGCTGTTCTGAGCATTATTTGTGGCTATAAAGTGTCGTTTTGGTTGAGCGCGTGGCTCTCTGTATTGCTATCCCGGCTTGTTATTAAAGTTGGTATAATTAGAGAAGCAAGCCATCGGCAACATTCATCTCTCGATGGGGTGTCTAACTTGGTGTTACGGAGTGTTTGACCCTAATTTAATTTAATGACAGAATATCCCTTTAGCCAGCCTACTGGTCGCATTTACTGATATTTTTCTTAACTTTCTCACAGGAACTTCCAAAAACTCTGGGGGCTGGACTATTACCAAATCCTTTGGCTGTTGCTGCAGCAATGGCAGCTGCGGCTTCCTCCAATCAGTTGGCATTACGCCCCCCTGGCCCAACCTCCCACCCTCATCCCCATCATCACCTCCTGCAGGGAACACCCCTCAGCCTGCTGAGACCCGCCCCTGGTCCGATTCGCACTACGCATGGGCCAATCCTCTTCACTCCTTACTGATGGCGAGAGGATGAGGACAAATCAGGAAGAAGCACACTGTGAAGTGATGGCCTGCAACTGTGTGCCATCGAGAGCTAAATCAGCTGGTGTGGATCCAGCAAGGGACATTACTGTGACTCTTGATGTGCAAATGGTAGTTGCAGATCACTTCTGTTACCTGGGAAATTAAACTAAAGTAAAACTGACGAATCTCAGACTTTTCAACGAGATTTTGGTTGCCCATTCTTCTACTTTTCCCTTCACCACTCAACTATCTGCCAATCACTGAGCAGACTCTGGAAAAAAAAAAAGATCAAGCATGGATTCTTTAAACATCTGAAACTACTTTCATCTGATGATCCACTGTCTCTGAATCAAAACCCTACCTCTCTTAAGTTTTTAATGTTCACCTCTGGAAGGATTCACAACATAGCATATCCAAAGCATTGATATTAACAGAAACATGCCTGCTGGGTTAGAAATAGTAGTTGCCTCAGATGTTAGCTGGTATCATATAGTAGCTGTCACAGTATAGTGGATTGTACCACAGTCAAGTCCTGTTTTTGTAGCCTATAAAGATAAAAAGGCACAGAAAACTTACATACTGTTTTCTGCAGATGGTGAACATTGCTCCTGACTTGATTTTCAGAATTCTCACAGCGCGCCAACACAGTCTATATTTACCTCTGTGGGGCAGACAAGATACACAAGTGTAGATATAACATGATGTCTTAAATCTGTGCTAATAAGTAAACCAACCACATTTTTTCAGATGGCAAGGTTGAGAAGCACCTTCTACTGGTGCACTATGCAGCAAACATGTTTCTCTTACATGTTTGCGTAAAATGCAGTAAGGTTGGAGAAAAGAAAAAAAAAGAAAGTGGAGGGAAACTGTCATTGCTTTGACAATTGATTCCCCAAATTCACCCTGCATAGCAAAGAAGGGGCAGCAATGTTGTGCATCAAAACCCCCAAAGCACAATGAGTAACAGTCGGTACAACCAAATCTACACGCAAACAGCTTGAATAAATTTAGAGTGAACATCCATTATTTTCGTATCTGGGCTTTACTGTGCTAAAATCAAAAGGTGTCAGTATGTTTAAGGCTTCACTGTGAGCACAGCACCATGATGGGCAGTTTAGGATTTTAGCCGCAGGTATTTGCATTACGTGCACATTTAAATATGCAGACCACATTTCCACCACAGCCCCATTCAAGGTGTGAGGAAAACAGTGGAATGAAAGACACCAGCATTATGTTACAGAGGGAAAAGAAGAGGACCACATACCCATGTGTCTAGTTGTATGCAAAAAAAAAAAAAACAACCAACCGTTTGTTGTAGTACTATAAGCTTGTGAAGGGTTACAAAAATGTCGGTTGTCCGCTCTGCAGCGTAGGTGCTTCCTACATGACTGAATTATCCCGGTGAAAACTCTCATGATGGCTTGTAAAACATTAGAAGGAAGCTTTAGGAAACAGAAACTGTAGCAATACTTTGAGCACTCCAGCTAACTTTACTTGTTCAATGCAATAAAAGAAAATGTCTACAAATCTATGAACTGTTACGTAGGACAAGTGTCTTAATCATTATTGTAAATGTAGATCATTAAAAAAACAAAAATGAAACGTTGGACTCCTAACTGTTGAATTTAAACAAAAATCTATATGAAATAATTAAACTGAGTCTACGGTTCTAAGCAATGTCGAGTTGTATTCTTTTCATACATTTTTTATTTCATATATCAAATTTCTTTTGACATGTAGGACTGTAATAAAGTCAACTATCAGAAATGATGGGATATATCCAGTTTTGGTGTCCAGATTATTCATAACCAAAAATTCATTGAGTTTTACAGGGTAGCGCAGCTCACATGAAGCCATAACGCATCTCTAGCTTTTCCCTACTCAGTACCTACTGAAAAAGGGGGTGTAGGCAATGCTGCTCTTTTGTAGAAAAAGGGGGAGGTAGACAGGTTCTAAAGTAATACAGCTCAAAATTAGACACTGTAGAGAAAGTGCGGACAGGAAATAACTATGTGACTGTGGCGTCAGGCAGACTACAGACTTTCCGATCAGCAGAAAAAGCAGAAATGAAAGCATTGACTGAAGCACCCAGAATGCAACAGGACAGACAGTGAAGTACTATGAAGTAGTTCTGGAGTTAGCAGAAGCTCTCATGCTCCCTAAACCGGTAGCAATTTTGAAGTGTAAAGGACACAACATAACAGACTCAGCTGTAGCCAAGGAAATTGAAGCAGCTGATGCAGCTGCAAAATGAGCAGCTGGTTATGAAGTAACGTACCCTATTCTGACAGCAAGCCCAGATGTAAATATTCCCACAAAAACGTGTACTAGACAGGTAAAAAGAGCCAACAGAACCCTAAAAAACAAAATTGGCAAAAATCTGTGCAGATTCTAAATTGACCTAGGTAGAGGCTTTGCTTATTGCACTGGTGTTTATCAGAGCTTTCTCTAACAGCAGCACAGGGTTCTCTCCATTTGAACTTGGCACAGGTTAGCTTTTTGAAAGTCCTGCTACAGTGGGTTTAAAGGGATATTCCAGCGTAAAATTAAGTTAGGGTCAAACACACCGTAACACCGAGTTAGACACCCCCTTGAGAGATGAATGTTGCCGACCGCTTGCTTCTCTAGTTATACCAACTTTAGTAACGACCGCAGATAGCAATACAGAGAACCACACGCTCAACCAAAAAGCCACTCTATAGCCACGAATAATGCTCAGAACAGCACCTAACTTCATCTACAGTACATACAGGGTCCCAGCCACAGCACTAGCAACAAAACATCAGTATTTTTGCTCACTGTATTTTTGCTGGTGTTGACATTTCATCTGCAGTCTAGTGATAATTAGGACGTACAACAGAGGACCCTGAAGGACACCTTTTGGACATGCAGTGTTGGTAAGTTGACCTCGTGATATGAGGTCAAAAGGGGGATTGTTAGAATAAATTGTAAATTTGGAGATGATTTGATGAAGGTGCATAAAGAATTAACAATTGTGCGCATTGCAGTCATGTACTGATGGATAAAAGGAAGAAGGATAAAAGCTCCAGGGAGGCTATAGATCACCCTGTACAGAGGAAGAGAACAGTGTCCATAGTATGAGGTTTTTGCTTTGGCTTTTCTTCGTAGTTGGCAAGTAAGGTGTCCTGTACCGAATAAAGATGTTCAAGTTGCACTCAGACGTATGAAAGAGAAAGTGTGCAGAGAGTGCTCTGTGGTTTAAACTTTCACAAAAGGAAGGTGATAGAACTTACGGAGGTGTTATTTATTTACGTCTATGATACGTGCTTTTTTAAGCATACTTAGATCATCTGCCCAGCAGCAGCAAAACTGTATGATTGAATGTGTGTGTGTTAGAGATGAGTGTAGAATGCATAACACAATTCCTTATTAGGTAAACAGGTGGACCCACTCGAGAAGAAACCAGCCTACACACTAAGACAATATCAAGTATAGGAAACTCTTTGTCTAGATAGGCGGATCCTCGACTATAAAAGGTTCATGGGAAAGTTATTCAGGGTTCTGAAGTGCTCAGACCTCTAAGCTGTCTGTTAGGTAGGATGATCTAATTTTGAACCCAGAGATCTCTGTTTTGCACATTCTTGACTAATTGTAGTTAAAAAGGTAGAGCTTCAACTGAGAACTCTTCTGAATCCTTGTCTTCTCTTCTTCACATTGACGACAACACGGGAAAAAGGTGAGAGATAATTAAGGAATTGGAGTAAGAGATGTAATACGAGTCAGTACCTTATACACACACACACACACACACACACACACACATATATATATATATATATATATATATATATATATATATATATATATTGATTGATTGATTGATTGATGGAGGTTTATTTTGAACATATAATAAAAATAATAATAAAGTAAAGAATACAACAACAAATGACAAAATGTTTTTTATGTTCAAAGAGGAGTGGAAAGAAGTCAAGACTTATCTACCACCACTTCTCCTACACTAATGGTTTGAATATATATCCTAATATTATATAATAATATTAATCATCATAATAATAATAGCAACAAAAATAATCACCTGGGTGAAAATAACAAAACAACAATAAAACAATGATGAAAATGAAAATAGTTACAATGATTGTACATCCCTGTATCCCGTGTAAACATATTCTTTATATTTTGTTTTAAACTGTTTTATGTTTGGACATTGTTTTAACTCCTCATCCATTCCATTCCACAGTCTCACCCCACAGAATGACATGCTAAATTGTTTTCTGCTTGTGCGTACTTCCCTCTGAATTGATAACCCCCCTCTCGATCCCCAAACAAATTCTTTTTTTGGGATCGATTTTTTTTTCACAACTTGACTACAAGTACAGGCATAAATTTCTTACATGCTTCATTGTATAGGCAGCAGAGCTATTTTTCTTATCATACAGGTTGTCACCAGCTCCTTTATTGACCAAGTAATGCTGCAGTACCAGTATTAGCTACATTTGCCTACAGCTGAGGTCTGAAATAAAACTGCCAAGGTTGGGTTAATGACTAAACCACAGAGTGAGGGCAGGTATATGCAGCACACAAAGATATTACCCTGATGGTAACATTAGTGGCTATTCTTTCTGTCTATACCTGGGACGTCTCTGCTGCCGGGGACTCTACAAACACATGCACACTTGATGGAGGGACACTTATTTGGGTGTTTTTAGGTGAGTAAATTAACAACAAGCCCAACCAAATTGTGTGTTATTAATGTGGACCGCAAAAACTAGCCAGCTCCTTGTTGTCGACTAACTTCAGAATATATTGGAAAGAGGAAGTGAACAAAAACTGAAGTAAAAGTAGAAGTAAAGGCTGAGCAAACTCCCTTGAAATACAAAACTATGTGTTCTGGGCACTGGCAAGGCAATGATATGAAGTCTCTGGCAACTAACTTATGAACATAGCTATCCTAATAAAAAGTACTTATCAATACACAATTTAACTGTGATTTTTCACTGTGGAAAGAAAAGCTTCGACATATGAAGCTGCTTTTAAAAATGCTTTTTTAAAATGTGTTGAGCACCATTGGGTTTTCATTTAGCAACAAAATACTGATGAAGCACAGCAGCCAAACAGGGATATGATCTCCTCTCCTGCTAAAATACTTTTTCTTGAAAAGATCTGAGAAGTATGACAAAGTGGTCAAGCAAACTAAAGTCCCTCTGAAATAAAAGTGGTCAACTATTGAGACCACCTTTAACTTTCCTTTTCACCTGTGGTATTGCTCACAATACCAAGAGACAGGGTAGAGAGACTGGCTCTCAGTCTGGTCTAAACTTCCTGCCGGCAAGTTATCAGCACATTTGTCTCTACTTTATTTCTTTTTAGGCAACACAATGCTGATGAACCACACCAACCAAACAGAAGATGATCTCTTCTCCTGCTACAGTCCTTCAGTTGTGGGCTACCGATACTTTGCTGTGCTGTGGGGATGTGCTGTGACCATCACCGGTACGTTTGGGAACCTGATGACTATTCTGGCCTTTGTGTTGGACTCCCGTCTGAGAACTCGCTTTAATGTGCTCATCATAAACCTGGCTGTGGCTGACTTGCTGTACTGCACCATACTGCAACCTATCATAGTTGACTCTTATCTACACCTCAGATGGCGCAGTGGTCCGCTCTTGTGCAGAATATTTGGGCTGCTCCTCTTCCTCTCCAACTCTGTTTCCATTATCACCCTCTGTCTGATAGCATTAAGTCGATATCTGCTGGTGGCAAAAAGGGCAATTTTTGACCGGCTCTCCTCCAACCTTGGGCTAAGTTTACTCCTACTGTCAGCATGGGGACTTGGTCTGGCCAGCTTTGGCCCTCTGTGGTCTGTTTATGTGTTTGTGCCACAGGTGTGTACATGCAGTTTTCATCGGACCAGGGGTCGCCCTTACACCACCATCCTGCTTTTTTCCTATTTTGGTTTTGGACTGGGATTTGTTGGTGTATTCTGTCTCCTCATTTACAGACGTGTCAGGATTGCATCAAGGGCTCTGCTCCGCTACAGATTCAGCCGCCGGTCATCCAGAAAGAAACCAGCATCTTCTTCACAATGGACTGATGACAGTGGAGTAGTCTACACATGTAGCACTGAAATTAACAATCATGTAGAACAAGTCCCAAAACAGGAAAACATCACCTGTGAAAAAGCTTTCAAGCCAGCACAGAGCTCTATCACGCCACCAAATCAATTTCTACCTGATATTGTCTCACCACCAGCTTCACAAGCACCTGACACACCCATATCCCACTCCACAGCTTCAAGAGATGATAAAGAGATGACACATGTGACTCTCATGTGTGTAGCTATTTTCCTGTGTTTCGCATTGTGTTTTTTTCCTTTCTTTTTGCTCAACTTAGCTGACAGAAAAAACTGCGCACCACAGTTAGTGTACATGGTTTGTTCAAACCTCACCTGGATCAACAGCTGCATTAATCCAATCCTCTATGCTTTCATGAACCGACAGTTTCGACAGGCCTATCACACGGTGCTCAGAAGAGCTGCTGCCCTTTTTTACCCGCCTCTGGACCTTGAGAAGGCCCAGAGATCCTAATTAATCATGACTTAAACTGATCTGATGCTCCTAATAAAACATAAGCTAGTGCTATGTTATGCTGGTTCCAGTGCAGCAAACAATTTTCACTACTACCAAGTTAAGTTCCAGTTTGATTGAACAAGTAAAACTAGAAAAGAGACAGCTGTGATATTTCACACCTGTGAGGTAAATGTTATATTTATATGAACTATTAATGTTAAAATGTAAAATGGACCATATTTCTATAGCTCTGTCTCTAGTCCTCAGGCCACTCACAGCACTTTTATGGTACATGTCACATTCACCCATTCACACCACTGTCACACACTGATGGCTGCTACTATCAGTCTTTGACTAATATCATTCATTCACACACCATTGGTTGCAGCCAGAGGGAGCAGGTGAGGTCAGGTGTTGGACAGCCCTGGGATCAAACCCTCTGATAGGGAAATGACCAACTCTACCGCTGAACCACTGCAGCCCCTCAATTATATTTGTCAACAAGAAAACTCCCCTAAGGTAAATTTTAAAAGGGCCGCAGGGGAGACTGCCAGGGTGTGTAAATTATAATGAATTTCTTCAGAGATTTAAAATAATGAATACTAGTACCATTGTGATATTAAATACAAGTAGAACGCCTACGTCAAACATTCCTTTTTCAAGTATTTATTTATACAACAGAAAAAAATGGACATTTAAAAAACTCCAATAATTGCTCTTTTTTATTTGCTTGTCCCATTGGCTTCAGTGCAAAATTTTTCTGCAGTTTTTCGTGACAAAATTTGCGAGATAATAAATTTTTTATAGAGAGAAGTAAAAGCACACCAATCCCAATCAAACGGCACATTTTGATATATACTATGTATTTCGTACAGGGGCCTGCTCTAAAGTTTATAGTTTCTTTGTACTTTCTCCATTGTATAGGGGCCAGTGCCTTTGTGCATTTTCCTTGAGGCACTAATAAGGATTTAGATTGAGTTAGTGTTTTATCATTAATCAAATTACTCTAAAAGTGAGATATCAGCGCAGTCCCTGATTAGTTAATTGGTATCAGCTGTAATCAACTATAATACTCACTAGGTGCAGAATAGGGCGTGATAGCTATGCTTACACAATATTTTGATGCAGAAATGTCCTATGGCTCTTTGCTGCATGTCATTCCCCACTGTTACTTTCCTGTTTCTTTTTCTGTCCATTGTCTCATCCTCTGAATAAAGTCATCTTCAAAAAGTTAACGATTACCAATGTGAATATTTTTTAATCACTCTCTAGATCAATATAACAGTTCTGGTTAAACTAAATAGAGATGGTATATTCATTTTCATGTTGTTTTTACTGACTTTTTCCCATAACAGGAGGGGACAGAATCCCAAACAAGTTGTATTAGAATGGGGAAAAGAACGGAATGACTTCACTTTTTCAGTATCTACTTTTAGAAGTGTTTACTGTCAGCAGTGGTGACTGAAAGCAGAAAAGAACCTACAGTTTCAGTGCTTGTTTTGGATATACTAACATCCCTCTCACTGCTTTGCATGTGCGCATTTTCACACTTCTGGACTGTACACTGATTTCTATCTTTGGTTCCTGTATGTCAGAAACAGGAAGTCTATTGGACAAAGCAATGTGGCCAAATTACACTGTTTCATAAAGCACTTGCTTACAAGTGCAGATGCAGTCTTAAATCACTGACAAAAGCAACCATGGTTTCTGTTAAATGTTGTGATGCAACTCATTTCCTAATTGTTAATCTAATTGCTAATCCTAATTCAAGAGATTCTAATGACAGACCAACTGACATGTCCAGAGGTAAGAAAACACTCAAATAACAGTGAAAATTTAACAAAATTTATTTGTGTAGTTTGTATGCGATCACAGAGTCTGTCAGTATGTTTACATGCATAGTTAAGTCAGGCTATGGTTATAGCTCAAATAGACTCATTTTATCTGAACTGTCATTGTCCCAGTCTGCAAACACACAATCAATTTCTCAACAAAATTTTGTCGGTCTCCACCATAAAAGGTCACAATATGCCCCCTTTCAGCTTGTAACTATTGGGCCCTCTTATCGTGACCTTTTTTAAGTCACGTGCCAAAACAATCAACAAACACATTAGTAAGATGCTAGTGGGAGGTATGGTGTATTGAAACAGACAATTTTATAGCTCTGTGCCTTTTGTATGTGTGATACATAAGCCTTCCTGTTATGTGTTTTTTTTTTTCGTGTTATTTTCATATGCAAATAGGTGTGTGCCACAGCCGCACGGTCATTGGTGGAATGGCTCTACGTCCTGGACAGTGATTGGATGAAACCGACAACCACCTGGTATATGAGGAGCCAAGATGGCGGCCGCCGGTGGGGGGGGCTGCAGGCATTCCTCATCCTCCTCATCCTCCTCCTCTCCCAACCGGCCACACTTTTTGCTGTGCTTAAACCATTGTGTGTTTTGTAGTAGTAGATTTTGAGTAGTAAGGGTGGGCTGCCAGTTTTGTTAACCTTGTTTTCTCCTGTTTATTTAGTTAGGGAGGTAAGTCTTTTGTCATTTGTTTCCTTTGTTTGGTTAGGTTAGTTACTTACTCTGTAGACAGGATCATTTTGTTTGTTATTTTGGCCTTAGTCCACCCTGAAGCCTAACAACTCAGCCTTAGTTACTTTTCTATATCTACATGTTCATTTACTTATTTATGTAAATAAATCATTTTCTTTATATTGAAACAAAACCCTTGTTTGTGGCTACTTGGGACTTGGGGAAGATGGGGCCTTATCATGTTGTGTCCTAGGCACCCCTAGACTGGGGCATAACACTTCCTTTCTTAATGTATTTTTCTATGTTGAGGTTTCATATACTATCTAGCGCCCTACAACACATACGAATATGTTGTTCAACTGAAGAGTCAAAGCCTCAACCGCAGAGCCTCCATAGGTGGAATTCTGCGTTTTCCTAGCAGGTTAATGTAAACATGCATGTGCTAATTGAGCATTGATCCGGTCAGCTTTATGTCCATCTAACCAGACACAGTGTGCAGTACATTCAACTGTATCTTCCTTTTCTGGATCCAAATACTGTCAAACCACACCCATGCCATGCAATGCTATCAAATATATACACTTGTTTACACCAAAGACGTAGATGGCAGAAGAAATTGTAGAGCTACAGCTACTTAAAGTGGCAGCGCAACAGCTTTTGCACAATAAATGACAGGCATTTTGGATCAATACTAATAAAACAGTTCATAATTTGTTTAACCGATCAATAATTCTGGTGCTGAAAATAGAGGGTGATGGCATAGTTTTATTTTGTCAACTACACACCCGCATCCCTAGTCATAACTCTAAAGGTTCCTCGCATGTCTTCACCTCAAGCCCTTTGCTGTACGCCTCAGTGTCAGAAGTTTTCCCCAGGGAGTGAGAGGGTGGCCTGTTTGCAACTTCAGGTAGCAAAGGAAAAGGCTCTGGCTGTGTATATGCTTCACACAGCAGATCAGAATATGTTGCCTTCTTGGAGTATCTTAGAGGAGTTCTGGAAAGCGCTCTGATTGGGGTCTCCATAGTTCTGTTGTGGGACTTTAATCCCCACTTGGGCAATGACGGAGACATTAGGAGAAAAGTGATCGAGAGGAACGGCCTGCCTGATCTGAACCCAACCGGTGCTTTGTTGTTGAACTTCTTTGCTGAAATGAGCACCAGTTTCCTCTCATCCAGGGTGGCTGGGCGAGATAAAGGCTCAGTCATCCAGAGGGAGCTCTGAGTAGACCCACTGTTTCTTCGCATTGATAAATATCAGCTGAGATGGTTTGGGCATATGATAAGGATTCCTCCTGGTCGCCTCCCCTTGGAGGTGTTTTGGGCGCAGCCAGTTGGAAGTAGACCAGGAGGTACCCCAGGTTTTGCTGGAGGGATTGCATATCCCATCTGGCTTTGGAGTGTCTTCAAAGTCAAAATTATGACTCATATGAACATTCAACAACAGGCAACAGTTGAATTTAGTAATTATTTAAGTGTGTGCTGAGGTCATGTCAGGTTTGTTTGGACAGTCTGCTTAGTGCATACAAGCAACATACAAAAATGTCAGCCCAGTAAAGTGTATTTCCACATCAGTGACATTTATTTATTCCATATTCGATTACTGCATTTAAGATTTTAAAAAGGTGTTGTGGTTAATGCTAAAAATGTGTCTTCGTCAATCTCACCGATCTGGAAAAACCCACATTTACAACACTTCTTCATGCAGACAGACCTAAGGTAACCCAGAAGAGCACACACAATGTAATACCGGCAGGAAGTCAGACATTAAGCAGGCTTGACCACAAAATAGAATGACAGCGAGCAACAAGCTGAAAAACCAGCAGAGCGCTCCACTTTAAGGTAAGAAGTTCATGATTCTTTTGTTTCCTGATTTATTGTACCTTTTATCTGCCCGGTTCAAGTTTCGTATTCAGTAGGAAAAAAAATCTACAATTATTGTTAATGAATGAATCTGCTTTTTTGTCATACAATGTTAGAGTCTGGTTTTATTCGATGCAACTATACTCAGTGAGGTGGGTAAACACATTGTATAGGGGGATAGTAATAATTAGTAATTTATATGTATATATTGTTATGAGGAGTAAGGACATGTGTTAAAATTAAGTATTTAATTCTTACATTTTTCCACTGTGGTGGTTTTTAAACAGAGATATTTTTAAACCTAGAAGTGGTCAGGCAAACTAGAGTCCCTCTCAAAAAAAGAGGTGGTTAACTATCAAAACCAGCTTCCTTTCTCACTTGTGGTATTGCTCACAATACAAAGAGAAGGGTGAGAGAGACTGGCTCTCAGTCTGGTCTAAACTTCCTGCTGGCAAGTTATCAGCACATTTGTCTCTACTTTATTTCTTTTTAGGCAACACAATGCTGATGAACCATACCAACCAAACAGAGGATGATCCCTTCTCCTGCTACAGTCCTTCAGTTGTGGGCTACCGATACTTTGCTGTGCTGTGGGGATGTGCTGTGACCATCACCGGTACGTTTGGGAACCTGATGACTATTCTGGCCTTTGTGTTGGACTCCCGTCTGAGAACTCGCTTTAATGTGCTCATCATAAACCTGGCTGTGGCTGACTTGCTGTACTGCACCATACTTCAACCTATTTCAGTTGACTCTTATCTACACCTCAGATGGCGCAGTGGTCCGCTCTGGTGCAGAATATTTGGGCTGCTCCTCTTCCTCTCCAACTCTGTTTCCATTATCACCCTGTGTCTGATAGCATTAAGTCGATATCTGCTGGTGGCAAAAAGGGCAATTTTTGACCGGCTCTCCTCCAACCTTGGGCTAAGTTTACTCCTACTGTCAGCATGGGGACTTGGTCTGGCCAGCTTTGGCCCTCTGTGGTCTGTTTATGTGTTTGTGCCACAGGTGTGTACATGCAGTTTTCATCGGACCAGGGGTCGCCCTTACACCACCATCCTGCTTTTTTTCTACTTCATTTTTGGACTGGGCTTTGTTGGTGTATTTTATCTCCTCATTTACAGACGTGTCAGGATTGCATCCAAGGCTCTGCTACGCTACAGATTCAGCCGCCGTTCATCCAGAAAGAAACCAGCATCTTCTTTACAAGGGACTGATGACAGTAGAGTAGAGAGCGGTACAGTAAACACATGTAGCACTGAATTGAGCAGCCAGACAGAACAAGCTGAAACCAAGGATGAGATCACCTGTAGAAAGACTTTCACGAAGGCCTCAGAATCAGCAGCAGCCAAACATTGTACCTCTAACACTGTCTCTGCCACACCTGCTCCACCAACTACAGCATCATCCTCCAACCCAGCATCTTCGGGGGATGACGGGGAATTTAAACGTGTGACACATATGTGCTTTACTGTTTTTCTGTGTTTTGTGCTCTGCTTTGTTCCCTTTCTTTTGCTCAACATAGCTGACAAACATAACCGCGCACCACAGGTACTACACATGTTCTGTGCAAACCTTACCTGGCTTAATAGCTGTATCAATCCTATACTTTATGCAGTCATGAATAGACAGTTTCGACAGGCCTATCACATGTTACTCACCAGGGCTTCTGCACCATTCATGTACCTCTGCGTGAAGAAGCCTTGAAATCTGCAACTTAAACTCCTCCAATGATCTTTCATGTAAGATCAGTATTTTTTTTATCTTTTTTTTTTTTAAAACAGTGATAGTGCAGCTTATATTTGAGCCACTGTAAACTCTTATATCTCCACCACAGAACAGTGAAGTCGAAAACATCTGTTGCATAAACCATGTTTCAAACTCTGCATTTCCTTTCCAAAATCAGTTTGTTGTTCCCTTAAAAAAGGGGAAATATTTGTAAAAGAGATTTTTAACCTCAGTGAGACATCCTAGTGGAATAAAGATACGATCTATTTAAAAATGACTGTTTAATGTATATAAGATTCCTTTTATGTTTCATTCACAGTTTTTTTGTGTTGATACATAATCTGTATTTGCGTGCATTATTTGAGCAACAATTTGATTTTACATCACAAACACTTGTACTCCTTTGGATGCGTCTTTTAAGAAAAAGAGGAACAACCAATGTAATAAATGATCACAGGAAATTCCCATCTCACACAAGATATCACATTGAAGTGTTAACTTGATTTTGATAAAAAATCAGAGAATCCATCATGTCATGTCACCATTTTCACTTCCAAAATAACAGCAACTTCAACTCAACTTACAAGAGCACTTAAAATTACAAAATAATACCTAACTTCATATTAAGTTACATTGTTGGATTTTAATTTAAAAGTAAAAAAAGTTTAAAACTTTGAGTTTGACTTGTCAAAGTGACCCCTAGGTTGATCAAAAGCTAGGTTGAGTCAGCACTGCCGAAATAGCTGAAGCTTAACAGGCTCCAAAACTTTAAAAACCAATCTGTGATGCTATCGAGACACATAAGGATGGAGTCTATGATCACAAATCCGAAACTTTGATCGGAAGTTATGTTTCAAAGGGACTGAAGCCTCTTTAGAATAATTCAATCTAAAAACAAATCTAGGAACTAGGAAATTATTATCAATACCTGGTCCAATGATTTCTATGGCCGAAAAAAGGAGTGTGATTGCCCCTCTGGCATTGTAACAAATAGTATAATGGTTTCACAAATCTGCAAAGTCTGTGGGCTCTTCTGTATAATTTGGTCAAAATCAAATCAAGGACATAAAATTTACTTGTCAGTGGCAAGACCCAAAATTGTGCAGACCAAACTGAAATTATTATACAAATTGGTATTTCACTTGAATGAGGCAGATCTTCCTCTAAAATCCACCATATAGTTAATTATAACATAAATCTAATAATAATGTATATCATCCAATGTGTATCGCACATTTTTATTTGTATTTCAGTTTCTGTTTAACAAATACATTTTGACATTTGAGTTTTTGTTATTTTTTGTGTTTTTATAATCTGTAATGACCTTGGTCCAGAACGCTGACTGTATGTAAGACATCACTTCATTTCCACCCATTGTGAGCTTTAAAGTATTTGTACACTTCATCAAATAAACTAAATATATAGCAGTTTTTTTCACACGCAAAACATACATTCATAAAGTTCTGACCGTTTAGTACAAACAACAATGTGAAAATTTTAAGCTGTCACTCTTTAGAGCTCCAGTTCCCTCCCACTCTCACTTCACCTTTCACTCCTGGAACTTCCTTTCTTTGTATCGTGCACTGACAGAGTGAATAAAGGAGCCAAGGTAAGTAAACACATGCTCAGAGGGGCTGATCAAACATGGCAATGATCTCTCATGATCATTGATCATTTGTTTATCGTTTCCTTAAAGTAATAATCACCATATTAATCATTTTGCACTGCAGACGCAGTAGTTCTTCTGCCTAAGTGTCTTAGTCTGATTGCATTTCCATGAAGAAATGATCATAAATGTTCTTCCTTGAGCTGCGTCACCCCGCTGCAGTCCGTAATGGACTGACCTGAGGTCTCGCTACAAACAAGCAGCTGCTTTGAAGAGAGTAGGCGAGTTGTGTTTAGTCTTTTTTGCGATAGAAATTAGTCAAAGTTAAAAAGATGTCTGGAGGCTAGTGCTGTGGCTGGAACCCTATGTGTACTGTTGATGAAGGTAGGTGCTGTTCTGAGAATTATTTGTGGCTATAGAGTGGTGTTTTGGTTGAGGTTATTTTATGGCTCCTCAGACCGCTGTGTATTGCTATCATACAGTCGTTACAAAAGTTGGTAAAACTAGAGAAGCAAGCGGTCGGCAACATTCATCTCTCAAGGGAGTGTCTAACTCGGTGTTACAGTGTGTTTGACCCTGAAGTAATTTGATGCTGGAGTATCCCTTTCAAGGGACAGCAGCTAAAACGAGGCATTTCAGACAGAGGCTAAGATAATATTTTTAGACATCACTGTGAGAAGTTTGAGGCTTTTTTGATCTGAAAATCACCTTAAGCTATTAAAGAGGTATCAGAAAGGAAATAGTGATTCTGAAAAAATGCATGATACCCCCCACCTTTGACAGATGATTCAACATACAGATTTATTTAAAAACAGGTTAATACAAAACTTAGAGGAAATAAGTGCCATGTTTTAGCAGTTCTTCAAAAGTGGCAACAGTGAAACAACTACAAAGGAACCAACAAACATACATTTCCAGTTGTGAAATATGTACAGCCTACACTCTCAAAATGAATGTGTTAAAATCATACACATTTTTTGTGTTATATTTTAACATTTGTTATGTTATATTTACACATCCTGTGTTATTATCCTAGACACACTTTTAAGTTAATGCTGTTTTAACACATAAAATAGTTATCATGTGAATTAAACACAACGTGTGTTAGCCACTGCTAGGTCAAAGAGGTTATGAATGAAAACACCTGCCAGGGTTATTTTTAACCAAGCAGTGGCTTTATTAATTGTCCTACTTTTGAATAATTCTGGAATCATCTTTTTTTTATTAATTCTGTAACTTTTTTCTTTATTTATTTTTAATTTTTTGAGAGGGAGGAAGCCCCTCAGCAGGGGAATCAAACCTCCAAACACCCAGTCTCAGGGTGGACCACAAGGCCACTGAACTGGTATCTGAGACCAGATTCTTGAGTAGCACAGTGCCCTGAAGACAGGAGTATACCTTTCCTCACACACAGACGTATAGTTCTCTTAATTGACTATGGTTTGGGTTGTACTATTTTAACTCAATAAAAATAAAATATTAAGTTCCATTTCGGGGGTAAATAAATCCAAATATATAAGTCCCATTTCTGTAGGACCCCCAGCTGATCTGTCCACTTTACTCAGACACCTGGATGGTCCCTGGCTGGGTGACCCTGGGTCATGGAAGCTTGTAGCTCTAATTTAGGGGTGTGGATTGGAGCAATGCACTGAGAAAGTTGCCACATGAACCAGCTCTGGAAAAAAATCATGTTGTGTAATCCCTTCTTTGATCCTCCTGGGGGAAGCACTCGCCACTGCCTTTGATGGCTTTGAAATGCAACAATGGCAGCTGTGCTAACAGCTACAGGCTAATAATCAAGCTCACTGAGGAATTGGTCTGCACTCAGACACACATTTATCATGAGATCGATGTGTGTGTGTGTGTGAGAGAGGCACATTTACATTTGCAACTCAAACTACTCGCCACGGGAGTAACGCCGTTGCTCACTCTGTCTGTGTGCTTGGTCAGACATACAGGACTGGTTGCGTGCTTGCTTTGAACTGTGACTTGAGAGGAGAACATCTCTTTGGGGAGATAATACACGTTTCCAAATTGTGAACGGGAAGAGTTGTTTATGTTTATTCAAATTTTGTCAGTGAAATATTTTGATGATCATCTGTATTCTTATGTCGTGGAGCGAAACGCTGAGTTTAAAATGATCTATATTAAGGACGATGCAGACATTAAACCACTTGATTTGCTGTCATCTTACAGTGGAAACCAACTGTATGTTAATCCAAGGTACAAACTTATTGCTTAGGTCTGCATTACTGAAAAGTGCTTAACTCTTCAGATATGAATATTGAATATGATTATAGGCAGCTAGTATGTGTAAGTGGCTATGTCCTCAGGAGACGGTTGTTTGACATGCCATGTCTGTATTTTAGGTGTTCCATTGTTGCACTGATGGTTTAAGAATGAAATGTTTATAAAATGTTTAATGTTTATACTCTGTGTTTGCACTATGTTTTGCTCTCAAGTTTGCACTAAAGTCTTACAAAGTCCAAGATTTTGCACTGCTGCCTAAACCAAATAAATTTTATAAAAGTGACTTGAGATTCAAGCAATTGTTTATTCTTTTTAGTGACCAGGTTTGGTCATTTAGCAGATAATCGCTGTAAAATTATATTGAACATTATTTGTATTTTAATATTTTATAAACAATAACACAGTTGTGTGTAAATTGTATGAAAATAAAACACTTTGGTGTAAAGAATACATAACTCAGCTATGTGTAAATTGCATGAAAATAAGACACAGCTCTGTTATCTTTGTGTAAACCCAACACAGTTGATGTGTTGACACATTTAACACACAACATGTGTAAAATCTGTCAACACAAAGTCATGTGTCAAAACAACACATTGTGTGTTGTCCTTAACTAGACACACGGATGTGTTAAGAAATAACACATGATGAGTTACTTTTGACACATTCGTTTTGAGAGTGTAATTTATAATCTTCACCATACTTTGCATTATTTTCACACCAGCAATTAATCTGATAAATTCACTTGAGATACAAACTCTAAATAAACTTTACAGAAGAATTTATAATGGGATGACACTGATGGGGTTAGGTAAGGTGCCAAAAACACTTGTTACTCGCAAGAGTCCAGCTATTTTTGTAACATCTCCTGACATCAACCGGTCCCAATGACTCATTATTAAAATATTTCAAGTGTTTTTCCAATGATTTCAAAGTTTAGACAAAGTTTGATTAGAATGATATTTAACAATATTGACTATTAGGACTTGCACAGTGCCTGCAACACACACACACGATTGAAACAATAATCAAAAAGTTAAGTATTATGTTGATAAAAAGGTAACGTGTGTTGTATTCAGACACACTCAAACAGAGCACATTTAGTAGACATGGAATTTAATATTCATGTTTGTTTCACTTCAGTGTATTATCACCTCAAAAATCTTTTTGTTTCTGTTAATTTAGTCTAGTATGCACAAACTACTTACATGTGCATTTTTGGATTTTGAGGACTGAAAGAATGGTTGTGGTATTTAAAAGAATTAACACTGATAGAAGTTTCTGAAAGTAAGAACTATGATATTCTGTGTGCGCAACTATTTCGTGTTATTGAAGCTGTCATGCAAATATCTAAAAGTAAGATTGGTGATGAATGGAAGTCATTTGGTTAAATATGCACAGGAGAGACTTATTGGTAGATAGATTGTGGTGATAAGAGGTTAAATCCCTGGAGAGGTAAGTTAGGCTCATCTTGCAGGATGTCAGAGTCAGTTAAGAAGTCAGGGTTGTTCAGATACATCAATAGATCATCCTCTTGGGACAAAACAGGGCCAGGCAGCATGGGATCAGAGGGATAGGTGTCCAGGGGTAAAGTCAGTGGCTCAAGATCCTCATTTGGTCCTGAGAAGAGATCATAAAGAAACTGCTGTCGTGATTGTATTATTCAATTCTTACACTATTACTAAAGAAGAGAGTGAGATGTGAGTGCAGTCTTTTTTTTTCATGCAAGACAAAAAAGGTAAAGCACAGACTGAGATGACGTAGTGAGAACCTATGCAAAAATAGGGTTTTAGTTGAAGTAAGAGAACTACATACAGTGTTGAAATTTTCTATTAGCTCATCAAGCAGTAAGTATTTGGACATAATTAGTGCCTGCAACTGAACAGATGTGATGTTTAAACATAGTGTTTTCATTCAACTCCGTTTATCTCTTCAAACAGCATATTTAAGCACCGAGTGCTGAGTCTGTTACTTATTTTTAAATTCTGAAAGCTGCAAATTATTAAAAGTGTTGACTTGTTCGTGTAAAATTAGAACATAAACAATTAACTAAATCCTTTGACTTAGATATAAGTAAAACAGCAGCATGCTGTCTTATATCTACAGTCCATCAACCTATGGTTCTGAGAAAGAGTCAAAATCTGCCAACCTGCCCACAACAGCTCACTCATCACTTTTTATAGTGATGAGTGTGATACAGTTTTATATGGATAAAATCATATCAGCACACTAATGGACTTTTTGAGGGCATGATGAGTGAAATCTTTTTATCATTTAAAGAAATGCCCAACATTCCTTTACATTTGCTTTAACCGTGAATTTGCCCCTTTTTTGTGTGTCTTTATAAACCATCAGACAGAAGTATTTCCTGTTATATACAATTTAATCACAACACAGGGAGACACTATTACTACCACACATTATTCTTAATTACACATTGCAATAAATATTATAACTTTCACGATATTGCAATACCGTAGATTGCTTCCCCTCATAAGACTTCTTGTTGTATTGTTCACTTGAGCTTTTTTATATTTTTTATGTTCAGTGTAATTAATTTTTTTTAATTGATTGTAATGACAACACCAAGGTTAGTTATCAAGTCAGCAGAAAGAATCGAAAAAAAAAAGTAAAACAATTTGTTAGTATCAGTTTGGCTCAGTCCCACACCTGTTAAGAGCTTGGGCTCTATTTTCATTTCTTGCCGGCGACGTGGTGTAGGTGCGGCATAAGTCAGGTCTGCCGTGCCGACAAGGCACGCCCAAGCACATTTTGGTATTTTGGTGAGTGGCGCAGCCCGGCGTAAGTATCCCCCCTCTTCATCATGTGTGTCTATTTACTAGATATTCATTTAATTTAATGCGGTTTCAGCTGTGTTGATTCGGTCAGGTTGAGTGTCCAAACGTGTGCCAAACGCGCTCATCAGATTAGATATAGAGCAGAATATACCGAGAGAGATCTAAATGTATGTGCTGACTCAGATTATTAGTTGTTGTTGATTATTTTTTGCACTGAAATGTGCCTGACACTGTGGAAACCTGCCTGTGAGGCATCGGTGATGTGTGGGCACTACGCCGCTGGTCTACCTAAATACCACTAAACCAGATGCGTTCTGCCTGTGCTGAAAGCTGACCAGATTTGAATCAGCGAGCTTTCAATGTACTTTCTACGTCGCTGGCGAGCACGAAAATGTCACTGCGCCAGCTGATTCTGTCGATACCTCCCCTACCGCGCTACCACGCCCAGCTTGGCAGACCTCGGTGCGTCTCAGTCCACAAAAATACCAAACTGGCTGTACACCGGGCTCCGCCAGACGAAAATATCACTGCGCGGGGGTCTGCCAACCTCTGTCGCGTCGCTGGCAGGCACGAAAATAGAGCCCTTTATGTTGAGACAGTGTCAGAGGTTGACTAATTTTATAGCTGTCACTTAACATCTACAAAGTCACCCATTGATGTCCTATAGCACCAAGCTAAATCACAGCTGTGACACAGAGATGTGCGACGGGGGGAAGAGCAATTTGTTTGATGAGGCTCACAGCTAAATGGGACAGCAAGGAGAGCCAGGACTCACCCGCTGCCTCCCCCAGGCCATTCACTGGCTCCAGGCCTTCACCTTGTGCCATGTCAGAGTGCATGGGTGACCTAGCCTCCAGTGTGTTCCTACATAACCAATAACAAACAGTCATCACAACCAGTTGTTTCATGATATGTTAATCGGCAGGGGCACACTACTTCCTCAATTAAATTTGTTTTTAGGTTGATGTTTTGTAGAAATATCACATCTGAAAAACAAGGGGCGATTCTTTTTTTTTTTTTTTTTGCTTTTGGAGAAATTTTGATTAAAGAAATGTGAATTAGCCAGGAGAGAATTATATACTTACTCCTTTGAAACAAACACCAGCTTGGTCCTGATGTACTTTATGTACGGGCTGTCATCTGAAAGACATCAATTTCAGTTGTAACTCATTCTATTGTATTCATCCGACACAAAAACAATCATTACAGTCTGTCTTTACTCTTAAATTTTACCAAGTTTTCTCTGTTTCTCTAAAAATGTTCAAAGCCTTTACAAATGTATGTGGCTGCCCTACCTCCACTCATCTCAGAGTAGTATTTTCCAAAAGCCTCGTCTCTGGGTGTGTTGGGATACAGGTAAAGCAGAGGACTTTCAGGAACATTTTCAGCTTCAAAGATCTGGAAATTCCTGATGATCTCTTGGAAGGGGATCTGGGAAAGATCAACTTTGGTGAAGGGCTGGACTGTTCTTACATCGGGCTCACCTAAAAAGGACAGAAAATGATTGTGGAAGCTTTATGACAGGAAACTTGTTGATGTTTTAAGCATTTCAAAATATTTTTAAAGCATTGTGAAATCCAATATCTCACCAGTCATGGTGGTTTCCACCCAAGAGAAGGTGATTCCTCCAATGACGCTTTCGCTGAAGCGCAACAAAAACGTGCCTCTCTGCTTTTTCTTCAGGAGAGACTTCTCTTTGCCTTTGCTTACAAAACCCATAATAAGGCTAAAAAACAGACAAGAAGTCACATACAAAGTAATAAACTTCTCCCATTACCCAAGAATAGAAAAGTATTTACTTAAATGCCCTGCAATGAACCAGAATAAGAAAAACATACCCATCTCTCCACAGGCTTTCAAGGTAGGTTTTCACCATTACCAGGATGCCATCAAACCACACCCAGAAAGTGTCAGGGGGATTTTCCTGTCAAAAAAGGTGAAAAGATCATTATTATAGAAATTTGTACTCATAAATAGGGCTGAAACGTTTCCTCAAATAACATAGCGCAAATAATGAGATTAATGTTAATGTAACATAACGTTAAGTTTCTGTTAGTTATAATTGCTCTTTAACTAAAGAAAGAAATGTGTTATGTGACTACTCAATTAATCAACAGAATTCTCAGTAGAATACTCAATTAATAAAATATTCAATAGCTGCAGCCCTACTCATAAACAAACATCTAGGAAAGCCATGCTGCTGGCTCACGAGGCTGTCATATTTTTTGCTGGAATCATATTTCAGAAGGTTAAGGTGAGGCCCTGTTTTTCGTCCTCTTCGGTCACAGTGTATTAAATATAAAGTATGTTAGCAGTTAATTTTCAGATTGGATGACGTATTTTAAAAACACAATCTCCACAATCAAAGCTCTCACATTCAGTGTGAAGCCAAAGAAAAAGTCAAAGTGTCACCTAATCTGAAATTACGATTATGGGGTTTGGGTTATTTCCTCCAACAATGCTCGATATTACTTTCTCAGTTTTCTTACCTTGCTAAATTTTGACCAAGCAACTTTGCAGTGGCCATAGTTCTTCTGTTTTCCTGTGAGACAGAAAAAGGGGATAAATTCAGCAGACTGACAATAAATCAAATCACATAATAATCCTACACAATACTTTTCCTTTAAATTAACTAAAGGGTCAGTGTGTAAGTAAGTTTATGAAATAAACATACAAGCAGTCATACAAAATGGGTTTAACATCTGCGTGTGTGATGACATTGCCAGGGATGATAACACTTAACGATGAAATCTCCCTTCAAATTTTGTGTTAGGGAAAAACTGATTAAATATTTTCAGAGAGCTTAAATGACAACAAACATGTTTTCAGGAATAAAAATTTCACAGTTTGTCTCCATGGTTAGTCTAGTGTTTTCAAAGTGCTGTTGAGGCTTCATTTTTCTCTTAATTGTAAAACCATTTGGTCTAAGAATGACAAGCTCCATTTTACAAACCAGTACAAGAATCAGACTGTGGTGTTATCTGATACTAGGTTTGACTCAGAGCAACAGAGTTTGTACAATTTATGGAGAAAACAAAATGTAGCAACTGAAAGAAGCACAAAAGCAGGATTTACCAAAGAGTCTGTGTGCGATCATCTCCAGCTGAGCATCATTCAATCCACGTTGGGTGGCGCTGAGGAACTGCCAGCTCAACATCTCTCCAAACTGTGGCCAAGTGGCTGCAGGACAGTTGACAAAGAAAGTGGTATCCTGGAAAAACAGACACACGTTTAGATATATTTCAGAATTCATCTCAAAAAAGTTAGTGAAAGCACAATTGAAAATGCGTAATAATGATGAGTGTTGGTGGAGCGGATCTCTCACCTTTGTGTTCGGGCTGAGCATGTTGAACCAGAGGATAGACGCCCAGGCGCTTTGCTGTTGGCTTGAGTTTGAAATGATGATCACAGGGAGGGAGGCGGCCTGTGTTTTTACAATTAAAGCAACAAAAACACAACAATCTGGGAGTCATTTTGTCATAATTGTCACATAAAAAGCCATGTATTCTCAAAGCCAGATAACAAAGAGACATTAAACTACAAGAAGAAAATGATAAAATCTCACCTGTAGCTTAACTGTCAAGCCTTTATACTCAAACACAGTGTCGAAATAGATGATGTGAAGTTCTTCAGTAACACTGAGGGAGATCTGTCAACATCAAATCACACACAGATCATTTTTTTTCTTTTTGCATCTACTTGAATTATACACAAGTTTGATTAAAAGTGCAGATAATTTGTTTTGTGCTGTCAGCATCAACTCACCTCACTGGCTCCTTTACCACCGCCCCCAGACTTCTGCTCTTTCAGAGTCTGAAGAAAAATGTAAGAAAACAACAAATTTAAAACAAAAATTATCGCTCCTTGAGGTTAAAGAGTACAGCTTTTAAACTAGATCTTTTCCCTCACTGTGTACTTGGCTGAAACACCAGAAAGTATGATACTGGATCTACCATCAGCATAATTTTACAAACAGATTGAAGGAAGCTTAAAATCCAAACTCCACCTAGTTGTCATGAAGAAAACTTTTTTCTTTTACAAAAATCAAACTCACCAGATGTCTGAAGTCTGCCACCATTCCTCCACTCTGACTCTCTACCATGTTCAAAGCCTTGGTTTTAGTACCCAAGACATTAAAACGGCGATATCTGCAGACATATACATTTTAGTAAAAGAAATCCATATAGGAGTGGTAAAGTTCAATATAGTTCACCAGAATTATTTTTGAAAACTTAAATATGTTTGGATTTATATGATATTTATATCTAGTTTTGCATACATATGTAATACTCACCCTTTGATCCGAGGAGCCTCACTAATTTCGAAAGGGAGAAAACAGGAATGTTACTACAGGGAGCGTAAAAACATTATCCTTCAATGATTGATGTCAAGAACTAAAGGCTCTAGTTTCACTTTTCGGGAAAAGAAAGTGACTCAAACTGCAGAGAAACCTCACCTGTCCATGCACACATTCACTTTCATGGAGTGGTTCAGTTCAGGGAATTTGACAAGGAGTCTAAAAATATCAAGTCAGATAAGAAATATTAAAACTCAAAACAATAAGATTGAACACTTATACATTACAAAGTCCCAAAGTTTATCATGAAATAAGAAAAAATATGATTTTTATGAAAAAGGATAAGAGAGGGTGCTGGGGTTAAACTTTCATAATTCAGCTTTCTATTATTTAACTCCTTCAGAACAATATTTACAGTGCAAAGGTTTCATACTTTTCTGCTGCACTTTTGAAGGAAATAAGTCAGAATTTATTGAAAATAGAAAAATGGATGCATTTAGATTATGTAAAATATTCAAAAAAGGTACATTTGGATAAAGCCAGGGTACTGTGGCATATGCCTGAAGTGGTGCACTGACCTAGTCTTGACAGAGAACTGGACGTTTGTGCGGAGCACTAGAGGTCCTTTCCCTTGTGGCATGGATGGCTGAGTCTCAACCACAAAGGAACTTGAAGAAACAGTAAAACAACAGTGTCAGGAGACCCAAAAATCAAATCTTAGTGAATTATGAGTGTAGCAAAATGGTTCCTAAAATAGTTACTGTTCAAGTAAGTTTCGGAGGAGAGCGTCTGCTCTTTTACGCAGTGCTGGTTTTTGTGACTTCACAGGATCGCCATCATACGACAGTTTTCCTTCCAGCTCATCCAGCTTATTGAGGAACTCACACACCCCGAACAGACAACTTGCAACACAGGTGAACCTACAAAGAGAAAAGATAAGTCAATATCATGTTTTCATGGGTCTTAGAAAATAAAATAAACACAAATTTAATAAATAATAATAATGAAACTGAAACTCTGTCCAGATTAACTGGATTTATTGCATTGAAATGGTGACCGTAGACAGAAAACTCAGGTAGGAATGGTCATCAACATAACTGATACAGGAAAAGCCAAAGATTAAGGCCAATGTGGAACGAGTGAAGATTAATGATGTACCATTTCTCCAGCTGGTCCAGGCAAATATTGTCAGGAGCACCAATGCAGGCTTTCTGCTGTCTTTTCTGCCACTCCATCAGCTCTTTGTTCACCAGTATGGCAGTCAGATCGTCACTCCGATCCAGGAGTTTATTCAGGTCATACAGTGTGCTCTGAGAATGACATGTATGAGACTAATAACTACAAACTCACCAGATTTATAGAGCAAATAATTAATACATAAAATGAGATAAAATAGAACCAAAGGAAAGCAGTAATCTCAATACCTACCTTTCTGGATTCATTTAGTTTGTTGATAAGAGCCTGAAAAATTTTGATTCGTTCATTCTTCACAGTCTCATCAACCACAGCTACAGCATGGTTTTCACAGCAGGATTGAAGTTTCCGTACATCACAGAAAAGCCAAAAAGTAGAATGCAGTTACGATTCACATCACTTTATTCATCATACTCAGATAGAATTATCAGAGTATGTAAATTGCACCTGAGCTATTCAGTGTCTCACCTTCCATCTTGTAGGTTTTATATTTAAAATCGAACTCATCTTGCTGCTCTTCCAAACACACCATAGTATGTTCCATGCACTGTATCCAAGAAATGACGAAATAATAAATAGACAGTCATTGGTTTGGCATAAGAGAGCTCAGCATAACGGCACAAAGCAACACATTGTTTTCCCTACCTGCATGTCATTTCTGAGGCCAGCCATTTTTCGTTCAAGGTCCTGCTGGCTGCTTGTCTCCATGGGTTCCTGCTCTACATGCAAAGCCTGAACCTGAGCAAAGCAAAGGTATGTGAGGTTGGTTAAAATATCTAAGGATATGAATTCAGATAAGGAATCAGTAAAGAAAGTTCATTTAAGTAAATTAAAAAAAAAATTGCATCTAGTATATAAGGTGTTAACTGCACTCATAGTAACAACATGCTGTGCTCATTAAAACAGGTGTGTCTCATTTGTTATCTGGTGTCTTGGTCCAACCTGCTCTGCCACTTCAAAGCTGTCCAAGATTTCTTTTTCTTTTTCAAGAAACCACAGGATTGTGTTTGCCAGCACAGTGGGATCATCCTGGTAACCCTATTAGAGGGGAGGAGGAGTCAGACAGATGACAGTCAAATCTGTTTTTTAGCAGAGGTAGAATTTTGAAAAAAGTCCTGAAAGACACAGTAAGTTAGCTTGCTTTACTATCTGGCAATGAAAAACAAAAAGTTTGTGGAAACTTGGAGTCCCTTCCTTAATTTTAATTTTTATTTAACTAATAACAAGGACTTGACTGGCAGATAATTCCTTCTTTTCTCCACAAATCCTGCCCATACTAACCAGGAAGTTCTGTTTGTAGCGTCTTATGTTGTGCTGCAGTAAGAATGACTCCTGAGTAAAACGGCTCTGTTGGATATCTAGATTCTCCAACAGGACCTGGAAAAGCACCACAGCCAAACCATGGTCCCTTGCTGCCCTTTTCCTACAAAAAAAGAAACACATTCAGAACAGGATGTTCGATAAACAGCCAATTTAACCCCTTGAAAATCTGATATTATTGAGAAAAATTGTGGCAAATGAGAAAGAGCTGCTTTACCAGTCCTGCTTCTCAATCCAGGCTGACAGATAGTGTCTGACATCCATGGGTAAACCATCTCTGTCATAAAGTTCATGTAACTGTTGTGTGTACACAGCAGGCAGCTGCCTTAGTTTTTCCCACTGAGACATCCTGGGGTTGGTCAGGGAAATCCGAACATGTGCACAACTAAGACACAGTGAAACAGTGAGTATGAATAATAAACTCGCAAGTAAGACAGTTCGAATCCATTTCAGATCTCTGCACTAAGAGACAGTGACAATATGCTGCTAATTCACAAGGTTTTTGTCGACAATCAACATGTCAAAGCGCAAACTTGACCAAAAAAGAAGGCCCGTGAATGCTAACAACAACATCTAATGAAAGCACAGTCCACAAACGCTATATTAAAAGACACTCTTAGAGGCTGCTGGATCTGTAGAGTACATTATTTTTGATGACAGATAACCCTGAAGTGCGAGGCTGAAGAGTGGACATGACTTGGCCCATCGGTATTTACACATTTACTTACCTCGCTTTGGTTCGTCAGTCTACTAACACAAGTTCATAGCTAACAAACGTCGCCGATTCTTGGGTTAGTTGATCTTTGTTCAGCTAGTTGATATCACAGTAAACAGCTTCCAAAACACTGCAAGAGTGCGACGTTATTTCCCGTTTCCAGTTTTCACCTCACACTCCGTTTCATTGGATATCCATTTATCCCGCCCAATATGTCGTTTAAAGCGGTCGTGAACACCATTCCGGCTCTAATACCGGCTTTCTACAGCATTTTGGAGCCAAAATGTCCGACAAACGTAACACAGTTTCCGAATGAGCTCAAAGCACAAATCCCATTGGTCAGACTGCGCACAGAGTTTCACGCGCTGTTGTTTCAATTACATGTCAATCTTGTAGGGGGGCGTGGTCAGCAGCAAAATAGAAACTTATGGCGACGCATGGTCGTTTCCCGAGAAATAGGAGAGTGAAAGTGACGAGGCGGCTGACGTGTGACGCACTTGTTAAATATTTCCAAACCACAGACAATCTTTGTAGGGGAGAGTGGGGTAAGATGAGCCAGAGGGTACGTTGAGAAAGTAAAGGAGTCTGATGAGAGGATCAGAGTTTCAGTTCAGATTGTTGAAATGTGTTACTTTTTCTGTCCAAAAATACAGCTGTGAATGTTCCGAATCACTTAAAGACATTCTCATGTTAAAATGGTAAAAGAAATTGATCATGTGACCAAATATTTAGGAGATGGGCATCAATTCATGGAGTCTGTGAAGGTTAGAAGCACATGGGTGAAGGGGTGAGACATTGATTTCCAAAAAAAAAAAAAAACCTTTTCACTCTTGAAAGTGAATTTAGTTTGTCATCAGAATTGTGTTCAGACCAAAAAAGATTATTGTTGCATTCCACAAAAATTACCTAATACATTATGTTTCGATTGGGCTACTCGGTAGTAAGAAAGGTGTAGGCTGTGCAGTAGGCTCCATTTTTACCAGCTGTACACTATGTTATAAAGTCATTCCCATAATGTTCCACTTTTCTTAAAATCAACTATTCTACTTTAAAGAGACTGAGGTTTTGGTTCATTTTGGTGCCTGAATTGCTCTCCTTTTCCTTCCATTCCTGCAGTTTCCTTTCTCACCAGTAGATGTCACACTGAACTACTCTAATCACACCTGAGCATGAACACAAAGATGCTAATGGATCAGCTTAAGCTTTAAGTGTTAAAATATCAGTTTTCTGGAAATTGTGTTGTCCTAACTGTGTCTAAGCACATTATTTACTCACCATTGATAAAAAAAATGCCCCAGTCTTTCCAGACATCAAACATTGTTTTATCTATGAAGGTATAATACATCTAGAGAAAATATTTGTTATTGTTGTTGATACTAAACTCAAGTTGCCCTCGGGATTTAAAAACAAAACAATTTATCATTAAAAGAGACCAAACTGTGTCTGCACAGCTGATAAAACAATAAACCCATCTGGTTTTTATCTAGCTCCACCACATTGAAAAAGCTGTGATGATACTGTATGTTGTTCCATGTTTCTCAGAGCTGGCCAGTCTGCCTGGTCACAATGCTCAGTAAGAACTGTAGACTTTGGACTCGGTGTAGATATATCATTTGGTAAATATGCATGCACAGGGCGAAGTTCACAGTACATTGCTCAGCACAAGTGGACAGATATTTCAACTACCAGCAGCTATTTGTTTAGCAAAATCTTTTGACAGTAACTGAGACTTGATATGTTACACTGATAAATACGTTAAATCAACCTGTCAATGTTGTTTATGGGCTTTGTCTCTGTTGATGGACAAAAAGAAGGTAACACCATACACAGATCAGCAGTCCGCACACACACACAAATACAAACACACAGGATGAGTTCATTTAACTTGAGAGTCTTTGGACTGTGGAAAGAAAACACACAAAAAGAGAGCGAACATGCAAACAAAGAGCTCAGTCATCTGGCCTCTAAAGAGCAGTCATACAAACCTGTCACAGTGGTCAAATAGAGACTAGTGGTTCAACATTTAATGACATAACAAGAAGCTTGACCATGATCACACATGATTTCCACAGTTTTTAGCATGTCTGTTCCAGCTTTCATCATTTTACAGTTTTCCTGCAACAAATATAATTGTGAGATAGCCTGCTTTTGCATAAAGTCATCATTTTTGTGATGTTCCTCCTTTTCAAATCCAAATACCACATTACAGTCACTGAAGGCACTCAGATTTAGTGTACTTTTTTATTGACATTTAGAAATGATCCAAACACAAATGAAATTCTCAGTTTAATGTCCCTGCAAATAACCAGGTGGACAAAAAGTGTGAATAGATAGAAAGTCTCTGGGGTGATCAAAAACAGGAAACAGAGGAAAAGACACTGCAGGTTTATAGTCAGGTTTATAGTGTTGAGTGATTGAGCATTTAATACCTGAGACCATTTCTGAAAACGTTTTAGCTTAGCATGATAAAAGATTTTTCTTTTTTTTTTTCATAACAGAGAAGTAGACTTTGCAAAAAACGTACATTTCATCATCCTACTTTTTCAATAAACTAACAACATTTTTACAACTACTGTCTTTCGTTTTTTCTCTGGCTAATTTACTCAGTCTGTTTAAAAAACAACAACAAACAAAATGGTCATTTACATTTACAGGCGTAGAAAGTTTTTTTCAGATAATCAATAGCAACCATTTTAAACTGTCAAAAGGAGTTGGTGTGCACAAACAAACAACCAAAAAGCTTTTGTCCATTACAAAACTTGATTGTAGGTAATTCACTGAGTGATGCATAAACCTGTAATACCCTTTTCCAAAACGTAACAGCTATAAAATCCTACAGAAGAATTTCTTACTCTTAAACTTGGTCAGTTAACAGCTGTGATCCTGGATAAGTGTTTTCTGAATTTAAAAGCATTATCTGTGTATAATGCTAAAGCTTCATAGGTTGGTTTGTTGATCAGCCGGTCTATTGGATGGTAAGGATGCCCTCCTCCCAGCTGACCTGGTTCACCAGCACGTCGTCTTCCTGCTTCATGGAGTTGAGCAGATACCTGACACCAGCTTTCACCCCTGTCTTCACCCCTGCACCCAGCGCATAACCCGCCACCCCAGCAGTCCCTCCTGTGGCCACCATGAGAGCATCTGTACCGAGGTCCACAGCGCTGAGGATGGCTCTCTCTTTGGCCGTTTCAGAGCAGTTGACTGTAGCGTAGTACACAGCAGTGCCCAGATTGTAGAGGGTGCTGACAGCTGGGATCCACTCCACCACATTGTACACACGCTCCTCACTCCGATTGATGCATCTCCTTTGGGGGCTTCGCTTCAGTCGTCGACTTGGACCTTCAGAGGTGGTGACATCTTCCTCTGAGCTGCACTGGTGAATCCAACTTTCAGAACCTGAGGATTCAGAGGGCAGGATGCGACTTCCTTTTCTAAGCACGGCCTGGTATTTTCTGTATTTGTGCGTTCCACTGCTGCTCACTCCGGCACACAGGACTCCCAGCCTCTCACAGGTGTTCACAGCCTCTTCCAGATCCCCTGTAGCTCCTTCTACAGCTGTTCCTACAAGTGTTGTCCCGTTAACCCTGCTCCAGCCCTCACAGTGCCCCTCTTGTTTAAACATCCCTTCTCCTACCAAGCCAAGCTGCTTGATGTTGAACATCACAGCCTCAATGTGGCTTCCTGCTTGAGCCCCCTCTGATGGTGCTGCTGCTGGTGCAGATGTAGGCATTGAAGCGGTCTTTCTCATCCTCCTCTCTATCAGGTCCTCCACTTCCATAAGAAGATCCTCAGTGTCAAGCTCTCCCAGCAGCTCATACAGCTTGAGCACCAGGGTCTGAGCTTCCCGTGTACAGCCTGCCACTGCCAGCACAGGCACTAGAGACAGACCTAGCAGTTCCTGTGGAAACAGTGAGGACGAGGGGTCATCCAGAGTGCTGGCAGACAAGAGCTCCACACAGCTGACATTCTCTTGAATGTGCCCGTGATCTTGAATATGGCCCTGAAGCTTTTCCCTGAGGACTGATGTTATAAGTTTTGCAGATTGAATTCTCGTCTGTTTTTGTTCAACCTCTGATACTGGACCAGGTTTCTCTGAAGTGGGAGGGAGGCCGAGCTGGAGCTTGGATCCAAGGTTAGACTGATGATCTGGTTTCGTAGTCCCCTTCAAGTTTTCATGGAAGCCAGTTTCTGGAAGCAGTGAGTTTCTCGGTGCCAATGAAGGAGGGACTCTGCACAGAACCTGTTCACTCAGAAGGAGCTGGATCACAAGCAGCCACTTCAGCTTTGAGGACATCATTTCAGCCCAGTTCCCAAAGCCACTATGTGATACAAAGGGGTAAAAGAAGACAAGCCAACAGTGTCACAAATGTACTTTTTACTCCTATGTGTAATTTGCTTTATTGGCTAGTCCTCTTTGCCTAAATTGGCTTGTAGACAGCCAGTAGTCATGATATTTCCTCAAGTCTTAAACATGAGTTCTTACTTGATTTTTTTTCTCTTCCAGCACTTCTAAGTATATAATTTTATTAATCCAGATGACCTGCATTTAAACATCAATGTAAAGCTAGATTACTACACAATGTGAGGAGATTAGAAAACTGATGAACAGCAGAGTTCAATACTAAAGACCTATTCTTATTTTCTTATTGAAAGAGAGCAGCTTGCAAATTAAGACAAAGAAAAGAGATGGTCACGTTTAAAAAAACATACAAATGAGACATCTCTAGGCTGTTTGAGGAGATATAAACATGTTTTTATGTGAAATAGAGATAATTCAAGACTAACTCTGAACCGAAACATTTTAGCACAGAGTTGATCTTTTTCTACACTGACAATAACTGCAACTAAAAATATGTTTGATATGTCTGCTCATATGCATTCAACACTTACCTTGATAATAGTCTGATGTGGAGTTCTAGTCAGAGCAGTGCGACCAAGATGGCTTCAGCGTGTAGGATGCTTCTTTTTTGTCCCTTTTCTCCCTCAAAACATGCATAGCTCTCTTCTCTCTCTTTGCCTCCAATGAGATTCTCCTTCTTTACACATGACATCCCACAGCCCTCCCTCTATCTCATCTGTCTTTCAGCCTCCTCTTCTCGTTGGCCTCATTGCTCAACAGGGAGATCAGCGCTTGAATGTTAATTCACATGGGGGGAAAGTCCATGTGTTGTGGAACAGTTTTGTTTGCCTGCCCTGCAATCCTCTCAGCCCCTCTCGCCCCCTGCTTCCTCACTCACTCACTCTCTCACTCAGTCGTTTTGTTTTTGACCCAAATACTTGAAAGAAATCTCCCCTCATGCAGTGTGCAAATATATCTCCTATACAGCCCAAGGGGGAAGAAGAGAGGGCTATCTGAGGTAAAGACAGAAAAGGAATGCATTTAAAATATCAACAAAAATCTATATTACTGTACTTATCTTTATTTTTCTTTTATTACACAAATCATTCCCCACATTTTGTTTGCAAAATGAGTTAGATTTGAGTTAGATTTTCTTTCTTTTTTTTTCTATTTCAATTTCAAGAAGGGATTTTATGAAAGAAAGAAAGCTGAAACAGAATTTTAAATAATCTATTGGATTTAAAATGACTCCAAAATCTTCAGAGAAGAAATGCAGAGATGATGCATCTCCTCACAATGTTTTATCTACACAGTTGAACAAACTATTTAGTTAGTATTTTATCATGTTTTTTTGTTAATATTAGTGAATCTCAATTGCAAAAATTCAACAGAACATACAAAATCTTGTGCTGCCCCTCAGGTCTCTGGTTCCCCAACGAGTGAACACGGACCCCAGACCAGGAACCTGTACTTTATAGGATAAAAGACACTTTATCGTATTACGAGACACAATCATACTGTGTGAGAAATGAGTACATATACCAGAAAATGAACATCTAAAATTTCTTGTTATATATTGATAATCACAAGACCAGAGTTTAGACTCTGTCATTTCTGTTACATACAGACCAATGTCTTGTTAAAGTAATTACTTTGTCAGTCTATGTGGAATTTTTAGCCTCTGAAAAAGGTCAGGCAAATTTTAAATATCATTTTGACGTGGAGTATTGTTCTCGTTGGAAAACACTTAATTAAAAAACACAAATAATATAAAATGTAAGGTAATACAAAACATTGATAGTGTTCAAAATTTCTAACTCCTGTTGTAAAACCCATAAGAGCCCGGGTTTAAAAGATCCTTAACAGCTCTCAGTGGTTTATACTTTCATACTGTCATTTTTCTTTTCTTTTTAAAGGCTTTGTTGCTGTTCCCTATTTGTGACACAGGGTGGCGCCATAGCCATGTTCACTTGATGCATGATTTCTCTTGAGAACCCCAGCAGGCCCTTGACTGAAAACAAAACAAGTCTTTTTGATTGTTACTTTCAAAAATCTTGCAATCTTGAGACTTCTTTCCAAATTTAGTCCTCCCCCTGCAAAAATGGATTCCTCTGGACAACATGATCTTTGTCTGTGATTGTGTCTCTATATACTATATTTCTTGGTGGATTGAAATATGTACATGTCAGGTGTAGTTATTGTCTCTGCAAATGTGCCATCCTGTCCTGACTGCTAAACCACCTTATCTCGTTCTGTGCATCCCTTAATCTTATGCCTGTTTTTAAACAATCCTCCTATTTCAAGTGTCAACCCCCAAAAAAAGCTAATGGTGGCTTTACATGTGGAGCAGATTTAGAGTGTGTTGTGCAGATCAACAGCCATCTGCCTAAATAGAAAACAGACAAAGAAAGACAAAGAGTCCAACGTGTAAACAGGGTGAAACACAGCTCTTAGAAACACATCAGTCACACAGTGATCTCAGACCAGTAACTCATTGCTTGTTCAGAGTTTTTTTGAAGTCTAGTCCAACTTGGTTATAAGACAGAGAGAGGCGTGGAAAAGGTTTATTTATTTATTTTTTGTACTGTACTGTGTGAAAGGGCTCTTAAGTGAACAATGCTTTCTAGTCAGCTCTTAACTATATAACAGGAACATTTTTTTGTGTGCAAGTTCAACCTGTTATAGTCGCTCATGTTCACTTTCTTAATTTTTGTCTCATTTTTCTATCTTGTCTGATGGAGTATTAGGGCCACATTAAGAAAATAAAAAAGACTTTGGGATTAAATTCGTTAATTTACAAGAATAAAGTCATAATGAAGTCATTAGAGACGGGTATAAAGTCATAATAAAGTCATTACTAACGAGAATAAACTCCTAATAAAGTCATAATTCATGAGAATAAAGTTGTAAAAAAAATCATTACTAAAGAGAATAAACTCGTAATAAAGTCATTACTAAAGAGAATAAAGTTGCGATAAAGTCATTACTTATTTCTTATGACTTATTTCTTATGTATAAGCTTCTCTATTGCATGTTAATACATTCAACGGTGTAATCTGTTACTGCATAATACAGTGGCGTAACATCATGGTGATAGGCCCCAGTGCAAATTTTTTTTTCGTGCCCCCACCCCTGCCCTAAGCAAAAGCACACATGCACACACACGCACACATGCACGCACATGCACACACAGCCACTATAGAGAACTGCTATTGTTGCCATGTAGGCTGACAGCCTAAACACACCCCAAACGCATTCTGTCTTTCTTTTGTTTTGCCACCGGCTTCCCTGTTTGTCATTTTGTGAAGCAGTAAGGCTAAATATCTCTACTGCTCTACTTTGCTCATGCTGCTCTTATGCTCTCCCTGTGCCACCGAGAAAAACTTCACTTCTCTGCCTTCCACTTCTTTCTGTACTTGGTGCACGTTTGTTTTCTCCTGTTTCCATCTTATTTGTATCACAATCAATAAGCAAATGTTTATTAAAGCAGCACAAGAAAATGCGCAATAGTAGACCACTTGCATTAAGTTCAAAGACAGCTTTGTTTTATTTGTTTTGTGGCAAGAATGTTGCTCAGTGACAGATTATTCGAGTAATTACACATTGATTGAGGGGCAGGCAATATAAGAGGTATCATCTTCCAGCTCCCTTCCAACCAATAAATAAATGTTAAAGTCAGCTGCCAATCTGCAGGGGACAGCACGTGTCATAAACCGGAGAACAAAAATGTACACTAACAGGAAAGCCAGTGGCAAAAAGAAAAGAAAGAGGCAGAGCCGGTTGCGGGGCAATTAAAAAAAAATAAATTTCCCTCTTTCCTTCATGGGCCCCTGACAGCGTCTTCCTTGTTAAACTGTACAATACTCTAGGATATGTCCTACAGCTCAATGCTGCAAACTGGTTTTGTATACATTTCCTACTCTCTTTGCTTGTTCACTCTATCCTTTGTAAATGGCTTTATTTCTAATATTCTGCACTTTTTACAAACCATTGCAATTTCTTTATTCTTATCATTCCTACTTCTATTCTCCTTCTCCTTCAGTATTTGTATATTTCAAGAGCCTGTGTCACAAGAAAAATAATAGCTCTAAATATGAGCTTGCCTTGGCTACTGGAAAGAAATTCGGATCATGAACAACTTCATGCTGAAACAGAAGTGCTGAACTGAACAGTTATCTGTTTCACTTATGAAGCCTGTATATGAAGAAGCACCAGGTTTCACCCATAAACAATCAGATGCCCAGCTGGTGTGGGATTCATCTGTTGTGTTTTTTTTAATTGGATCAGTGTTTGGACAATTTTGTTTTCTGCAGGGAAATTAGTAGAACTGCGCTATAGTTGATGAATAGGAGCAGCCCTCAAGAGTCCAATCAAAAATAACCAAAGCTTGCCAATGCAAGCTGACGCCCTTATTTTACACACAGCTGAGATCTGATTAACCATCAGGGTTTGGGTCTTCAGAGTATAAGCTCGTTTTTATGTAAGTCACCATCGTGATTCACGATCACACTGATATTCCCTCACCAATTATCATGTTTGGATCTGTTACATATATAGCAGGTCTATAAAGGTTAAAGGCTATATGAAAGCAATCCTTCCTCCACCCCACACCTCAAACACATACAAACACACATGTTTAGATATGAGGTTTAATATTGCTAGAATCATATCTTGAGCCTAAAAATCAGAGGGCTTTTATTCTGAAATCCTGATTCATTTGCAGCCAGGCTGACATTAGGCAGAGTTAGAAATGAAGTGTTTGTACTGAACTTGTGCATGCTGTAAATGTCAAAGTTTCTATCATAAAATCAGTAAGATATTCTGTGTTTCAGTGACTTAAATGTATCATATAAAAATGTGCTGGTTTAGAATAAGATACAGATTTCAAAATTACTTTTGTAAGTCTTACAGTATTAATAAGAAGCAATACACCATTGGACATTAAGTAGAGTAGGAGACATGTATTATTTTTTTAGTCTGTTTATAAAATGTGAGTTATGAGGAAAACACATTATGCTCTGTCAGTTCCAAAATGACCCTCCCCAGTTGACTCAGGTCTATACTTCCTCCCGCCAGCTAAGCTTTACAATTGAAAGGCACCCAGGACTCCCATCACAACAGGACCCTGAGTCGCCTGCTAGACTCTTGTCCTCTCTGGTCCCCGGGTAGCAAAATGAATCCTGAAACTCCATCAAAGTCCCTTTCAACCCTTGAGAAAAAGTTTTAGACACATATTTTATGAACTCCTCCAGTCATCTTGATGACATGAATGTTAGTGATGATACCAGCAGCAACAGTAATGATAATGCTTTAAATTTCGAATCAAGACCTGAGACGAAATGACTGTGTGTTGCTCCTGAATATCAAGATAGGCTTCAGACCAGACAAACAGCACAACAGATGTTACTGCCTGAAGTTCTTCTTGTTTGTTAAGGAAGTTATTTGGGGTAACTTAAAGGGATATTCTGGCGAAAAATTAAGTTAGTGTCAAACACACTCTAACACTGAGTTAGACACCCCATCAAGAGATTGATATTGCTGATCATCTCTTCATGGAAATGCAATCAGATCGAGATGCTAAGGCAGAAGAACTACCGCGTCTGCAGTGCAAAATGATTAATATGGTGATTATGACTTCAAGGAAATGATTAAGAAATGATCATATATGTTCTTCCTTGGGCTGCGTCACCCTGCTTACTAAAGTTGGCATAACCAGAGAAGCAAGTGGTCGGCAACATCAATCTCTCAACGGGGTGTCTAACTCGGTGTTACAGTGTGTTTAACCCTAACTTAATTTTACGCCAGAATATCCCTCAGATAAACTTACCTCAGATGCCCTTTAAGATTTTTTTTTTTTTTTGAATCTGTCCAAGACAGCAACCCAGTCAAAACACACATGAGAGACAGAGACATGCAGCACACAAGAAGAAGATAATATTTGGGGATACCCCTTTCTCTTATTAACGTCTTACCTTTAACGTATGCCATGAATTTCGAAATGAGAAATTATCAAAAATGTTCTTCCTTGAGCTGTGTCACCCCACAGCAGTCCGTAATGGACTGGCCCAAGGTCTCCATACAAACAAGCGGCTGCTGGAAGAGAGTAGGTGAATTGTGTTTAGTCTCTTTGCTAAAGAAATCAGGCAAAGTTAAAAAGATGTTTGGTGGCTAGTACTATGGCTGGGACCCTATATGTACTGTCGATGAAGTTAGGTGCAGTTCTGAGCATTATTTGTAGCTATAGAGTGGCGTTTTGGTTGAGCGCATGACTCCTGGGACCGCTATATATTGCTATCTTGCGGTTGTTACTAAAGTTGGTATAACTAGAGAAGCAAGCGGTTGGCAACATTTATCTCTCGAGGGGGTGTCTAACTCAATGTTACGGTGTGTTTGACCCTAACTTAATTTTATGCCGGAAAATCTCTTTCAGTTGTTGGACTATTTGTTCTCTCAGCTGTTGACAAAGCAGTGAACCTCATCTCATTCCAAGGACAGCCTTATAGGGATGCTCCTTTTATACCGAATCATGACCCTCACCTGTTTCCAATGAACCTGTTCACCCATAAAATGATCCAGGTGTTTTGGGAGCAGTCCTCAATTTTCTTTGGTTTTTGTTGCTCCATCCCAGCTTTTTTAGAACATGCAGCAGGCATCAAATTCATTATGACTGGATATTTGCAAAAACACAATAACGTTTATGAGTTTTAACATTAAATCTCTTGTCTTTGTAGTGTATTCAACTGAATATAGGTAGAAAGGGATTTGCAAATTATTGTTTTCTGTGTTTGTTCACACTTTCCACAATTTCTCAACTTCATTGGAATTGAGGTTGTACAACATACATTAATTTTAGCAGTATGTGAGTACTGTGTGAATAGAATTTTCTCGTGGGAAAAAAACAGGACCAAATCACATACAGACACAAAACAATTGGTAAACACTCTGTTTTTCCTCATCCTTTCAGATATCCCATCTTAAAATGATAATGTGTCATGAGAACCAGTATTCATACAAGAAACTTTATGGCCTCTCAGAATTAAGAAAGATTTAAGATGAAACCGACGCATACACTGGAACGTATCTCAGCAAATGTGATTCTAATAATGTTAGTGTAAGTGACCTAGATTACAAATTTCATACCAACCATTCACGTTTGAACTTGCACTAGCTGATGCAATCTAGTGCAGGATCATAAGATGATACACAAAATGCTTGAAACAAGTGTCTATGAATAAATAAAGTGCTACGTAAGTAGAATATAAAATTTGCAAACCCTTGATTTGTTAGACAAACGGGATTATTTTTAAGAAATAAAATAAAAGCCTCTTTGATTCTTCATCAGGTTTTCAATGGTACAGCTGAGGAAAACTATTCAGCTAATACATTTATAAACTTTTTAACACACATCCAAGTGTACTGATTCTTGTTACAGAGGGATAGAAACAACTTTTATGACATAAATAGGGTTTTCTGACATTTTAGGAGTCAATTTGAAGCCCTATGGTGGCCTTAATGGTTTTTTGAAGCAGCCTGAATATAGTCAGTAAAGGCTTGGCTCAGATGAAAGGAAACTTAGTAAACAAGAAAGGTAAATTTGGAGAGGAGTGGCTAGACCACTTAATGAGTCATTTCATTGTCATTAATTAATTAAAAAGAGTGAACTGCTGTGGACAGATTTACAACTACAAAACAGCACAGTGCTGACATGTGGACTGACATTTGTGAAAACAGGTCTCAGCTGTGTTAAACCCACTCCACGCCCTATTCCCTCCCTTTCAATGACTTACATTGCTGGAAGGAGCTGACATAGGGAGGGGGGATACTTACGCCAGGCTGCACCGCTCACCAAAATACCAAATTGTGCTTAGGAACGCCTTGTTGGCGCGGTGGACGTGACGGCAAGAAAATAGAGCCTCTGGTGTCGAATCAGTGCTCTCAAGTGGTCCGTAATCAATGGTTATAGTTGTCAACTAGAAATAGTTTATCTGACAGTTTATTTGAACTGTAACTCAAAGGGAAATGATGTTCTGAGATATCAATGTTACTCGGAGATGTTGAAATTATACAAATAATCTCTATAGAAATTCATCTAAAGAAGAGAAAGCTTGTTCTGTTATATGTTTAAGTGCCACCACGAGAGATGACATGAATACATGAAGCAAAGTTTGACAAAAAGAGGATTAGGTTGCTTCAAATCTAGAGGGATTATTATTTCATGTTGAAGTTTATTTAAAGCAATCTGTTTAATCTTCCCCTTTTAAGTACTGGATTACAGACTTGTTAAAAGACCAAATCATTAAAAAAACAAAGATTATTCCTCTCACTTCGTAAGTGTCTCTCCAACAGAGCATGCTTGCAGTACATACTGTAGCTGTAATGGTATTATGTAATGCACTCATATAACCTTTTTCTTCATGGTTCAGACTAGCACCTGACGTATCCTGCCATCTCTAAATTTAAAACTAGAACCCAATGATCCAAAGAACTTATGAGGTGTTAATTAAGTGTGGCTGACTCAATTAGCTAGTGCGAAGATTCATTAACATAAGGTACATACATACACACACACACAGTAACACACTCCAGTATGTACATTCACACACAAACACATAAATAAAAACATTCCACTGAGTTCTGTGTTTTACTTAATGCACATTATTTTCTTTTAGATAACTTAGAAAGAGTCTTTAATAGCTACCATGGAGTTACCACAGAGGCTGCCATCCTACCCCACCATGTTTCTATTATAGCATGGGAAAGATAAGTTAGTAACATGCCTGTTTTTGTATTTCATGAGTGACAGAGCAAAATGCATTGGTTAGAAGATGTTAAAGAAGAAGAGAGTGGTTATCTGAGCACAAAACATTTTGTATTAATTGAGTTTTGATTGAAAAGACTTGACAAGTAGAGGATTTACCATGCATCACGGAAGCTTCTTAAGGGCGTGTCTAATGTATAAAGCAAAAAAAAGAATTTTATCAGAAAGTAAACAACAATTGTTTGTTATCAGATAAGTCGACAAAGAACAAAGGAGGAAGTTTTATTTTAAACACCACTTTGCATGAACAACTTTGAAGCAGATGTGTATCTCTGTCATGGGAATCAAACTATGAAATTGTCAAAGTAATGAATTGAATTCTTGGCTTTCTAAAGCCAAGAAAATGTTAAAGGAAAATGCAATCCGTAATTATGACAAAAGTAACCAAGGATTCTTGTAGAAAAGTCAGCTTGAAATGCTGTCTGTTAGTTATATGTATTATCAAACTTGTTTTGTTTACTTCATGGCATAACTACAGTATTGCCCAGTGACCAATAAGTCAAGTTGAAACTCTGTTTCTGTTTGATTTTTTTGTTGTTTTGTTTTGTTTGTTTTGTGGTAAGAATGTTGTTCAGTGATAGATTATTAGAGTAATTAGACATTAAGTGAAGGGCAGGCAATATAAGAAGTATCTTCTTCCTGCTCCCTTCCAACCAATGAATAAGAAATGTTGTGACTTGCCATGATATTGTCAAACTGTGAAATTGCCCTGATTGAAAGAAAGAAAGAAAGAAAGAAAGAAAGAAAGAAAGAAAGAAAGAAAGAAAGAAAGAAAGAAAGAAAGAAAAGATAGAAAGAAAGAAAGAAAGAAAGAAAGAAAGAAATGTGTCTGGGTATTGTAGATATTCACATCTCTACACACTGTACCTCTAAACAAATTTTTAAAAAACAAAGCAAAAGTCTTTCATCAGCAATACTCTTATCGATGCACTTGTCAGTGTACAGAGCAGAGTGTAAACATTGGGACACATGGGAGTTCATCTGTACTAAACAAAGTGAAATATTGACACTAACACAGCAGATTATGTCAACCAGGATCCTTTGGTGAATCACACTATTTATACAACACGATCCCACATCAACCAAGCCTCTCAAGTAAGTAAACACACTTTTATAGCTTATACCTGCTGTCTGTGAAAACTGATTTCAAGCATTCTTTTACTCTTTGCAGAAACTGTGTGTGAGGTCATCTGTGTGTGCTGCAACTAAGATGAACGGAAACATTCATTTAATGCGTTCTGATGCAGCTGACTGAGAAAATTACATGATGACATGAGGAGGATAGTGAAGAACAGTCAAGGATGCTGAACTGTAGGAAGGATGTTTTGAGAAACGGAGAGATTTTGGGTCTCCATTTGACCTTATAAACTCTAAGCGGGTGAAACTTCTGATTGTTTTTGTCAGTAGGAGGAAAAGGTTAGTCTGAAAGCTTCCGTTTGTCATTTGAGGACTTATTGATTTGCAGAGTGTGGGAGTTACTTGGCTCTCACACACCACCAATGTGAAGTGCAGAGAGAACAGTTATTTTGTTGTACAGGCTGTATATATTGTTCTAGAGCTCAATCCTCACAAAATGTGCAGTTTCTTCTCAAATCTTAATGTTTCCAGTTGAAAAAATCCCCCCTAAAAATAACACATTTATCATTAAAAAGGGCAGTATCATGATTTATTATCAGTCTTTTTTTTAAATACTATGTACATTACTTTAAAAGGCTTCCAAGCTGTATTAACCTTACATCTTTTTTATCTTGTTCTGTAATTTTAACACAGCTGTCAAATGAGACATGTAAGGTAATGTTAATGATGATTTGCTTAAAACACAGGGACCTCTAGAAAATGTTTCAAATCATTTATAAATTTACCAGTAACAGAAGGTTAGTTTTTTTTGAACGGCATCCAAAAATATAAGTACATTGCTACATTATGTGTGTATGTTTGTGTATGTGAAGGGGTGGGATTAGAGTTTGGGTAGCGGGTGGAGCTCTAATTTGATTATAAATGAGCTTGCCTTGTGGACCATAATAATTGAAGTACAGACGCGGCACATTTTTGAGCTGGTACAGATCTCCTACGATACCAGAAAAACTATAAAGCACATCACTGGTTTATACTGTTGGATCATATCTGGCAACAGGTAAGACTTTCATGTTCCTTAGATTATTTTTGAATATATTGTTTTGTGATAAAAATACATTTAAGCTTATTATGTAATAAATTGTTTTTATTTTCTTCACCCTAGCAGTCATATCCTTGTAAACTGTGCAGGGTATTTTGTAGGTGAAAGATCATTTTTCCATTTGGTACTTAGATCCAGAGACCCTCCACATCTTTCTATTGTTACAACTCAGAGATTCATAAACAGTATATTGAATTGTTTTCATGCCTGGTGACAAATATAAAATTTTGGAATGAAGTTAACTGGACCTGTCCAAATTTGACTTATTTGGAAGGAATTTTAATTTGAGTAACCAGTCAAACGTACTACCTAGTGACAGCTAAATCACTAAGTTTCATTTTCTTTTTAAACCATCAAGAAAATGATGGAGAAACTATCAACACTCTCTTACAAACCATCTTAATACATCATCATTCTCTCACCCTTAAGTAATAATTTAGCTGATATTAGTCGATGCATATTAAATGTTAAGCCAATGAGTTTAGTTAATAGATACCCTAATGTTTAATTCACTATTGATTTTTTTATTTTAAAGGTGATTTATTCATTCAACCATATCCCACCAAAGGATCTGACATAAAGTTCATTTCTTAGCCCCTGACTGTCTGTGAGTGAAGCAGTTTAACAGGCTGAAGTTATGCATTACCTTAACAGGTGTTTTGTGTTATTATCACGTCATCTTTGAAAACTGTGGCGTGCTGCCCCACATAGATTACTGGTACATAATGTAGCATGTATTTCATAGATTTCATATTTCAGATATTTTATAGATGCTACATAACATAGCAACCATCCTTGCAACAGTGGCTTTATCTTGCTGTAAGGATATGCACACACTGCCTATTTGATTTAAATAAGGGCAATGACTATAGCTTATCTTACTTTTTATATTTAAATAATTCATCTGAAGACGTATTGTATCTTCATTCTTTACATATATTGTATTTTTATTTATTATTCTAATTCTTACTTATTTGATCATTCTGAGATTTGTTTTTCTTTTCATCCTGATATGGCTGGAATTTTAATTTACTTAAAGGGAACTTTCCCAAAAGGATCAATAAAGTCTGTCTAACTTATCTAATCGCATCTAAAGGGCATTAGTGCAATGTTTAACGGTGTGGATGGTTAAAAGGATGACAAACATTTTCATTTAAAGTCATTGTGTGAATAAATAAGAATGAACAGAGGTTTTAAACATGTATTAAATCCTTCATTAGTGCATCAACTGCCTATCTATGGCCTTCCAATAGGAATTTTTCACATGAAGTTAGTTATTGTGCTTCATACAATGTCTGTCATTTGAAAGAGCAGTGATATAAACATATTTTTGTGTACTGCTGTGAAGTGCACGTATATTTAAGAAGTTTCTGGTCTCTGTTTACAGGGGTAGAGTGGTGTTCACTTAGCTCTGAGGTCCGCTGTAGAAAAGCTTCAAGACCTGACGCTTGGATAATTACATTGTGTGAGAGAAGAAACATCTGAAAGCTTAGGTAGTTAGTGAAAACCTTCCAAGAGGACATTGCAGTTGGATATGACACAGACTAATATCCCTATATGACCCACAAAGCAAATGAGACCATCAGGAAGAAAACTGATCATTGCCAATTGTTATGCCTATCTCTGATGTCGCACAGGATTTACAGAATTCAGACAGAAAGTGTTTTTACAACGCAAAGAAAGGTGCAAAAATGAGTAAAACGTTTTATCTATTTTTTTATTTGGACTGTTTTCAAGTGTTGTTGAAAGAAATAGTACACAATGGTAAAATGCCTCTGTCCAAATTGTTGAAAAGTGAGTAAAATTTAAAATAAGCACAGATTTTTCATAAAACAATAGCATATGTTCTTTTCACAATTTTTAATCAAATGTAGGTTTCAATGACTTGCAAACCATTCATTTTGTTTTCTTAACAGATAAAGTATGTGACAGTTGATCTAAAACGATCCCAATTCTTGCGAAACCTGAGGAGTATAAAGACTATGAGTAAGATGTTTTGCTATGTCACTCTGCTCGGCAATTAGGTTTTGAGACAGACAGTTGGACATAAAACCAAACAACAAAGAAACTTGAGTGACAAAGAATGATGGTTTCTATCTGAAACTGAAAGAACAATTTAGCCAGTTTAACCGGTTTAGCAAGGGCGTGTCTGAGGAACTTCAGGGCTCTTTGGAGATTTTATCTACATTGGTGCTCCTTTTGACATAATTTAAAATATTTGCACTGGGAATGAGGGTTTCTGCAGGGTGCTGTCCGACACCTATCTTGCTGCAGCAGTTAGAAGCACTAAAATAACTCTGACGTAATAAATCTCCTTATTATTCATTTAAGTCTGTCTCATACCAGCCAAAATCTCCTCACTGGATTTAGATCTCATTTATGTTTCAGGGTTATGAAGAGCTGCAGCACTCTTGCTTCAATGCTCGCCTTAGTCATCCTTATCTCCCTTCCTGCGGTGGTATTATGTAAGGAAGTGAACTACAAATCAACAAAAGAGGTGAGGATCATACAAGTTTCACATTTTTAAAATAGCTTTATTGTAGCATGCTGAAATGCACAAGCCAACAAGTGATTGATTGTTTTTCAGGGAAGAGCAGGGTGCTGCGTGGGCGAGGACGCGAAGAGGTTTGATGACATTGACTATGACAGCTTTGTGAGTCTAATGGGACGGAGAAGTGCGGCTCAACCAAACAGTGAGTTATTTAATGCCAAAACATCGTTTTTCTACATCACTTTTACTTACAGAGATTTTCTCTCCATCTCATCCTTGACTATTTTGCAGGTCACAAAAACACTGGGATGATGAGAAAAAGTAAGGATCGACGTTGATTCATAAACTCCCATACAGTGCGGCTGGCCATGTTTTTGGTCTGTTTATATCTCCATCTGATTCGTTTTTGCTCAAATGATCAGAAATAACACAAAGAAGTGCTCTTGAATTTGGCCTCTGTTGACCTATATGTTAATTTAGCAACTTCACATGTTTTAAAGGATAAGATGATGGAATAAAATGAGGTCAAAGCTCAAAATTAAGTCATTTTTCTTGTGACATCAAAAAAAGCCCTTTTGTGGCCATTATTCTCATCCTATTGGGGTGACTGTAATCATCCAAACACAACTGAGGGTAACACTTTCAAAATTAGCACTGACACATTCTGGCACTTATGGCTAAACTAATAAGATTTTAGAGGTCATAAGTCAGATAATAGCAGTGGAAGTTTAATAATAAAGGTCAGTCACATGCCCCAAACAGAGAACTTGTAATTGGCCTTTACGATTTCTCTGAAAACAGATGTGATGCAAAGTCCCTGTTGTATTTAGGTCCACTTGTACTGGTGTGATGTGCTCTGGGTTATGTTTTAGTTCAAATATTTTCACAACACAAGATCCTGTCCCCAACCCCTGACACACACAATGTCAACAGTCTTTCACTGTTTTACTGCAGCACAGTTACTCTGACAGCAGAAAACTAAGTCGTTGCCTTAAGCATACAACCTCATAGTGTGTATTGACCTCACCTACAGCTTTATGGCATGTGACGTTGTGTTCATCTCGTACAGGACCCTTTCTGCAGGATCACGTCCTCGCTGATCTGTTCGGCCAGAAAAAAAGTGAGTGACTTCAGCCAATCTAAGAGATTCATCAAGAAAATGATGAAACACTACATTTATTCTTGATTGTGATGTATTGTGTACTTATCACGTAATGAAGTATGGACATAAAACTTTGTTCTCAATCATTACAAGGAATAAAGTCTTCCAGCATTTTTTAACCTATGACATATTCCCGTTTGGACAGGTTTTTACGTGCAAAATAATAAAGATGACAAAGCTTGTTGATGAATTACCGCTAAATTCCAAACATTCATTGATTTCACATTTTAGAATCAAACATTTAAAACATCAGCGGAGAGCTTACTGTTTGGGTGGTTTCCATGTCCGCTCTGGAGAAAGTGGTACCTCTTACCACTGATCTTGTCTGATACAAGGGTAGGTTATGATTTCTGACAAAAAGTCTTTAACACTGAAATAAATTGCTTGTTTCAAATTACATACTGAATCTGTAAAATCAGAGGAATCTGTCAGCCTGTAGTATGAGAATTAAAAATCCAGATTAACCAAAGAGTCAATAATCAATAGAGAGTCCTTGAATAAAGCATTTATATCTGTGTATTAACTCTGTAACCACTGCTCCACTGAGCTCATACAAGCTGATAGTAAGTTATGGATGTACTGTACTCCAGGGTATGATGCAAAATTAAAGATTTAAAGGAGGATTACATATACTGTAAATGAAAGACATGGGTAGCAGGAGAAAGAGGATAGGCTTACTCTTACTCATACCATAAAAAAATAAAAGAAAAAAAGTGATAGTAGCTATCATCTGACAAAGACAGATTCTCTTTACTTATGTGATGCATGAATAGGCAAACTTCCTCAAATACTAACTGTAACAGTCTTTCATCATATAGAGGAGTGTACATACACATAAACCATGAATATTGAGTAACTGAGTAGCAGTTTTCTCTGTGTGGAACAGGAACAGGAACAGGAGTCCTGTTCCCATGTCCTGAGGAATACAAACGAAAAGCCGATTTATCAACCATGGGAGGCAGAGGTAAGAAACACTGTCAACACTAACTCATCCATCAATGTAGATCTTTGCTGCTTCATCCCTCATGATATGCTGTCCTTTTTCTCTCTGCTCAGATTTCAACACATTTTGTAAAGATGCCACCAGACCTGCTCGACCTCAACACAGGCTGTAAAATCTCCATCTGTGCATCTCTTGTTAATTCCTCACAGCGATCGTATCAACTGGAAAATGTGACAAATTTGAAGAAAAAGCAATTGACCATTTTTGTACTACTATTGAGGAATTATCTGGCAATGCAAGATCATGCGAAGAAATGTAAAACAAATGTACAATAAAATACACATTTATTTGTAGTGATTACAGTACCATTCAGTGAAAACCCTCCTGCACGCTCATCACCTCTGCTTACACACTCGTACGCATTCATTTACACACTCAGGAATTGACTCAATTTAGACATTGATGCCAACATAAATACATTTCAAATATAAATACAGAATTGTACACCTTTCCCTTTGATTAATTTAAGCATGGGTAGTAGATTGTCGAAAAACATGATATAAAACTTACTTAAAAACAATCCAAGTTGTTGGAACTGCAAATAAAAACCTCAAATTATTCAAGACATAAAACATGCTGATTTTGTTTTAATTATACCTTAAAAGGAAAGCAATGAAGAAGATATGTGCCCATGTATACAGGGGAAACTGTAAACACTTAAAAAAAGGCATTTTTAGGCATTAGTTACACACCAGATTTTTTACCTTTGAGGACGATTAAAGGTTCAGATTGGTTAAGAAAACCAATCACAGCAAAAATACAAACAATTGGGTAATAGTTGTGTTTTTTTGTAAGTAATCACAGATTCCTGTTGGATATCTGCAGCCTTATTTGGTAAATTCTGCATCCCCACAAGATTAATTTTCTGGTTACAACATAAATATTACCGAATGCATCCAAAATAATTTCTTGTAAAGAAAATGCTCCAGCCCATACACAATTTTAAAATCAAACAACAACAGTAAATTAAACTTTAAACAGTTTCTTCCTCTGTTAAAACAAAATCACAATGAACATTTCATCCAACCGCTTTCCTACAGGACACAGTTCACACTTTGGAAGTTAAAAGTTCATCTGACAGCATCTCTTTCATCACGATGAATTCACAGTGCAAAGTCATGTGTGCAGCTGATGGCTCGTACAATCTCCATTCAGAAGGCACAAGCTAATGAGTCATCTAACGCAGTGAGCTGTTGGAGAGTTTGGTTCATGTGCCCACAACTGTACTTCCAGTAAAAGCCGACAAGTGAGTGCCAGGAGACTGTTTCATCACAAAGATGTGCCAAACAATTAGGGTGTTTTATAAATACTCATACATTGAAGTATTGTGGTAGTATGTGGTCTGACACTGTCTCAATTCTAAAAACAATGCAATGCCTGACTGACAATTCACTGTCAAACCTTCTCAAGTGAAACAATTCTTATTTTCTTTGCTCAGACAACCCAAGAGGTAGGCCCAAGAGGCCTTAATGTTGGGTTTTATAAGGAATGTAAAACAAATGCAGATCTCAATGCTCTGGCTGCATTTAAAAGAAAACTTTCATGACAGGTTTCCATGCCTGGTTGATGTGCTCTTTTATCAAAGGGGATTTTCTAGAATTGGAATAAAAAGAAAATAAATATGTTGCCTTATATACTTAATTCTAGAAATGCAAAGATAATGTAAATTGCAAGCCCCTGCACTGTGGTATTGTATCACCAGACTACGAGCATGATAAAGTCTGAGTAACCAGCAAAGGCAGAGTACAGAGGTGAATGCATACTGTAAACCACAGCTCAGCTGTTAACTAAAGAGAGATACCAAGATTCACAGCATAATCAGCAAGACTTACCCACATTGATTATTCAACCTGGTAACATCCTATCTTTGGCTGGATTATCATTAGTGGGTTTCATAGACATTTTAATAAATCTGATTTTATGTATTCATTATTTTTCTAATTCCCTGAAATTGGTCTGAGGCTGCAAGATCATAGCCAAAATTTAAAACAGAATGAACTGGCCATTCATAAAGCTGAATACTTATGTTAACACATTTTTCTCAGGAAACCAGCCTTTCCTCTGATAAATGCATTATTTTTGTTTTGTGAAAATCCTTTAAAACTGTGTCTGAATTCTGTTGGACAAGAGCAAACTGGAATGCACTTGAAATGTGAACAGAACTATGACAGGTTTTTCCTGGGGCAAAAAAAAATTATCACCCCAACCAATCAGCTCAAGGCTGATGAACTGGGTTGGACTGCCTCTGCGGCACACAATTGTCTATGTGCAAATGAAGTCAAACAACTCCAGCGAGTCAAGAACTACAGCGCTTTGAAGAGTGGTCCTTCAAGTTTTTGTGGGTTTGCAGAATTCAGGTTAACAAAAGGTAATTAAAAGTTTTGAATATAATCAATGTACAGACAGCCGTTTCTGCCCAACCCAACAAACCTGAAAATCAAGAATTAAAGTTCTGAGAAAAACTGAAGAATGTACATCAGAAGCAGTGCTTCAAGCTGGGGATTCCTCTGTCTGTATACTAGCAGGTAGGGACTTTTAAAATCAATGGGGCCTTTGTTTCACCTTTGTGGAAGAGCCAATATCATTGGAACGAAAATCCAAGCACTTGAAGACACAGACTCCAAAAAAAAAAAACCTTTCCTTCACACACCCGAGATATCCTACAGTTTTTGGCCTGCTAAAGCCACAGCGGGATCTTTACCAGCGACTTGAGGAGGATCTGCATCCTGTCTTTTGTCAGATGGATCCTTCCCGTCAACACCTTGTCCTTTCTCTCCCAAAGCAGCCTTGTTTATCCCTTCTTGAGCTCCCCAGAAACTTGACTTCTCAATACTGTAGCCTGCCGGAGCAGGGGGCTTGTAACGGTAGCTGTAACCAAAGGCACGCAGGTGATAGGTGTAGTACTCCAGCAAATACATCTGTGCGGCATCCACATAGTGGAAAGACACTGACAGGTCTGAGCAGCAGTTTGGACCCTGAGGAAAAACAGAGCATGAAGTCATGTTACATCAGCGACATCATGGTGTCACATTTTTAACACAAATGTCATTTAAGGATGGGTGCAAGAATAACATAACATAACATAACATAGTCAGATACTTTAAATGAGATTGAACACATTTAGGAAATATTTCTAGAAAATGAGACTGTGCCAGCTTATAAAAAACAGTTTACAGCTGTTTGGCTTTTGATGAGAGAGGGGACTAAAATAAGCCCTTTTGTCAAAATTCAGCAAACAAAAACCACACATCAGTTTCAATATGAACACTACTGTTTCATACAAATTCGAGAGAAACAAACATGTGTTTACTGTACTTACCTCTGAGATAGGGTAGTAGCAGTACTTCCAATACCAGAAGCTCTTGGAGAACTTAACTGTTAGGTGCTGTTCGGGGACAAATGGGTGAAATGTCTCCCTGTGCACACTGTCTCTGGAGTCCCCTGCTAACACCCCAACTTTCTCCATGCACTGTCCCATTGCAAGGTCTTCTACAGAGGTTGTGTGAGAGCACACATTGTTTTTAAATCCTTCAACAAATCTTCGTAGAGCCTCTTTGCTCAAAACATAGCCTGCCCCACCGCTCATGTAGCCCTGTTTTGTGAAGGGTTTAAATCTGCGTCCAAAGTAAATCGGCTCCTCTGGTGTATGGTTGGCAAGAACCAAACGTAGGTTGTCTACAATAACGTAAGTGTCGTCATCGGCCTTTAGGAACCAATCCGCCTCATTGATGTGATGTTCATAAGCATAGTGAAAAGCCTTGATGGTTTTCCAGTACAGCTGGTCCCGACCCTCCTTTGTCCCTAAGCCAACGGTTGGGAAATCAGGGTCATCCACCGAGCTCATGAAAATCACCATGTTACAGTGGCGACTCCAAGTAGACTTCACGTGGCGAGCCTTTTTTTCCAGGTTGCTTGGTCCAGTCATGACCCAACAAAGAACACGCACCTTTTTATAGAGCTCATCTGCCATGTGACTGTCCTCCCCTGATGAAATTAAAAAAACATTAAAATCACAAAATACTTAAGGCATCAAAAACACACAAGCAGCAAAAGAGTTAATGTTGATGAATTTTTTTTAAAATTAAGTTTCCTCTAAACTTAATTAAAAAGGCTCGGCGGCTCAGCATCAACATGAACAAATTAACCATCAGATTCATCCTCTTTAAAAGCAGACTTATGGAAGGTTTTAGCTAACTTTATATACCTAATGTTTAAGTTTATAAAGTATTTAAAATATAATGCATGTATAGTGCAGCGCAACTGAGAAACTTTGCAGGTTTGGTTTAAATTGTTCATGCTTATTTGTGTGGTTGATGTGTGATAAATGCTTCTTGAGGAAAAAAAAAACATCTCACACTTCTCTCTTTATACAGTCAAGTTTACCACCCACTCTTTGACCTGGAACATGCAAAATAATGTAAAAAACAAACAAACAAAAATACAATAGTGTTTAATGAACTACCCCTCATCAGTGGTTTAAGAAATAGTTACTCTTCGTTTTTGGTCTTATCTTTTCTGGGGGTCATAAAAGAGACATCAGTATTAATTTCAGTCTGTTTCATTACCTGTCAATAATCCCCATTTGAACTTTGAGACTCCAGCAGAAAACTACAAGTGGATTGAACTTTTTCTCGTCCCCTGACCTGATACAGTATTCCTCAACTGCATTGCATATAAGAAATCAGCTTGATAGAGACTGCTGACCACAAATAGGGATGGGAATTAAAGATTTTATCGATACTGATGCCATTAAAGATTCTGTCTATCGATTCAATTCTCTAACGATTCCCTTATCAATGCCTTTCTTTGATTTAAAAAAAAAGTAGACTACAGGTTTTCAATGTTAACTCAACATTTAATTGAGTCTCTGATAACAGAAAAAGATGTATGCCACCTTCAGTGAGAATCTAAAAATAATCAAACGACAAACTATTTGTACAGCATTTACTCGGTCGGTATTAAGTCAAATTAGAGTGACCATATTCTGGATCCCCAAAAAGAAGATATGGCTACGTGGGGTGGAGTTGCGCGCAAATTTTTGAGGGTTTTTGTGGTCGGGTCAAGTGTTTTTTATGCACTTCTAACTCAGTTAGTCCATGCTACACAAACTCAAAACTTCCATACAAAACTCGTCATCTTTCTTAGTAAAATTAAGCCACACTTTAGGTCGTTTCTGCCTCCTTTTCGTTTCGTCCAGCATGTTGCTTTGCTCAAAGTCTCTGTTCTCGTAGACTGCCTCTCACAAGACCGTTTTCCAAAGCACCCGGAAGAATGGAATCGTTCAGTGAATCATTAAAATGAAATGACATTAATGTCGATACGTTGACCCATGTGGAACCGGTTCTCAACAAGAAATGGTTCTCGATGCCCATTCCTAATCACAAACTCACTGAAAGTCAGCACCTGGTACTAGAATTGAATTCACTGTTTTACAATTATATGAACTCTCAAGATGATTAACAAATGAGGATAAATACTGTTCCCTAAAAATCACATGATCTGAAGCCACTTGGTAACATCAATGAAAATGATTCGAAAATGAATATTTGTTTAAAAAAAATGCCACTTTAAAACACTCCAAAAAGAAACGCCACCCCCAAAATATGTTGAACTGTGAAATCAGCACTGAATGCTGCCTGTTGAATTCATCGAGCCTAACACCCTCCCTTTATCAAACAGTGCAGAGAAAGGTTAAGAAATCTGTTCAGAAACCGTCTACAAGATACAAAAAAGCCCAATTCTTTCAACAACACAAAAACGCTCTTCAGAAAATGCTGTTGATTACATGGCGTACCTGTATGATGAGGATGCATCAAGTTGAAAAGAGCAGACCTCTCCTTCTTCCATATCTTGTTCTCTTCCTTGAGCTGTTCCTGGTTAATGTAATTTTCAAAGCTGGTGGCCTGCAACGTTGACCAAATACTCTGAAACCACACCTGCTGAAGGAACAAGTACAGCGTGAAGGTTCCCACCGCGAAACCAGCGTAGAAAGAGAATCGGGGTACAATGGCCTTCATGCTGGACCAAGAGCCTCACTGTAGGGTCGTTCAACTCGGCAGTCGCTAGATAAGGAAGGAGGAAGTTTCAACAAGAGGTTATACACTTCAGAGTGTCACCGCCGTGTGGCAACCGTGACAAGGGTACACGACACACTGAGAGATGACATGTGTCACTCCTTGTTTGAGGTGTGGTTCACATACTAGCGGTACAGTCGTCACCATGGCAGCCGTTTTATTCCACAGCCACTTCACTGCAAAGGGAAGATTTCCTTGAAGAAGAGGAACCACTTTCTCTCACGACATTGCGTTCCCTCTTTTAGCTCACGTAGCCACACTATGTTGGCAAGTTGTTATCGTGTCAAAACGGCGACGAAGCCACTGAAATTGTCAAGCAATTATCTACAGGATATTGCAGCAATAAAAACATCCATGGCAATCCTACATAACGTAACTGGTCGTAGCACAAGGTGTTTGGGTTTACTCGCGTTAGCTACGAGGCTAGTCCGTTATTCGACACTGCAGACGTCAACTTCTGTGTTCAGTGCGCGAGCCTCTCTGTCCTGACGACAGAGCCAAGGGAAACCGTTGAGTCAAAGAGCTAAGAGAAATGACTGCATTCCGTGGCAAGCATAGATATTAATGAGAAAAACAGACTTAAAAACACCAACAAAAAACCGTGTAAGGGCGCAGCAATAACTACATCTAACTTCTTGGGCAGCTGACTTCCGTCCAGAGGGGGAAAAGACCGTTTCCGGTAACAGTTTTCAAAAGAAAAGCGCAGCAACGTGTCATCACGCTCCTGTTTCGGTGACGCAACACTGTAAAAATTTTATACAATTTATTATTGACAACCAGGTTTTCGAAAGGGCAGCAATATGCCTCCAAAGTTTTCAAAACTGGTGGATGTGTGACAGTTACAGACGCATTAAATCTTACCAATAGTTATGATAGTAAAAACTGTGGGATGTATGAGCAAATTTGTCTGTTGTCATATGATAGATAATCGATTTTTTTTGACCGTTTGCAACAGTTGATAACCCTTTTCCTCTTCTCAGCAACAGAACTAGCGTAGAGTTACGCCAGAACTGAAAGAATCCGCGTTGATAATGAATAGGGGAGAGTGGGGTAAGTTGTAGCCATCAAGTGATTCACGCCACAGGATGGCCCGGCCAGGCTAGGTAAGTTGAGCCAAAGGGTAAGTTGAGCCACCCCCTGTTGCTAGGAAATGGTAAAAGAAATTGATCTTGTGACCAAATATTTAGGAGATGTGCATCAATTCATGGAGTCTGTGAAGGTTAGAAGCACATGGGTGAAGGGGTGAGACATTAATTTACAAACAAACATTTTTCACTCTTAAAAGTGAATTTAATCTGTCATAAGTTTTATTAAAATTGTGTTCAGACCAAAAAAGATCGTTTTAAATGTGTTTTCTAATCAATTGTGGTATCTATGAGCTACAACATGAGGTCAAAAACCTAGCATAAAAGTCCACCATTTTAGCCTAGAGGACTAATAAAAACACAATAGTAGTTCTGGGGGAAGTTGAGTCAGTGGTTCAACTGAGAAAGTAAAGGAGTCTGATGAGAGGATCAGAGTTTCAGTTCAGATTGTTGAAAGGTGTTACTTTTTCTTTTAAAAAATACAGCTGTGAATGTTCTGAATCACTTAAAGACATTCTCATGTTAAAATGACTTTTTACAAAACAGCTTTTTAGCAGTTATATGCAATAATAATATAAAGAATTATGGTACCAGTTGAATAGTGTGTAATAGATTAAAAAACACATAAATGTGAAGAAGTGACTGTTATTTAGGGAGAGAGAAGGTGAGGGAGGGCTGGGGTGGAGAGAGAGGGGGTAGGGATACGGCTCAACTTACCCCATACACGGGGTAAGCTGACCACAGAAGACCACTTTTTTTTGGCATGCTATATTATCAAGACAGTTATGTTTACACTCATTCTGTTGGTTTGCAGGGATACACAACATCTTGAAATATATACAGATACACTAGTTAGAGACAAAACTATGATTGCCTTGATGTAGTGATCTGAAATATGAATGGCTCATCTTACCCCTCTCTCCCCTATGAGCAAATTTGTCTGTTGTACATCAAAATAATCCATGTTTATGACCGTTTGCAACAGTTCATTACCTTTTTTCTCTTATCAGCCACAGAACTAGTATAGCGTTAAACCAGAACTGAAAGAATCTGCATTGATAATGAATACAGTAGGCCTACACGCCCTCTGATATATCAGATTATACTGATATTTGCCTAGCAAATGCAAGATTATGCATTCTGCTATTACTAGCTGGCATTTCTTCACATCATATAACAATCATTAAACAGCTGTGTGCTGGTTTATTTGATCAGACACACCGCAAATGCCTGCAGCTATCCAAGCAAATAACTATATGGATGTTACACAGTCCCGCCCACTGATAATCATAACATGACCTTGGTGTTAGGACAAGAGCTTAAAAAAATTGATGGATAAGTGGCTGGGTTGTTTGAAGAACTACCTGAGTTTTTTCTACCTTACGAAAAAGTATCCGGCTGTGATGTTAATGTGGTGTCTCTTGAATAATACTGTCACTGTATTCTCTGCTTCCCACGTCAGGAAAAACACGTTTTGTAATACACCTGTGGTTTGTTTCACTGGAGACAGTAAACCTCAGACTGCCGTGCTTTGTTTGATAACCTAGACAAGCACAGTTGATGTTTGTTGACTGTTAAATGAGTGATTATTAAATCTGTCTATCGTCTGTCTTTGTTAAATTTCAACTCCAAAGTTTTGAGGGCAACCTTCTAACAACTGTTTGTTACAAGGTTAACTCTTACTTAGCTATGAGAGAGTTTATCTGGAAGAGGAGGTCAGAAAAATAATAATAATGATAATAATAAAGACAGATCTGTACAAAAATTGTTGATAATAACAAATTCAGTTTGAAAAAAAAAAACTAAGAAAAACAGACAAGGCCAAAAGCTGTTGCTTACTTACTCATGTCACATCTTGAGCCTCTGGGCATTGGCTGCAGTTGGAAGATGCCACAAGTTGGTTTTAAATTAAAAAAAGCTTCTTCATGACTTGGTGACACAGTGAAATAAAGCTTCGTAAACACCAAAGAACAGTCAGAAAACTGAATGTGTTTACTCAGATAACTCAAACCCTACTTAGCTTGTGCAAATATACAACAAATTATTCACACAGTAATTATATACAAATTAAGTTCCAAGCAGTCACAATTATTCACAAAACTATACAAATTCAGCCCTTAAAAGTACACTGCAGGAGGAATCCCGTTGTTTTTTTTTGTTGTTTTTTTTTTTGTGGATCTGTCATTTTTGTTTACCACAGCTGACTGAAATTGAAGCTTTGTTTGCTTTCCTTTTTCCTAGCCAAAGCCATATAAATTAAATAAAGGCAGTCCTTGTCAGAAAAAAAAAAAATCTTCTCTTAAATATTGCTCTCCCTATGCCCTTCAGATGTGTTTGTATACTCCCTTTAACAACACATGGCAACTCAGAAGGAAGCCACTAATTAAAGGAGCTCATGAATAAATTATGAGTTTGTGGATAGGCCTCTAAAAATATTAAGTGCATAAGCAAATACTTGTACACTTTGAGGATCCGCAGTCCTGTTAGCTGTTAGTAAAGCAAGTGAGAAAAATAGCTGAAAACTGAAATATGAACCTTTAAAATAAGAACACGTGCTTTGATTTTTCATATCTGGACACATTCTCAGCTAAGCATTGATAACCTGTGAAAACACCCACACTTTTTGTTGGGATCCGAGCAATGTCTGGTCTTGTCACTTGAAGATGGGATTTTTTTCAGGATGGATAGAAGCAACAGTATAAGTGTTGCTGAAAACTCAGAACTAGATGCAAATAGTTAGAAAAAAATCCTGAAATATTTCTAAAAAGGTACATATTTCAATATTGTACATTACTGGGTTTTTCCAGCCCTCTATCAAAACTGAGTCCCATCAAAAAGGGGAAAAGCAAGACTGAATATAACAGCTCAAGTGAAGCTCACATGTTGCAGCATCATTGTGCAACATGAACTGTAACGGGTGCCTCCTAACAACACACATTGCCCATTAAAGACAGACAGACACATTTTCCAAATGTGCAAAGATGTGATTAAATATTCTCTGCTAAGTTTAATAGCAGTATTTGCAACATGTGGGCTCTCCATTCAAATTTGAGGCTGCCCTTCAGAGTGCTTTCCTCCACAGGAGTTCATTGTCTCAGAGGGTGCACTGAACAAGCTCAAATGTCCACATCATCTGAGTCAGAGGTACTGGATGACTGAGACTCCTCCTGAGACTCTCCCCACACAAACCTATAGTTGTTCTCCAACTCCTGCTGCCTCTTCTGCTCTTTGTAAACCTCTTCTGTGCCTCCAGTCTGTGATGTTTAAGAGAAAAAATGGTGAAGTCAAAAACAACAATTAACCAAAGTTTATTTGGCATGAAAACAACTTAAAGTTTTTCCAAAAAGAACTAATTACGCCTGCAGCAGTTCACATGCTGATGGGGCACATGCCAATGACAAAACATCTTCACCCAGACACACTCACAATGAAGCAATGTCAAACAAGTAAGAGTGCAGTGAGCTTGTGGTTACCCAAGGTAAGCCACCTAAATCCCAACATATCCTGTAATTGGGTGAGTAAGTTTGTACATAATGCTCTTGACTGTAATCACCCACACAGGAAGAATTTCTGTCTTGTGTGACATACAGTTAAAAAAAACTGAATTTATAAATGGTTCCACAAAGTCACATGATTAATAGGTCCTAGCTCTGGGTGTGCCATGAAAACACTGCTTCACCAGCGGTCTTCTCTGTTGACACTGTGTTTACATACACTCCTTGCTCTACTGGATGAGGAGTTGGCACAGATGTACTGATTTCCAAGAACTGGAAAGTCAATAAATCCTTCCCAATGGGTGAAAATATTTCTTTCCAATACCATGCTCTCAAAATCACTATGCCTACCAATGCATACATTGTTGTTGTCCGCTGCCCACCTGGGGGACATCTAGATAGCTTTGTTGTGGAACTGGACATGTTACTCTCTGACATTCCTGACGATGGCACACCACCAATTGTCATGGTACACGTGAACATCCTCACACTGGCAAAAGTCAAGAGACTGACTTCATGTCACTCAGCAAAAGTGACTGTATCCCCACTTCACTAGTCAGATCATTTATTTATTCACTCCCTTGTTGACTTCCCACAACTTGCCCATCTTGCTCCACACATACCCAGTCCCCTGGCTCAGTGAGGTTTTTTAAGAGCTAATAATAGGGCCCAGGACATAAGATATAAGATATTCCTTTATAAGTGTCACAGGGGAATATTCCACATCAGAGAGAAAGTGGCAAAAATCTAAGTGGTTATGTGACTTGGTTAAATTTGCTATATTTTTTAAATCTGCGAAGATCACAGTGCTGCCACAGATTTAAGAAGCCTGTTTGTGGCATTTAATTCTCTCCTCTATTACCTGCTCCTAATCCTTCAAACCTGCAGACTCCAGACATGTTTGCCTCACATTTCACTGACAAAGTGTTTACCATCAATAACCGATTTTCAGGGCCTGACCAGCTCTGCTTTCAGCCTCTGACTAGTGGTACTTTACTGAGTTCATTTACTCCACTGAGAGGAAATCTCTAGGCTTCTGCTTGACTCAAGGCACCCAACCTTTTCACTGGACTCAATCCCAAAGGTCCTTTTGCTTACCATTCTGTCCACACTCAACCCTGCAATTACCCACATTATTAACTAATCAGTGTCATCTGGGATTTTACCCACAGCATTTAAGCAAGCTCAGGTCACCCTGCTGCTTAAGACATCCACACATCCACGTCCAGGTGGATAATTACAGACCAGTTTCACTTCTGCCTTTCCTTGAGAAAATTCTTGTGCGCATAGTGTTTGTTCAGGTTTCTGAAACACAACAGCAACCTGTTTGGCCCCTAACAGTCTGGTTTTAGGCGGGGTCATTCTGCTGAAAAGGCTCTGTTGTTGGTATCAGAATTGCTGCGTTTGGCGAAAGCTGCCTGTCAGTCCCGGATCTGTCTACTGCGTTTGATACAGTGAACCACCAAATCCTCCTCTCCACACTCTTGGAACTAGGTATCTCTGGATCTGCCCCCGAGTTGTTTGTGTCCTTTTATTGTATCATGGAGAGGAGAAGTTCAACAGGGGTTCCTCAAGGGCCAGTGCTCGGTCCCCTGCTTTTCTCACTGTACACAATCTCACTCAGTGTAATAATCCAATGTCATGGATTCTCATATCATTGCTATGCAGATGATAAAAGCTCTTCCTGTCATTCCCTCCAGATGGCACAACTGTCTCAGGCCTGATCTCATCATGCCTCAGGGCTTTTTCTAAATGGATGAAGGAACACCACCTACAGCCTTCTTTTCATTCCAGCCACTCTCTATATACAACCACAGATCAGTATATCCAGCTTGGGTCAAATGAACTTGTGCCCACTAAGTCTGCTCGGCATCTGGGTGTCATGATTGATGACCAACTAATCTTTGTCCATGTCACCTCAGTTGCTTGGTTACCTGACAGAGCACATAACACAGCTTTTGTAAAGGCTCTCATAATATCAGAGACTGCAGATGATCCAAAATGCAGCAGTACTTCTGGTTTTCAATCAACCCAAAACAACACATATCACTTCACTGTTCATCTCTCACCATTGGCTCCCGACAGCAGCCCTGATGAAAGGTGCCCGGTGTTCCCATCACAACTAGCCAGACTCTTCCCCCAGTGTTGAAATGAATAACCAACCTCCAAAGTCCCTCTCTACTTTTTATGAAAAAAACTCAAGACTCAGCTCTTTAGAGAACACCTATGCACTTGAGCCCAGCTCTTCTCCTCTGTCGTCCTCAGTGGTAGAATGACTGAAACAAATGTCCCTGTCTACTTTGAGACACTTTGCCTAGCTCTTTGTGAACAATATTGCACTTGGTGCACCTGATGATGATAATCATGATGATGATGATGATAGATGGTAACAATAACGACAGGGTCATTATAACATTATTTGGTTGATGATTCACTTTGGTTGATGGTGGATATATATATATATATTTATTTATATATATATTTCCTTAATTACTGCCTGACAACACTTAGCCCAATATCACTTATAGCACTTTTTTGGCACTTACTGATGTTGTTTCCTTCTATTTATAGATCTTGCTTGTGTTGAATATGTTCTCAAATGTACATCTGCCACTATGCTGCTCTGTAAGCCTAGTATAGTTATTCCTGTGGAGGTTGTTTGTATGACTGTTTTTCCTTCTCTATTCCCCTGTTGTATAACTGGAAAATTCCTATTTTAAAAAAGGAAACATCTGTAAAATTTTAGAGTTGAATTGTTTTGTACGTGTAAGTCGTTCAACTTTGGCATTCATCTTAAGCTTTAGAAAAACTGAACATATTTTAAGTAATGTTTGACTATTGCTTGAAGTCTCTAAGCTGTCCAAATTTGTAGTGCTTACCGTAAAATGTTGAAAATAAGAAAACACAAGTCTATAGAAGGTCCACTACAGACTAAATCAGTGCCATACATGTGTGATGACAATTTTTTAAAAAACAGGTGGGCAAATATGTTCAAATAGAAAACTACACACACATTACACACTTAAAGACAGACACAATATGACTCTAACTCAAAGGCTGCAAGTGAATCCAATAAAGAATCATAATCAACTCTTAAATTACCAGGAGATTTATGAGGAGCTCTCTGAAGGACTTTGTATCTTCTTCGGTTAGCCACTGATCACCTGCCTCCTCTGCATTTTTTCTAGTCAAGATCTTCACCTCGATTTTACCTGAAGAAAAAACGCAGGAGAAAAGACGGGCTTGATGGTTAAACATGAGCTTACTGGATTCTCAATAGTACGACAAGACACACACTAACACACACAAAAAATGAACATTCTGATGATGGAAAAAAAAACACAACAGTGGATGGAAAGGAAAGGACACCCACGGATCACACACTTTTCATGTCCCTTAGTCTTTAAGATAAGCTACAGTTAAATTGCTGTCTGGGGTGTTTTGCCCTCATGACTGTGACAGTTACGTTGAAGAAAAAATAATAGTCAAGAGCCACACAAATGTTTGAATACATATTTTGGTTGATTGCTTGCAGCTTAAAAAATTGTTTGCAACCACTCATATCAGGTACTAATTTTGTGCTAAACCCTAAAAATCTTAGACTGACAGTGGTGTTTATTTTTGACGGAGATGAGAGGAGGAAAAGGCTCAAGATTACAGATGGAAGAGAGAAAAGGCCATGAGTGTTTTGGGCACTCCCCCCTCGTACCTTCTGCCTTCAGTCCTGCTTTCTCTAGCTGTTCTTTTACCACGTCCTTTATGTGCTGCCACTGCGGGTCTCCTTCGCCCATCTCCTGAACTTTGACCTCCCCATCAGGGCTGCTGCCCGTCTTATACTTAGTAATTTTGATCTTAACATGGTCGTCAGCCGCTTGGTCTGGGGTGACGAGACAAAAGAGGGGACAAACAACACAGTTCACCTCAAGAGCTGTCAGCAGAGCCACAAGATGGAGGAGGAAGGAGCCAGTAATAAATCATTTAAAACATTCAACATTTGATCACTGTTAAACACTTCAATTACTGAATTATTTCGGCATTTTTTATTTAATTTACTCAAAATCACTAAAAGATACATTTATGGGAGCAGGAGAGGGCCACTGACTGACTGGAAAAGCCCAAAGTACAAATCTGAAGGTATTCTTTTTTGGGGGGGATTAAGTCATGTACGTGTCTGTTTTGGGATGAAAGATATAACAACAAACATGAGCTCTGCATGAGAATGACGCATGAGGATGATGGATGCAAAGTGCACAGATATGATAACAGATGACACACAACCACAGCAGGATGGTCTGCCTGGTTACCTGGCTGCTTCGGAGCCAGGCTTGGGCTGCCTCTGGTCGGGTCACTGCCTCTCTGAACTTGGTCTGTTTGCTGCTCGGTGTCCTGGACTTCTTTCTCCTCTAAATGATCGAGCAGTTTGTCCAGTGTAGTCTCCAGTGTTTGTGTGGCTTGAGTGCGATCAAATTCCCCCTTGAGCCCTTCTGTCTCTAACTCCTGCTGAGCCTGAAACACAGAGAGAAGTCCCACATTATGTTCCTGAATTTCACTGTGGCAGGTTTGCTTTTTGATTTTCTATACACACGATCTGTTTGTCAACCTCATTTATGATGTTGTCAAACTCCTTCTGCATTTCTTCCTTGATTTCTTCCATCTTATCAGAGGGCACTGAGAGGTCGGCCATCTCCTCCTCAAACTCTTGAAGTAGGCGATCATCTTCATCTTTCTCGTCTGTGCTGAGCTTCTGTGTAACTGTGTTGCTTGATGGGTTCTCTCCTTGACTTTTAGCTTGGTTTTGTGCTTTCTGTAAAAGTATCCGTCACTGAGTATACATTCGGAGAAGTGCAAAAGACAGTATCAGCATAATCAGCAACACTAACCTTCCTGTTACTTTCTTTGAGGTGTTGGACAAATTTCATCAGGTCTGCTGGGTCAGTGATGATTTTGAAGTTGAATTTTTCTACTGAAAGAAGTTGATTCGCGGAAGAAAAACAGCTTAGTCCAACAATGAATGACAACAAAATAGTTAATCAAATTATCACCAGGTACCTGTGTGAACTCTAAACTGTTCAATTCTACACAACTGGGAAGAAAGTGATAAATCTGTAGCTCTGCTAATTTCCTTAATTAATGATCTGGTCAATGAATACATGATGAAAGAGAGAGAGAGAGAGAGAGAGAGAGAGAGAGAGAGAGAGAGAGAGAGAGAGAGAGAGAGTGTGTGTGTGTGTGTGTGTGTGACAAAGCGTACCTTCCTCACCGTCATCTGTGACTTCATTATCTGTAACTGAGTTAAAGCCGTCATCTGATGCCTGTAGGAAAGAAAGAAAGAAAGAAAGAAAGAAAGAAAGAAAGAAAGAAAGAAACAGGTTAGAGTTGTGAAGTAAGATGAGAAAAAGTTGACCTACTGCTCCACCTAGTGTTTGAAGTTTCAACAGAGTGCCAACAATTTGAGCCTTTTTCCAACATGTTGAGCTTCCCTGCCAAAAAGAATCACTTTTTTTGGCTTGTCGTTCATGACAGCAGCACAGCCAAGCAGACTGGACCAAATCTGAGAGATGTTTTTTTTTCTTTTTTGCCCACCTGATCGTCCTTTGTAGATGCCGTTGATTTTGAACCCCTGGGTTTGGTGACACCCTCCCAGAATTCAGAGTCCTCCCCCTCCTCTGACCAAGCATCTTCAGACACATCTGCTGTTTCTGTTTCAACACAAAAGCACATCATACATGCTTGGTAAACGCTGAAACTTTTATTTTAAACCATGACAGCTTAAGTTCTTTAAATGCCAAAGTGTTGAAAAAAAGGCACCTTCTCTTTCAGACCCATTTATATCATCTGTGGCTGCAGGTGATTTTTCTCCTGTAGTCTCCTCCACAGCTTTGCCTGTTCCCTCATTACCAGCCAGCATCTCATCGAGACTCCTCAGCTCCTCTGAGATCTGCTCCACTTTACGTTTTGTGTCCGCTGAGAGCCAACAGCCAAGAAAGAGGAGAAAGATCACAAAATTACCTCTTTTCGGAAAAGAGAGGAACCTCATACCCAAGGAATAAAAGATTTTAGATCATCCTATCTGATTACAAATACTCTTCTAGCATAAAATTGCAGAGAAATAACACTTAAATTCTGAAGTTATATTAGTTTCACCAAAATATCATAGAGACCCTCATTTTGTGAACTCACAGACTTGAGCCTTGACATAGTCCATGTACTGTTGGGCACTCAGCGCAGGTTGGCACACAATCCCTTGAGGCTTGGCAGTGGATGGTGGCTTCAGGAATGGATGCTGGCAGGTGCGACTAGTGTGAACTGTCAGCACATAACGGCAGGACTGAGGTTCATCCACTCGGGCGATGTAGTCACTTGCTCCCTCTTCACACACAAACTGGAAATAACAAGAGTTAAACAGCCAGGTCAAGAGTGTTGCGTTGGCAAAACAAGCATTTACATCGATTTCATATCTCTGTTTGAGACAACAGCAAAGCTGCTGACTTAAACAGAACAGAGAAACAAGACAAAACAACACAAGCAGCATGAAATACAAAAACATTTTGTATTAAAAATGTCTCACCCTGACTTCAGTCTCTCTGGGATTTCCATTTAGGTCACATTTTGAGCCGTTTACGTAGGACTGACTGTGGTAGCGCTTCAGTCTGTGCTGCTTGGATGCCTGCAGAGTAAACAGAACAGAAAATGACTTTTAATCTTCTTGGACAATAAGGCTCAGTGCACCGTTCACAAATAAGATGTTTATATATATATATATATATATATATATATATATATATATATATGTATATATCATGTAACTTCAAGTAACTTTACCTTTGCTGTTTCATTGCTCCAATCAAATTCAGATTCATAATAACCCAGAAAAAGGACGTCTCCTTTGATCTCTGTTTCTGGTGAAAAAAAACATGTTAAAAACAAGAGAAAGACAGATTCTCAGTTCATGTCAATTTTGTGAAAATGTTGAATTCAAAACTATGAAGGTACTCACCGCCTTCAAGGTGATACTGTATGATGTGCTGACCATGACAGAACTCATATGTCCACCAGTCCTTTGTCTGCAGTGAGCGCATACAACAAAGATATATTAGAAGGAATTGTAATTGATTTAATGTCCTTTTTTTAATCAGGGCTTATTTCTTAATGTCAAAACAGCATCGATTAATCGCGCTGTTAACTAATTAGCATATTATCAAGTATTCAGATTAGGCTTGAACATTTCTTGAAGTAACGTGCACACAGGCTGTATTGTGTTCTTGTAGATATACACTACAGGCCAAAAGTTTGGAAGCAAGGCCATTACAGGCCAAACAGTTGGGAGTAACTTCAAAGTTTTTGTTCACAATGCTTTTTTTTTTTTTTAATCCAGCATGAGTTTTCTGTATTTTGGGATGTATTTACTACATGATCAGATGTTGCTTTCATGGAAATGCACCATTTTACTCCATTTACCTTTAGATATAAATTGATGTTAACAGACCATGCCTAAATGTATGTCAGCAAAAGAAAATAAGGGCTTAGTTTTAGGGTCAAAAACATTTGCAGGAGTCACAACTTCAGTGCAAAAGCAAAAAAAACAAATCACAGTTGGATTATTCGCTTAAATTTTTTGGCTTTTGAGAGCCTGCATACAAAAATCCTAATAAATCTCAACTGCGGTCAAACTACTGCAAAAATGTCTAGAGAGAAGCAACTGAGTAAAGAAACAAAAGTACAGATTTGTACATTGAGGAAAGAAGGATACACAGAAAGAGAAATTGCAAAACGCCTAAAGGTATTTAACAAAGGAGTCCACTACATTCTGAAGAGACGAGAGGAACCTGGACTTATGAGGATAGGAAAAGGCCTGGATGAAAGAGAGTTACTACAAAACCAGAGGATAAACATAGCATTGTCACCAGTAAGAGAGATCGGCGAAAGACAGCACCACAAATAAGGGAGGAAATCAACATGACAAGGTCGAAACCCATATCTCTGACAACCGTGAAATGACGTTTGAGAAAGGCTGGTCTGAAGGGTTGTGTGTCTGCAAAAAAACACTACTTCGTCCACAGAACAAGAAAAAGAGATATGAGTGGGAAAGAGCTCACAAAAATTGGACTTATGGTGACTAGAAACAAGTTTGCACTGTTTGGTTCAAAACGCAGAGTCTATGTCCGCAGACAAACTGGTGAACGTCTGAACGCACCATGTGTTACACCCACAATTCAGCATGGAGGTGGTAGTTCCATGGTATGGGGATGTTTTGCAGGTGATGGAGTAGCAGATTTGTTTGAAGTAAAGGGTATCATGGAGAAGGGACAGTACCACTCCATCCTCCAGCACCATGCTGTTCCATCTGGACTCAGACTTGTGGGTCACAAGTTTGTTTTGCAGCAAGACAATGACCCTAAGCATTCTGCTAAGCTCTGTCAGGGTTACCGAGACAAAAAAGAAGAGGAAGGTGTTCTTCAAAAGATGGTTTGACCCCGTCAGTCTCCAGACCTTTCTCCAATAGAGCTTGTGCGGGATGAATTGGATTGATCGGTCAGAAACGCACGTCCCACGAATCAGCAGTCTCTTTTCAATGAACTTAAAAAAGCTTCGAATGCAATCCCTGGAACATACCTTAAAAAACTTGTGGAACGAATGCCTGGTATATGCCAAGCTGTTGTTAAAGCCAGAGGAGGTTACTTTAAAGAAAGCAAAGTCTAAGCAACAATAACTCGAATACCTAATAATTAAAGTCAAAATGTCTTCTGATAAGTTACTCTTTACACAATAGTCATGTTTATTGTGTTGGAAATTATGTATATGAAACTATGATCTTTTTTTGTACAAATCTGATCTTGCTTCCAAACTTTTGGCCTGTAGTGTATATAAGACATGGTTTTCCTGAAGGCATTATTTAAAGAGTTTATTGTGTAAATCTCATCATCAGATCAAGTTAATAGGAAGAAAAGGCCATAAAAACTTAAAGATGATAAAGTTTAATATCTTTTTGTCTCAAAAATCTTTTTTACGGTGAAGTGGTCTTTATTCCTTGACTGGTCCACTGTGGACAACATTCTGCAGTTAACCCCAACGTTATCTGCTGACTATTCATGGACTGCAATAATATGAATAGGATTTTAAACATGATACATTTCTTATCAATAATAATCAAATTCACTTTTAGTTTGACTGGCATCAAAATACCAGGTTTTATTTTATCAGACATGAGTCTGTGATGCTCTAACAAGAATCCAGTGATATTTTGTAAACTTTTGTAGGAATCTCACAACACTACAACCTGCGACATATGTGCTGAGTGCTTATATCTCACTATTCTCTGCTTTTCCAGCTTTTCATGGTTCAGTACTGTTATGAGTATCTGACAGATCTGGAAAGACAGCATGAGAGGAGGTTAAATAGTTTCAGAGGCTTTTTTTTCATACTTTGTCTTCTGCAACCAGATAAATCAGGATTTTCTTGGCCGTGGATCTAGTTCTTACAGATTGTTGTCTGCACATTGTAACATGCCTCAAATACCAAAAAACTTAAAACAGGTAATCAGTCTGTAAATAACTGGTACACTTTGTCCTCCAGTGCAACAAGTAATTGAAGAAAATTGACATGCTCCTTTCAAACAAAGAGAACCCAGCTCTCATACAAGCATGTGGTGGCCTACATAGATAACTATTCATCTTGAATGATTATCCTTTGCGAGAAAAGTGAGTGGCAGCTCAGATTTTCTCACATGCAGCTCACACCTGAGTCTCAAAATAGTCTGAAGTTTGTTTGTCTGAGATTTAAGCATGAATAAATTAACAAAACTTATTATCCCACTAACGTAAAGCTTTGTTATACAGTATCTCACATACTGTACTATGACAGAACCAAGGGGTTCAAAACATTTTTTTGTAAATTCTCCTCAGTCTCCAAAAATAAATACCACTTTCCAAGTACTGGGTTTGATGAGTCAACCGCTCATTCAGACTGTTACCTTCACTAGACAGTGGTTATTGTGCATTGGACTGAGTAGGTCCGGGATGTCGGGCCCAGTGTACCCTGGTGATTCCGGCTCAGATGCTGGATCTTGATGAAACCGGACTGCCATGGCTGGAAGTCGACACTCATACAACTGCTTGTACTTATTGGACACCATCATCACCTCCTCTGTTTTGGTCTAAAAGGAAGACAAATAGGGGAGAGTGGGGTAAGATGAGCCATTTTTCATATTTCAGATCACTACATCAAGGCAATCATAGTTTAGTCTCTAACTAGTGTATCTGCATATATTTCAAGATGTTGTGCCTCCCTGCAAACAAACAGAATGAGTGTAAACATAACTGTCTTGATAATATAGCATGCCAAAAAAAAAAGAGTGGTCTCCTACTGTCAACTTACCCATGTATAGGCCCTCCCAAGCCCTCCCTCACCTTCTCTTTCCCCAAATAACAGTCACTTCTTCACATTAATGTGTTTTTTTTTATCGATTATACGCTATTTAACTGGTACAATAATTCTTATTTTCATTATTGCATATAACTGCTAAAAAGCTGTTTTGTAAAAAGCCATTTTAACATGAGAATGTTTTTAAGTGATTCAGAACCATAGACTGTATATAGAATGGACAGCATCTGCCTCCTCAATGGGTGAAACCACCCCGAGAACAGCACTCTCTTTTGATGGGCTGCAGTATAGGTCATAAATCCCGCCTCCGCCAGCAAAGCTTATGGAGCTGAGGACAAACTTTAGAAATTTATTACACAGAACAAAAATTTTTCTCCCCACTGCTTGCGACGTTGACATGCGACGTAGTTACAGTAAGACTGGTTTGTGCTCAAGTCCTTTTCTGTGAAGCTCATTTTTTAAAAGTTATGAGGGAGTTCATGTTTTCCATGATTGACACCTGATACAGCCTAGTGTATTGAGATACACTGTTTGAGCCGAGCGTCATCACAGCGACTTTCGGCGACTCTCCCACCGAATGTGCACAACACTACTGCGCAGCACTGGTTTCAGGAAATGAAGAAAAATCGCGGAAATCCCAAGAGCTTTTTGGCTTCAAATCCGTATACAGGCGGGAGGCGGAACCAAGTTGTCCATAGTTTATACAGTCTATGTTCACAACATTCACAGCTGTATTTTTTAAAAGAAAAAGTAACACATTTCAACAATCTGAACTGAAACTCTGATCCTCTCATCAAACTTCTTTACTTTCTCAATTGAGCCACTGGCTCAACTTACCCCAGAACTACTATGATGACTTTATTAGTCCTCTAAGCTAAAATGGTGGACTTTTATGTTGGTTTTTGACCCCATGTTGTAGCTCATAGATACAACAGTTTATGTATAAAACAAATTTAAAATGATCTTTTTTAGGTCTGAATACAATTCTAATGAAACTTATGACAGATTAAATTCACTTTCAAGAGTGAAAGATGTTTTTTTTTGTTTTTTTTAATAAATGTCTAACCCCTTCACCCATGTGCTTCTAACCTTCACAGACTCCATGAATTGATGACCATCTCCTAAATATTTGGTCACAAGATCAATTTCTTTTACCATTTCCAAGCAACAGGGGGTAGCTCAACTTTCCCCTCTCTCCCCTACTGTACGCTGCAGTATCTCTACATATGATAATCACACTTATTAGCAAATTAAAGGAGATTTATCATCACTACCATTTTATTTCTCATCTCGATCACTCACTGAACACTTGAGGAAATCAGCTGAGGGGAAAGTGGGGAAGTTCAGATTGTTCTGACAGCTGTCAACAACTATAACTGCGTAGATTACTTGGGGAAAAACCTCTGTATTTACCCTTCTGAAACAAATATAAACACAGTATATTATTTTAAGCTACGTTTGATATCAAGCCAATGTACGAGCTGTTCGTTTTATCTGCGTGTAAATGTAAGGGGAAGATATTTCATGCTAGGTTACTTACAAGCTAGCAGTTAGCTCACCCAAACCCAAACACCTCACTCACCTGGCCCAGAATGACGGGATCAGAGAGAATCTGAATTCCATATTTCATTTCATTCAGCTCCTCTAAGTTAAGGAAGGCTGGGGCACATAGGGGACACAGCAACAAGAAAACATATAGTCTATTTCGCCACCGTACCGAGGAAGCAGCCATGATTTACCCTCTCCTCATTAACCCCCATTCGTCTCTGACAGCAACAAAACACAGTTCCCCTGACATGGTAGAAGCTGATTGGTCGATACGAGAATAGCTGCTCCGTCATTGGCTCCTCTTCCTTTTCCAGTTCTAGGGTGCGTTAGTTTTTGACAAAATTATGCAGCGAAGGGGCGGTATAGGTGGCTACACCAGAAATCAGAATTTAACAACGCACATTTCAACTGTCAACGCGTGTTTTTCAGTAAAATAAACTCACACATGGATGCGTAAAGAAACCGAAATTAAACGGTCCTCCTGGATGAGGCGTGTCCGAAATTAGCTCGGATAGAAAGAATAATGCTTGATATTTTTGTTTGACGAAGTCCATGAATAAATACGTTTTCAGATTCACATTAGTGTATATGAATACGAGCTCATACGGTTTGGTTTTCATGGCAAACGTGTGTTTTACAAAAGCGAATAAAGACTGAGTAAAAAATGGAGTCCAAACACCTTACTCTCAGATATACACTCAAACATTCCCACACATTACTCAAGATACACACCCGTGTGCGACCAGACCCCCACACCCACCCATCTGCTCACCCTCACCAGTAGTGATGGGCACGGCAGTTCTTTTAGATGTACTGAATCACCAGAATCAGTTCACTAAAATGATTCATTCAAAAGATTCGTTCATCGAATCACCGAATCATTCAGTGCTTGGCGGGAGGAGCCTGCGACTCCGACCTACTGGACTTATACACAGCTGAACGGTTCAGGATTCAGTTCAATTCAGAGTCTCTGGGGCCGGGAGACGAGAGTGTTTGGCTGTGTTGCTTTGGCAAACAGGTTTGTAAAAATGAGCTTGTGTATAAGTCATTCTGGCCTTCCTTGATGTAAAATCATCAATAATCTCTTCATAAGAAATCTGCTCCCCTATTAACCCATTAAGACCTGAACCCTGTCTGAGACACACCTCTGAAATCCTGAGGGGCATTTTAAGAAGGGCCCATAGATCCTGAGGTTTTCTGAAGTGTTTAGGTTTACAAAAAAGCTGATATCTCAGCCTCTGTAGCAGATAGAAACAAAATTCAAAAAGTATTTGAGCACTTACAGGTGTGGCTTTCAAGATAACTATTTATTTGTCCAAACTTTCAACACGTTATTGAATATCTTGAACAAACAAACTTAAATGAATTAAAGCGGCTGTATAAATAAAATTAAAGACTCTGCACTGGAGAATAACAATTTGCTTTTTGTAAAACAAGTGGCAGTCATGATAAAGTGTCAATTTAATACAAATGTAAATATAAAAAATAAAGTGTTGAGAGGGTATACAGCTGCCCCAGTATAGTGCCAGTACAAAAGCATCTCTAAAAGTTAAAAAAATAAATAAATACGTGGCTGACAGTGTGTTCATCTCTGTGCTCACCCAAAGTCATGCAACACTTACAGAAATCGCTGATAGTGTGAGCCAAAGACCTCAGTATGAAGAGGTTGTTCACACTGCTGGATGTTTCTCCTCTGAAGCTGCTCTCTGCCTCCGTCATTGTTTACTTTCATCACGACGCACAAAGCAAGATCCGAGCATGAATCCGATCGCTTTATTAGCTTATCAGAGGCAGACGGGTACGGTGATTTGATTCGCCACGACTTGAGAAATGATTAAAAAACTACAGAATGTTACAAAATGACGTATCCGCGCTCCCGGCTTGAAGGCTGATATGTGGACATACTGTCTAGGTTTAAATAGGTTAAGTGATTGATGATGGCAAGGCTAGTGAGCCGTTCCTGATACATGGTTGACCTTAGGTACGACTTTATCAACTTCAGTTTTGAGAAGCTCCTCTCTGCTTGAGCCACCATGACTGGCAGAGTGAGAGCAATCGTGAGAGCAGAGCTGTCCACCGCGACCCTCTCCCCGCTTCGTCTCATACAGTCTGTCAGCCTCTGTGCGGCACCTTCGCAGCAAGCAGGGGCGCCCACAGTAGCAGGGGGGCGCCAATTTGACAACGAGAGTTAATACAAAACCGCTTTGCGGCGCAGATTTATTATTATTATTATTATCTTTTATTTTATTTTTTTGGAAGTGCTCGTGCCGCCCCTCATGAGTCATGACACAAATGCCGCCCCGGGCGGCTGCCCTGTTCGCCCGTGCCTAGAACCGCTACTGGTCATAATGTTTTAAGTGTACTGTCCTATGGTATGCTATTTATCAGGTATGCTTGGTAAATTGGGCTCAGTGAGTTGTTGTGGTGGCAATTTCACAGGAATTATAAAAAAGGTAGTTATGTTTGATCAAAAATGATTTTAGAGAGTGTACCGTATTTTTCACACAATAACGTGCACTTAAAATCTTTTTGGCTTGTCAGAGCACTGCAGCTACCGTAGCCTTGCGGAATTATTGAATAAGTTAAATAAAGTTCAACTTATCTGACTGTTTTGTTTGGCTTAATGCGCTTTATGATCCAGTGTGCTTTATAATCCGGTGCACGGTCCCTCGTTCGCCGGCTGCTCGCCTGGCAATGCTGCATGCTATAGCAGCTGTGCTTCTGACAGCTCAACTGAAGTGAGAAACGAACGAATCACTTAGGGAAATGATTCGGTTCAGTACGTTCACTTAGAAGATTCGGTTCTTCTTAACGAATCGTTCGCGAACGACACAATACTATTCACCAGTAGCCTACAAATTTTGTTGAGTAATGTCGCAGGTCTAAGTTAAGTCGGAATCAAAATAAAATGCACGTACTATTTGAAAAAACGTATTTTGGTGTATGAGGTGTATGTTAGTATGTTGGAGCTCTGTGGTGTTGCCGCTCCTCCGCACAGTGACCGCTGAGTGTTACGTTTAGGTGCGGTGCGCTCTCCGCTGTGCCGCTGCTGCTGCTGCTGCTGCAGGGGGAGCGTCCGTCCTCAGCCTGCAGTGCTGCGATGTGCGGCCGCTTTACTTGTCTCCTGGCTGCTCCACATCTAATACCATTTGAAGGACCACTGAGGAGGAGGAGAGTCATTAAAAACAGGAGCGACCTCCATGCAGGCGGGAGGTGAAACAGCTTTCACTGCGCGTCTTTGAAACTGAGGTGAGCCCCCCCAGATCCAAGGGTTTGACTGTCCTAAAAATAACAGGCCTGTTTCTGTTTCCTTATTTCTGTCGGTATTTCTGGCACTTGGTGAAAATTGGACGGTTTCTCTTCTGAAGAAAACACGAGGAGAAAAACACACTGTGGAAAATTTGGGAGCCAAGTATGACTGATTGACGATAAACGCGTGTGAATACTGGATTTGAGGAGATATGTTTCAGCATTTAAGGATCGACAGACAAGATTTGTGTGCATGATTTTTCCTGTTGTGTCTTATTTTCGTCAAGGTAAGCTCTAGGCCCGTCTGAGGGATCGTGTTAGGCTATCTGCAGCCAGGCATTGGTGTTCGCTGGATAGATAAATCCGTCTATGTTACACTTTGACATTTTCTTATGTTTGAGGATGATGGCTGGTAAAGAGGGTTCGCTGATGCGGAGCAAAAATGCGGTGATTTAATATGCATTTCTCTGAATGAGGCAACAAATCTGTCACGCGCACTTTGGGAGGGACCCATGGAGCTGTGCCCATGTAACTATAGCATGTTGTCCACAGTCATCATCCTTACCTCCCCATAGGCCTGTTTGTGGGTTCATTAAAATCAGCAGAGCTACATTGTTTTAGTCTGATTGGCCTCTAGACATTCCCTCAGATTTCACATCATGTCATGCAATTTCTTTAATGCTTACACAGCTAATTATTGTTTTAGCCACTATGGTTAAGGCTTAATTCACGAGACATAAACTAATTTGGTGTTAGATACATTTGGATTTGTCTTTATTTAGTTGTTTATGACACATGTTCTTCTTATCTGTCCAATCCTTCTGCTTTGATTTGTTAAACTTGCTGCTAGTGTTATCTTGGAGATATAAACACAACAATCTTGTTTTGGCTTTACTGTCTTTTTAGCTTTTGTTATACTTAACGTCTTTTCTTAATTAACATTTCAGGCCTGTTATTGTTTTATCTCTTGCTCATTTCTTTTGTTTTATTTTATCATTACTATTATTATCAGTATTACCCATAGACTGTATATGGCATGGACAGCGTCTGCCTCCTTGCTGGGTGAAGCCACGCTGAGAACAGCACCCTCTTGTGACAGGCTAAAGTATAGGTCATAAATCCCGCCTCCGCCAGCAAAGTTTATGGAGCTGTGGACAAACTTTAGAAATTTATTACACAGAACACACATTTTTTCCCCCCCTGATTGCGATATTAACATGTTGTTACAGTAAGACTGGTTGTGCTTAAGTCCTCTTTTTTTCTGTACAGCTCCGTTTTTCAAAGTTATTAGGGGGTTCATGTTTTCTATGATTGACACCTGATACAGCCTATGGGCGTACGGAGATTGCATCGCTCACCCCGGGGTACGCTGTTTGAGCCGAGCGTCATCACAGCGACTCTTGGCGACTCTCCCACTGAATGCGTACAACGCTACTGCGCAGTGTTGGTTTCAGGAAATGAAGAGAAAACGCGTAAATACGGAGAGCTTTTTGGCTTCAAATCCATATACTGGCAGAAGGCGGAACCAAGTTCTCCATAGTATATACAGTCCATGGTATTACCTGTTATTATTTTATTATCATTGTTGATTTTGCCTTTTATATTTTACTACCCTGTGTCTGCTTTAGACCCCCCTTTTAATTGCATTTTCCTTTTTCTTAATTATTTTATGTTTTTATTTTGGTCCTCATGGTCTCATTTCATGTTGCATGGTTCTTGTATTCTCTGGTTTCTTCAATTCCGTTTTAACTGAGCTTTTTGTTTTTATCCTTCTTTTTCCATATGCTTTATGACTATATGTCAAAGCACTTTGTTATTATTATTATTATTATTATAACAATATTCAATTTGAATTTCTGTTTATACATTGCCATAAATCGAATTAGTAGATTTAAATATATTGTATTTGCATGTTTGTTTGAAAAAGAGATATAATCCCTAACATGAAGGTCTGGTCTACACTGTGAATTTGTCATTTCATGGATGAGTTTTTTAGCTGCATTAAGCTGTGTAAGGAGTGACAGTTGTTTCCCACACCAAAACTGTTTCCTGTGTGAGATGTTTAAAGACAGGTCCAAAACGGCTGTGTTGATTGGCCGTTCAGTGCTGATCCTATACTCCTCATCCTATACTCTCCACAATTGTTTTTTTCCCTAACTTATCACATAGCAATAACATTTTCTTTGGAGATAAGGCCTTTTTATCTTATCCTGGTTCTAAGATAACTTAATAATTTTCATTTTTTCAAGATGGGGACGGTGTTCACTCATTTCTGTGACTATCAACACGGTTTCTGGAGATGCAGGTGCCTTCAGAGGATACCCTTTCACTGACTGGATAAAGGCAGCTAGGTACATTATTTTTCCTAAATACTTTAGGGCTGACATCATACAAAAGAAGTAACTTGAATAATTTTCATCATTAAGTATGAGATTATATTTGCACAAACCATCAATACATTTCAACTGTGACGTGTTTGTAGTTAAAAATCCAAAGTTAGATGCCCAAAAAGAAAGAAAAATTGTTTGTTGCTTGGTTAGATCAGATTGCTGCGGTGTATCTTTAGAAGAAGAACATAAGTCTGGGATTTTTTGACTGCACAACAATCCCAGCTCTTGTCTTATAATCATACACACACAGGAAATAGACTTTTTTGTCTCGTCTGTGCTGGAATGTCAGAGAAAGAGTTCATTGTACTGAAAAAGTTTCAGGAAAGTCAGACATCTGTTCTCGATAGTGATAGTGCTGACAAAGAAAAGGGAGGATAGAAGTCAAGAGGAAAACAAATTCCAGATGTTTTATTTCTTGCTGTATCAATGCTCCTCTTAGAGCACGTGTACACCAGCTGATGTCTAATACTGTAAAATGTGGTGAGAGATTAGGAATGTGCATTAAGAAGCAGAGGATTCAAAAACCACACTGCCGACTGCTTGTTGTCATTGTGGTTACACTCCTGATACCAACTTTTACAGCATTGAGAAAAGCCTCATTAATATGTATGATACTCTGTACAGTATGGTTTCCCATTTGGGGAATAAATGCTTCCACATCTAGTGTTTATGGACCCTTCCATTTCTCTGTCATTTTTGGTAAAGTAAAAAAAAAAAAACTAAAGAATGCTCTGCAGCTCTGGGGTCATGGTGATGGTTTCATGACAGATACTTAAAAGACTGTCTTACATAATCAAAAAATATGTTATAAAGTTCAGCCAAAACCAGCAGGCAGCAACAACAGTCTAAATTTAGTTAAATCATGTAGCTAGAATTTCAGCTGAAATTGCTTCCTCTGTTTCCCTGGAAAGTGAGGATGTGCTGAGGTATGGAAGTGGGTTAGTAACACAGGATATTCAAGTCCTTTAAAGGTGGTCACTGGATTTACTCAAGTTAGACACACAAACATTTACAATAATATATATTCTTTATAATATATATATCTGTAATACAACACTTTCTCCTGACCAAGTAATTTGATTGGACAAGGGGCATTCTTTAAGCATCAATATAGGGTACAACAGCTCTAGGACTTTTGTTAAAGAGTGAATTACAGCTGTGCAGATATTCAGTACAACAGCATCACCTCTCATGAGATAAAGGATCTTTTTCTGTTAAAGGAACAATTATTGAATACAGAACATTTTGAAACGTCTATATACATGTGTCAGGTTTTAGGATGCGCTCCCTGAGAAAGACTGTGTTACTGGCCATCCTGGTGTCTGTGGTGCTGGTTTTGGCTCTCCTCCATTCATGGCCCACCCGAGCTTACACCACAGTGGATGTTTGGCAGCGACCTGGGCTAATAGTAGAAAGACACCTTGAGGAGAAGCTGCCAGAGCTAGACCACCGGTTAGACCACATCCCTTTTCATGTGAGGGACAGTGTGGCAAGGTAGGGGTCAACTTTTTTCTTTTCTTTTCTTTTTAATCGGAGCTCATCTCATTCCTGACTGCCTCACTGACATTTACCTCTGATCCATGCAGCTTGTTGGCACGTAATGGGTGTGTATGTGAAGGTGAGAGTGGAGGAGTAAACCTGCCCTTTGCCCAGCTCTTATTCCCGCGAGTGTCGGCTCACCCACTACACACTGCATTCGAGGCTTCTGAGCTGGAGGATATAAAGAAGAGACGGGAGAAAGAGTACAAGAGTTTCCAGAAAAGGTAGTAACATATTGACTGAATGTGCTAGTTTTACTCATAAGATAGTCATCTCTGGATCATTTTCTAAGAAGTTTGTGTCCCTTTCTTTCTGAGAAACTAAAATAACCCAGAACACAGCAGCAGTGTTGTAAAGGACATCAGAATGGAAAATTTTTATTAGTCATGTCATGTCCTCATATTGGCTGCCTTTAAGCTTGAAACTCTCAATGCTTTTTCCACACCACGATTATTTCCATCCAAGAACAAATCACAAGATGACAAGGAATGTTATTGTAAGCTCCTGTTGAACTCAGTTCGAGCTTTTCCAAAGAGTAAAACAGTCCAGCTAGGTTTTAAGCATACATGTGTTACATATTCCAGCCCATGCTTGTGGGTGGTTGTTGTGATTAGAGCTCAGTGTGCATCTTTCTGATGAGCCATTCTTTCCCTCAGGTCACAGTCACCTGCAGATGTTCTCATCATTGCAGAGGCAAACAATCCCTTTCAGTATCCAACACAGGGGGTCGAGGTACGACCCCTGAAAACAATCATCATCCCAGGTGAGACCTCAGACAGAGTGAGGCAGCCAAAACTTACATTACAGTGATAATTTAATTGATAGATTACTATGTAAAGGGAGTGGTCACAAACATGGTGATGTACTCAGAGCATGATATATTTAGAAGACGAACAGATAAGTGTGAATAGAGCAGTCACAAAGAAAAACATCACCTGGAAAAGTTACAGAACCCTTTTCTGCAATCATTTGAAGGTAAAAATAATAATGTGCTTGTGAAAACTGCAAAAATGACAGAATATGCTAATCAAAAGTTTTCACAGTTTTCACTCATGCCAGCCTGGAGTGAATTACATAAACCCCTGTGTTGCACTAAGTATATTTGTTGTCATTTTCTTTCAGGTTTGGCCTTACATGACCTTACCAGAGACCATTACTCCGTAAGTATTTCACATTGTTCATCATCAGTGAGTCAAATTCTAGCTATCTGTTGTCTTTGTATTCATCTGCTTTTCTGTGCTGCTGCAGATAAACATCACTGCCACGCTGGGAACTCTGAATGTGGCCGCAGAGGTAGACGGGGTGAGAATCAAAGGTGATGGCGAGATGCACATGACTCTGTCCAGTGTCCTCCTGCCCAGCCTGAACCGACAGCTTCAGTTTGTCACCTATACGAACACGCTGTTCCACCCAAGCACTGCAGACACAGGTGAGGCCTTAAAAGAATCAATCTTTAACCTTATCTACTTTCTTAACTTTTTTATTTTCCCTTTTTTTTGAGTTTTTTTAACAATCATGAGGGAAATTCCCAAGGTGTCCAGGTTTTGGATTGATAATGTACATTTTATCATCTTTTGCATGAAAAGAGTTTATGCCAGTTTAAAATCCGGATCTTTAGCATCTAGCTTTTACAGCAGGACAGATACTTGTGTTGATTTGAAGCAGATACTTGAGGCTATGGAAAATTCACTGACGCTTGTGTTAGTGTTTGCTGTTGGTCATAATCAAACCTCTGTAAAAAAAAAAAAGAGTACGTGGACATAAATTAGCATAATAAGAACTAACTTTAAGAACAGCCACCATGTCTGAAAAGTCATCTGATGTGCATTGGAATTTAATGGCTTGACCTACGTTCTATTTGTTGGCAGCTGGGTTTTATGACCTATACCATAGTCTGTCAGTAGAGGGAGCCCTAAATCTTTTTGCTTCACAATCAGTGAACTCTTAGGACATTCATTTTTATCCACTGAGCTAAGGAGAAACAAACTGGACCAAAGGAGAAGATGTGCTTTTTGTTTGGCTTTGACTTGTTGTTTACTGTTATTGAGAATGTATGTGATATTCAACGTGGCTGTGAAGGTCACAGGGAGCCAGCCTGAAGTACATACAAAAAAAAGTCCTGCAGTAGAATATGGAGACTGTATGACAGTGGGCTAGATCATATTATAGGCTGCTAACTAGCTTATGGGCAATTTCCATCAGTTCACTTGCTGTTATCATCAGGGAAAATTATCTAGTTTGAATACACACTGAATCAAATTAATGTTTTTTTTAACAAAATATGGTTTGTTCAAGTCATGCACTTATTCAATCCTCAAAGAAACAAACTTTTTTTGTGTTGGACACCACTTTCTGTGCATTTAGCATCTACTTACACCAGTTAATCTTATATTCTCATATATCGAAACAAAACTTAAGTCAGAGTCACACTTTCAGTTTTACCCTGGTTCAGGTGTTTATGTTAAACTAGGCTACCTGGCTGCTAACTGTAGCCATGTGGACATAAGGTTTAGTCTCTTTACACAGCATAAAAATGAAACTTTTACTTAAAGTATTTCACAAAATACTGATTATAGTCACTGTTAATAAAGCAGATTGTTATAACCCAGCTTGTGAGGAGAAAGGAAACAACATAAAACCCCCAGTTCCTGTGTGTAAAAATTGTTATTTATTGCGAAAAAAAATAATGCTGTGCAGTTTAATATAAGTTGAAGCGAGGAACAGAGGGATGGAGAGTGCTGCTCAAAAGAAACAAATAAACACAACAAAAGGTGACTCTAAACCAGAGCGGAAACATGTCACTTATTGACATTAACTCACAACAGCAGTCAAAACGAAATGAGGGGTGAGCAGCTCGCTATCTCTTACAATTCCACAAAAAAAGATATACAATCAGATCACCTCCACACACAAATTACATGATTTTCCAAACGAAGGACCTAAGCAAGCACGAGTGTCTGCCCCCTATAAACAAATCATCAGATTTCATATAGCGCTTTATCAGAGACCCTCAAAGCGCTTTATATGGATACATCATTCATTCACTCACACAGTCACACCCTGGTGGTGGTAAACTACCTTAGTAGTCACAGCTGACCTGGGGCAGACTGATGGAAACATGGCTGCCAGTTTGCGCCTACAGCCACTCCGACCACCACCACACAACACTAACAATCGTACGCCGGTGGAGGACACACACTGGGAGCAAAGTCAAGTGTCTCGCCAAGGACACAACGGACAGACTCAGGATAGGGGGCGAATCAAAACCGCCAACCGTCGTGCTCTACCTCCTTAGCTACTACCGCCCCTAGTGCTTGATTCTGCAGCCTCTTGAGTCCGCCGCTCCTCCCTGATCGGTCTTGCGGACTCGGTCCATTATACGTTCAGTTGGTTCCTGTAGAAGCAACATCCTCTCACACCAGACTTCCTCACATTTACACACACAGACACTACCAAACAAGGTAAACGGGGCACACACATGTACACGTCTAGAGCGGGGGCGTGGCTGCGGCTGTAACACAGACTACTTTGTTTCTTAGTTCAGATTGTTTCTTTTATTCCCACACCAGTCTTAACCCTTCAAACATATCTGAACTGTGAAACAGGACAGGGGTAAGAATTCCACCCTAGTACTCTGATAAATAGCTTAAAAGTCATATTCGTTTTGTCTTTTAGTGCAGCTTGAGACAGAGGGACACCAAGCTGTCTTCACCATCAAGATCCGTCATGGAGTCACACCCAAGCTGTATAACACAGGATCTAAAGGAGGTAAACCACAACACTTGTGCATAAACAGTGTTAGAAAACATGCCACCGTCATAAAGTGTAACATCCGCTTGAAATATAATTATTTTCACTAAAAATGGTTGTTTGATCTTCCTTCTCTACAGAGTACAATGTCAGCGCTCTTGTTACCATAGCTACAAAGACCTTTCTCCGCTACAATAAGCTACAAGATCTTATCGACAGTGTGAGAAAATACTATCCCACTGTCACTATAGTAATTGCTGATGACAGTGAAAACCCTCAAACCATCTCTGGGCCTTTCATCGAACATTACATCATGCCTTTTGGAAAGGTAGAGAGACTGAAGAAGTCTTTCATTTTTAAATCTTTGTTGTCTCTGTCCGTGTTTCCTTTTTACTCAGTGCTCTATGTTGTGTGTCTCAGGGTTGGTTTGCGGGAAGAAACCTAGCCGTCTCTCAAGTGACCACGAAATATGTACTGTGGGTGGATGATGACTTCATCTTCACAGCCAACACTAGGTTGGAGAAATTGGTGGATGTTTTGGAGAGAACAACTCTTGACCTGGTGAGCAATAAACTTTCATCTCTCTCAGTCTGTGTGTTGTAAAATGTCAGTCACATTAATATGTTTGTTTTTGTTTTAGGTGGGTGGCGCCGTGCGGGAGGCCACAGGTTACACTGCTACCTACAGACAGACCATCTCTATTGAGCCGGGGGAGGAGGATGGAGACTGTTTACACATGAGGAGGGGGTTTCATCATGTCATTCAAGGCTTCCCTAACTGTGTGGTGACAGACGGAGTAATTAACTTCTTCCTTGCTCGCACAGACAAAGTGCAGCAGGTCGGCTTTGACCCTCGCCTCGCCAGGGTGGCTCACCTCGGTAAGTATGACTCAGTAAACCTTGTTCATGTCAAGGTATGACTTTGCGTAATGAGATGTGCAAGTTATTAGACATGTGTAATAGTTATGCCTGTTTTTAAGCATTCATAACCTCAATAACAATTTCATCAGAGCCTGCACATTGATGATCCTAACTGGCATTTCTCAACACTTTGATTAAAGTGTCTCTACTCAATACAGCGGTTTGACATAAGGGACTCAAATGGGCAACAAAATGTTTTGGCATCTGAACGATAATCTGCTGTAAAGAAAAGGAACAGATGAAAACACATTTACACAATCACCATCTCTCTCTCTCTCTCTCTCTTAAGTAAATGAGAGTTCAAAGATTAAAATCTCATCACAGTTTTTGAGATAGTATCATGCCGAGATAATTTTGCCAAGTAAATATACTGTGAAATTATTTCATCAGCAAGTGCAAGTATCAGAGAATCTGAGCTCCACCGTGATTAAACTGGGTACATGAATTAAATTAATTTAACTCTCGTTTTAATTAAAGGCCTGATATCTGTTTTCCAACTTCTCTTTGCTCTACAGCGTTGATATTCCTCTTTACTCTTTATTAATGTTTGGATTGTTTTACTTTGCATCAGATTTCATGACAATTATTTCTATGAAAATCAAAGTCAGCTGTAAGAAGATGGTGATGAATCACAATGATATCAACAGTGATGCCTATAATGACAAGACTGATCATTTTTATGCTGTAATGTTTAATGCCAGTCACCACTGTGAGGCAGTAGGTCCCAGACCAAATGATTAATGCCACTCTGAAGAAAAAGCTTTCAGAAAACACTGTAAAGGCAAAAAGATGAGTGGTGTCCCTTTGCCAACTGGAAAACTGACACAAACAGAAAGTTCCTAACAGGAGTTATGATATCATCTGACAGTATTTAACCAGTACTTTGATATTTAAAACTGTTTTGGGCCTTAACCATAGACTGTATATACTATGGAAAACTAGGCTCTGCCTTCTGCCAGTTTACGGATTTGAAGCCAAAAAGCTCTCGGTAGTTCTGCGTTTTCTCTTCATTTCCTGAAACCAACACTGCGCAGTAGCGTTGTACGCATTAGGCGGGAGAGTCGCCAAGAGTCGCTGTGATAACATTCAGCTCAAACAGCGTATCCCCGGGTGAGCTACGCAATCTTCGTACGCCCATAGGCTGTATCAAGTGTCAATCATAGAAAACATGAACCCCCTAATAACTTTTGAAAACAGAGCTGTACAGAAAAAAAGAGGAGTTGAGCACAAACCAGTCTTACTGTAACTACATGTCAACATCACAACCAGGGGGGAAAAGTGTAATGTTCTGTGTAATAAATTTCTTAAGTTTGTCCACAGCTCCATAAGCTTTGCTGGAGGCTGCTGTTCTCAGAGTTGTTTCACCCAGCAAGGAGGCAGACGGCGTCCATTCTATATACAGTCTGTGGCCTCAACACGTAAAATGTAGTTAAATGAAGTCACACAGATCTAAGATTTGCATTCCTCTCATTTGTTGTGAAGAATTTTACTTTACTTTTTTTAACTCTTTTTTTTGTCTTGATTTTTGGTTCTATATTGCAGGGGATCTATGCCTGTCACACACTGCAGCCTCTGTGTTTGGAAACTTTACAATCATCTCAAGTTTTTACAATAAGATTTAGACTGAATGAGACTTCTTCTATCTGTCTGACTTGAATGTGAATGGTTGTTTTTCAGAGTTTTTCATCGATGGCCTTGGATCCCTCCATGTTGGCTCCTGTGATGATGTCATTGTCAACCATGCGACCAAAATCAAACTTCCCTGGGTCAGCCAATCGGAGAGTGACAAGACTTACGCCAAGTTTCGTTACCCCCCGGCCTCTTCTGATGCCACTCACACAAAAAATGGCCTCCTGTTCTTCAAGAATCGATTTCAGTGTTTGACTCATAATTAGCTCCCGTCCTCTTTATCCTGAGAGTTCCTCTGCTCTTCCTGAGTTGCCAAAGATGTTCTCTTCCACCTCGTCCCATCAGCTAAGATTTCAGACAAACACTTTGGTTTGCCTCTTCCCAGATCCTGGATGAGAGATTTCTGGCTTTCCTGGATTTCCAGCATGTATATTCAGGGAAGTCAAAGGAAGTTAGATGTGATTGATCAGAGTGGAAAACATATCCTCTTGTTTACACAGACTCACTTTAATCTTAGCAAATTCTTAATGACCATAAGGTATTTAAGGGATGCTGCTTTTGTCTGTTGAATCTTATCTGGCTTTACATCCTTGAGTTGTTGAGCTTTGGGGAAAACATGGTAGCATCTGTGCAGTCTGAGTCACTTTGTTATTATTGGATGCTGATGTGAGAGGAGGTTCATGTGTCCTCTCTCAATTTGCACTATCCAATAAGAAGCTTGGAAAAGCAATATTGACATCAGAGCACCTGTGGACCGGGACGCAGCCTTAGCAAGAACAAAGGGACACTTTCTTAAAAGTGACAATCCTGTACACACAGAGCATAGGTATCCTTTTTGCCAGTGCCACATGAAGAACGGTCTAGAACTTTTTCAGCTGTGGTACCCGTGCTCATTGTGCCAAAGGTTTTGGCTGCAGGCTTTGGGGTGTTTTGTTTTGTTTTTATTCTGGTTTTCCCTCCCTCCTCTTTTACCCAGAGTCCTCTTTGTCATTTTCAAGTTTAGTCCCAAAAATCTGGTGTTAGCTGATTTGACAACAGATTTATTTTTGTTGTTTGTTGCTATTCATGTTTCAAACATGGACAGATGTGGTGCGTTTCTGACCTGCGTAGCTGACGAGAAACAAAATTGACTGCGTCTTAACATGCTGCCTAGAAGAGAAGTCGAATGAACCAAAGTGCATGTTTAATTTTCCTTGCTTGGAGAGAAGAAAGTGAGGATCAAACACAGTTGTCTTGACGGGTGCAGTGAAAGCATGATGGCAAACTGACATGTTGAAGGAAAGTTAGAGTGATCTGAGAATGAAAGGAAAAACTTGAGCGACACCCTGTGTGACAAAGTCAACTCTACGATGAAATAAATTCTGTTCCTTTACTCCTCTCTGTGAAGAGGATGTGTCAGTCACAGACTGATACACTCATGCCTAGGTGATGATGCTGTTATTTAAAACATGGTTTAGATTATGCCCTTTTCTCTGTTTTTGGTTTAATGAGTTAAATTACTTTTTAAAAGTCTTTGTTCATTGCAAAAAGGTGCCAGAGATTTACCCTCAGGCTTTTCTTAACCTCCAGAGAATACTGTAAAGCTATTTTGTGCAATCTTTCAGTTACGTATTTTTATGAGTTTTTCTGTTCTGTGTAGATAAGTCACCAAAATGCAGCATCAGCTCTGTGGACAGGGACCATATCCAAGCATTACCACTGACACCTATATGAAAAGCTTCTGTGTCATTGTGTGTTCAAAAATATTTCTCATATTAGGGTTTGTAACATTCAGCAGATCTTAAACTGAGCTGAATTTTTTAAAGGATAAAACAACGTTGTTATTTATAGTACTACACTGAAAATTTACTTGCCTGCTTCACCCATAAAGCACTATGTCATCCAGTCACAGAAGTTTTATTATTTATTTCAGGTGTTGAGAAATAAAAAGGTCTGTGAAAATGCCTCTGTTTCATTCCCTGTAATAAATGCTTCATGGTAGAGGTCTGGGGGGAAACAGACAGAAATGGTTTCATTCTGCTACACTCAAAAGTCGGTCAGGAGGGTCACAGTTCGGTTCACTGTCTCTTTAAGTGTCGAACAGTGACATTGACTCAGATCTTGACGTAAACAAATATATGAGGGTCTGTTCTTCGTTACATGTGTAGTTAAGTTCTGACTTAAACAAAATGACTATTAGCTGTCATCAAAATTTGTCTGTCACAGTAAAGTTGGTCTGCTGTTAAAAGAAATAAGTTTTTCCTCACATGTTAAACAAACTTCAATTGAACAACCAGATGGAGTTATGACACATCTTTCACAACTCGCCATCATTTGTTCATTTATGTATCTGGTTGCATTAGATTTAAATATTGCTGAATAGAGATTTAAAGACAATCTCAACAAATGTGCAAGAAAAAAAATCTAAAAAAAAATTGCCTAACCTAACAACAAAAATTATGTAGCAGCAATTTGATTGACACAAACGTGTGTTTGTAAATACTCCACCAGATGGCGCCCTGAACCAAGAGCGCCTCTGTGTGACTGTTACAATCCAAAGGAAAAACTGTAGCGAGGGTACTCAGCTTGTTTTCTTGTTTTTAAAGTCTAATAAAAATCAAGACTGTTACTGCTGCAGGGGTTTTTTGTTTTCTGCTGTGACTTTGAAAATCAATCCAAATTAAACAGCAGTTACAATACTGAAAGTAAAATTTTGAATCTACATTTAAGTATTTTTCAGTCATATCAGCCCATATATTTTGATAAGAATACAAACTTGTCAATATAACTGAGAGTGCTTCACAGAGCTCAGGGAGTTTATTGACAGGAAGTTAAAAAGATGACAGCAAAGAGGTACGACAACAAAGACATGAAAATAAACAGAGAGGAGATCAAACCCACTACAAACATGTGCAAATGGCTAAAAAGAAAATCAAAATGTGGTATGACCTCCAAATAACGCACACTTATGAAGACCATAAAAAATAAACACAGAGAAATATTGCAAAAAAGAGAGAAAAACATAAAATTGCTACTTAATAAGACATGTTTTTTTGACTCTAAATGATGCAGTTCTTTGTTTGTCTTTGTGAACATTTTATTGTCTTTTTATGTAGACCGTTTGGGGGGATTTGACAATACTTTGACAAAAGTCTGAGTGTACTCGTAGCAGAATGCCATGTCTGATTTTTTATTGATATGATCCCACATGACATTATCCACATTGCAGAATACAGTGACAGATAAACACCTCTGTTTTATCTCTATGTCCCTTTTTTTCTCTTTCCACTTCATAGTTAGAGTTGAAATAGCTCACCACAGAGAAAATATATCTGATAATCTGCAGAGAGTGCACAGATATACAGAAACAGCTCATATGATTCCAGATCTCCATGATGCAGTTATTTGAAGACAGTCTGGCTGAGTGCACAGAGATCTCAAGAGAGGATAAGGTGGACTTTGTCTCATATGAAAATGTTTTTCATTACAAAAATATTCATCTAGGAATCTTTGGTGGAAAAAGAAATCTAAGCATTTATTTCAGTGAATGGAGTATTTATGATGCTTTATTCTCACTCTGTCAATTACAGATTCTTACTGCCTGTAGAAATGTGTGTATGCCATGTATACACACACACACACACACACACACGCATAAACTCAATAAAGCAAGTCCAGTTTAGCCTAAACCAGAAGTTTTTAAAGGAAATATTAGGACGATACACAGAGACAGAAACAGTAAGATCACTGACCTCAGAATAGGGGGAAACAGATCCTGACAGAGCACAGCTGACTGCATGTAAAAATATATTCAGTCCATGACTCTAGCAAATCACTAGAGTCATATTGCAGGAAACAAAGTCCACTTTTCTTTACAGTTTCTTTTTACAGTTCATTGCCGCTTGTTCTTAATCCGCTGGTCCAGGTTGTTTGGTAGATGTGCTGAATTATTCCCACTCTCATTTAATGTGCTCACCCTGAAACTGGCAGACAGACCCTGAGAAGAAAAAAAATGACATATCATACCTTCTGTACCTGTGCGGTTCAGTGTGGAAATGTAAGTAACAGAAAAAAAATATTTCAATCATACGTTCCAGTGCCAGTGTGAAAACAAAAAGGCCTTCTTTTATTAAAGGGCATTGAGGAACACCAGAGAAATAAACACAAACAGGACTCACAGGACTCTAAACTCACTGGACTCTAAGGTTTCAGAAAAGATGTAATATGACCATAGTTATAAATATCAGAATCAGAACCAGTCTTATTGGACAAGAAATTTGACTCTGGTTACAATCTGTTTGTGAAATATAAATAGAAGTTATTAATGTGGACAACAAGGAATTAATATTAATTAGGTAATAGCTTACTTTACCTACAATATATTGTTATTGAACAAGTTCAGATAATGACGATGAAATTATAATCACTTGCTCAAGCTTTTATTACACTAATTTTATAGGAAAAACGCTGTCTGAGGTCAAAATAAGTTACCCTGATGCTCTGAAACTCACCACAAAACATTATTTGATATAAAATAACAGAGCTTTTAGAAAACATATGAACAGGTCTTTCAGGGACAACACTGGTATCTTTATGTGTCCCAACCTTGGGTTTTATAACTAATCTGGACTTGATCAAACTTTTACAAGGTTTAAGTATGGAGCTGTAACACTAAATGTCCTGTTGTTGAAAACAAATGTCCAGTGTTTAAATGCTGAGATCGCCTCCCTGGTGGATAAGCACCATAGAGGAATTAATTTTAGCAACATGGGAAAATTGCCTGAGTTCCTGCTTGTCTAAAACAGGATGGAAACACGGCTGATCCAAAAAACATGCTGGGGGGAATGAGGATGAGAGTGTCTTTATGGAATCAGGCCAGATAAGCATGTCTAATAAAAGCTATGTGATCAAACCGTTTCCTCCTATGAGTGGAAGTCTGAGACTTTAAGATAAAAAAGCAGGTCGGTGGTTTTTCAAACTGGATAACTGACTGACACCGGCTTTAGATTAGGTCGACCAGGTTTGTAAATCCGCTCAGAAACAACAACAGGATATTAAACAAAGGCGACCAGAGAGTCATTTCCCCTCATCATCAGTGATCATGATAGCTGGAGGAGGCCTCAAGCTGTTGACATGGAGGGAGCGGCTGATGTTACAGTTCAAATCAACTCTGAGTTTGTTTTGTTTCATTGTAGGTGGCTGATGAATCAGTTTTACTCCAGTTGCAAACATCACCTTTTGTTTTGTAGTTAATGTTTCAAGTAACATATTCAAGACCTTTTGTCTAATTTTTCATTAAACATGTAAATAAAAAAAATCTGGAGACAAAGTTTAAAAATGTGCAAGGCTTTCTTTAACTGTAAGCACTAATCTGATGCATAATGCATTATTTTAGAGGTTTGACTAAGCAGTACATAAAAGTCACTCAATCTCAGAAGAGCAAAAAGCACTCAAATTATAAGAAACATTCAAATTAAAGATGGGGTCGGCAGGATTCCGTTCAAAAAGCATCTTTTTTTAGGTGTATATGCAAAAAAAACTCAACTCTACACAGTGCAGTTGCCTGTTTTTGAATTCTTCAAGAAAACCATGACCTGGATAATTGAGAATCTACATGGACATATACAAAAAAGCTTTAAATACCAGTCAAAAGCTATTAGATTGATGACATTTGGTAACTTAACAATATCGCTGTGTTTTGTTATGTCTGTGTAGTCAACATTTTGAATTTTTTGAGCAGCCCGCTCTTTCTGACTGTTAACAAAACCGTTCCCTGCCTCCCCCATTCTGATTGGTTGTGAGGCGGACGCTGCTCCTTAGGGCTGATTGGTTTTGAGGCAGATGCTGCTCCCCCGTGTCGTTCCGGAGCCCAAACAAAGTTAGCGTGCTACAATATCAGATAGTAGAAACCAACCAAAAAGTGTGGAAAACACAAGCAATAAAACAAAGTAAATACCGGAGACTCTGGCAGAATAACAGGCGCTTAAAAAAGGAGGAAGACCGGACAAGAGCTAAGAAGCCGGGACAAGATCAACATTAACGATGGGGGACACTTTGGGATCTTACAAACCCTGTAACCTTTCTGCTGGACAGGTAAACTGCTTTAACAAAGTAAGCCAAGTGTCTGTAACAGAAATGTTTCTTGTCAAACGGGACCTGCTGCGTGTTGTAGCACCGCTAAACTGTTTAGCTCGGGTCCTGGACTATGTCACTTCATCCTAGTTGTAGAAGTCCAGCAAACATTGTGTTTGCTGGTAGTCTGTTGGCATCTACAGTAGCACCAATGCTTTTTACTTTCACGTTGACTGGGCCCCATTTGTAATCATCTGAAGTATTTATCTGCATTATATCTGAATTTAATTGAAATGATACAAGCGAGCAGGAGCGTCTGTTTGTGGGTGGGGCTTGCTGGAGCAGAGACAGAGGGGAGAGGAGGAGCTGATGGGAAAACTGGTTTGGAGGGGTAGAGTTTACATTCAAGATTTCTCCTAAAAACTGTCTCTTCCTCAGATCCTGCCTACCCCACCTTTACTCTAAGTACGATGATGTTAAAACCTACATAAAACTTTCTGAAGGATACCAATGTACCTGCATACTATGTAGGCTGCAGGTCAGTCCATTGGAGGTCTCTTTGCCGCGCCCCCTCTTCGAGGTCTGGCTGTGTTGTGTCAGAGAGGGCAGGGAGGTGTTGTGGCTCAGCAAGCGGGGCTGTTGACGTCGGTCCATAGATGCCGAGGAGTGAGGTCCAAAGCCAGATGCTGACCCTGTTGGGGACTTCAGGTTCCTGCCAAGACTGTTTGACTTGCTCTCCTTGCGTTGGTACTCAATCGGAGACTGAAGGGCTGCAGGGTACAGGAAGAGGTGTCACATTTCTCAAATACACAAAGAAAGTGTTGAACTTTGGTGTTACAGAAGATACACTGAACTCTGATACCATTAAGGAAGTTTCTCTGCGTCTCTAAGATCTGCACCACGTCACTGAGCCAAGCTTCCTGTATGTCTGGAGACGATGCCTGCATGATGAAGCGTGTCAGGCTGCCATTAGTCCCACGGGAGGTCAGGACGAGGCAGCATGGGTCTTCCTCAGAAAGATCCTCCACACCCAAACAGCTGACCTGAGGCACACAGGAGAGTTATAAAACATGACAGAAAGACACCAAACAAGATTTGCTGCTGAGATGTTTGAAAACCCTGCGTCAACCATACCTTGATGCTGTTTTTAAAGGTGTACCCTGGCAAAGAGAAGCCCTTTTTCTTATCTATTGGCTCACTGAAGATGACCAGCTGCTCGAACAGGAAGACCCGCCTCTCTCTTGGCCTGGACAGGAGGCCACTTTCCTGCTCGCTGACTAAGAAAGTATCCTGCTGGAGCAACTTCCCCTGAGCTGTGACTTTCCCCTAAAACAAAAGGCAAACATCGTCACAGATCCCAGATCTTCCTGTAAACCATGAAATGTTCTTATTGAGACAAGACAGATGCCAATCAGTATCTCACCTCAAAACCTTGGAGTCTGCCCACATTCATCATATCGTTACAGCGTTTTGGCACAAAGCACATCACCTCCACCGCCCTCTAATGGAGGACAAGCAAAGAAAGAGAATGACTGAGTGAATTAGTGAGGAGCAGACCCAAAAATGTTTGGCTGCCAGATTCTTGAAACATGCAGCTAAACTAAAGCAGTATAATACAACTGTGTGGCAATAAATCCCCCATGTAGTCTCCATTAAGGTCCAAAATATGGAAGTTGGGACTGGTTGTTCACTTTCTGGGCACTGCTGAGATGCCATTGAGTGAGGCGCCAAACTCCAAAGTGCCTGAGTGCATGTCTATGGGATCCTTTTTGAACATTTGTGCATTTCTAGACTATTTATGTTCAGCATGTCTCATGACAGACAAGAATAAAGTAAGATACTAAGATAAGATACTCCTGTATTAGTCCCACAAGGGAAAATTCCCATTCTAGTTCATTCCATCCAAGAAACATAAAAAATGCAGGCACAAACAGGAGAATGTAATTCCTCTGTATGTTTTCCCCTTCAACATTCTTGTCTCTATTTTGGAGTCTGATCAAACGAAGAGGAAAATCTGTTCTCATTAAAACTTATGGGGTTCAAAAAAGCAAGACACAGCTGTCTGGGTTAAGAAATTCAGCACTACACCCTTAAAGAGATATTGCGGCGTAAAATTAATTAAGGGTCAAACACACCGTAACACCGAGTTAGACACCCCCTCAAGAGATGAATGTTGCCAATCGCTTGCTTCTCTAGTTATACCAACTTTAGTAACGACCGCACGATAGCAATACACAGTGGTCTGAGGAGCCATAAAATAACCTCAACCAAAACGCCACTCTATAGCCACATATAATGCTCAGAACAGCACCTAACTTCATCAACAGTACATATAGGCTACCAGCCATAGTACTAGCCAACAAACATCTTTTTATATTTGACTGATTTCTTTAGCAAAGAGACTAAACACAACTCACCCACTCTCTTCCAGCAGCCGCTTGTTTGACCTCAGGCCAGTCCATTACAGACTGCAGTGGGGTGACGCAGCTCAGGGAAGAACATTGATGATCATTTCTTCATAGAAATAGAATCAGACCAAGACGCTAAGGCAGAACTACAGCGTCTGCAGTGAAAAATGATGTATATGGTGATTATTACTTCAAGGAAATGATAAAGTAACGATCATAAATGTTCTTCCTTGAGCTGCGCCCCCCCTACCTCAGTCAATGATGGACTAGTTGCGGTCCCTACAAACAAGGGGCTGCTGGAAGAGAGTAGGTGAGTTGTGTTTAGTCTCTTTGCTAAAGAAATCAGGCAAAGTTAAAAAGATGTTTGGTGGCTAGTACTATGGCTAGGACCCTATATGTACTGTTGATGAAGTTAGGTGCTGTTCTGAGCATTATTTGTGGCTATAGAGCGCCGTTTTGGTTAAGGTTTGTTTATGGCTCCTCAGACCGCTGTGTATTGCTATCCTGCGGTTGTTACCAAAGTTGGTAAAACTAGAGAAGCAAGCAGTCGGCAACATTCATCTCTGGAAGGGGTGTCTAACTCGGTGTTATGGTGTTTGACCCTAAATTAATTTTGCGCCGGAATATCCCTTTAATGCTGTGATTTATTGCATGGCTGTTGTGTCAGGATCTGACAGTATAACAGAATATACAGTTTTTTTACTGTAATAAACTCATACCTGCAGCTCTTCAACATTCCTGCCAGCTTTGCTGTAGTACTTCAGGAAGTCCTGTCAGAAAATGAGGAGTTTTCTTTGAGTTTTACAGATTTCAACTATGAGAGAAGAATAACAAATACAGCTTTAGCGCTACAGCTGTACAACTTTACAGAGAAGCTGAGTTGTAGTTTACACACACAAAAATGACTGCGTTCCTTATCCTAATCCAGGATAAGGAAATATATACGTATTTAACCATCTTGATAAAATCATAACCCCTAAACCAAAATAATCTACATGGGCCAACATTAAACTGGAGCAGCTGCATCACAGTCACTTACAGGACAGACACATTAAAAGACAATGACCTTGTCTCTTAAGCTTTTCTTTGCAGAGTATATGATTGCTTACAGAATCATCTGCCCACAGCAGACTGAATAGGATATAAAAGCATACAGTTTTTCAGACTGAAAGCACAGAATGACAGATATTCTTAAAGTATTGCTGAGATATGACTCAGTAAAAGTGTTGTGAGGTTTGTTTCTTATTCAAAAGTTTTTTCAAGGCATTTTGGCCATCAATGAGACAGCTGATAAGACAAAGAGACAAGAAATATGGGGATCAAAGAGTGCAGTAAAGGGTTATGACCAGGAGCAGAATCAGTGGCCACTACAACCATAGCCTGTGTACTCTGACCATTTAAACCTAATCCGTTTACCCTTTACTAAATGAATGTTAATGTCGGATTTCAAGAAAATTGCTCAGTGAGCTCCTAAAATTTCTCTTTCACTAGAAAAAAATAACCAGGAGAGAATATTCCCAGAGCATTACAAAGAAAAGTTAACCCTTAACCTTTCCGGTACAAACATCTTTTCATTAATTTACCCTGATGGATCTAAGTTTGAAATACTTAAGTTCAGATTTTGGGGGGATTTTTTTATTTCTTATTTTTAAATAAACTCTCCTCAGGACTTCCTGAGATATTGTTTCACAAGAACTTAAGGACAGACAACCTTCTGCTTTCATGCAACAGTAAGAGGCTTAATCATATTAAAAAGAAAACCTTCAGCAGTAGCTGATACTTCATGATCCTCTGGACAGGTTTGATGAGCAGGTCATTGAGCTGCAGCCTGTGGCCTAGCTGCTGTCTAAGCTCCTGTCAGGGAACAAAATACAGAGAAGAACTATTTTAGTAGAAAGTGTTTCAGGAGTTTAACCTTCCTCCTGTGTCAGCTTTTACTATGCACCCACTATGTTAAGGGTCGGTTTTGACCCGTGTCTTAAATCAGCTGTAAATTACACTAAAAACAATTCTCTATCATCCAATTTGGTTCTCATCTCTAGGTTACCTTGGTAGGCTTCATTATCCATGAAAACATTGCTCATATTATTTTTTGATGTGGTCCTCTGGGCCTTTCTTTGTCAGTATACCCCTCATACAAACATCTATACTGAACTGATCTCACATGTCTCGACATGCCCAAAGTATTTTTTGTGCAAGGAAAAACAGGCAAAATGAGAAATTTCTAAATCTCACATGATTGGAAGAGGATCTGACTGTCAGTGTGATGCCTGACAGTACACTTATGATTTCAGTTTTTGCTCTAATTATTAGATATTGATCTAAGCGGGTCAACAGGGACCCTAACACGACAAGTGCCATAATTTTAATTGGAGCATTTTATAATTTAGTCAATTTAATTTTTTGTTTTTATTTTGTTGAAATAGAGGTTCCTGACAAAGTCAAAAAGTCTTGATGCAAAAAAAGCTAATTTAAGTGGTTCTTTTAAGCATTTAAAAATCAGAAAGGGGTCGGTGCAGACCCTGACACAGGAGGAGGGTTAAAAAAAAAAGTTAGCAGCATAAAAGTTTACTCACTTCAAAGTAGGTATCGATGTACTCAGAAACAATGTGCTCTGATTTGGGTTTGTTCTGACAGTAAACCACATACATGTGCAGACGCCGTTCCTGAAAATGCAAAGATTTATAAGAAAGCAGGAAAATTCACGTGACAGTTATTATAAATAATCTGTATCAAAGAGGCAGTGCATGGGAGAATTAAGTGTCTGAGCTGCCTCTAAACCAAGTTTTGGAGTGTTTCCATAACTCGAGGGTTTTTCTTCACAGTTTTGTGAAATCAGTGCAGAGATTTTGCCTCATTAAATAGTTCCAGTGGCTGAGAACGAAGGTTTGATTTGCTTTTGCTTAATTAGGCAACACTGAGTGGGCAGATAGAGAAACTAAGCCGGAAAAAACTCCACCTACTCCAAGTATTTCTTTTGTTTTTAGTTTTGTGCTCTGTTGGGACCAGACACTGATGTGAAAATACTACGACAATAAAATTTACCAGGCAAAGTTATTTCCTGTTTCACTGTTTCATGGCCATTCATGTAAATATCAAAAACTAAGAGCTCAGTCAAAAAACGGAAACTTTCAAGGTGGAGGATGTATTTCATAGCTCTCTGAGATCTGTAACTACAGCTTATTTTCACACACATTGTGGTCTCTGCAGAGCGTCTTTAACATTATTGAGCTCTGTACTCAAAACATTGTGAGAACATGAGCCATTACTCTGCAGCTGCACCTGCAGACAAATGATCTGCAACATGAGGAAGACACATTTGGATGGCAGGAGGCCAAGGCTTCACGCACAGCCAGAGCTCTGATCAACTTGAACCCTCAACCAAACTTTGAAAACACTCGCTCTGAGATAAAGAAAAATACATGAATAAAAAGAGAAACTTGTCGTCCAAACTTTTGTTACTCACTGATCTGTGCACTCACATGTTTTATGAAGAGCTGGGCCAGACTGTCTGGATCACCCACACATTTCTCCAGCTCCCCCAGGAAATAACTATGTGACATGAAGCAGAGAGGGTCAGGAGGTAACAGTCATACAGCCAAAAGCACACACACACACACACACACACACACACACACACACACACACACACACACACACACACACACACACACACACACGCGGGATGTACAAATCCTCAAAGGATATGACAAAAGCTTAATAAACATGAACATGACTTGCTTAGGAAAACTAAAGAAGACACTTTGAGAGGCTGCAGACCAAAAAGAAGTTCTGACTCACTCCTTGTGCCAATCAAAAATCTGGTGGATGTTTCCAAACACAATCCTGTCCTTCCCTTTCATGTCCTCGGGAACCCCCTGGCTGGCCATTGTGGCTACGTAGCCCTATAGATGCATGAGAGGTTTCCAGATAGAAAGATGATTGTTTCTTTTACGTTAGGCCTGAATGTATAGAATGTTGTTAATAAAAGAATCTTAGATGTGTTTTACATAGATCTTAAATGCAGATCATTTAACAACAAACCTGCACTATGAGTCCAAGATCTTCCACATATAACCTTTCTGTCTCTATCAGCTCTGTCAGCACATATCTGAGAGAGAAAGAGAAACAGAGAGAGAAAGAGAGAACAATAATCACTGATTTTGAAAAATGGGATCAAATCTGAATATTTGTGCCAGAAGGATTTTTGCATTAAGGGAAATATGCTATTCCACCTCCACAATGGGAGTTAGGTTTCATACAGACTTGAAACAAAGGTTTGAAAATCTGAAGCATGTTAAAAGCACAATAACAAGAGCGATAAATCTTGTTGGATAAACCTGCGCAAAACCCAAGATGCAGTGTCTTCCTGGAGTCTTGGTCGGTGTATTACAAAGTTACAATGACTATCAAACCTTAAATTTTTAATCTGCTTTCATGTGAATGTACCAGGACACAAAGTGATAATACCATTCATATTATCCGTCTCTTTGATTTGTCATCAATTTTCCTCCTGCGGCCACATCCAGGGAGGTTGGCTACAGTCCCATGGATCTCAAATTTCTGAATATTATGTGCAACTGTAGTCACAGGAACATCAAGCTGCTTAAAGATGGTCTTATAGCCTTTACCTTTAACATGCTTGTCTATACACCTTGAATTAACATGTCCCTTTGGTCACATTGTTTTCAGTTTTTTCGAGGGGTATCATCATTTTTGTCCAGGCCTGTCTGAGTCAATTTTTTCAAATAGTTCTGTTGAACCACAGTTCAGAATCGATGTCGAGTTTTCATTTATCATTACTTCTGTCAGATTCAAGTTGTTTCTGTGACCATTGTGGGATTTTCTTTCATTAACTGAAGGGTACTAATGATTTTGTCCATGTGTGTAACTGGCGACATCTAGATGTGTTGGTATGCACAATTTTCTTTCTATATTTGAACAAAACCATGCGAGCAGTTTTCCACAATTTCTCGTCTTTGCGCTGAGCCTGGCTTCTGCTTGTATATATCATGCAAGCATGAGTCTGACATCAATCAATCTCATCCAACACTTTGCGAGACAGGAAAAAGGCATAATCATGAAAATCTCAAGTTGCTCCTTAAACGTCAAACACGTACAAGCTCTTCTCTAAGGCAATGTTTCTCTCCTCTTCACTGTCCACTGTAGCAGACCGCTGACTGACTGAGTCACCAGTCACAGTGCAGCTGTCTTCTTTTTGGAGATTGTTGTCACTGAATTTTTGACTCTGAAACACACAAACAAACAGAACAGCTTTTAGTTAACACTCCTAAAGGTCTAGCCAGAATCAGCATGACCTATACGTTTTGTGGCTGGACAAGACCCCCGGATCAGAGACCATGAGACTAAACTTCAACCTACGACACTAAAATGCCATCTACATGATGCATCAGCTAAGATGTGGAGTATTTGAATTGTTACACTTGTACTTCAGCTGATGGAAAAGACCAGATCGCATCTTTCAAGTATTTGGGTACAGAGACATGTCTGACCACAAACTATAATCATTCAGTTTAATGCTCAGTGTCCTGAACCAGCCAGTCAAACATCTGTAGAAACATTAAAAAACCAGAGGATCCTTGTGATGGGGAACATATAAGTAGACCAGTTTTTCCAAATCCCTCCTGGAAAGTCGTACTGCTTCTAAATCCCAGGTAACTGGAGAGCAATAATCACTTTTTAATGTGTCCTTGTGCTTCTGAGAAAAACTTTAAACAGAGACATTTGGTGATGTAGGGTCAGGTCTGAAATAGAGGAATTTAACTGACAACATTTGTAGGCCTCAAATCAGATAAAAAAGGTGAAGTTTCATGGAGATGTTTGAAAAACAAATACCACCAAAAAGCAGTTTAATCTGATGTGAATTTGACCCTAATCTTCTTGACATAATGTAGTCTTAAGATATTTTGTCGTCCACTCCTCTACTCTAACAGATTATCCTTTTTGTTGGGTAACTTCAGAGGTCAAATATGCACTCCTCTATTTGTTTTCCATCTTTTTCTATTTTTTCAGGGTTAGGATTTTGCTTCCCCAATTCTCCTTTTTGAAAAATATCTAAGGCCTATGTCCAACTCCATCACCACTTTGGAGATCAGCATTTTAAACTTAGCTTGCTTGTTGCTGCTCACAGTGTTTTTCTTTACAGTATTCTTACATAAGCAAGAAGTCGGTCAGCTCCTCTGAAACCAATGAGGAGGTTAACAAAAGTTGGACCACCTCAGAAATTCACTTATTGGTCTTTATGCCAAGAGCATGAGTTGAAGATTAAAATAATTTTTGTGACTTTAAGGTTGATATTAGGATCCACTTAGTTAAGCTCTGCGTTAAAAGTAAAATAGGGTGACCATACGTCCTCTTTTACCCGGACATGTCCTCTTTTTTGGGCACTTTTCAGGCTTGTCAGCTAGCCTGCCTCACGTCAAATCTGTATATATTGAACAATCATAAATGACATGTTAAACTGTGAGCTGTCAAAGTGTTTCCACTCACACAGGCCAAAAAGCTAGCCTTCATGCTACTCTTTCTTTTATTCACTGACATTACAATAGTATCAATCTTCTCATCATCCTCTTTATCTGCTGTATCTCCCAAAATGTTTGATTATATTCCCCAATAAATGATACCTCCCTCATTACCCTGATCCTGACAAGTCAAGGATAGAGAGCCAAACAGCCAACGATAAAAACAAGAGGAGGAAATGTTGAAGTTGTTGCTGGGCTTAGACAAGATGAAGGTTAGGAGAGTCATTTATCATAAATGACAATGTACTTATTAAATCAAAGTTTTATTTATTCTTATCTCTTATGCAACACATGAAGAACTGGACTGTGTCTCTGAGTGAGCACCGGCCAACAAACACAGGCCTGTTTCTCACCCTTACTGGTTAACAACAGGCCTGTGGATTCTGGAGTGTATGTGATTCTTTTTCAAAGGTTTTTATGCTTTACAGGAGTAATCGGTGGAAGTGATGACCAGTTCTTATTTTTGACTGCTAAATTTAACCAAAACTGTGGACATCAAGTCCTTATCTGTCTGACATATTACGCATAAGATGAATAAGCTGACAGATAAAAAAAGAAAGGCTCTGGGTTTTAGGGCCTGTGTCCACTGGCAGTCTATTTTTGCACTGGCAACCTACACAACCGTAATTTCAGTGCACAACTTCTTCAATTAAGGGGATACTCCGGCATAAAATTAATTTAGGGTCAACACACCATAACACCGAGTTAGACAGCCCCTCGAGAGATGAATGTTGCCAACCGCTTGCTTCTCTAGTTATACCAAATTTAGTAATGACCGCAGGATAACGATACACAGCGGCCTGAGGAGCCATAAACAAACCTCAACCAAAACGCCACTCTATAGCCACAAATAAAGCTCAGAACAGCACCTAACTTCACCAAACTTTAGCAGGGTGACACAGCTTAAGGAAGAACATTTACGATCATTTCTGTATCATTTCCTTGAAGTAATAATCATCATATTAATCATTTTGCACTGCAGACGCGGTAGTTCTTCTGCCTTAGTGTCTCGGTCTGATTGCATTTTCATGAAGAAATGATCATAAATGTTCTTCCTTGAGCTGCGTCACCCCACTGTAGTCCGTAATGGACTGGCCCAAGGTCTCACTACAAACAAGTGGCTACTGGAAGAGAGTACGTGAGTTGTGTTTAGTCTCTTTGCGAAAGAAATTAGGCAAAGCTAAAACGATGTTTGGTGTCTAGTGCTATGGCTGGGACCCTATATGTACTGTTGATGAAGTTAGGTGCTGTTCTGAGCATTATTTGTGGCTATAGAGTGGCGTTTTGGTTGAGCGCGTGGCTCTCTGTATTGCTATTGTGCAGTTGTTACTAAAGTTGGTATAACTAGAGAAGCAAGCTGTCGGCAACATTCATCTCTAAAGGGGGTGTCTAACTCGGTGTTACAGTGTGTTTGACCCTAAATTAATTTTAAGCTGGAATATCCCTTTAAGTCTGTTTAAATGGGTTTTCATGCTTAATATTTGTTTTTATTTGATTATTTTTATTTGATTATTTTTAACAATAAGAATGGAAAAAACAATAAAAGAGCTGTGTCCTGGCATTAGCAGCGCTAAGACCTAGAAAATTAACTATTGGTGGAGCTCTAAAGTTCAACTATTTTCAACTTAGAGTGAGGTGACAAAAAAACAGCTGATGCAAGGCACAAGTCTGCACTGAGAACACTAAACTGTATTGGTTTTGTTTGGAAATATGCAGCAGGCTAAAAGTGCCACTAGTGGATACATGCCCTGATGTTCTTGTTGAGTCAGCAGTCTTGGGATTTACTCCAACAAAGTAACCCTCCATCACCCTGACTACTTATGTGTTATAACAGTCCACCCATAACCCTGACCCTGTTTCAGATTTTCAGACTGCTTCACTGGTGGATTACTTCCAGATGGTGTCTGGGAAAGAGCAGGATAAAATACAGAATACAACATTGTGAAATTGACATTACTTGAGTCTGCATGTCTTTCCTTTGCAGGAGGTCACATAAATGGCTCTGAAATGACAGTTGTGTTGGAGAACCTGCTTCTGGACTCAACAAACTATCCTTCCACTCCTGTTCAACACAAACACAACAACCAATACAAAGAGTGACTTAAGAGCAGGAGGTTCAAATGAAAGAAGTGCATGTCCCTGTCTTTATGTCTCACCGTGTCTCCACAGGGGAGGATGGTGTAGCTGTCAGTCGGTTCCAGCTGAGTCTTAGTGTGGGAAAGCAGCAATGGTGCTTGCCTTCTGTCTGACCTGCACATCTGCTTCTCCACCTTTCCCGCTCCTCCTCTCGCATCAGAGCTCAGCTTGCAAACAGGATTTGTGAGCCATTTCTTGAGGGCGCTGACAGGGTGCCGTGATCCTCCAGACGAGGAGTGTGAGCAGGGGCTGGAGCTGCCTGAGGCTTGGTGGGCCACAGAGCCCACCGATGGAGGAATGTTGCTGTCACTGCCTGCTACAGTGTACGACTCAGCTGTGAACAGACAGAGAGAAAGAGAGAGAGAGAGAGAGAAGGGGGAAACGGAGTGGGTTAATGTACAGAAACTAATTGTGGGGTGCATCCTCTCAGGTCAGATACTGCAGACAGACTTCTAGTAGCACAAAAATGTTGTACAATTTCCTGTGTCAATCCCTAACTAACCTTGGTGCAGTACATACCGATCCTGAATCATAAACACATCTGTGCTCAGAAGGGAAGATTCAGAGATTCAACTGGAAATTATCTACAACAGCTTGACTGAACGCAGACACTATATAAAAAGGAAATCTGCCTTAGCTTGAAAAATGTAGTCATACCGACCAAAGGAAAACCTGTTTAGCCATTAGCTTGCTCAAAGGGATATATTATTCATAAATGTTTTTCCTTGAGCTGCGTCACCCCGCTGTGGTCCGTAATAGACTGGCCTGAGGTCTCACTACAAACAAGCGACTGCTGGAAGAGAGTACGTGAGTTGTGTTTAGTCTCTTTGCGAAAGAAATAATGCAAAGTTATAAAGATGTTTGGTGGCTAGTACTGTGGCTAGGACTCTATATGTACTGTTGATGAAGTTAGGTGCTGTTCTGAGCATTATTTGTGGCTATAGAGTGGTGTTTTGGTTGAGCGTGTGGCTCTGTGTTTTGCTATCGTGCGGTCATTTATAAAGTTGGTATAACTAGAGAAGCAAGCTGTCTGCAACATTCATCTCTTGATGGGTTGTCTAACTCAGTGTTACAGTGTGTTTGACCGTAAATTAATTTTCTGCCGGAATGTCCCTTTAATAAAAAGTTAGACATGTTCGAGTAAATGCTTGTGCTTAATTGTAAGGAAAGGTTTACAAATGTAATTAAAAAATGAATAAAAAGATAGTTTCACCAGATGTTCATGAGTAAAGTTAGTAACTTAAAATACCTCAGCATGGTATTTATGAGTTAAAACCTAGTAGTTGTTACCAATTATTGTGATTTTTAACCACGGAGGCTCCAGTCCTCTGTGAAATGTAACCGGCTACTTCCTTTAAATGGTTGAACTAGAGTGTCAATAAGAGACCAAGTGAACATTTTGAGGTCAAGTTTGGCATACTTAGTTGTGCGGTTAGGTTGAATAGCAAATGGGATTGTGGTCACTGTTTGCATGTTAGTGGGTAAGCATGAGTCAGCTATCTGCCTCAACGACCACCATCGTTAGGCTTCATAACGCCTGTGACATCACTGAGACTACGTCCATGATCTTTACAGTCTAGAGACAAATCATTGTCTGCAGCTGATCCTTATGAGACAATTACACCAAAAGTATTTCAAGTACTGTAAACCTTCTCGAATTTCACCTGATTTTTAAATTTTTGTTTGACATACACACAAGGTTTTGAATATGAGTTAGTTCAAGGGAAATTAGACAAATTGATGGCATCACATCTGCACTGTTCTGCTCATTTTTGTTCTATTTTTGAGCTTCGTCCACCTCTGGAGTTGACACCTTTTTACTCCACAGTTCAAGAACTCATTAACATTACATTAACATTTCACTCAAATCTACTGATCATAGCAAAGTGGAATCTCTAAGGAGCCCCTCTTTGTTGTTTTGGACTCTTTCTAAAAGCCGCTATTCCCATCAGCTTATTTATGTAAGCATTAATCTTAATAACAAGCTTAAAGATGCCAGAGGAAATCTAGGTCAGCTATGTGCCAAAGCAGCCTGAAACTGCCTAATACTGCAATGAAATAGAAGAAGGCAGTCAAGGTAAAGTACTAAATTATGCTTTTTTTTTCTCATTCATTCATTTTAATTTGCATAATGACTAAACAATAAAAATCTTCTTTGAAGACAAACAGCACAACTAGATGAATTTCACAATGCTGATGTTGCATTATTTAAGATTTGTGGTAGTTATATTGGTAATACTTTCTTTGATGCCTATCTCTATAAAGCATTATAAATACATGTATAATGGATTATAATCACATTATAGCACTAAAAAACTATAGTTATAAACACTCATAAATGATCATAATGCTTTATAGCAATAGTCATAACACATTATAAAGCATTTTATCATGACTTAAAAGTTATGACTATTGCTATAAAGCCTTATGATAATTAGTGAGTGTTTATAATGATAGTTATTCAGGTTTTTAAGCATATCATAACAAATCATATATATATGTATAATGCATTATAAATGTGGGCATTGTCAGTGAGGTTTTAACAGTTATAACACATTATAATACCTGATCTTTTAAGTCATGATAAAATGCTTTATAATGTGTTCTGATTATTGCTATAAAGCATTGTGATCATTTATGAGTGTTTATAACTTAAGTTATACGGTGCTATAACATGATTATAATGCATTATACATATATTGATACTGCGTTATAGAATATTAAATGTAATTTGGGAAGGCAACAAAAAAATAAGGACTCAATCTGATTTAATTTATCTATGTAGTCATCTAAAATGCTATTTCTTAAATATCTTACCATGAAAAAAAAAATCTAATGAGGTAGAACTGACTTTGTGCTGTAGTTAAATTAACTACCGTCTGGATTGAATACTGAAAACATCTTGGTGGGTTAAAATGTAGTGTGTAGTTGGTCCTTATTTGATCAAGTGGTATTGTTAAAAACAACCCACACTGGGTTATTCAAAACCAAGTATTTCCCAGGTCATACGATTGATAACTTTAAATGAATGTTGTGTTGATCATTTACCTGAAAAAAAATCTAAATCTAACAGCTACATCAAAACGTTATAGTACCTGCACTTAACTAAGTACTTTACATGAACCAATTCATCGTTAAGCCATTAAACTGAAATCAGTGGTCAAAATGAAATAAACGGGCTTACATGTTTCTTTAAAAAAATATGTCAGGACATTGCTTCTATTCTCATTTATTCGTACTAATGCTCACAAAGATAATCTTCATGATAGCAGAAAAGCAAATATCATACATCGTATCATATTATGCACATCAAGTTGCAGAGCTTCAAAAGAAAAATAATTGTAAATGATTCACAGGAGGAGAAAGAGAGGATGAGCAACTCAGTAAAGTAATACAGGTACAGGTACAGACTTTTGATACTGACCATAAAATCTAAGGAAATTCCTGAAGATCTTTAAATATGTGACAAAGATAAGAACAGAACAGAAAAAAACTCTGCAGATTCAGCTGGGGCAAACATCTACGTCCAAACACACACACACACACACACACACACACAGAGTAGACAATGTTGTTACGTAGAGACAACCATCTGGTCTCCACATCTCTGTCAAGGTCAGCTCATTCGGGTCCACTAATAGCACCTCACCATCTGTTAGGTGATATATCAAGTACACCTCAATGCAGGTCTTTTATGTACTAATACATTGTCTTTTTCAACAAACTGGGCCTTAATGGTGTGTGACGGTCATCGTGATGTCTGAAAATGCAGCTGAGCTGAGAGACACAGCTCGTCATGTTTGTTTGAGACACTTATGTAATGTGTCATTTTCTCAGAGTGCAGCAGCTGGAGCCCATCCTGACTGCAGACTGTCCGCAGAGTCTGCCAGCATGCATGCTGTGAATGCACCCAGACATTCAAGCTTTTACAGAAATACAAGATGTGATGAACATTTTCTTTTTGTGCAAATTTCTGTGAAAGAGTAAATGTTGATGTCTGAGAGAGTTTTTGCATTCACCCTGAGGGTAAAAAGTATTGGTTAAAGCTAAATATGTTCTACAATCTTGAAATTACAATGCGAAGATGCTTTCTCTTGTTTAGGTCTGTAAAAAAATTAACCTATGTTACACAAGAAGAGCAGCATAAATAACTGTAGAAGTGTTTATCCAGCTGTAGTGGGGGAGCTGTTTCTATGACCTACTTTAAACTATGGAAGTCTCTCACCCTCTCTCCCTGAAGAGCAGATGGCTGGGAGATATTTAACTACATCTTTCGTCCTCTAAACCCCATAAATGGTCATGGTCAGCAACAGCAGGAGTCATCCTGATGCTGTCAGAATCCCACCCGACACCTCAGCAAATCAAAGTATGACTTGAGCTCCACACGTTACCTGCCAGGCTTTTATCTTTTTTTTTTCTTTTAATGAATTTTTCTTTTAAAACATGGAAGTCTTACTTCTTTTTGCTGTGTGCTAATGTGCAATTTGTTATTTGTTAATAAATAACATTAAGTAAATTTATATCTGTGTTAATTTGTTACCTTTTTTAACAAGGCTAATGTCAAGCCTGATGCCGTCACACACAGGGCAAGGTATACAGTTCATTTATTTAACAGTAGTATTGGGTTGGTATCGGATATTGGCCGATACGCTCAGCCCAGGTATCGGTATCGGATTGGATCGGAGCATCTCTATGCAAACAGTTCAGTAAGGCATTTAATCTCTGCAGACGTCATCCTTTGTGTTGAGATATTAATGAAAGTCTTATGTCTACAGTTGCAACACTCTTTGCTTATAATCTTGTAGTTCTCTCTACAAACAGGCTGTAAGTTAAAAAGAACAAATGCTATAGTGGCAGAAACACTACAAATAGAAGACATTATACAAAAACAACTGCAAGAACACGAGCCATATGAAGTTAAACACGCACAAACCCAAGTGCAACATGCTTTGAAAGATCACTGCACATTCAGATGCTCTTCGTTCAGGTGCTTCAGGTCTGTACGGGGGTGCCGATTCCAAATAAAACTTCATAAATGATTGTGAGGAGCAACAGATGTCGCTCTTGCCATGCACCAGTTGAATGACCGGCCCTTCCCTGCAGACGTGGAGCTCTGCTGCTGTGATGTCTGGATTCTGAACAATCGTGTTTGCATGCTCACCTTTGGTTTGTGTGTTTAAACTTGGCATCACCACCTTTGCATGTTTTGGCTTTTTTCACCTTTTTATTGCAGCACATCTATGCTGTTTTTGTATTTGATATTGACCATAAAATCTTGTATTTTGTATTCTATCTTTATTTACCTGCATTTTTTTCTTGAAACACAGCCTGTGTCTCCTAATAGAAACTGTGTGGGCTGTTGCAGCATATTGGCACTCTTTGGTTATTGCGGAAAAATAAAGAGGAAATGGAAGCAGTGTATCCTCAATGCTATGCTGCAGTTTCCTGAAGACAATCAAATAGTCTAAATAAAACACAACATTTATATTCTTCACAGCTGTCAGCTAAACTTCCTCTGACTTATAACCACAGGTCATAATGCACCTTGCCATGCACGTACAAAATTTTCCGGATCAAGTTCTCTTGCTCTTCTGTTTTCATACTTTTATTTTGAATTTCCGTGTTTGTTCAGAATCTAAATATCTTTGATTCTTTCAATGCACTTTGTAAGACCCTTAGATTTGTTACAGCTCAACAAACACATTGACTCGTTTAAAAGAAAACTTGGTTCTCTAGAAGCCAGACTTCGACCACATCCATTTTTGGTCTGACTTTGACTTTTACAGGATTATGTCTAATTGTGTTATACACAACTTAGACCCAAGGTTGCAACAGCTGGTTTCTGCATATAAGATTGTTCTGAGATCATAGAAAATGATGTACCCTTTAGTCATCATGTTTATCTCCAACATACTGGTAGTGATCATCTCACACACATCGGCTGGCTCATAGGCAATTTAGTCATAGCCGTTTCTGAGTCAGTGTAATGTTCGAGTAATGAGACATGGAGGTTTTTGGCAGGGTTTTTCAGCCCATTTCCAAGGAAGTGTCTCAAACATGCTTTATCTGGAGGTGTTTTTCTGAATTTATAAACAGTTGTTGGGTAATGTGCCAAAGAAGTACCTAATAAGACTGTTCTCAAATGAAGGAGCTGTGGACAGGTTTGGCCTGCAGAGATAGAGAGAATTCAGACCCTACGAGATGATAAAAATTAAAGAAGAGAAAAACAACAGCCACAAAATTAATTAAAATAAGACGAAGTGTTAAATGATAGAAAAAATCCTGACTGGTTATCCTGACTGTAACCCCTGCAGACAAGCAGGAAAGGTATTTTTAGAAGGAAGAAAACAGCTTGTATAACAGCAATTGCAATGTCGCATAACTCGTGTTTATTTCAATGAATAGAAACAGGTATGTTTTTTTTTTCACGATTGCAAAACGAAAGTATGAGAGCTTCTGAAACAAGGATTTCTTTTAAAAAATATTTCACACATCTATTTGCAGAGTCTGCAGCACGGTGCAGCTCAAAAGAGAGCTGTTCTGTAATCACTCCCAGAGCAACTGGAACAACAGAGGATTTAAGGGTCGGGGCAGTAATGGGATGTGTTTGTGTGTTGACAGTGAGGGTGTGTGAGTGTGTGTTTGTGTACAGCTGCTACAACACAGTGCAGAGCAGGGATACAGATTAAGAAAATCATTCTGTTTTGACAGAAATACGTCATCACCGAACAAAAGAGGAAAATGAAATTGTTAAAGAAAAAAAAACAGAAAAATCAGAAAGATTACGTTCCTAAAAAGGAAAAACTAAAAATGTTCTGCTATTCAAAGTTTCTATAATTAATATAAGTGATGCTTTAAAAGATGCATTTCTTTAATTCAAACACTTTGTCAGAGGAAAGAAATGTCATGAAAGTGACTTAATGACAGTTGTCGTTTTTCAGTCGGTTTTTCAGAGACACCCCAGACATCCAGATGTGGCTCTGGCTTTGTCTGGGTCAGCGGTTGTGCTCTGTAACTGAATAACAGCTCATTTTACACTGAGAGCCTAATTTCTCTCTCTTTCCCTCTAGTTCCTGGAGTTCAACCAAGTTGAAACCTCTGAGGAACAAAGTAAAGCCTCTATAGACATGCCAAAAACTGCAGTCCCTGGTGTGATCACTTGAGGCTAGCTAAAAGAGTGGGATGATCCAGGTACAAACCCATGTCACAATGCCAAAATGTTCTGAGGGGAAAACGATGTCTTGCAGTAGAGATGAGAATGGTTTGCGTCGCATTGTTTAATTCCTTCATTCTTAAAAACTGCATAGGGGGTTGAGTCAAGTTGGTACATGGACACTACAGCCAGTGTATCACTTAACTTCTGTTTGTAGTGTTTGTTCCGTTTTGGGATTTTCTTTCTAAAACATACTGCAAAGTAGACTCTCTCTAAATAAATTTCAGTAATAGATTGTTCAAGAAGTCTAAGCTCCAATATTTTTCTTTTTTAATTCCAGAAGTAATTTGCAGGAAGGCTGTGCTGGCTTTAGCAGGCTTTGTAAGCTACTCTGATTTCATCAAACTCAGACTTGTTGGTGATGGCCCATCAATGGAAGCTGAGATTGTTGTTGTTGTTGTTTTTTTGAGAAAATATGTCTTGCAGCACAGATGCAAAAACTGGACATTTTTCATCCATGCTATTGACCTGCTGCTCCATGAGCAAATCAGCACTGAGGTCACTTCATTCCTATGTTATCTGAAAGACAAGCAGCTCATATCGGCTCTCAAATGAAGTAGAGTCATGATCAGTGGGTTACACAAACTGATTAGCCAGCTGATGATTAGCCAAGTTCGGCCCGCGTAACTTGATGTATTGATCATGCAACGTTTACCTATCTAAGTCATATAAAGCTCTCTCTCTCTCTCTCTCTCTCTCTCTCTCTCTCGCTCTTTCGATATATATATTAAATATAAGATGTATTTTATTTTTATTTTTAAAACCAAACCTTTATTACCTGTCCGTCCTATGTCACAAAAACTCTAGCAAAAACAAACACTAAACTCCAACAGCAAAAATCAGCACGTAATCAAACGAGATAGGATGACAAAGGAAAAGGCTCAAAACCTCAGGACCAGTGAATTCTCCTGGACTGTAAGCTTTAGGTTAAGGTTTCCAACTCATACTTCAAAAGGTAATAAGTCGCATTATATTAGCAGCTGTTGTTGAACTCTAGCTGCTTCTCTTTAAGTCTGTCAGTATCCCTAGTCAAGAAGGAACTCTGGTAACACTTTATTTGACGCCTATCTCTATAACATATTACAAACTTATGTATAATGTGCTATAATTACGTTGTAGCACTGTATAACTATAGTTATAAACACTCATAAGTGATCATAATACTTTATAGCAATAATCATAACACATTGTAAAGCATTTTATCATGACTTACAAGGTCAGGTATTATAATGTGTTATAACTGTTAACAACAGTTGCATTGCATTATGTATGTGGGCATTGTCAGTGAGTTGTAAACAGTTATAACACATTATAATACCTGACCTTGTAAGTCATAATAAAATGCTTTATAATGTCTTATGATTATTGCTATACAGCATTATGATCATTTATGAGTGTTTATAACTATACTTATACAGTGTTATAACATAATTATAGCACATCATACATATATTTATAATGTGTTATAGAGATAGGCGTCAAATTAAGTGTTACCAGAACTGTAAGTCGGCGGTACCAGGTTGATGCCTTGACCCAGCACCAGTGCCATGGCTAAGGGTTGTAGCCAACAATGGTAAAGCCATTTGTCACCAGAGAGTATCACCAATGTGACATAAACTTTGATATTTTGATGATATAATCTTTTCTACTTCTGTTACTGTCTGGTGTGCAAAAGAGAAAAGACTTGCTCCCACAAGAAACTGACCTGTGTGCACAGAATTCAAAAATTTCCCTTTTGGGGAGTTGAAGGTGACTTAACAGAGGAAACATTAACATGCTAGTATGAACTTCACAATAACAGGTTATTGCTTCCTGAAACCTAATGCAGGAAAACCTTGAAGCAAAAGGCAAACTGTCTGCTAAGGAGAATCTAGCTCAGTGTGTGTAAACTGTTTTTTGTAGGTGACACAATTAAAATCTGGATTAAGGAGAAAACCATTATCAGTGCATGCTGTCTTTTTCTTCTTTCTAACCTAAAATCAGGTGTAACAACTTTAAAGATACTCCAAATCAAATTTATTTTGAAATTTTCATCTATGCAAAATCAAAAGATCACAAACTTTTTCAAAAGAGCACATCTGATTCTCATATTTCTGACTAGTTTTCTTATATAAAGCTGTGAACATGAAGGACAGTGAAAGAAAACTAATTATTTTCTGACTATCCAACAGTGCTATTCTCTTTGTTCAAGAAGCATGGACACAAACTCTGTGATGTTCATGTATGAAAATCACACTAAAAAGAGTAAAACTGTATAAATGTGTGAAGAAAGGAGTGCTTTCTGACTAAAGGAAATTACACAACCAAACGTGTGTCTTCATTGTAAACAAGTTAGATGGGTAAATTTTTGACACAATTTTTTCAATGTAGAGAAACAAAAACTCAAAAATCCCAGTCAGAGAACAACAGCTCACGCCCCCCTGAAAGGAGAGCATCTACATACCTCTAACAAAGCAGCAGCCGCATTTACTGAGCAGTTTTCTAAATAGGTGCCGACACCCACAGCCACGCTGGTGGTGACCCCCTCTCATGATGATCCACTCCAGCTGCTGGACTCCAAACTATTGGACAGATTCATCATGCTGAGCTGACACACACAATCACGAGCAACATACGTTCATTACTGCTGCAGTAACAATCCCAAGAGATGGGGGGAATGGTGCAAAGCAAGCTCCACGGTCATGTCCCAAATTTTAAGTATAAACTCCTGAAGGAAAAAAGAAAAGCTGTTCCACTCCCATGATTTGAAGGAAAAAAGTCGGTTAAAGGCAGAGAGGCTGTTTTGCCCCACTCCAAAGCCTCTCTGTGTGGTCAGATAGTGGGCAAAGATTAAGAGAGGAACCAAAAGTGAGCGAGGGAGCAACAGCGAGTTAGGCAATGGGAGGGATTGTCATGATGGAGGGGGTGGTAGCTTACGCGCTGCACTGCTCTGGAAGCATCTGTTTCCCAGTCCAACCTCTGATCGTTTCCCTCCCCTCACCTCCTGCTCACCCCCTCCCTCACCCTGGCTCTCCATTACACTTGTACCTCAACAACAGTCTCTCTATCAGTGCTGCCTCTGTCAGTGGGAGCGCAAACAAATCACACAGAGTAAGGTGGGGGTGAGCACCTATTAACTACACTGCAAAACACACAAATCTCATCTTAAAACAATTTCTATCCAAATATCAAAATTGTCAAAGTCCATGTTTGATAGTTGTAAAATCTTGGAATAAGATCAATTTATGGACTTTCTAGATCAATGTGACTTGTATAAAGTAAAATAAGATATTGTCAGAAATAATGAGCATAGACTATGTGTAGACTCAATGCAATATCTATCTATACATCTTAAGCCTAAAATGAAGAGTGCCCCCTGGTGGGTGGCTGAAGTATAGTTCATAAACCCGTAGGAGAGTTTAAAAAAAAGTGCTGCAAATGAATTTGTTTCTGTCATCAAAGTTAGTTCCTTGTATGCTGTTTTATGTCCAAGTGCTTATTTTAGGTTTAGTTTTAATCAGTTATTTGAATTATTTAAAAATGAAAAAAGAGCAGATGTGACACGATGCCACGATTGACAGCCCTGTTGAAAAATATGGACTCCTGCTGTGTTCTCCAATCAGCAGAGTAGAGGATATACTGTGGGAGGAAATTTAACAAACAACACAAGCAGGATTTCACTTTCTATAACTTTGTGTGTTGGCTTTAAATCACAAGAATCTTTTTTTCTTTATACGGTCAATGGTAATGAGTCGAATACACCTCATAAGAGTTTGGCTGTGTATTTGGGTATTTCTGGATGAATAATACTAAAAAAATCACTTTTTAGAGGTGAAAAAATGGGCAATTCACTTTTTGGACTGCCTTCCACTCTAATATAACACTTCACCTTTGAGCAGGTTGAAAAATATCTGCTAACTGCACGCATAAAAAAAATCCTCTTAAAATCCTCAACATCTCAGTTTGTGACTTGAATTAGCTGTGCTGTCACCCAGCAGACTGCTAGCAGCCCCTACCTGCCATTTAAAGCAAGCACACCCTTAATAATGCCTAACTCTAATCTTATTAAAATTTAAACAGGTGATTCATATAAAATCCAACTCAAATGGAGAAAAAGGACGAAAGCATTGTCCCCGCTATGTATATACAACATATTCATCAAACCAGGCTAGCAGGATAGAAGCAAGCCGATTAATCTCAAAGCTAAGATTAAGCATTCATGACTAGATGATCTTCTGAGCACAGCTGTGCAGGCTCATGGCTGCCAGTGCTGTGGTTCAAGGAGATTTATGCATAAATGCATACAAACCCCGACATGGATCAAGTCAGTAAAGAAGAAAAGAAGAACTGCAGGAGAAAATACAACCCGTACACAGCAGCTGCTTCAATGTGAACTGTGCATATTGTGCTCTTCTGCATGTACAGATACATCACAGGTTGACCAACACAACCCTGGGATGTCAATCCATCGAGGACAGATTACAGCAATAAAAATATCAAAATGCTCTCTCTCTTTTTCTCCATCTCTCTCTCTCTCTCTCTTTTCTATGGAGTTAAGCTTTTAAAAACTCTGCCATGATGATCCCTGTGAGCTGGAAAGCACTGATCTTTCCACAATGTAGGATTATTACATATATGAGCATGCATGTATGAGGGAGTTTGTAGACAGTTTATAAGCTAATGTTTAAACCCCAGGATGAGACAGTGTGATTTTGGAATCAGTGTTACTTTTAAAGTCAGAGGTTCATTTTATTTTTTTGTGGTTCAAGACAAACACTTGATGTCAAATCTCTGATACGATAAAAAATAACAGCATTTCTCTGGATTCACTTACCTTTGTATCCTGCTTTCCCGGCCCACTTCATCTGTGCCAGCATGTCTTTGCTGTTTTCACCTGACAGCAGTTTCTGCCGGCTCAGATCTGAAGTCTTGAAAACAAGGCAGACATTGGCATGAGTGTGTAAAATGAAAGAAAAAAAAAGTCACACTAAATGAAAAAAAAAAACATTTTACTCTATCATGAGCTGATCAAAGAAAAAAAAAATCAAATAATCAAAAGCATGTGGATGGGTGGGACTGATTCAGAGAGAGAACAAAGCAGAAAAGGTAATTGACTTAATTACACCACTTTTCCACTCTATTTCACCTCTCTCCAAACCCATCTCTCTTTCCTATTTTTGCTTCAGCTCAAGTGGAGTGGTGTCTTATCTTATCTGAGGAATTTCTCTGAGAGCTAAGAGTTTGCAGATCATAATAGGACTCTGCAAAAAAAAAATGAGAGTATGAAAATTGGTTCTATTTTTTGTGTTACTAAAAGATAAATAAGTGTTTGCACTCAGCCCATCCTGATGACAGATGATTTTTAAGGTTTGTTTTAAACTATTATTTTGATGGATTCTGCCTCCAATAGTCCCGCTGTTTACCTGTTCCTCAAAGTTTGGAAGCAAAGCCACACAAACAGCTGCAGCATTTCACCAGAACATGAGCCAAATGAACCGAAGCACTTCCCAGTTATTTTCACATTATGATTGGCTTGAAGTCAACCCCATTCTTTGAGTTAATAATACATCAATCATATCACAGAATTATCATCTGAATTTTGGTATTCAAACATCTATTAAAAAGAAATACAGTATATATCAGTTTTTGTTTTTAGGTGTATCAATATAACATTTTAAACTGCCACATAAGTATAAAATCATTAAGGTTAAATTAAGATTATCTGACAGAGATAAAAGAAATCTAAGTTATAGCTTGTGTTTCGATGTCATTTAATGGAAGGTGTTACAGCCATAGACTGTATAGATACACCATTCTAGTACACAATTTTTTTAAGTTTGAAATTGAACCAAAGTCCATAAATGTATTTAGTTCATACAAGTTCTCAGCACTGAAAATTGTCATTTCAAAATTGGAAACTCACTCTATCGACCCTGTATCCCAGAAGTTGTTCAGTCCTTCCCTGTACTTTAGCCAAAGTCTTCATTTTGCGTCCCTTCCTCTTCTGTCTGCTGAATTTAGTCCAAACTCTGTATAACTCTTTTCATGCTCCCAGATTCTTAAAAAACTGTTTCATTTTCTCTCTTTAATGAGGTATCAACGTCCAATCCCTGATTTTTACTCAATCAAATTGCAGAGTGAAGCTGAAAGATTCCTGTTTGTTGTCCAAAAGAAGATGAAAAAGTGGACCGTATCTTCCTTGCCCTGCATTTTCTTTCAGCAGAGGACAGCTGTTAAATTGCAGTGGGATGTAACCTCAGGCCTCTCTGGACAAGAGGAGGGTCAATCTGTCCAGACAGGTCCAGCCATGTCCCACAGGTCCCAGAGGCTAAACTCAGTCAGTGAATATTCCCAAAGCAGAAGTTTAAACATACTGAAACATACAATGTACTTCATATAATCAATATCACATCACTATTACTTCTTTTTCAATGAAAATTTATTCTTTTTGATTACCTTTTATTTTCATTCCAGCTCATCCACTCAGCCTGAGCACTGCAAGTTTGGCAGAGGAACCAAAATCCCATGTGATCCTCCTGGACCTCTCGGCATAAAGAGCTCATATGCATACAGTTGAAACCAGAAGTTTACATACACGATATAAAAAGGCACATAACCTTTTTTTTCCTCACTGTCTAACATTAAATCAGATTAAACTTTTCCTGTTTTTTGTCAATTAGGATTACCAAAATTATTTTTATATGCTAAATGCCAGAATAATGAGAGAGAGAATTTTACACAATTTTTTATTACTTTCTCGAGAGTCAAAAGTTTATATACACCAAGATGACTATGCCTTTAAACAATTTGGGAAAGTCCAGATGATGATATCATGTCTTTGGAAGCCTCTGATAGGTTTATTGACAACATTTGAGTTCATTAGAGGCAGACATGTGGATGTATTTTAGGGCACACCTGAAACACACTGCTTCTTAGTGTAACATCATGGGAAAAATCAAAAGAAATCTGCCAAGATATCAGGAAAAGAATTGTGGACCTACACAAGTCTGGTTCATCCATGGGTGCAATTTCCAGATGCCTGAAGGTGCCACTTTCATCCGTTCAAACAACTGTACGCAAGTATAAACACCATGGGAATGTCCAGATATCATACCGCTCAGGGAGGAGACGGGTTCTGTGTCCCAGAGATGAACGTGCATTGGTCCGGAATGTGAAGATCAAGAACAACAGCAAAAGCCCTTGTGAAGATGCTGCCTGAAGCTGGTAAGAGTGTGTCCTTATCAACAGTGAAAGGAGTCCTGTACCGACATGGGCTGATAGGCCGATCTTCTAGGAAGAAGCCATGACTCCAAAAGAAACATAAAAAGCCAGATTACAGTTTGCAAATGCACACAGGGACAAAGACCTTAATTTTTGAAGACATATCCTGTGGTCTAACAAAACTAAAATTGAACCTTTTGGCCATAATGACCATTGTTACATTTGGAGGAAAAAGGGAGAAGCTTGCAAGCCTGAAAACACCATCCCAACTGTGAAATATGGGGGTGGCAGCATCATGTCGTGGGGTTGTTTCACAGCAGGAGGGACTGGTGCACTTCACAAAATAGACGGCATCATGAGGAAAGAACATTATGTGGAAATACTGAAGCAACATCTCAAGACTTCAGCCAGGAAGTTAAAGCTTGGGCACAAATGGGTTTTCTGCTGATTTAATATTAGACAGTGAGGAAAAAAAAGGTGATGTGCCTTTTTATATCGTGTATGTAAACTTCTGGTTTCAATTGTCAAATTCTGATAATGCAAATTGAGTTTCTGCATTCCTCATACTCATACAAAATACGAGTGCATGACAGTTTTCTATTCCTGAAATCTGAGATATGAGCTCAGAGACATCCCAGACACTTTGGATATGTTCAGAAACACCTGATTCCCTCCCTGATGTTTGTTGGAATAGATTTGATATCTGGTGAAACTCTTGAGTCTGGAATCTGTCTCATCCATTCTATCACTCTGGCCACATCTGATTGGATTGAATCATTTGACAGTCTTAACAATTAATTAGATTCCTCCGGTGTAAGCAGCTTACACTTAACATTTATACATTTACAATTGGATTAATGACTTACTCAGTGTTTCATATGACAGATAATGGCATTGATAAATTCAGACTTGAGTGAAGAAAAGGCGTGTTTGCTATGACATGATTTTTATGCTTCCTTCTGTACAGGTTTTCTTTTCTATGTTTGTTTAAGTTTGTGCTCTTCTTTATTTATCAAAAAAGTTCTCATCCTAAACTTACAGCTACTGTGTTAAACAAAAATAAAACATACAGAATCTACGTAGTTTAAGAAAAAAAAGTTGTGAAAAAATATCTTCTACTTGACAAAAACCTGCAATAACTACCAGGTAGCTTGAACTAAACTGTTGTTATGCTGAAGGTAAAGGTGCCAGGAGCAGGGAGTAATCCTCTTTCTAAAGCTGTTGTAAGTGGGATGAGGAGCTGAACATAAGGAGTCTCAGTGAAGACTCCGTGAGAGTCCTGCACTCAGTTTTATGCCACCACCATAATACGTGGTATGGAAATGAGTAGAGTACCTCTGTTTGCAGGCTGAGGTGGAAAACTGTGACTTATCATCTGCAGAAGAAGAAGGAGAAGAAGTGCTGGAGGAAGTCAGGATTTGCCCGAGGTCACTAAGGTGTGAAAAGAGTCCAACAGGGGGATACATCCATATTTACAGCTGATTTTTCACCCCATGTGGTAAGTGTATTTTTAGTCGGTTTCAATATTAGTGAGTTTGATAAAAGTGATATTCAAGTATTTAACAGTCAAAAATGAAATGTGAATTTTTAACTTCTATATTCCGTTTTCATACAGATTGATATTTTTGCATTCATAACTGAACGAATGTGAAATTTTTCATGGTAAAAAGCAAATTCTTGTGCATGTAGTTGGATCAATAGTGAAAAAAAGAATTTTCTCATTAAAGCCAAGATTCCCTAACCTTACCTCTGAGGGAGAAGCTGTCAGTCCTCCTGGGTGATGGACCACAGCTCAGTATGTTTCTGCTGCAGCAACCTGAGGGCCTCACACACACTGAGAGCCCAAATACAGAGGAGCTGTTTGATCAATGCTCTTATTTAACTGTAATTGAACTGCATTTAGACTTAACAATAATAATAATAATAATAATAATAACAATAATAATAATACATTTTATTTGTAGTGCCCTTTACATCAAGCGACCTCAAAGGGCAACATCTTAAAGGCAAAGAAATTTCATGGTAAAGGAATATAAAAACAGGTTATTGGTTAAAAAAAACAAAAAAACAAGAGAAACAAATAGACTTACTATTTCATATCCATCAGGTATATCGCGTATCAATCAAATCCTTTTTTTTTTTTTACTAATTATTGTATATTGATCAACATGTAATATTGTTTATGCTTTGGCAATATGCTTTTGACTTTCACGACAATAAGGCTCATTAGAATTTGATTGTAGTGTTAGAAGAGTTTAACTAAGTTTGTACTTTTGCATGTGGCTACAAACACGCTACTTTTCAGTTAAAATAAAAGCAGTTATATGTTCCTCTAAAAAAGTATACAGGTCAAAACACCCTGACCAGGCCCACGTGCGTCTCAGGTTATTCTGGGGTGGCTTGTTCTACATTTAGCCCTCCTGTATCTTTCAGCGGGGCTTTCAGATGCTGATCCAGTTACTCAACAGTAAGGACACACTGAGCTCACACGGCCACTCCCACTCCATGACACTTAGATAGCACACTCATAATCCCCAACTGACAGATTCATGTTACCCCAGGTCAATCAGATAACGTGCAAACTTACGATCTTTTAGAGTTACATGTCTGAGCTCTGACACTCACAGCATGATGAGTAGCCCATGATGTCAAGATGATCTGGCATTTTGTGTGACCATAGAGGGATTTTCAGGCAGGAAATACTCACCTTGCTGCTATTTTCTCTTGTTTTATAGATGTAGTCTTTGAACACAGTATCATCTTCCACTGATACTACTGTTGGAGGATGGCCACCGCAGCCGAGGACCCACACCTGGGCTCAGGCCCCAATGAGGATGACCTGTCTCTGGCAGGAAGTGATTCTGATTCTGACAGCATCCTGTCTGATGATTCGGTGCTTCCTGACTACACACAGGACTTAACAAATGGGCGTACAGCAACAACTCTGTATCAAGCATGCGCCCGGAATGAAATCGCCTCTCTGCGGAAAATTATGGAGAGAGGAGTCACAAAGGAGGAGGTTATGGAACTGGATATCAATAGCTGTGTGAGGGTCTCATTCATGTTTGTGCTGATTTTAAGCACAACAAAATGTTCTGTTTTTGAGCAACAAAAAAATAAGCAACAGAAGAAGCCTGTTAAATTTGTAAAAAAAAAAAAAAAAAAAACACTCACACTGATCTATACTGTTACCTTTCACCCACAGAATGGACTCATGGTGGCTTGCTGCAAAGGTTATCTGGATATTGTGTATGGGCTTCATGGCTGTCCCCACTTAGATATAAATCATCAGGACAATGAAGGCAACACTGCACTGATGATTGCATCCCAGGCTGGTGAGTCACACCTATACAACAAACAAAACAACAAAACAAAACAGTGATCAAATTTTATAGTAAAGTACAACAGTAGAGATGATCGTTTATGGCATTTAGTAACTTGTGGAGACTAAAATCCATCAGAATCTTACAATAAAAATCATATTTTATACAAACAGACACAAATATCATCTTCAACTTAGTCTTATGAGCTGTTCAGTCCTGACTCTCACTTATTTTTGACACAATTTCTGATCTAATCACTACATTTTGTGTTTTTTTTTTAAAATTTCCCCAGGTCATATCAGCACAGTCATGTATCTGCTTAATTACTATCCTGGTATAGACACTGAAATCAGAGACTGTCGAGGTTTCACAGCTCTCATCAAGGCTGCCATGACGGGCCGTACCGACGTTGTGTCCACCCTGGTTATGGCTGGTATGTACACGAGCAAAGACTTGGTTAATAGAATTCCCGGTACAATAATCCCTGTTTTGTTTTTTTGTTTGTTTTTTTAGAGTTTACAGTTCCTTTGGACTGTTTTAATTTATAACTTCTGAACAATATTTTTTATAATGCAAAAATACCACATGGAAAATTATATATCATACTCAACACCAATATAACACAAGTTGTCTACTGCTTAAAAGAATAGTAAGTGAAGAAGCTAGGTGATATGATGTATTAAACTGGCAAAATTACACCCATATCAATTTAAGAAATAAAGCTAAGGTGGCTTCATACATTTTTTTGATTGAAATTAAAAGTCCCAACTTTAATCACACTATTGCATCTTCATTCAACAGGGTGTAAACCCTCTGAAGTGTCAGTCATGCAGAAGCCGCTGTACTATGACATTAATAGGCCTTTTTTTTCCGAACCCTTGACCTTAGCTCATTAACCAGGACTCTTTCAGCTCTACATGAACAGTTACAGCCCTGGTGGTGAGAATAGCTGAGCCTGTGGTTTATCTATCCATATTTGAAGACAGCTAACTTGGTTGGCAAGTGAATGTGCGAGTGACGCCAGACCGGTTTAAGGGATCACTCTGAGGACATTATCACATCTTAATACACTGTCCAGTAGCCTAATCTCTGATTTACGAGTCTTGGAGGCTGGGTGTAGATTAGCAACAAGCAAGGCTATTTGTAGACTGAAAATGTTGGTCTTTAATCTCTACAAGTTATAGTTTGTTATTTCACAGCAACAGTTCTTCATGGATAATTTAATTGATGTGGTAGTCTGTAGGTATGCCACACATTGCACTGGTGACATTTGAAACTAATTTTGTTCTAAAACCTTAATTGCTGCTCTCTCAGTAATAGTAGAAAGAGCTGAGTGCACAAGGACTTACAGTTGTGAGTGAAAGTCAGGGCACCCCTTTTAAAAAAAGCATAGTTTATTTATTAAAAAATTAACTTGATATTTATAGTCTCTCTGGTAAATGGGAAAAAAAGACAATATTATCAGAAATCATTAATGCACAGTTACTTTTTATTTTATAAAAAGTACAAAATTACAAAAATAAAAATCATCTTTTTGGCATGTGCAAATGTCAGGGCACCCTGAGAGCTTTAAAGTGTCTGGTCTTTAAAGATTCTTTTTAGAAGCTCAGACTTTCACCAGCTCGTTAGTCGTGAAGCAGGTGTCAACAATTCTCATCAGGGAGCGCCAGCTGGTGCCAATTTAAGGGGTTTCAACTCCACAAACCTCATGCATTCATCCAGCAACCATGGGTTCCTCTAAGAAGCTGTGTAAGACAGAAAAAAATGAAAGTTATTGATGCCCACAATGCAGGGGAGGGCTATAAGAAGATAGCAAAGCATTTCCAGCTTGCAGTTTCCACAGTGCGAGGTATAATTAAGAGATGGCAGGTGAGGGGAACTGTGGAAGACCAAGTAAAACCTCAGAGAGAACAGCTCGTTTGCTGGTCAGGAAAGTAAATCAAAACCTACAATTGACTTCAAAAGACCTGCAAGAATATTTCGCAGACGCAGGAGTGGTGGTGCACCCTTCCACTGTGTGGCGATGTTTGAACAAACAAGACCTTAATGGAAGAGTCTGCAGAAGAAAACCTTTCCTGCGTCCTCATCATAAAATACAACGACAAAAATATGCAACAGAACATCTAGAGAAGCCTGATGGCTTCTGGAAACAAGTGTTGTGGACTGATGACGTTAAAATAGAACTCTTTGGCCACGATAAGCAAAGGTATGTTTGGAGAAAAAAGGAACAGCTTTTCATGAAAAGAACACCTTGCTAACTGTGGAATATGGGGGTGGATCCATCATGCTTTGAGGTTGTGTTGCAGCCAGTGGGACAGGAAACATTGCTCGAGAGGAGGGAAGCATGGATTCCTTTAAATACCAGCAAATTCTGGAGGCAAATATCACAGTATCTGTAAAAAAGCTGAAGCTGAAAAGTGGATGGTTTCTACAGCAGGATAATGATCCTAAACATACCTCTAAACCCACCATGGACTACCTCAAGAAACGCAAGCTGAAGGTTTTGGAATGGCCTTCACAGTCTCCAGACTTAAACATCATTGAAAATCTGTGGGTTGTTCTTAAAAGAGCTTTGCATGCAAGACGACCCAAGAATATTGCAGAACTGGAAGCCTTTTGCAAGGAAGAATGGAGGAAAATCCCAAAGTATGGAATCCAGAGACTTGTAGTTGGCTATAAAAAGCATTTACAAGCTGTGATATCTGCCAGAGGAGGTCTCACTAAGTACTGAAGGTACTGATGCTGAAGGGTGTCCTGACATTTGCACAAGCCAAAAAGATGATTTTTATTTTTGAAATGTTGTACTTTTTATAAAATGAAAAGTAACTGTGCATTAATGATTTCTGAAAATATTGTCTTTTTTCCTACTTACCAGAGAGACTATAAATATCAAGGTTAATTTTTTTAATAAATAAACTATGTTTTTTTTTCAAAGGGGTGCCCTGACTTTCACTCACAACTGTATGTTGGGGACTGTGTCACATTTAGGTCTCCAAGACCAAATTTGAAGTTGAGCTGGTAGCCAGAGAGGTGGCAGTTCACTTCCTATAGCCACAGCCCCTCAGCAAAGCACTATTCCCCTTACTGCTTGGGTCACTTCTCTATGTGCAGAGCCTATCACTCTGCATCTGTCCATTAGAGCATGTTTGTTGGGTTGTGTTTCAGCATGTATTAATGTATTTGAGCGCTGAGAGTCTGCGTTTTATCGTTAATCATACTGCTCTTGAAGCGATTCAGTGATGCAGCGATATCAGAGCAGTCCCTGATTAGTGAATTGGTATCAGCTGTGGGCGTGGTCTGAGACTCGTAGGTTGCCACAGCAACTTGAGCTGGTTGCCCATGATGTTAGAGGCACCGCAGGCTGAGGCAGTCACTGGTCTCAAATAGCAGACCGTGGCCATTGTAAGGACTTCCTGAACGCTTTGACATGACATTGGTGTTTCTACAGTAAAAGTTTGGACATACTCCCAGATTAAAAACAGGAGTCCTCTCTGCTTCTCTAAGACAATCTTTGTAATGGTGTCAATGAAGAGCAGAGAGAGCCATTGCTGCACTTATAAGCTCAGTGTTTAAATTCTGTAACTGTCCCCACACACCAAGCACGAGTAAAATAATTCGTGCAATAAATTACATGTTAAGTCAATGTAAAGACGCGATTAGTACTTAGTACTACTACTCTGGTGGCGTGAATGATGTGAATTGGGTGGAACCTGATATGTCTCAACTCGAGCGGATATTCATGTCCCAAATCAGCACGAAGATTGCTGGGTGACCAATAAAAATGGACGGTTTTTACTGGTATCTAAAATGGAGGACAAACTGATTGTGTCAGAGTGTGGGTGTCCCGAATTATATATCTATATCTTATTATATTTCTTTCAATTAAAAGGAGCTCGCCTGGATGAAAACATCGTTAGAGACAGAACAAGTGTGTCTACAACTGTGAAAAAAAACATGCGTGTAGTGTGTAATTTGTGGCTGGAAGAAGCATGGAAAGAGAAAAGTTTGAGACAATTTCATGCGACTTCTCTCACTCTAGCCAATGATGTCACCCACTCTGGCATGAAGATCCCATGCAAAATTATTATAACCCATTATAATCTCAAAATTTTCCAAAATATGATCATGGTCATTAAACAGTGAGTGATCAAAAACTACAATTTGAAAAACTCCTGCTTGCTCTGTTTTTTCTTGTCCTGTTGACTTTAAAGCAGAATTTTTCTGTTGTTTTTGGAGAAGTTAAGAATTAAAAATTCATATACAACGGACAAAAGTATTAGCACACTGATCCCGATCAAACCGCATCTTTTGATATATAATTTGTCGTACAACTGTTCAAGCCATAGGACAAGTTCTGAATTGAAATTTGCCCGCAACAGGAATAAGAAAAAAAATCCACAGTATAGCAATAGTGTCTCGGGGCAAAGAGCACTGGCCCCTATACCTTTATATAGGGGCCACTGCCTTGGTGCGTTTGCCCTGTGGCCCTAACTATAAAATCACAGTCTCATACTCCTCCTCTCCCATCTTTCTTTCCAGGGGCTGATATACATGCAGTAGACCCCACAAAAGGAAAATGTCCTCGGGAGTGGGCATTGAAAACTGGCCGCTATGAGACTCTGATTCGTCTCCGCCGCCTTAACATGCGGCCAAAAGCTGAGCAGTTCTGTGAAAATTACATCCCTGAGTGGCCTGAGCTCAAGGAGAGGGTAGCCAAGGCTACAGCAGAGAAAACTACCAGGGAAAAAATTACCCAGCGGATCAAAAACACATTTGGATTCAGATTTCCTCGTGACCCTGAGGACAATGGGTGCCTGGACCACTTTGTACGCATCACCACTAGTATCCACAGTCCACTGATTTCAACTGGATGCCGTCCACTGTGCCCTACCAGCCCTCCAGAGGTAGGAAAGAGGCGCTTGGCTGTCCCTGAGCTTGTGAAGAAACACCCAGAAAAGGAGTTAGAGGAGAGCTCAGTTTGCCACAGCAATGGCTCAGTTTCACACATCATGCCCACAATCCAGTCTGCTGAGTCCATCCCTGCAACATGCTGCAATAGTGACCGGCGTGGCAGTATCCTCTCTCTGGCTTCCAGCAAAGTTGCTTCTACATTTATTCCCCGTAGCATGGCAAGACGAAACAGTGTATTTCCATCTGGCTGCATTCCTCAGATCAACATCAATAGGCCTACAGAAGCAACGCCAAAGAAAGAGAAGAAGAAGAGGAGAATGGATAAGGGCTTCCTGGAACCACCAAAGTGGAAGTACAAGGAGGCGAAGGATGAGAAAAAGAAGGAGAAGCTGAAGGCTGAGCAAGAAAAGGCAGAGAAGGAGAAAAGGGAGAAAAAGGAGAGAAAAGAGAAGAAGAAGGCCAAAAAATCGTCAAATTAAAAGGGCTGCTCTGTTGTATGAATCTCCCTTTTGAGGATAATACACTCTTTAAAAGTTTATTGGAAATTTTCCAGAAATACAGAACTTCTACCATCACAGAAAAATAAGGAAAAGGAGAGTATTTTTGCTCTTTAAACTGAGCCACAGGGGACTCAGGCACTGCAATGACTCACTGGGTAAATCTGCAGATTTGCCCCACTATGTGTTAGGGTCAAGATAAATATCTTTTTTTTTTTTTTGATCATCAGTAGAAAAGAAGTTTATTTTTTCCTAAATATATTCAGAACTTTGTAGAATCATGAATTGCGAGGAATGAAAGTTTACTTATTCAGTTTCAGGAGTGCTGAAATATGTAAAGAATCTACCTCATTGTTGAAATGAAACCCAGGAAGGCAAATACTGTATAATTACATACACGTATATATCTGCAAGATGATGATGAACTGACAGAACTGCAGTAACTCATAGATTATTTTTGATATTATATAAAGTTGCATATTAAATTTGCTGTAATTTATTTTTGCAAGAGGACACCCAATGGCCCATAGTAAATACTATATAAAATGTAGCAAAAATCCATAATAAATTGAATTGCCATTTTCTGGTATTGCCAATGATATCTACATACATCTCCTGTTGTTGTTAACTCTATGAGTGCATGGATTTCATGAAATTATAAATAAATACAGGACAGTTAAAGTTATATTCAATCAACTCATTTATGACCATCAAAAGATTTTTCGATTTTTTAGGTCTGTTTAGCTCTATGTCTTTGTTTGATTGCCCAATACATTGCTTTCATAAACTAGGAAAACTAGGATGTATCTGTTCCCTTATGTAAGCTTTGATTAAGCAGTTTAGAGCAATTTGGTGGTGCTGTAACAACTTAAAACCCTGGCTTCTTACGTCACTGTATTTTCTGGATTTAGTGTGTCCAGGCAAATTACTTCATATACGGTAGGCCAACCATGCCTATTTGTGTCTTTTTTAGCTGTTGCAGAGGACTTAAGAGAAGAGTGTCAAGATTTATCAAAATATGCAACTTATACCGCTTGAAGCAGCACCTTTAAGTCCCCACCATTTAGCTTGTGCAAGGACCCTTGATGATCTGAACATCACGCTTCAATACTTGTACTTCATAACAGAAGACTGAAGGAGGCTAAGCGATCATCAACCTCTGCATTCACTGTTGATGTGTTTTTGTGGCTGAAAGTGATGAGGAGGAAATCAAGCCATAAGAATTAATTTTCAGAAGCAACCTTTCTTCCAGAAAGAATAGTAAAACCAAAAATCTAGATGGAATCTGAAACATACTTTACAAAAGGCCACTTGCTGGCGACCTTTGTGCTCCATCCTTTTTATCCAGGATTACCGAACAATATTTCATCATGATGTTGTCCTTTAACCTGGATAAATGGATGAAGATTACACAGACAGACAGAAAGACAGATATGATAAAATAGGACAGACAGACAGACAGATATGATAAGATGAGACAGACAGACAGAATAAAATAGACAGACAGACAAAAAAGACAGATATGATAAAATTAGACTGACAGACAAAATGACAGATATGATAAAATAAGACTGACAGACAGACAGATGTGATAAGACAAACAGATATAAACTAAGACAGACGGACGGATTGATAAGATATACAGACAAACAGACATTTATGATAAAATAAGAGACATACAGACAGACAGACAGATAGAAAGACAGAAATGATAAAATAAGACAGACAGACAGTTAAGATAGACAGATATGATAAAATCAGACGAACAGATAGATAGATAGATAGATCTTTATTGGCCTCAGTCTTCTCTCCTGTGTCTATGCTGCTGCCTGCTGGTGGGTCATGTAACTAAACTGTTCACACACACACACACACATACACACACACACACACACACACACACACACACACACACACACACATACACACACACACACACACACAGTAGTGCACACTGACAGCCTGGTTAGCTGCTGTCACCATCACGCCTCGCCACATCTAGCTTCACGTTTAGCTAACCAAACCGTGTGAATGCGATGAAACGAGAATTTATTGATCATGGCTAATCTGCGGATCTCATTCACCGTCGTGGTGGTCCAGGCTGTCCTGTACAGAACCTGTGAGGGTGAGTAAACTCAGTGTTTGTTTTGTTCAGGAGCCCCAGAGCCGCTGCTGCCATCACCACCAAGGCGAAATGAATGTACGGTTAGCTGCGAGCTAACGTTAGCTAAGTTAGCTTTAGCCTCGGCGAAGCGTTAGCCTAGATATTACATTGAGCCGAGAAAACCAGGTCAGCTTTCATTACTATGAAAACGTTGAAATTATTATTAAATAAAATACAAGAAAGCACGACATCTCACTGTAGTCCCCTTTGCTGTGGTGCGTGAAACTGTTAAACTCTTCAAAGGTTAGTCCAGGTAGCATATTTTACTGTGATTTTGTTGTAAACACAGTGGTTTCTGTTGGACTCCTGCTCTGCTTTTGGGGACGCAGCAATGGTTTTCCCAGCTGTGAAATCTAACTGTTACATTTCCCAAACTGAACTCTCACTGAAGGTGTAACAGAGCCCGGTTATGAAGCTAGTTAGATCAGGATGTAGCGCGGACATAATCGTGTGTGTGAGGATTTTAGAGGGCTCATGTGTCGATGTAATGAGGATGAATGTCCTCAGATTACTCTAAAACAGCCCTTAGTAATGGGGGAGCCACACAATCTCGGTCCAGTTGTGGAGATGAAACTGTTGATACAGTAATGCTGTGAAAATGTTCACTCCAATAACAATCTTGTGCTAGCTACACTATGAGTACGTGTATCTAATTGTAGATTATGTCACCGATTATCAGGTTTTGGAGCCTGATGAGTGAGTGAATGAGTGAGTCTGGTGTGTTCACCCAGTATCCTCAGGAGTTGTGTTATTTTGTAAGCACTTTTTAGTTTTCTGATAACAGGTGTGTGTTTCCGACAATAGATAAACATATATATATATATGTATGGCTGGGCGATAAAACAATAATTATATATATATCAAAAATTAATTTCCCTCAATAGCAGTATGAAACATGTTTAATATGCTTTTCGATATGCCATGTGTTGGTAGATGATACGAAAAGCCAATGAAAAGGGAGGTTGCTCTGGGTCCACTTCGCACCGAACCAATCATGTGCTGGATGAGAGCCAAGTAGCAAACAACTGCATAATAGCAGGCTGCAACTACATGCAACTATAGCATTTTAACACGTGAAGCCGACAGCACTGTCGGTGAGGAAAAAAGAAAATGAGTGCTACCCCCGACAGAAATGTAGATTAAGGCTCAACAGATGATGACATCGTCGACAACACTGGCACGAAAACATCGGTGGTGTGGAGGTATTTTGGTTTTTGAGGTTGGACATGATGCGGAGTAATGTGCACTGAAAATTATGTTGAGTACATGTTCTCTTAAAGTCAGGGAGTAACTCACACCACCTGAAGCAGTGCCACGCAGCAGAGCATGCACAACGCAAAAGGTTACAAACCCCGAGCAGAGCAAGGAGCCTGGTGCCTGTGCAGCTGAAACAGCCGACCGTTCAGTCCGCTTTCTCTAGAGCAACGCTTTACGACAAAACGTCGGAGAGACACAAAGACCTCACAGATGCAGTAGCTTGTTGTATTGCAAAAGACATGCTACCAATAAGCACTAATAATTTCATTTTTTATATTGTGATATATATCGATATCGACAGATATGAAGAAAATATATAGTGATAAACTTTTCCCATATCGTCTAGCCCTACATATATAGATGTATATATAATACCGATTAACAGGGCAGGCCTTTTACCTTTGCAACAAAACATTTGGTTTTCATTTGGTAATTTTTTTTAAAATGCCATTCTGGATAAAGATTTAGAAGAATCATTCTTTTAATGCAATGAAGAAGGACATTCTTAAAACTGTGAACCAGTATACCTTAAGTCTTTGCCTGTAATGATTAAAAGGATCTCTTTTATGAGTAGTTTCTCTTTTCTCCCACTATTGCACACTCTGAAAAAGTACTGTCTTACTTATTAATGTTGCACGTCTTTCATCCCCATACACTGACTGCACAATATCACACACACACACACATACAGAGAAACATTACTGATTTCCATTTTGTTTCCTGTGCTATGTAACATAAAGTCGATGGTTGGGATGCAAGATTGAATAAAAGACGAACTCTCTGTCCTGTTGTGTTCTGGTTTAAAGCAGAAAAAATGCAGAAAAAAGGAATTAGTGCTAAAGCAGCACGATTCCTTTAATGATGCCAGTAATAAACATCAAAACAACAAATTCTTTTGTCATGTGATTTTCTTAAACCACTGACACTACTTTGAATAGGAGAAAGTCCCTTTTTAGCACCCACTATAATAGCAGAGGTCTGCCTTTCGACTGTTTGTGGTTTGAGGATTTCTTAGACATAAACCAGGACTCCTCAAGAGTTTTTAGACAGTCATCTCATTACGGATTTGAGTTGTGCAACAGAAATAGCCATGGAAAATCTGAAATGTCTCTTTTCAAGTTTAGTCAGCATGTGTCTTCCTTATTTTCTTCTCATATCTGACCTCCAGCATCTGCCAAGAAGGTGTTGCCATTGTATGAGTCAGTACCACAAAATGTGTTGTAATGCATTCACCATGAATTTCCTGTTTGACACAGATAACAGAGAAGTTCATCTGCATGTAAGTCATTTTTTCGTGAACAAACATGTTCATTAATCAGACTCCAGAAAGGGCATTTTCAACAGAAACTCCACTGAGGGCTTTGTCGTGGTGTCTGACAGGAGTGTCCCTTAAACCATTTCTCAATTTCACAAAAGAAGTGTTAATCTCTGAAATCACAGTTAAGGCTGCTCATTTAATCTCTACTCCCACATACAGTACTTTCACATAATCTCTCCCTCACGTATCCTTCCTAGGCCCGGCCACTTGAACACACCCCACCTCTTACACCTCCTCTTTTTCCTGATCACGATAATACCATCTTCTGATTTTCTGTCCTTCTCTCACATATAAAACATCACTGATCTGAAAAAAATAATCTTGTGCTGTAATATTATTGCAAAAGTTTAACTTTATTGCCTTTTTAGGAACCTGCTTCACACAGGAATTTCACACGCTGTTTAAAAGTTTTCTATCAACATTAGCAAGCAGAAAGTGAAAGACTGAAGACTAAACATTATTATTTCTTTTTATATATGGAAATAATACGCCATTTCTCTGTAGCTTATGGCTCTAAGCTCACTTTAAAGGTCCTCAACAGCACATGGTGTGTACAGATGAGAAGAGAATAAAGTTCTTCCCAAATACGGGGGTGACTGTTTGTTATTTTAAACACTAAATTCCTGATATTTCACACTGTTTTGCTCCATCCCTGCAGCTCTTTGGTGTAACTGCACCACTGCCCAGTGTGAGAAGACTGGCTCTCGATGTGAGACAGATGGAGCCTGTATGGCCTCCACGTCCTTCATCGACGGCCAAGAGCAGCACATCCGCATCTGCATCACACGGGATAAACTAGTGCCCCCTGGACAACCGTTTTATTGCCTGGGTGCAGAAGGTCTTCTCAACATCCACTGCTGCTACACAGACTACTGCAACAGCATTGACCTGCAAGTACCCACAGGTGGGAAATATAGCACAAAAGATACACTTTTACTATATCTAATCTTTGTGAAACTGTTTCTTTATTCCCAATGGTTTCTAGATTTGACAGCATGGAAAGGAGTTTCTATGATATATTTAAAAGAAAATACATAATGAATAACAAACCTGTGTTTACTTGATGTAATGCTGCGTCCGAGTTACCTCGGAAGTGAGATGTCTGAGCTGGGAATGACGTCACACCCGAGTTACCAGTACCAAGTCGGAAAAAAGCAAAATCGGAGGCAGAAACAAGATGGCTACATCTACAAAAGTTATTTTAGCACTTGCCTTGTCCTTGTTACATTCGGACAAGGCAAGCGCTAAAATAACTTAAGTAGATGTAGCCATCTTGTTTCTGCCTCCGATTTTGCTTTTTTCCAACTTGGTAACTGAAACGTTGGGAACTCGAGTGTGATGCCATTTTCAGCTCTGACTTCTGACTTCCGAGGTAACTTGAACGCAGCATAAGATACCCCCTAAATCCATGGCAACCAGATTGAAAAAGGAAAAGGACAGGAAATAGTTATGTTTACAGGACAAGAGGTACCATGAGACTTTGTTAAATAAGTTAACTTTCCCAATGCTTCTTGAGTGATGATTAAAAAGATGCTGACTGAAAAGCTGTGAGTACATTTTTCAAAAGAGATGTCCCTCTGTATTTCATTGTGGAGTGATTTGTACAATTACTACCTCAGAGCGGTTGTTTCTGAAGCATCTCAGCGCTGTGAAATGTTTCTTCCACACTTTGATGAGTCATAGTTCCTGAGAAGTTTCCTGTGGTGTTTTGTACCATGTCCTCGAATGTTTTAAGAGAGAGGAATGTCAGCTTGGAAACAGTTTTGACAGGAAGCTGTGGTCAGTGTCTACCATCACCACCACAAACAGAAACATTTAAAGTCAGCTTTTAACTAAAAGACTCGGCAAAAGCCTGAGCTATAGATGACAGTGTAATGCAAAGTTCAGACAGACTTCTAAACTGTGAACTACGCAGCATGAGTAAATGGATGTAAATGACTACAGTTTTTTTTTATTCCACAGTGAAAGTGTTTTATTTTCTATGAATTTAATGGTACAAAAGAATTTTCATGTGTGAATTGTCTAATTAACTCAAAAAGAAGGAATCTGTCTAAATCAAAGATGGAAGTGTTGTCTGGGTGAGCACCAGAAGGGCACTGATGATTGGTTTATTAATCCCGTGACAGGATTACACAGCTCAAGACAAGAGAGGGTTGTTTCTCATCTATGGCATGACCTCTTGTTTTATTGGAAATCTTTTTTTTTTTTCTGCTTTGTCTTCAAAGTTCGGTTCAGACTAAGGCAAATAGATGATCCACAGTGATTGGTTAAAGAGCAAAAATCAGCTGGATGGGTAGTTTCATCTGACATGAGGCAAAAAAGCTTCTGAAGAAACTCAAAAAGCAACAACAGCATCACACAAAAAAAGCACTGCTGACAGAGATAAGTATGGTGGCCGAGAACTGCCAATGCTGCAAATAAAAAAGAATGCAAAAAAAGAAGCCACTATGGAAGTTAAAGATGCAAAAAAAAGAAGAAACCAAAGCCCGAAGCGCAATGAAAAAAGAAACGGTGCAGAAAAAAAAAAAAGCCACAACAGACGCAAAAATAGTTACCTACTGCGATAATAGAAGGGTTAGGTGATTTACGATCTAGGCACAGAAGACGACTGAGAAGAAGACGAGCAAACTTTTTTTTTTCCATCGCCACTTTTTTTTTCACATTGTTAGCCAATTTTTTTTTCTTTCATCCGCACCGTTTGTTTTTTATTTGCGTCTGTATCTTCTATTGTGACTCTTTTTTTTTTTTTGCTTTTTTTTTTTTTCGCAGCAGTGGCAGTTCTCGGCCACTAAAGATAAGCACTAAAAGTAGAGAATAAACTGACCTTCTGTAATTTCAACGCTTATCTTGTACTTTTTTTTCATAAAAGATCTTCCAGGTGCAGAAAACCAAACAATGCAGACTTGTTAACATAACAGAGTTGTCAAGGTCAGTTTTGAGGTTCAGCATTTGAATTTTTTCACATTTTCCTTTCAGTCACAACTCAGTCAGGACTTGGAGGAGGCTACGGTCCAGGTGGGACATGGGGCCTTGTGGAACTCGTGGCTGTGATTGCAGGGCCGCTCTTCCTGCTGTGTTTGCTGCTGCTGGTTGCAGTGTTCTTGTACCAGTACCATCAGAGGGCATACAGCCACAGGCAGAGGCTGGAGGTGGAGGACCCCTCTTGTGACCATCTCTACCTGGCCAAAGACAGGACCCTGCAGGACCTTATATATGATCTGTCCACATCTGGTTCAGGCTCAGGTCAGTGCACACAGGCAAGCACTCAGGTTTCTGTTTGCTCTTCTTTTGGCTGCCGCTGATTGTGTTTTGTTCTCGGTTCTTCCGTGCAGGTCTCCCTCTGTTTGTGCAGCGGACAGTGGCCAGAACAATAGTCCTCCAGGAGATCATCGGTAAAGGGCGTTTTGGGGAGGTGTGGCGAGGGAGATGGAGGGGAGGTGATGTGGCGGTTAAGATTTTTTCATCCCGGGAGGAGCGCTCCTGGTTCCGTGAGGCTGAAATCTATCAGACCATCATGCTCCGGCATGAAAACATCCTGGGTTTCATCGCTGCTGACAACAAAGGTGCAAACCTGCGATATCACAGCATGTTTTCTTCAAAATCAGAAATACTTTAATAATCCCCTGGGGGAAATTGCTTTTGTTACAGTACTCCAGTGCAAATACAGTAAAAGAGGTGATAAATAATAGATAAAATAAAAGATAGAATAGATGAAATAAGTAAAAGTATAGAGATAAATAAGTACAATAAGTAAAATTATAGAGTTAAAATACAAGTATTTATACTATCTCAAAGAACCAATAATTTTACCACCAAAGGGAAATACCTTTTAGTCTCATGGGTTGTGCAGTAGTTTACCATTGATGACTAAATCTGAATTTTGTTGTTGTCTCATTGTTTCTGTCTCTCGCCAGACAACGGCACATGGACCCAGCTGTGGTTGGTGTCAGACTACCATGAGTACGGCTCCCTGTTTGACTACTTGAACCGCTACTCTGTCACTACTGAGGGAATGATCAAACTGGCGCTGTCAGCTGCCAGCGGACTTGCACATCTGCACATGGAGATTCTTGGAACACAAGGTACTGTTTCTAAAAAAAGCACTTTGGGATGTTAATAGATATATTAGTGTGAGTGTGTGTAGGATTGATTTCTTAACCAAATTAATAGATTTATTAATGCTCATTAAAGTTCATGTTAATTATTTTGTTTGGAGGTGCAAGGCTACCTCAGGAATTGTGGGAAATGGTTGTTTTAGCTGCAAAAAAAAAAGGTTTCTACAGCTTGTTTTTTTGTCCAATACAAAATCCAGGGACTCATCTTTATTTATTAAAATGAAATAAAAGTGGAAACCCTTACTCCAAACAGCAGATTTGATCATTTTGTTATTTTGGATCCCCAAAGAGAAAGTTATTTTCTCCATTGTAGAAAATTGGATGTATCTGAATTTTTATATAAGCTGAAACACTTTCATACTTGTCTCATCTGATCTATCAGCTCCTCTTACTGCTTAAATTAACATTGTATTATGAAATTCAAAAGTTACAAAGACAAAATGGTCCAAAAAGAACTGTTCAAATTGAGAAATTTATTGTAGTGGGAGTCAACACAATCCCCATGTATCCTCCTTCGCCCACAGACTGGAACAAAGCCTCTCATTATTAAAACTGTTGTTTCCACATTTTGCTTGGAGCAAAAAAAGCAAAAATATATGACATGACTGTGTGCCACAAAATTACATATTATTGACCAAAAAGCTTCATTTTGTCTTGGAAAAAAAAGCACTGTTACATTTTTACTGACCCCACACTCTGTATACTTGATAAAGAAGTCCAAAAAGAGTGGGTTTTTTTTTTAACTTTAATAAATTTCCTTGACTGGAAAAAGAAAGTAGAACAGTGGCAAAAATGTTGTAAACTAAAGGCTGGTGAAAACAGTTAAGTGAACAACGGGTGATTTGTATTTAATTTTGTCATGCAAGTGCTGAATGTTCTCTAAGTTTATGCTTTTCACTTTTGGTATTGCTTAGATTTAGATTAAGTAAATTATTTCAGCTCTCACTTCTAAAACATCTGTTCTCATTTCATAAATCGTCATAAAGGTCGTTAAAGCACATGGCAGCTTGGTGGAGAGTATCTTCTATCCTTATCAACAAAACTGCCTCAAAAAAGGAAACCTGCACAACTCGTTGAAATTTCCCAAAATAGACAAAACAAGTTAATTGTTGATTTGTCAACAAGAATTCAAGAGTCTGTCCTGCTGTTTTTGTCTTGCTAGGAAAGCCAGGCATTGCTCACAGAGACTTGAAGTCGAAGAACATCCTTGTGAAGAAAAACTGCACCTGTGCCATTGCTGACCTGGGATTGGCTGTCCGCCATGACTCTGCCTCAGACACTATCGACATTGCACCCAATCAAAGGGTGGGCACCAAGAGGTCTGTATCAACAAACGCTGTTTCTTTTTCACAGACATCTTAGATACTTTTCTAGAATACCCTCTTAAATGCTAACGTTTACAAACTGGAATTGTTTCCACGTCTCACAGGTACATGGCTCCAGAGGTTCTGGATGAGACCATCAACATGAGACACTTTGACTCCTTTAAATGTGCTGATATCTACGCTCTGGGGCTGGTCTACTGGGAGATCGCTCGCCGCTGTAACAGTGGAGGTCAGACTCTTTTGTTTTCACTCTGGATATTCAATCTGTGTTGTTTGTTTTCTTGTTCAGTATTTACGGCTGAAACTCCAACAGTTCTGATCTGACCTCTGCATGGGTTCATGCTATCAGGTATCCATGAAGAGTACCAGTTGCCCTACTATGACCTGGTGCCCTCTGACCCCTCCATAGAGGAGATGAGGAAGGTGGTATGTGACCAAAAGCTACGACCCAACATCCCAAACTGGTGGCAGAGCTACGAGGTATGAGAATAAATCATCTTTAAAAGTAGATTGAGATACCTACTAGTTTGTGTCAATTTCCGCGCCCACTTTGGACAAAGTAGTCTTTGCCCATCTTGACATTTACATATTTAGGTAATGTCATTTGACTTAAGTCTCCTCCTACTGACTTTTGACGGTCAAATGTATCTTTACAGGGCTCGACAGTGTGACCATTTCACTCGCATTTGCGACTAAAAATAGATGTGTGCAAATTGTAAAATGTATTTAGGGTCACATGTGTGCATAAAAAAAAATTAGCCAAGGCAACAACTATTTTTCATGTAAATACGGCGGTGAAATTAGTTTTAGGTTGGATATTCGACGGACGTTCACTGCTTATCTACCGGCATCTTCTCACTCTCCATAACTGGGAATAGCAACAGCAGCGCGGTTGAATCTACTCGGCACCCTCACTGTTAATGTCGGGTGTTGAATAAGGGACCATCAAAAAATGACCTGTTAATGTTCTCATAAAAGGCTGTTTTCCTTCAGCTTTCATGTCACGTGACCAAAAGACCTAAAATTGATTCAAATAATAGTACATATGTTGACCAATAAGACAAACATTACTTGATCAATTTTCATTGTGCCCCTAAAGTTCTTTGTGTGCTCCTTACTTTTTCAACTTAGGAGCACATGTGCTCCTTGTGAAAAAAGTTAGTGTCAAGCCCTGATTTATTATGAAGATCTTATGCAGACAATGTCAAAACAGGACTGTCTCTTCAACTGCTTGACTGACTCCAACCCCCCTGCTTTAAAATAACAAAATAAAAATCATCGTTCTTATCACTAGTGGTCATGCCGATCAATCGGCACCGATTTATCAGTGCATGTTTAGTATTTTTGACTGATACGTTACTGGAGTTCAGAGACGCCAAAGCTTGAGGTCATTCAGAGACCGTCCGTCAGATAGTTTGAGCTCTTGTAAAATAACTCTGACAAGTCCAGAACCAATTTTTTCAACCATTTTTTTTTAAAATTGAAAACTAGAGTCACTGAAAATAAAAGAATATTCATAAGATTTTCTTTGCACTTAAAAAATAGACATTGTACCTATTAAATGCTGAAATAGTGAAATAGTTAACCAAATTTACAAAATGTTAGATCATCTGACGGTTCATGTTTCTTGCCAAGTCTGTCTTGGCAAATCCCGAAGAGAATAAAATGCTATTGAACAGATGGCCAAAGCGACAAGATTAAAACCACAGATGCAGTAACCCAGACTGTTGTTTAATTATTTTGAAACTTTAATACTTTTAATTACGGAGAAATTATTGTACAGGCACTGGGTTCTATAAAAGAAAAGGCCTTGGGATACTTAACCTAACCTCGACTTAATCCTCATCTGCTTGTCTCCCTGCTGTTCCAGGCTTTACGGATTATGGGAAAAATCATGAGAGAGTGTTGGTATGCTAATGGAGCTGCCCGCTTGACAGCCCTGCGCATCAAAAAGACGCTGTCCCAGCTCAGCGTGCAGGAGGACATTAAAGTGTGAGCTGAGTCAGCAGAGCACTGAGAAAGAGCACTGATCAAGACCCGACTCCAGACTGTAGGACAGTGAGTGAGAGGGGAGTGGGGCTTTCTACAAAGAACGCACAAAGGCAGAGAAGATGGTGGAGAGGCACTCTTTGTAAAATATTATTTCATAGACAATCCTGCCAGTTTTGAAGCCACTTGATTTCTGACAAACCCTACCTCGCTTACCCAGCCAAACTACCAAGAACACCTTTCCTGTCTTGTCCCAGCTACTGCTGCCCTTCCTACACCTTTTCGTCCCCCTCTACACTCCGTACAAACAAAAACATTTGGATTTTTTGTGTACTTGTATGCAATAGATAGCAGGATACGTAACTAACCAACGTTTTGAAAATCAGTCGCTTTTATTTTTGTCCCAGTCCGACTGATCACTGTTGCTAAGTAGAGGAAAACTGGATTTTACTCTTTTTGTATTTGGAAGATAAGCAGGAAGACTTTTGGGGGTATTTAAGACTTATGTTTTCTCATCCTGCTATTTACATTGGTAGATATTGTTGAAGTTTGGGCATTTTTAGGGTGCAGGGTTTTAGTGCCACCTGCAGCACACAGGCATGTCACAATTTGCTTTATTGAGAATAGTCCATCTGCTGTGACTGTAGTGACTTGAGTTGTCAACTCATAACCATGTAAGCATGTACAAAGCATTTGAAGTAGTTTGTTAAAACAGCATTCTGACTTCAGAGACACTGAATTATTTAACATGATTTAGCCTTTGGACAAACTGCCTGGAGCCTGTTCAATGAGCTGTTGTAAACCTCAGGTTTTCCTTCTGCTTACCAATCAACTTTTGTTTTCCTTTTTCTGTAAAAAGTTGTCAACTGCAAATATAAAAAAGCGTTATGAAGTAGGCATTTCACAAATACAGAGGGTTAAATGTTTGGCCTAGTGGTTAAGTAGTATGCCCCATGTACAGAGGCCATAGTTCTCCTGTAGACCCTTTCCTGCAAGTCATTCCCCCTTAAAGAAAAAAAAAACTAAATAGGATAGGAAATAACAGCTACTTGATACTGAATATTTCATCTTTCGCTGACAGTTGGCTTCACATTGGGTTTTAAGTAACACCAGGCAACATTTATATTAAATATAACACTCCCATCCCAGCCGCTGTCTTGAATATGCCCACAGTCCACAACCTGCCATGGAAGCAAATGTCGCTCCAGTCCTGCAGACAAACTAGAATACAAAAATGTGTCTTTTTAACAGCCAGTACGGTTAGATTTGAGCAAAAATACTTCATTTTTAAACTTTTGTAACAACACTAACTCCAGAAATCTGATTGATGGTTTCTTCTTGTGTTGATATCTTTTCTAGTTGTCAAAGCAATCTTTGAACACTTCTTTTCTCCTCAGGGCCTGTTTCCACTGGCCAAGTATAACTACTGCACATAATCTAGCTTTTTAAGCTAATTCTTGTGTACATATGACAGTACATTTTTGTTTCATGTTGATAACTAGTCCATGTTTTAGATAGCTAAATCTTTTATACTAGAACTTTGGTTGTAGATAAGGAAATCTAAGACTCGTGTCTTGCTATTTGTAAACAGAACTATGTACCAATGTACTCTCTGACCTCCGAAGTACGATAACTGTATGTGTCAGATACACGGCTCATGTTGACTTTGTCTTACAGCCTTTTGATTACTGCAGAGCAGTTATCTGACTCTACCACACATCTCCCCCTCCCAGCTCGTTTTCCCCCTCCTTACACTACCTCCCTGATGTTGAAATCATATGTATACTGTTTCCTTCATGCTGTCATTGTCAAAAATCACTGTCTACGTTTATCAGGAAAAAGGTGCACTTTTGTCTTTATCTGTATGCAAATCCAATAGGTACTTTTTGTGTCTAGTCTTTACCATGCTATTTATAATTGTATGCTGTGAGTAACCATGGAAGCCTGAAAGGCCACAATGTGCACTACTACTGACCTCGCAGCACAAAAACCAAATTGTTTTCAGAATCTGGTCTTTACGGCCTATTCAAGATCCCACCACTAAAAATGAGAATGTCGAGCAGATCATGCTTCTCAGTTACTGTATGCTTAAATCTCTAAAATGATTCTCTTTTCTTGGGAGAGGAAACGCTGAATTTCAATACTACTGAAATTTCTCAATGTTGTCCCAAAAATGTGTTTGATCAATACTTGTTTTTTCAAATCACTTGTTACCTGCACTATATTGTTTTACGTCTTGTATTTGAGAATGGACAGTCTGCACATGATGCTGTTGTTTTTGTTTGGAAAGACTGGGGAGCTGTACTGCTTGATAGAAACTTTGTGTCAACAATATACTTATAATAAAGAGGTATGTTTGTTGAATTTTGCCTGCTGTATGATACACACAAAATACATAGTGTAGAAAATGATTTTTTATACCTTGTACCAAGTATCCATATGAAAGAGTAGAAATCAAAGAAATGAGGTCATAATAGGGGTTGTGACCACCTCAAAGTCTCGGTCCACTTCTAGCAAAGACACAACTGCATCCATGTAGAAACCCCTGCAGGACTTCAACCATGTAACATCTGAAGAAGAGGAATAATAAATGCAGTTGTTTTCCAGTGTGGTGTCTGTTTCTTTGACTGCCTGTCAAGCAAAGTGCAAAACTGCACCAGAAAAACGTTTATACATGTGGATTTTTTAAATAAACAACAGATCACAACTCTTTAGAGCTGATCGGTTTAAATTAACTCAGAATATTATCATTTGTCTCTTTAAGCATTTTAGCCTCTTTGAGCTCATCCAAGAAATGCAGTGAGTTTTTTCTGGTTATTTAAAAGGGATATTCTGGCGTATAATTAATTTAAGTAATGACCGCAGATAGCAATACAGAGAGCCACACGCTCAACCAAAACGCCACTCTATAGCCACAAATAATGCTCAGAACAGCACCTAACTTCATCTACAGTACATATAGAGTCCCAGCCACAGTACTAGCCAACAAACATTTTTTTAACTTTGCCTGATTTCTTTAGCAAAGACTAAACACAACTAACCTACTCTCTTCCAGCAGCCTCTTGTTTGTATGGAGAGTTCATCGACTGCAGCGGGGTGACGCAGCTCAAAGAAGAACATTTATGATCATTACTTTATCACTTCTTGAAGTTATAATCACCATATAAATAAATTTGCACTGCAGACGCAGTAGTTCTTATACCTTCGCATCTCGGTCTGATTGCATTTCCATGAAAAAATGATCATAAATGTTCTTCCTTGAGCTGCGCACCCCCGCTTAAGTAATGGACTCGCCCTGAGGTCTCGTACAAACAAGCGGCTGCTGGAAGAGAATAGGTGAGTTGTGTTTAGTCTCTTTACTAAAGAAATAAGGCAAAGTTAAAAAAATGTTTGGTGGCTAGTGCTGTGGCTGGGACCCTACATATACTGTTGATGAAGTTAGGTGCTGTTCTGAGCGTTATATATGGCTATAGAGCGGCCTTTTCGTTGAGCGTGTGGCTCTCTGTATTGCTATCGTTCGGTCGTTACTAAAGTTGGTAAAACTAGAGAAGCAAGCGTTCAGCAACATTCATCTCTTGACGGGGTGTCTAACTCTGTGCTATGGTGTGTCTAACCCTAAATTAATTTTACGCCGGAATATCCCTTAAATTTACATTAATATTGCGTAATTCCTTAATCAACGCTGTCATCCATCAACATCTCAAGCTAAACATTGGATGTGGTAAGTGAGATGAAGAATAACACCATAAAAAAGGAAATTCAAAGAACCTTTATTGCTCATCTTTCAAATTAAAATCTTGGTGCAGATTAGTATAAAAACAGTGCACTTACACGTAGTTTCACATGTTCAAATTTCATATAATCCATAAGAAGAAATGAGGCATGTTCCTGGATTTGGTTAAGAAAATGGAAATGCTGATATATCTTGACTCTGAAAAAGTTCCCTTCAATTGAAGACAGTCTAATAAACCTGTAAGATCTTATATTCTTCACTGTCCTCACTGTAGCTAACAGCAACACAACACATCAAAAAGACTTAAACAATGAACAATGACGATATTGACAAATTGACCATCAACTAAAAAGTGATGGACCACTTTTTAGGGCTGCAGTTTCTAGAGCACTAATTGCTTATGATGCCAAAGCTGAAAGTGTGGGTAACAGGCAGAAAGAAAATGTTCAATCCATTAAATATTTTTGTTTTCCTCCTGACAACAGAAAGAAAACAGCAAACACAAAACTCTTATCAAGAGGTGGGAATTCAAACAGAGTGCAGCACATTTAACAAGAGTCTATAATAGCAGACTAAACGACAGTATTTTAGACTTCACAGATGAGGTGTCTCAGGAGCCTGAAAGTGCTGTTCCTGGTTTTTCTACTTGAATGTTTGGCTACACTACAGATTGAACCCTGAGAGCTTGAATTCTTCACATGCTGGTAAATTAATTAAACTGCCAACGGGTTGATATGACTCATTCTTTTTCAGTCTAGAGGAACTGGATCCTGAGTTATCCAGGAATCTTTTGTTTTTTTCTCTAATTTTGTTAAGACTGTGGCCAAACAGCTTTAATTCAACATCTATTAAATGTTTTTTAAGCAAAATCGAGTCATAAAAGTCCTACCTATCTTTAAAATTTTATAGTGTACAGGCTGAATTTAGCTAAATAATTACAGTAATACACAGAGTTACCATGTAGCTAGTTAGTCTTTCTATGTACTTCATGTACAGCACTTACAGATAAATATTTCAGTAACTACAGATGTGTATTGCAAATCATAAAGATGTAGTCGTTCAAATGAAAATGATTCACAAAATGGACTGCACATCTGCTTTTAAATAGTGAATAAAATCATTAAAGCCTGATAACATCGTAATATGTAGACATACACAGAATAAGGCTCAGGCAAATCTCATAACAACACTAGCTGACGTTGTCCCAGCAAAGCCACTGATGTTTTAAAACTGGCCACAAATTTTTTGAAGGAATTGAAATGCCGCCCAGCGTCTAGCAGGATATTGATTATCTGATTAATGTTAGCAGGAAAACATTTTTCATCAACTAATAATCAACGCCCCCCTTAGGTAAATCAGCACTGCAGCTATAGAGGTGAGGATAATGGAAGGCTACAGCTCCCCTTGTGCTTTTTTATGATCTTTCTTGGCTCTTTTGCGGCTCAGAATTTTGCTTAATATACAGGAGTTTCTGTATGTCTTGTGTTGCTACAATTTCTATGTATTGCTATTTTGATGACATTGTATTTTTGCAGAGTGAGCGAGAGATTCATGTGTGATTGGAGGACATCAGGTTACAGGAGATATGTGGTAGTTTACCTCAATGTACTGACACATTACCCCTCTCAAGTCTCAATTCACTCAACCTTTTCTCTGACCTCCCCTTTACAGTGTGCAGCCTTTTCTTATTTTGAGATTCTTCTTCAAGCTGTGCCTGTGAAGAGAAGAGTCAAATTATCCCTCAGTTTTACACAGAAATATCAAGGAAAATAGATTCACAATCACATCATTTTTAAATGGAAACTCCGGCGTAAAATTAAGTTAGGGTCAAACACACTATAACACCCAGTTAGACACCGCCTCGAGAGATGAATGTTGCCGACTGCTTGCTTCTCTAGTTATACCAACTTTAGTAACGGCCACACGATAGCAATACACAGCAGTCCCAGGAGCCACACACTCAACCAAAACGCCACTCTATAGCCACAAATAATGCTCAGAACAGCACCTAACTTCATCAACAGTACATATAGGGTCACAGCCATAGTACTAGCCACCAAACATCTTTTTTAACTTTGCCTGATTTCTTTAGCAAAGAGACTAAACACAACTCACCTACTCTCTTCCAGCAGCCGCTTGTTTGTAACGAGACCTCAGGCCAGTCCATTACGGACTACAGCGGGGTGACGCAGCTCAAGGAAGAACATTTATGATCATTTCTTCATGGAAATGCAATCAGACCGAGACGCTAAGGCAGAAGAACTACCACGTCTGTGGTGCAAAATGATTAATATGGTGATTATTACTTCAAGGAAATGATAAAGAAATGATCATAAATGTTTTTCCTTGAGCTGCATCACCTCGCTGCGGTAATGGACTGGCCTGAGGTCTCCATACAAACAAGCGGCTGCTGGAAGAGAGAGTAGGTGAGTTGTGTTTAGTCTCTTTGCTAAAGAAATCAGGCAAAGTTAAAAAATATGTTTGGTGGCTAGTACTATGGCTGGGACCCTATATGTACTGTTGATGAAGTTAGGTGCTGTTCTGAGCATTATTTGTGGCTATAGAGTGGCTTTTTGGTTGAGCCTGTGGCTCCTGGGACTGCTGTGTATGGCTATCATGCAGTCGTTGCCAATGTTGCTATAACTAGAGAAGCAATCAGTCGGCAACATTCATCTCTCTAGGGGGTGTCTAACTCAATGTTACAGTGTGTTTGACCCTAACCCTTAATTTTACGCCAGAATATCCCTTTAAAATGACTTCAACATTTTGATTGCTTTTGATGTATTTAGCAGCTATACTTATGGACCTACCCTCTCCTCTATCAGTCAACACCAGTGCCTGAAGAATATCTGAAAGGGAGACGATGCCCTTCACTACTTCCTGCTCATCCACTACCACCAACCTGTGCACCTGCATGACAAAAGAAACCAACATTGTTATTTCAGTCTTTGCTATACAGCAAATGTACCACTGCCAGGAGAACTTGACACATGAATAAACAGCAGCACCCACAAAACAGGTCACTGAAAATAGCTGTTTTTTAGTCGCAAAGGATAGCTGTGGGTACATATGTGTATTGAGTTTAACCCATCGATCATTGATGCTAACATGAACAGAGTTCAAACATGGTGACACATCATGACATCTGACTCTTACCTCAGCCTCCACCAGTCTGTTGATGATGGCCTCCAGGGTCTCATGTCTGTTGCAGGTCAGCACTCCTTCAAAGTACTGTGAGCGATGCTGCAAGGCTTTGGTCACTGTCAAATCCAAGTTGTTGTACGTCTTCTCTGCTGCCAGGTTCTGCACAGACACAGTGCTTCAGGGTTAACACGTCTCTCCATCTTAAACTATAAATAAAAATAGTGTCCTAAAGGTCCAGTTAAAGTACTAGCCACAGGTTTCTTGTGCCATACTCTTGGTACAATCAGCAAAGAAAGAGTAGGTAAAATGGACCACATGTTGTAATTTTATGGCCTTTTTTTAATTTATATTGTGATAAATTTATGGAAATTATATTTAAGAAATAACCAGACCATTTGCTGGTTAAAGATCCACATATATGATGATTTTGTACATTTTCCCAAACCTGAGTGAATTATGACAATACTGCTATATTGAATTTTGGTGTGCATCTGTTTAATTCCCAACATCATCAAGTAACTAAACCAAGAGCTTATCCAAAGATCAGATGATAATAAAAGAAAAAGTCAGCCAAAGCCTCATTATGTTTTGCTAATTAAAAAAAAATTGAAAAGACAAAGTTGAGACACTGCTGGATTAAAAACTTACGATGACATCAAATTTCGAGTATATATCCACCACATGCCCTGCAAAAGAGAGATAAGACAAAATATACTTTTGGTCTCAGTCTCTGAATGTAAAAATGAGCCAGAATGAAAGATCCTCATACCTTTGTCATCCACAACAGGGAGCGCTGACACCCGCTGTTCAACAAAAATACCCAGCGCTGTGTACAGGGGTGTGTCTGTGCGGACCACTGCGATCTTGTGGAATGTCCCGATGTTCAGTTCCTCTAAGGTTTGACTCAAGAACGAAGGTTTGGGCATCTCTGATATCTGAACACAGAATCAAGAGTTTGTGCATTTTTGATCAAAACTGTGGGGGAATGGATACCTCTGTCAAATAATACGGTTTTCTCCACTGAAGCTAGTAGTTCTCAAAAGGCACTTCATGTCTTATGTGTTATAATGGACTAAAATGCTTGAAAGATAATAGCAGATCATTCTGAGTATGAAATTAGAAATAGTAGTGAGTAGACAAGACAGAACGACTTACAAAAAGCTTCAGGAACTTGAGAATCCTTTTGTGTGTGAGAATGTAAAGTGTGTTTCCTGTCAGCGGGTCGATTACAGGCAGTCTGTGGATCTTATTCCTCAGCAGAGAAGATACAGCATCATACAAGCTGAAACAGAAAATGCAACAGGGAGACAAAAAAATAAAAGCTTGGAAACTCATACAGCTAATATTGTGTGTACAAAACAAAATTCAAATCTTCCAGCAACATTATGTTGACAAGTCGGGCTCTAAAACTCTGGTAATGATAACTTTTTTAAAGAATTTCTGTCATGAAAAAGAAGCTGCATATAGCTGTGATAATAACTTTTTGCTAAGCCATTGATAATTGAATTGATTTAGAATTGATTTTCCTGTTTAAAGAGATTTGGGTAAGAAAATGAATTAAGGAGGTTTTCTGAAACCTGAAATGTTGGTCCATGTAAGACAATTTGTTGAGTGTAACTGCTCCAGGCTAGGCCCTTATATGCCCCCTAGTTGTGTGCTCTTGCACACATAAGCTGTGTATTCAAGGAAATGAAATTTGACACCACAACAAAATGAAGACGTGCATAAAGTCAGCACTGACCAGAAAAACAGACTCACCTTGCATTTGGAGATATGCTAACCAGAGGCTTAAAGGAGTCTTGAAGGTACAACTCTGTTATGAAAAACAACAGACATCCAAGTTTATAACTTTCACACTTAAAAAGTGAAAGACAAGATTTAGTCACTTTTTTATGAAACATTCTCACCTCGCCATGTTTCTATTTTGTGCTCTTCCAACTCATATATCTGAACCTATTGCAAAAAGATATGGGATTGGGGTCTTATAAAGCATTCAACAAATTAAATCTTTCAATAAAGTGACTTCACAGACAGTCTTACCAAAGGAGATTTGTAGTATCGATGGAGGATGTTGATAAAGTCTGTGATGGTGAGCATACCTGTGAGGACACAGGAGGAACATAGAGTTAGTGCTTTATTGAATTAGTGTTACACCAAGTAAAAATGTTGTGATTAAAAATAGCCCTTACCAACAAAGCACTGTTTCTTACTGTCCCACAGGGGGGCTGCTCTTACCCCATTGGAAACAAGAGCAAAAAATGCCTTCTTTACCTGTAGAAATGAATACAACATATTTTATATGTTTACTTCCCTAAAACAATTGTTTGCCATTTTTTGAAGTCCAAAGTGTATTTTTACCTGTAGGGATGTGTCAAACACGACCAACTTAGAGCTTGTGGGGACAAGGTCATAGCACCGATGGGACTTCATAAACCTGGTGTACACATTGTGTTCTGGATCTGAAGGAATGACAGAGAGATCAGCTTCTAGCATCACGTTCTCCGTCTCTGCAAAAGTCCCTCTTTTCCAAAACCTATTCAACAGGATTAATACAAGTCACTTACCCTCTATTAATGTGTCCTTTTTGCCTTCAAGATCATCAATAGGTGCTGGAATCTGACATGGGAAAATAGAAGTCAATAAGATAAAGTGTGCCTATGCAGCCAACCTAATAAAGGTTTAAATGATGTGTGTGCTATACATACACATATAGGGGAGAGTGTGGTAAGATGAGCCATTTTTCATATTTCGGATCACTACATCAAGGCAATCATAGTTTTGTCTCTAACTAGTGTATCTGTATATATTTCAAGATGTTGTGGCTCCCTGCAAACCAACAGAATGAGTGTAAACAGAACTGTCTTGATAATATAGCATGCAAAAAAAAGTGGTCTCCTATGGTCAACTTACCCCGTGTATGGGGTAAGTTGACCATAGGAGCGGGGTAAGTTGAGCCGTATCTCTACTACCCCCCCACTCTCCACCCCAGCCCTCCCTCACCTTCTCTCTCCCTAAATAACAGTCACTTCTTCACATTCATGTGTATAATTATCTATTATACACTAGGGATGCACCGATACGATATCTGAATTGGATGTCGGCTCTAATATGGACAAATTAACTGGATCACATATCGGATGAATGATGTCTATCCAGCGTTCCGATCCAGTCTTTTTTTTCTATTAATTAATTTTCTCTTACTATACGGAACTCTTACTTCTTTTTGCTATGTGCTAATGTGCAATTTGTTATCTGTTAATAAATATTATTAAGTAAATCTACATCTGTGTTATTTTGTTACCTTTTTAACAAGGCTAATGTCAAGCCTGATGCCTTCACTTACAGGGCAAGGTATACAGTTCATTCATTCAACAGTAGTACTGGATCGGAATCAGATATCGGCTGATACATTCAGCCCAGGTATCTGTATCAGACTGGAAAAAAATGGGTCGGTGCATCTCTATTATAAACTATTCAACTGGTGCAATAATTCTTTTTATTACTATTACATATAACTGCTAAAAAGCTGTTTTGTAAAAAGCCATTTTAACATGAGAATTCCTTTAAGTGATTCAGAACATTCACAGCTGTATTTTTGAAAAGAAAAAGTCAAACATTTCAACAATCTGAACTGAAACTCTGATCCTTCTTATCAGACTTCTTTACTTTCTCAGTTAAACCACTGGCTCAACTTACCCCAGAACTACTATGATGACTTTATTAGTCCTCTAAGCTAAAATGGTGGACTTTTACGCTCGGTTTTTGACCTCATGTTGCAGCTCGTAGATACCACAATTGATGTATAAAACAAATTTAAAATGATCTTTTTTTGGTCTGAAAACAATTCTAATAAAACTTATGACCGACTAGATTCACTTTCAAGAGTGAAAAATGTTTGTTTGTAAATAAATGTCTAACCCTTTCACCCATGTGCTTCTAACCTTCACAGACTCCATGAATTGATGCTTATCTCCTAAATATTGGTCACATGATCAATTTCTTTTACCATTTCCAAGCAACAGGGGGTGGCTCAACTTACCCTTTGGCTCAACTCACCCCAGTCTCCCCAACCCATATGGTATTTTTAAATAATCTCTAGTTTTGACTCAACTCAACATTGTCACATTTCTATTCACAGCTGTTATTGTGTCAAACTTTATATATGCATTTATGTATGTATTAATTTGTTTGTTAGTTTGTTTAGTTACTCAGTCAGTCAGTCGTAGTCATAGTGATAGGCTGAAGCCCTGTAGCTGTAAGTATTATAAAGGCAAAGGTTAAGATTGAAAGCTTGAGCCCATCCCTCCCAAGGAGCATACAAGTCTAATCCACAACATGTGTTCTATTACCAAGGACGGACACAAAAACAGATCATGTCTTATTATAGCTTAACTGTTTTTGTTTACCCCAAAACATTACACAGACCTTAGGTTAGCTGCGGACTCAGGGTCAACGTTAATTCACTCGTTATACGCACATATATGCAGGATTAAATTAGATAAAATTCATTTAAACTAAAATCGGTTTTAAAAGTGACAGGTGGTACTGTTTATTTATAAGTAATTATTAAACACAATGTGAAAACGCTACAACATCATGATAATTACATTAGCAAGCTATAAGCTAGCTAGCGTCACACTGCTGTAAACGTAAACCAGTAAACAGAGGTGACTTTCCATTTCAGCTCTGGTTTTTATCCCAGTTATCATCCTGGGACCCTGAATAACACGATCCTCTGTATGGGTATTGACTACTCTCTAATACCGGGTCGGACACTGAAGTCATACTGGCTGAGGACAAACTATTTGTCTTCCTGATACCCATGTACAAACGAGCTTTTCTTCATGGTTAGCTTGCCATTAGCATGCTTCTGAAGTCTTTCGCGTCTCTGTCGAAAATGTTTGCTCAGACAAGTAATGTTAAAGAAGTAGTTCAATTAGCCGTGTAACTTACACACTCCATTTTCCATTCGCCGTGTCGCCTGGCTGGACTTATTGATGGAAAAAAAAACAGGATCTCGCAGGTCTTCCGCACAACTTAGCGAGTAACTTGGATGACCGTACAATACTTACCGTAATACATATAGTTTAAGCGCACTACAATCTTATTACTGCTGCAGGACATCAAGTCAACCCGGCGCCATTGAAAGTATTAAATACAATACTGTTATTTAATGTGAATAAGGAGTTACACAAAAATTCTATCAAAAAGTTCAACATTTTCTGTTTTTTTACATGATCAATTACTGTAATTTATCCAGTAAACAAACATGAGGCGGGCAAAGTATCAGCAACATTATGCACTCCAGTAGGGGAGAGTGGGGTAAGTTGAGCCAAAGGGTAAGTTGAGCCACCCCCTGTTGCTTGGAAATGGAAAAAAGAAATTGATCATGTGACCAAATATTTAGGAGATGGGCATCAATTCATGGAGTCTGTGAAGGTTAGAAGCACATGGGTGAAGGGGTTAAACATTTATTTACAAAAAAAAACATTTTTCACTCTTGAAAGTGAATTTAGTCTGTCAAAAGTTTTATTAGAATTGTGTTCAGACCAAAAAAGATCATTTTAAATTTGTTTTATACATCAATTGGGGTATCTATGAGCTACAGCATGAGGTCTAAAACTGAGCATAAACGCACCATTTTAGCTTAGAGGACTAATAAAGTCATAATAGTAGTTCTGGGGTAAGTTGAGCCAGTGGTTTAACTGAGAAAGTAAAGAAGTCTGATGAGAGGATCAGAGTTTCAGTTCAGATTGTTGAAATGTGTTACTTTTTCTTTTCAAAAATACAGCTGTGAATGTTCTGAATCACTTAAAGACATTCTCATGTTAAAATGACTTTTTACAAAACAGCTTTTAAGCAGTTATATGCAATAATAATAAAAAGAATTATTGCACCAGTCGAATAGTCTATAATAGATAAAAATACTCATGAATGTGAAGAAGTGACTGTTATTTAGGGAGAGACAAGGTGAGGGAGGGCTGGGGTGGAGAGTGGGAGGGTCGTAGGGATACGGCTCAACTTACCCCGCTCATATGGTCAACTTACCCCATACACGGGGTAAGTTGACCATAGGAGACCACTTTTTTTGGCATGCTATATTATCAAGACAGTTCTGTTTACACTCATTCTGTTGGTTTGCAGGGATGCACAACATCTTGAAATATATGCAGATACACTAGTTAGAGACAAAACTATGATTGCCTTGATGTAGGGATCCCAAATATGAAAAAGGGCTCATCTTACCCCACTCTCCCCAACTGTTATTTTATGTGAATGAGGAGTTACACAGAAATTCTATCAAAAGCTTCAACATTTTCAGTTTTTGTTGACATGATCAATTACTGTAATTCATCCAGTAAACAAACACGAGGTGAGCAAACTACGAGTAATATCAGGCACTCCAGTATACCAACACCCAACACAACTTCAATTAATTTACAGGACATGTATCTTCTGCCTGAGCGTAAATGAAAATTGAAAATGTTGAGGCTTGGTCAAAGTACAGTTGATGCTAAAGCTGTTGAACTGGTTTGCAATGATTGTCCATGGTGTAACGGCTAGTAGATGTTAAAGTCTAACAGACCATCTTCTTTCCATTTTCTGTGCTGTTATATCTCCTAGAGGACCTTTTTTTGTTTGCTAAATAGTACCACAAAAAATCTACATATCAGATGAGTAACAGATTTATTTATATACAAAACTGTTTACAGCAAGACTTCTGAATTAACATTGACCCTCAAGGGTATTATGGTATTCAGGTGAACAATACCACCTGCACCAAAGTATCAAGTCAATAGAAGGAGGGAAAGAAAAAAATCCTTGAAGAGCACCTTGAGCCATAAAGGGCAGCAGATGAGGGAGTTTGAAGAACTGTAAGGCACAAGACACAGCATCACCAGTTTCTCTTCAACCATAAAATATCACCCATATATCTACCTATTCAGTAAAGCACTTGATAGAAAAAAAAAGTTACAATTACTCACTACAGGTACACCAGGAGTATGAAGAAAAATCCACTTTGTGCCATGTCTCTGTAAGGCTAAAGGAGCTATAGAAAAATAAGTCATTTAGGATCTCAAGCATCTGACAGGTATCACACAATTCCAGAGGATCAATTAAATGGACAGCATGCCAGCCTGGCTTTGTTTGGCATAGCTTGTATAATCCATAAAATCCAAACCATGATTCAAAATTACAAGGCTAATTTTGTCTTCTCCAGCCACTTAAATAGTTCTTTACTGTTCAAATGCAAACATTACAACTCAGCAATGTTCATAATTATAATGCAATTCTGACTATACACTATACTAGAGGACTTGAAGGGAGGGCAAACCTGCACCACTCAGCATATAGCGCATAGTTATAAACCAATTTCTACTATTCTAGTTAAACTGTATAAAAGGCCGTAACTGGTAATTACCAAAGATCTATTTATATCTATACTAAATCTCTGAGGGTTGTCTACAATACATCATCTTCATTACAGTCAATGAGGAAAAATTAAAGTTACTTGAAACAAAGATCTTATCATAAAATGTGCGTTTTTGAGATACACAAGCAGATTCATCCATTGTGACGACACAGTTCCAGGGTTCATAGGTGAAAGGTACCTGAAGATAAGTTGGTAAAAATTACAGTGAAATCACAGTGTGATTTCATGTGTAAAATCTCATTCCTGGGGGGTTTGGAAATCCACCATTGGTGAGAAGTACAGACATTTTACAACACATTTAAAGCAATGTGTACTGTGACCGTCCATTGCCGTCATAACAGATCTGCTGAAATAATCCCAGTCTTTGAACAGATTAACAGGCCCTTACTGTAAATTAGTTCAACTGATCAAAGTAATGAAACATTAACCAGTTTTGTCTTTATCATCAGAATAATTTTTTACAATATTAAACATTATTCAAAGGGATTGGTCAATGCTTTTTTGTTGTTTTTTCATTTCACTCAAAAATGGGATTTTGCCAAGTCATGGATTATATGACAATACCTGATGAACATGTTTGCTGATAGTGCATCTCTGTATTAAACAGAGATTCATATAGCACTTGGAAACTTCTCCCTGGTATTACAGCTAGTGGGATGGTTTATGTCCAGGACTGTCTGGGCAGTTGTCTTGCAATGCAAATCAATCTGGTGTCACAATGGAGCAGAAAAATAAATCCACCGCCGTGTCTTGTTATCTGTGAGGTCGCGATTTGTTGGCTGGTGAAGTTGTGCCTCCTGTCTTCAGCAAACGAGCTTACTGATGTCCCGGATACACTTTCACATCACAGCACACTTCTTCTCCTCTGGAGGCGCGTTTCCATCTGCTTTCTCCATCTCCAAAATGATCCGCTTAAACACCTCTACAGCAGTCTGTATTGAAAGAAAGAAATTGTAATCTGAGTGACAGATAAAATATTAATTAATGTATCGGAAAGTTGGTTTTCAAATAGGTATCTTTCAAACCTCATTCTCCTTTGCTGAGGACTCCATGAATGCAGCACCCATGGTATCAGCAAGTTTCTTCCCTTCCTCTGGCTTAATAACCCTGTAGAAAAGAGTATATTTCTCATTATTATACTTTTGAGTTTTATTGTAATTTCTTCTTCTATATTCTCTGTATTTGTGCACTGTGGGCTGGAGAGAAATTTCTTTTTCAATTCCTGTGTATGTACTCACATGTGGCAGAAATTGACAATTAAAAAAGCCTTCATGTTGAAGATATAAGTGTACATCCTCAGAGATTTTGGGGGCTGTAGTAGATCAGACTTTTGGTTTAAAAAATACTCCTGAAGTATCAACATTTTTACTTTTCAAGTGTGTGAAATAAGTACAGAGGTACAGCTAATGCAGCCCCCAGCTTATTATTTCTGTGTTTATTTTTGGCAGAGATCTGCACAAGGCTTACAGACAAAACTGGGTGAGATGTGCTGCTCGTGTCAGCAGTCTAAATGGTCTCATTTTTTTACATGCACACTCCAAAATTGAGGTTAGGGTACAGTTTGTTGTGGATGTGCAAGAAAGTTCAGGGTTTCACCAAGCATAACTGTACCAAACTGTACTGAACCAAATCACATACCTTGGTGGCAATGCACCATTAGCAAGACAGTTAAATTACAAGTTATGACAAAATGCGTCCAGCCCAACAGTGTGACTAGTTTTGAACATCGAGGAGTTCTTTAAGCCAGACTGGTTGATGAGATGAATATATTTTTTCTTAAACTCTTTTTATGAAATTAAAAAATATATATCAGATCAAAACATGATAGCTGATTGTAGTTGTGAGTGCAAGAGTGTTGCGACATTATCTGGGACAAAACGGCAAAGTTGTAGCTGATAGGAAAAGTATATGCAATTTGATTTTTAGATTACCTTTCCATGTGGAGATCTTTTTTGTTCCCTACAAGAACAGTTGGGACCCTGACAGACAAAAAACAGAAAGATGTAAAAACCTCCCCTCTGTTCACACAGAGACAGTACATTCTGCAATTGACTTATTTGATCGAACTTACTGGATCTTTCCAACCATGTCCAGCATCTTGTCATGTAGAGCTTTCACAACTTCAAAACTGAGGAGAGACGAGCATCAGGGTACATATTAGGCACCGCACTCAGGTTGTAACTTCCTTTAGCCGTATTTAATCTACAGTGCAACTCTGGTTGAGTCCTATAAATCCACACAAAAATTGTAGTTTTACAGCCCTCTATGATGCAGTACTTGAAAAAAACTGATAGTTTATCATATCAGATGACACCACTGGTATACAAGGTGGTGGAATCATGTAAATCTTTGTGGCTCTAAAATATTTTATCATGAAAAGTTAACTTTGTGACTGTCAATACAAAATAGTATCATTGATGATTGCAAGACACATTTTTAACCTAAAACAGATTGTTTTATGGATGTTGACTTAAATTAAGATATGATAACACAACTAGCTACTTACCTTTTCGCAGAAGTCACTGAATAGACAAGAACATAACCATGGATGTCCATTGTATGGGACTGTGGAAAAATTGAGTACTCATCCTACAGACAAAAGAGAAATTCATGTTATTTAAAAAACTCGTACTTCACATTATTAAATATAAACACAGAAGACCAGGAAATCTGCAAATTGGACATAAATTGCCAACAATAAAAAAAGGTTGATTTTCACAAAATATGAAACCAATAGCAGGGTCTTTGTGTGGTAAAAGGCATAGATTGTATATAGAATGGACGCCGTGTGCCTCCTCACTGGGTGAAGCCACTCTGAGAACAGCACCCTCTGTTGACGGGCTGCAGTATAGGTCATAAATCACGCCTCCGCCTGCATAGCTTATGGGGCTGTAGACAAACTTTAGAAATGAATTACACGGAATATAATTTTTTCTCCCCCCTGTTGACATGTAGTTACTGTAAGACTGGTTTGTACCGGAGTCCTCTTTTTTCTGTACAGCTCCGTTTTTAAAACTTATTAGGAAGTTCATGTTTTCCATGATTGACACCTGATACAGCCTATGGGCATACGAAGATTGCGTAGCTCACCCGGGGCATACGCTGTTTGAGCTGAGCGTCATCACAGCGACTCTCGGTGACTCTCCCGCCAAATGCGCACAACGCTACTGTGCAATGCTGGTTTCAGGAAATGAAGAAAAATCACGGAAGTACAGAGAGCTTTTTGGCTTCAAGTCCTTATACTGATGGGAGGCGGAACCAAGTTGTCCATAGTATATACAGTCTATGGTAAAAGGTGAACAACTTACCTGACCAGCTGTGTCAACCAGCTGCAGATTAAAGTCTTGACCATTCACGTTGACCATTTTGTTAAAGGCTGGGGAGAGGGATGAACCACATTATCTGAACATATATTTGCATTGAGCTCGCTCTTATGTTACTGTGTGCTGCGTTATTTTTGTTATGTTACAGTCATGGCACCTACTGTTTTCAATGGTGGGGTCATAAGAGTCAACAAACTGTCCTTCCACAAACTGTATTGTAAGAGATGACTTTCCTGTAAGTAAGAACAAGGTTGTAACATTATTATCATGAATTTAAGGCAGCATTGAATAAAATAAAAAACATGGACAACATTATTCTGACTTGTTAACACAGCGTTTTAGGATGTAAAATTCGGTTCAAAATCGCCCACGAAATGACATGAAGGCTATAACAATCATGTAATGACCCTAATTTTTAAACAATCAACCATTTCCTTCTCGCAATGTTTCAAATTATGGGCAAAACTTTCAACACAGGACATCTGGCACCAAACCAGGATGTCACCGGCTGAGATAACTTCACGTTTCCGCTGAACACACTGAACATACTCGCAGAAAGCTTCAGTTATAAACAGAAATAACGTCTTTCGTTGTGTGGTTTGGCAATTAACTACAAACAATCAAACACAAAAACATGAAGAAAAGACAAACATGGTTACAGATGTTAGTCGGATACACTCAAGTGGAAAACAAAGCCAGGACGTTAGCATGTTAGCCAGCTAGCAACCTAAAACTAGCTGTACACGAGCTCGTATGTTGTACTCACCTACAGACCTGTAACCCATCACAGCAATCTTTCGATGTTTTGGTTGAGGCATTGTGGTGAAAAAATATATCTAACAGGCTGTGATAAGGAAGAACGCCACCTAGTTTAACTACCTATTAAACGAACTTTTATCGCCACATTCGTCTCGCGTCACGTGACAACAACAAACTTTTCGGAGCCGCCGCTCGAGCTCGTCTGGTGGGCCTCGAGTTGAAAGTTCGGAGTTTAAGTACAGAAGGTACGACGTGTACTTAACGCCGAAAAAATGTCTACCCTCGTGTCTTCTGTTGTGAGCGATATCGAGTGATAGTACAGTTCGATGAAACTGACGTTTGAGGAGAAACAAAAGCGAAAATAAAACGCTAGATCAACACGACTACGGTTTGCAAGTCAAACTGACGGAAATTGTCATTGTGTAAGCACACCGTCGTAAAACCAGCGAGTACGTCAGGAGTGACATGGACGTGCATTCACTTTGGCCAATATGTACAGTAGAGGTCACTCTTTGTGCATCCCCATCGTGTTTTCATGACAGCCATCCCTTTCAGACTTTTCCAGACCAAAAACAACCACAGGTGAAAATCTGCAGTGCGTCATTACAGGTGTGGGTGTCCGGTAATAAATAAAGATCTTAGTTATTCAAGAAGAGGCTCAAGACTCACCTTTTTAACCATGCTTTTCACTAATTGCCTTTTTATATTTCTCTTATTGCAAATGTTCATTTTAATCAAAGTTCTTGATGTCTATTTTTTTGTCATTTTATTAATAATCACTGTTCTTAGTCTTTTTCTTAATTCCCCTCTTGAAGGCTTTTACTTCTTTTACCCCTTTTACATGGTAAAGAGCTCTTACTTCAGAATCAGAATGCCCTTTATTGTCATCGTACTAAAAGTACGAGATTGGAGAGCTTCTCCTTTTCCAGTGCAATAGACAAGTAAAAGATAGGTAGTAAAAGTATAAATAGTTGTAAGAAAGAAGGAACTATATAAACAAGACAAGACAAGAATTATCCGTTCATATTCTGAATCTATTATCTGTAATACTTATCTGTTCATTTAATATTATTTTCTTGTTTCAGTCCATCAGGTTTTACTCTTTCTTTTTTACCTTTTTTATTTTCATTTTTATCTCCAGTGTTTCCCAGAGGTAGCTCTTTCCTCACGTAATGTCTCAGTGTCAGGCCATGTCTCTTTCACACTATATCTTAAATTCTCACACTGTGTGCTTGTGTGTGTGTATGTGTGGGTGGGAGAGTGAGTGAGGGTGGATGTGTGTCTTTGTGTAGGTGTTGGTCCATGGGTGTGTGTGTGGGTGGGAGGATTGGGTTTTATTGTCGTTAATTGTTGTTTTTAGCGTCTGTGAGGCACTTTGAACTGCATTTTTGTTTGAAAAGTGCCATAAATATAAAGTTGAATTTGAATTTGAATTTGAAGTAAAAATCTTTGCAAGTGTTCGGTTGGATCATGATAGTTCATAAGGAAACTCTCACCTGTGTGTTTTGCCTGTCTGACTATTTATCTACCGATGACTGATGTATGCCCAGTCATCATATGTACAAAGTTGTGCTTTAAAACAAACAGTCGAAGTCCTTCACAAAGCAACGTAAAATATAATAATAAAAAATAAGAATAAAAAATAAAATATTCAAACTGATGCGTAAAGTCACTTTAAACAAACCCAAATTGCAAAAACGTTGGCAACAGTTTTTGGATAGGGTTATATTTCAGTTACAGCAAAAAGTTATTGGTAAAACAAACTATAAAAAAAACTAAACTAAAAAAAGAGCAACAAAAAAAAATTATTCATCAGTACAACAAAATCTACCCCACCCTCAAATAAAATATTAGGGAAAACTGTGTATGAAAGCCCTGAGCAAACATGCAGCTTTATATTTTCCTGTAATTGCTATGACAAATCCTTATTTCCTCTCATAACAAAGTAAGGCTACAAAATATTTTTTCTTCACAAGATAACTAGAATAACTAGACCTAAAATAATTACAAAAAAAAAAAAACAATAGGCTGATCACTGAAATCAGTCTTTTATCTTTCCTTTTTTTTTTTTTTTGAAACCTCTACAGAAAAAGGTTTTTTAAAGTATGTAATAAGTCATCTATTTTCTTGTTCTGACATATTATAAAAGACATGTTGGTCAAATAAAACGTGCAATCTTGAAAATAATTCGGCCTTAAAAGGCACAGCCAAAGGGCTCCTTTGGGACCTAAGACAAGTTAGAAATATTGGTTGTAACAATTCAAAACATCTCAGATTATACATGTTTTGTGACTGTTTGGCTCTCATCTGTCTGTGTAAACAGAGCATGCATAAGACGAGCTGGTGTATATGACTTTGACATCACATTTTTTTTATCTTTTCTGATATTCTCAGAAAAGATTGAAAAAAAAAAGAACCAACATCAACCTTTTTTTAATTTTATTATTATTATTATTATTAGTAGTATTATTATTATTATTATTATTATTATTATTATTATTATTATTTGTAGTTTTTAAAAGATTCAGAGAATCTGGAGAACTTTAAAGGACATAGGTGAATTTATACTGGATTGATGTAATCTCTGGGCCTTAAAGCAGCACTGTGTTAAAACCACACATGACTCTGCAGTAGAAGCCATTGCATGGGCTCAAAATAGCCATAAAAACATTGTCTGTGAACACAGTTTGCTCATGCATCCACAAATGTGGGTTTTAACTGTTCCATGCAAAAAAAAAAGAGACATGCAGAATAATCATGGTCCAGCAATATTAGCAATTTAACAGATTTGAGCCCATCTAAGATACATTTAGGCAAAGTAGAAAACTATACAGTGGACCAACAAATCAAAATGTGTCATTTTTTTTAAATCATGAATGGCACATCTTCTGCTTTAAGACAAGAGAGACCACCTGGCCTTTTGGTCAGCACACACTTCAGAAACAGAAATTAACTGGGGTATGGGTAACTTGCAAATCTGGGCACATTTCATAGTGAACAATATGTAGGCTGTGAAACAACATATCCTTATAGAGTGTTGTTTAAAGAAGAGGTGATGAAACATAACAGTAAACACTCCCCTTTCCTAACTTTAGCATCAAAAATGTCTCTGTTTCAACATTCAATATGCTGTCTTTATACATTTTTTTAATCAACCAAATTTCTTTTTCTGAACACTTCACATAGTGTCCTAAATCTATAAAACTGGGTTCGCAGATTAATGATACCAATCCGGTCCATTACGCTTAAAACAACAACAACAAAAAAATGTCTCACATCTGTGGTTGGCACCCTTGACAATCTGCACAAATTCTTGTTTGTTCTTGGTCAACTTACCCCGTGTATGGGGCAAGTTGACCATAGGAGCGGGATAAGTTGAGCCGTATCCCTAATAAGATGAGCCATTTTTCAAATTTGGATCACTAAATCAAGGCAATCATAATTTTGTCTCTAACTAGTGTATCTGTATATATTTCAAGATGTTGTGCATCCCTGCAAAACAACAGAATGAGTGCAAACAGAACTGTCTTGATAATATAGCATGTCAAAAAAAGTGGTCTCGGGCTAAGTGGAGCCGTATCCCTACTATGCTATGCTATGCTATGCTATTATATGCTATTTGACTGGTACAATATATTTTTTAATTATTATTGCATATAACTGCTAAAAAGCTGTTTTGTAAAAAGCCATTTTAACATGAGAATGTCTTTAAGTGATTCAGAACATTCACAGCTGTAGTTTTGAAAAGAAAAAGTAAAACATTTCAACAATCTGAACTGAAACTCTGATCCTCTCATCAAACTCCTTTACTTTCTCAGTTGAGCCACCAGCTCAAATTACCCCAGAACTACTATTATGACTTTATTAGTCCTCTGAGCTAAAATGGTGGACTTTTACGCTAGGTTTTTGACCTCATGTTGAAGCTCATAGATACCACAATTATGCATGAAACAAATTTAAAATGATCTTTTTTGGTCTGAACACAATTCTAATCAAACTTATGACAGACTAAATTTATTTTAAAGAATTAAAATTAAAATCTTTTTAATTTATTTATTTATTTTTAATAAATTATCTATCCCCTTCACCCATGTGCTTCTAACCTTCACAGACTCCATGAATTGATGCCCATCTTCTAAATATTTGGTCACATGATCAATTTCTTTTACCATTTCCAAGCAACAGGGGGTGGCTCAACTTACCCTTTGGCTCAATTTACCCCACTCTCCCCTACAGACAGTTTAACAATATCATTGGTGGCTAAATAGCCCACAAATTTGGACAATATAAATTGTTAAAAAATAATAATAACAAAGAAAGAAAGAAAGTTGAAAATATAATTCGAAAAAATGCGGTAATTGTGAGAGTTGAATGTCAATAAGATCTTGGTCACAAGACTAAAGAAGACACCTGTAGAAATCGTAAAATATCAAAATCAGAGGGTATAATGTATTTGCGTTGACTGCACCGTTGATTGTTGGTGCTAAATGAATAAAACAAAGGACTCTAACTGATGTGGTGAAATGTAAATCCAGACCCTGGTTCATGTAAGGTTAGTGCTTGATCGGCAGCTGCATTTGTAATCCAACCGGAAACTGTCTGGGACTGACTGTAAGGGCTGCCGGGAGATGCCGCCGTCATAAACAGGCAGATGAAAATACAGAATAAACTCATTCAAACGGCCCTGACAGGTAGGGACCACGCACTTGTTACAACGAGTCGGAGGAGCGATGTCGAATTGTTCTGTTTGCACTGCATATTGTTGTTAAAGTCGGCGGCAAGCCTTCGGGGACGGCAAGCTAACGTGTAGTCGGCTAGCAATAGCAACTAGGAGGCGGTGGGTGCCATAGCAACCGTTTAGGAAACATTACTGTGATGTTAGCGAGCGCGGACGGTACATGCTAACCTTGGTTTGTTATGCTAGCGTTCAACAAAACATTGGAGATACTTAAATGTACCATTCAGCGTTTTCGGGCTAAGCAATGTCACAACATCATCATCTGCCTTGCATCGTCGCTCACATTACGTAGCTGTCACCCCGCTTCTTGCTTTAAAGTAAGCTGTTGGCGATGTCAAAGTGTTGTAACGGTATCGTGTTGAGTTGGGCTAACTTGGCTAACGGTAGTTTGCATTGCATGCAGTTAGCTGACGAGTTAGCCACCGAGGGCCGAGCCGCAAACTTGGATTATCTCAACGTCCCCTTTATAAATACCACAGTGTAAATGTTTTATATCTCTAATTTATTTTGCCCTGGCAGACCTTACGTGATGTTAGCTAAACGTAGCGTGACTTTATTCCTCTTGTCTGGGATCAATCTGATTGTTACTGAGTGATCAGCTGATTCGTCGCTGTTAATGTTAGCTTAGGCGTTAACTTAGCCTTCACATTTGTTAACTATTTTTTCTTACAGATAATAGTCAATGTTAGCAGTACTATTCAATGTTTTAGGTGCAGTTGAGAAATATGGACTTCATAGTGGCTTGATTTCACCGACGAGGTAGTTTGTTGCCAGTCATGCTTTTATCTGGGGTAGTTTAGATGATTTATAACGACCTGCCATAACATTATGAGCGCCTGAACGCTTTAATGTAATCATGTGTTGTAGCTGTATTATTAAGTTCACTTTTATGAAGCTCTTACATTTACAAATCTTTATAATCATTTTGTTGAGGTTGGGTGTTTGTGTTGTACTGAAGTGCATAATACTGTAAGGTGTTCCTAATATTTTGTGTGTCAGTGAGCTGGACAAAATTGTGGGAGCACCTTTGAATAAAACAAACTCCAGCAAACCATCACCGCTAATTATTTTGTCTTCAATAATGAATACAGGGTACGATAATCACCTGTCTGATCATTTCAACAAAAACAAACAACAACAAAAAATTGATTTTGGAGTAGACCTGTTGTTTTGCTTGAAGTAGATTGCCCAGGTGTTATGGCTGGATGGTGTATCTTCATTACATTAAGATATCACAACTACTGAATTTGGCCCCATGCAATACTAACTCAGAAAGTGAAATTAATCTGTTGATGTGAGATCGTGAAGTGTTGTGAAATTGTACCACCACCTGTACAACCTGTTTTTATGCATCCTCCAAACCTCTGATACAACTGTCATTTCATATTTTATTTTTAACTAGTATGGATGCTGAAGACTGCAATGGCCAGTCTTACATACCAGGTAAAATTCTTGTCCATGTCCTCACACATATACTCTCATGAACAGTTTTGCTGGTTAAAAGAATGACAGAGGTGCTTTTTTTTCCCTCAGCTGGTGGAGACTCTTCAATGGAAAGGGAGTTTTCTGGGGCACTTGGAGGTCCGACAGTGAGCACCCCAAATAGCAAAGAGGCCTCTCCAAGTCGCTCCCTCAGTGGTCAGTGAGGAAATAAGTTTATATCCTACAAATGGACAAAGCAACTCAGTATACTCAGTACAGTATTTCATTGTGCTTGTGACAATGTTTTATGAAATGTTAAAAAAGCTGTGTAATGGTTAACACTTAATTACATTATTATTTATTATCCAGATCACACTTAACTCATCTACTGATATTAATTTTTAGATTAATTCACTGAGTGGGCCTTTTTTTCTGTCATTTTTATCTCAGCAGTTTGTTGACAGGTATGTAAATACGCAGTATGTTAGCTCATTCAAGGCCTTTTTGTGTTTTTCCTTTTAGCCAACTCTATTAAAGTGGAGCTGTACAGCGATGAAGACCTAGGTCGCAGTACTGAAGACGAGAGAGGGGAGCGGATAGAGGAAGGAGGACCTGAGCACGGTTCTGAGCCAGCTGGCGGATACAGGGAGCCTACCAACTCTGAGGGTTTACCCACTGGGGCCACAAGGACACCAAATGGAAAGCTCATGTGTGACATCTGTGGAATGATCTGCATCGGGCCTAATGTTCTCATGGTACACAAACGCAGCCATACAGGTGACTGATCATTTGAGTTCTGATCAAGCAGCTCTGTGAGAAACATGCATTTACTGAGAAGAATAGTTAATAAAAACAAATTAGATTTGGTACAGACATATGACAGTATCTCTTGAATAATGGTAAAATTTGTTAGTTCTAAAGAAAAGATCATTTCCACTGGAAAGTTTTCTGATTGCCCTTAAATCAACAGATTTAATCTATTTCCAGGTGAGCGACCATTCCAGTGTAATCAGTGTGGTGCCTCCTTCACCCAAAAGGGCAACCTGCTCCGCCACATCAAGCTGCACTCTGGGGAGAAGCCATTCAAATGTCCCTTCTGCAGCTATGCCTGTCGAAGACGAGACGCACTAACCGGCCACCTTCGCACTCATGCAGGTAGGAAAGATACATGTTCAGAAAGAGAACTTATTTTGTCTGATGAGGGTGTAGAACAGCAGGAATAATACCGCATCTTCCCACTTTGGCCCCAGTGACCTCTCCGACTGTAGGGAAACCGTATAAGTGCAGCTACTGTGGTCGTAGTTATAAGCAGCAAAGCACCCTGGAAGAGCACCGTGAGCGCTGCCACAGCTACTTACAGAGTTCGGAGTCACAACAGTCATCAAGTGCTCAGAATCAAGGTACAATTTATGGTCATATCTTAAAATGGCTTGCCAGAGGTAGATCACATTTTCGTAGTTCGGGGCTTTAAATCAGTCTTGCAAACTGCCTTAACAAGGAAAAAAATCAACCTTGGTGTCCTCTCTATCTAATTTCTGGTGTAGATTCTTACAAACACCAGCCTCCGCATTAAGTATTTAGGATAAATGCTGTCTGGTTAATGAGAAAACATCCCGAATGACATTAGAATTTTTTTGTATTCTGTGCAGGAGAGGAAATGAGAGAGCTAGAGTTTATACCAGACTCTCTACTGCAGCCCTCCTCAGACAAGATGGCATTTATTGATCGGCTCGCCAACAGTATCACCAAACGCAAGAGATCCACACCACAAAAGTTTGTAGGTGAGCATTTGATACCGGTGTGTAACGCCTTAGAAAAATGAATTAGACACCACTTCCAATACTACTGATCTCTTTGAGTTAGTGATGTGACCATTGCTTTGTTTTGACTCTTGTCAGGAACAGTTGCACCCAGTAAACAATAAAATGAACAAATGAGTGAAAAAATCCTTATGACCTCAAACCTAAGTTCACTCAAAGACAATTAGATTTTGTTCAGGACCTGCACTACCTGGAGTTTTCTTTGTTTCTTGAGGCCCTACAAAGAGGCACGTGGAATACCAACCTGATTTGGTTGCATAAGTTTGTTTTAAAAAATGAATGAACAAAATGTGTTACTATATAAAATAGAGGAAGTTGACCAAGCGTCCAAAACTACTCTGAGAAATTAACCTACCTGGGCAAGCTTCTTTTTTCCCTTTAACATGCAGTTTTAAGGTTCTCCAAGACCTTCATAGCCGATCGTGATAATGTTGTGTTTCCTTCTGCAGGACAGAAGCACATGCACCTCAACCTGGCAGATGCACCTTATGAGCTCAGTGCTGGTTTGGATAAAGACAGGAAGATGCACACAGGGGACTTTGAAGCTCAACACTTCACTGGTTTGGGAGGAGATTATGCAAATGTAGTAGGTAATGGAGGAGATACACTGAGGCCCCTACACCTTCCCTCAACTCACCCATCATGTTTGTCAGAACTTAAACCAATCCACAGCTCCATTCATCCCTCTGTGGCTCTAGGCCCGAGGTTGGATTGTACAGGTACTGGAGCTGGGATGGGAGCTGCTAGTGTTGGAGGGAGGGAAGCGGCAGAGGGTCATGAGGACCTGCCAGTGGCACGGAGTCATGCACCATCTCCTAGCAACGGCTGCCAAGACTCTACTGACACAGAGAGCATGCTTGATGAGCCATGCAACAGCACTGCGCCTACTCCAACCTTGCACAGCAACAACGGCCACCATGTCCTCTACTCCAACAACCATCACTCTGCACCTCCTCCAAGTGCACACCACAGGAGTCGGGATAGGCACAGTCCCAGTCATGCCAAAGAAAGAGAGATGGATCGAGAGGAAGGGGGCCAATCCGCTCTCTCAACGCCTGCCCTCGCACCAACCCCCAGCTCACCTACAGTGCCCTCCTCCACCTCTAGGGAGGCTTTTCGAGTTGTAGATGGGGAGGGTCGAGCTGTGCGATCTTTCCGTTGTGAGCACTGCCGTGTGCTTTTCCTGGATCACGTCATGTTTACCATCCACATGGGCTGCCATGGGTTTCGCCAGCCTTTTGAGTGTAACATCTGCGGCCACCGCAGCCAGGACCGCTATGAATTTTCTTCACATATTGTCCGTGGGGAGCACATATTTGATTGAAGACAAAGGGTGGACATTCTGCTTCATATCTGCTTCATTTTGTTTTTACACTGAGACAAGGACCTGGCTGAGTTTGATCTGCATACTGATGACTAGACAACAACGATCATATATTTCAAAGAGCCTGAGGAACTGTTAGTATTGATGGGAGACTTATATGAGTGTTTCATAAATATAATAGTAGTCCTTATTAATCTTAATGCACTTTGAATAATGAAACGTTAAAAATGCACTTTAATCTAATCAAATGTAATCTTTAGTTGATGAGCCAAAGCACTTTTTCATCTGCACATGTGCCTTGCTCTGAAATTCAGGACCCAAACCTGATGCACAAATTAACGCTGACAAATCTCACTTGTGTCCAGAACCTGAAAACTTCCACTGTCTTATGCACTTTAACAGAGATCTAAGAGAACACGGTCATATGAAGTTCACCTACATTTGGATCTGCAGAGTTTTAATGCCTTGTTTTTTGAAAGAGCTTATTTAATACAGTAATTTAGGTTTAGGGTCTGTCCAACAGTATATAGAAAACTGAAAACTTCAAGTAATGCAGACCAAACTCAGAAACCAGGTCCTGGTCAATTGGTTGTGTTTGACAGGACGTCCATGAATTAAACCGCACTTTTATTTTTAATGGGGTTGGGGTGGACAGATCTCAGTGTGCGTTTGTGTGTGAGTGAATGTGAGAGAGGGTGAACATGTGATATCCTGTGTTTATGGAAGTGTATTTGAATTAAGCAAGGTGGAAAATGAAGGCCTTTGTGTGAATGCAGTGTAAGGCAGTATGAAATGTTTGTGTTTTTTTCTTTTCTATGACTGCTTTAATTGCACTGATACCTGCCACAATACTTTAATTATATTAAACTATTTTATGGAGTACATTAATGACCTGCACATTTCTCTTAGAATCAGAGGAAACTGATGGAAATGTTTTCTCAGTAGGAAAGCAGTATGAGTTTCACTGCCACCATTTAAGAGATTACAGAAGAGGTCTGGATCTTTACAAGTCTTAAACATTTCCCTTGTAAACTGACATCAAACTGAAAACTGACACTGATCTATGTTTGCTTTATTTAGAGATTATTTGGGTGTTTTATCTCATTGTATTGTGCCTTTCTTCACCCTGATCACAGGCTGAAGGACATGAACGACCACAGTCATATCATAAACAGATCATTTTGGGGTGGGGGGGGTGGGGGGTAACAAACACGAGTCTAAAAATTGCTTTAAGATTTCAAAATAAAGGTTCTGACTCATAGCTTTGCACAACCATAATCCTCTATATAACATAAATCATCACTGGTTTTCCTCAAAGAGTTGGCAAAAAAAAACAGCTCTGCAAATTTATCGAAAATTTAATGGCACTTGGCACAAGCTGCAATGACTGCTATGAATGAATGCTGTGTGGAGTGACAGTTTACGACCGTCCTAATTGAAGAAAAATTGTTTTATTTGAATCATGTTTTAACATTTCAAATCAAAATGTCTGCTTTTTACGAATTTGACAGGTGGAGGGGGCTCTTTTTGAGGAAGTTTTGTCATGTTTGATCCATAAGAGGTCTACCTTTTTAAAGTGTAGAAATTAAGTGTATGGCGGAAAATCTTTTTGTTTGAAAAGCACTGATAGCTTTTAATTGCGTCTACTGAAATGTTTAGAAAATATTAGAAAAACAATTGTTGCTCGCACATATTGTCTGTGTTTGACCCAAGACAAAATACTTCGCACTGCCCTGCAGATTACCTTGTGAAGTCTTTGGCCCAAAATGTGCCGACAGTTTTCTCAGTTTGTGAGATTCATTCAGTAATAATCAAACTTGACTTTTATTGATCTAATGAGCTTGGGAAAGGACAAAAAAAAAGAGATGAGATTAGTATGAACATATCACCAAAAACTGTTCCCACATGGCTGAACCAAAGAGCCACCTCTTTTTCACTTCTAACTGAAGCACTTTTGCTTAATAAGAGTGGCACATAAGAAAAAAAGAGCAGAGCTGGGATATATATTTGTACATATTAAACAAATAGACGATCCTGTGTTTTTTTCTTTTGTTTTCCTTCCCAGCAAACTTGTGTAGATGTTAAAAATGACCTTGTTTCCAGTTTTTCTGCTACTTTTTGAAGGATTTCTTTTTAAGTAAACATTGTAATCGTCAACCTTTGTTTATTTTTGTGTGAACAACTTATACAAGTTCTTGAGTGAAGCAAGATTTTTTTTCTAAATTTGGAATCTTAACACACTGCTGTATGAGGCAGCAAAGAAAGGTCATACATGAGACAATGTACTCTAGTGTGTGTGTGCATTGTTTCTGTCTCAAGCATACCTTAAAGGTCAAATTGTTCTCTTTCAGTTATATTTCCACCATAAAACCAATTGAACTTGCCTTAATTCCAAAAAAAGAAACAAGACTGCTGTAGTGTCATTTAACTGAATCCAGAACACTTCAATTTGACTGTGTTGTAAATGATTTAATTCCATAGCTGCAACGTTTGTTTTTCTGAGCAAAATTCTTCAACCAATGAGCTACACTAAACATCCCATTTCCCTGTGTACTCTTTGAAAAAGGCCACAGCTTTGACCTCCAGAATACGTGTGATTCTCTCCGTTTGTTTTCTCTTGTTGACTGTAGTGATGTGCCTTTGGCCTGAGGTCCTCTCTGCATTCTTACATTTGTGTGAAAATAGGTTTGCTGTTTTCTAAATCCAACATGACAAGACACTTATTACAGGAAGCTCCACAGATTTTTTTGTCATGTGACTTTTCTGCCATCGGCCGTAGTCTCACTAAAACCAACTGTAACCATTGGCGAGAATCTTTTTCATTTTTACCACCAGTTGATACATGACACATAGGTCTACAAAAATAAAAGAATTCAGACTGCTGGGAGCCCAAGAACTTGAGACAAGATGTGCAAAACCCCTTAATGGAGCTGAACTATTTTGTTGACTTCCTTATGCCTGTTCTCAAGAGCCTGTGGATTGGCTTATCCTTTCAGAATTTGAGGTTTACATCAAGCATTGAAGTTCCTTTTTGACCATGTTTATTCCTGTTCACAGGACTGAGTTTGGATGTTTCATTTTAATGTGTAACGTTTCTATACCTGATGCATGTTAATATCAAAGCCGTCTGCTTCTCAGCCTCCTCCCCACCCCAACACACTCACATTCTGTTGTAATTCCAAGGACAAATAAACTGTCTATTCAAATTCTAAAAGAAAACTAAAAGCTGGTTTTGTGGTGTTTTTGGTTTTAATGCTTCCTTGTTGCACTGTGTGTTGTTTGTCAAATCTACATTTACCTCCCCCCCTCCTCTAAATCAGTCTGCTGTTGCTTTAAAGACTGCACAGTCATTTTAAATGTATAAAATGTAATTATGGGTTTGCGTAATTGATCTTGAACTGTAAGTTTTGTACTGTAAAAAAACTATTCCAAATAAAATGCTTCACAGGCTTTTCCTTTACTAAAACTACAAAACATACTGTACACAAAGAATCCACGCTTAAGAGGTTTTGTAAAGAACATTTAAATTTATTCTTCAGGTGAACAGCATCCTCAAGCACTGCTTTACATAGGTTTTGGAGGGGCTCTTGGTGCACCAGCCTGTAAATATAAAAGGTAGGAAAAAGACAATTACAAATTTATATTGTAAAACTCCCACATTGTCAAAACAAAAGGTTTAACAGATAACCAACTACTGTCACCTAATAGTGTTAGGATAAAATTAGATATTCCTTTCACCCCAGTACTGACTGATCGATCCAAAACCTTTTGTCAGCATTAGTTCCCCAAGCTTTTTGTCTACCATGAGTAATGACACTAACTCACTTACACAGCCCTTACTTCCTATTTCAGCACTAGTTAATAAAAAGCACTTACAGTGGGCCTGAATCGTGGTGGTGGGGTGCGGTCTTTCCTGGCCTCACAGGAGCGGTTCCTCACCACCTTACTGTGGATGGCACAGCTGACACAGTAGTGCAGCTTCACGTAGAGCTTAGGCAGAACATAGGCTGCATACAGGACACAGAGAGACAGATTCCAATTAGGGAAAGCCACAAGGATCAAAGTTCAAAAGACAGGTTTAGAAAATAAAAATCGACACTTACGGTCAAAGACACTAGCCTCTGTGATGTCCCTTACAGCTGCAGCCTCCACGATGTTCCTGATGACGAACTTCTTGATGGCCTTGTCCTTGGGGACACAGCGGGCACAGTTGGTGCAGCGGATGGGCTGCACATGTCCGCGGCCCTTCTTGGCACGACCGTTATTCCTCCTCTTCTTGGTCTAAAAACAAGAATTCCATCGTTGAAAAGAAAACTAGGGGAAAGGTACTGTAACGCAGTAGCGGCTCATTAGAGGCAATGGGTTTAGCAGAAAACATTTTTTTCCCTTTTTTAATTTAATGTTTTTAGTCGGGCTGGGACGATATGCTTTTCTCCTGATGCCATTCTTCTATGATTTTTTGAATACCGATTCGGTTTAAACTGCGATTCTACGATATTGTCGATTTTTAGTCTGCGTTTTTAACACCAGTGAAACAGTTGAATAATTATGATTGTCTACCAACTATTCCAGGAACCATATTTCAGACTTCGCTGATGTGAACGTTTGAATTGACAGGATATGGGTTCGTAAAAAAAAAAAAAAAACAGACGTCCGAAATAATCGCACAACAAAAACGGTGTGAAGGAACCTTTTTTCTTAAATTTAAGAAGAAAAAAAAAATCGATTTTTTAACAAAAAAATAAATAAATTCGATTTAAAAATTGTAAAACAAAAAAAATTGATATTTCTGCGAATCGATTTTTTCTCCCCCTCCTAGTATCTAGGCATAGTTCTGTAGAGGCTTTTTATGACTGATAATTTTGTAAGCTTATACATTTTTAAATTTCCTGGTTTGTGTTATATATATTTTATTTACTATTTTGCCCAGAACATGGGTATGTGGACCAACCAGTAGTAATGTTGTGATTGAGATTTTGCTGATGGGTTCTTCATCAGTTTGGTTAATTTGTTATGACTTCTTGCTTGTTCTGAGCTTTTATAGTGTATAAATTTGCTTGAATATCAAATCATTTCGTAAAAGTGTGTTTTTACATGTACCACACACTCGCACACGCTATGTTGGATTACTTTCCACTCTACCCACGCAGACAAAAAAAATGGTATAAGCACACTAACAGCTACACTTCAGCTCACTACATCATAGATATCCCATTTCTTAATATCTGCAGGATTGACAGATACATCCAAACTTTGGCATCCCTTTTCTTTAAACCATTTTCATAAACCACAGTCATCGCCGTTCAGTCTCCTCGGCTGCCATTACGTTACAAACGACAATTATTTCAACGCCGATTTCACAGTAATAGTTATCACATGGACGTAACTCGTCAATCTGGACTCTAAAATGTTTTTTTTTTTTAAACTCTCGGGTGTTTCCCTACACTTTTACAGTCACGTCGCGCTGCCTTTGCTAGCTCACAGTAACACATGCAAGAGACGGTTAGCCTGCTAACAGTTAGCACAAGGCCGGAGGTAGATTTTAATCAAAAAGACCAATCATTTAGGATAATTGTCGATTCCATACGATTGAAATATGATTATGAAACCGAACTGGGTAAAACTGTCCGTATTTTGTGGCAGAAATGGCGTTTTTTGTTTGATATTTCCACACGGCCGCGGCTGTAACACACTCACCATGATGCACGAAAAGCTGGAAAGAGGACCGGAAGAGGTTGTACCCCGAGAAGAACTCTCATCCGCATCCGCTCCGCCCTCCAAATACTGTCAGCGGAAAAATTTTAGCCATTTAATTCTTTTATTTTGAGAACAACGGTGTTACCAGCATTGTTGTTCACGGACATTAAACGTATGTTCACAGAATGTCCAATTTCACAATTGTTTTATTTGAGGTTTTTTTGTGCGTTTTAAATTAGAAAAAAATGTTCTCCAAGGCTGCAGAGTTGTCAAAAATATTGGAATCCATCCATCCACTCCAGACATTAATCGAGCCTACTTTCCACGTTGTTTTGAAACCCAAATCTAATTAAAAAACAATAAAATAAAAATAGGTGTCATCTTATATCTCAGTTAGGGGAGAGTGGGGTAAGTTGCACCAAAGGGTAAGTTCAACCACTCTCTTTTGCTTGGAAATGGTAAAAGATATTGATCATGTGACCAAATATTTAGGAGATGGGCATCAATTCATGGAGTCTGTGAAGGTTAGAGGCACATGGGTGAAGGGGTTAGACATCTATTTACAAAAAAAAACAAATTTTCTCTCTTGAAAGTGAATTTAGTCTGTCATAAGTTTTATTAAAATTGTGTTCAGACCAAAAAAGATCATTTTAAATATGTTTTATACATCAATTGTGGTATCTATGAGCAACAACATGAGGTAAAAAACCTAGCATAAAAGTCTACCATTTTAGTTTTGAGGACTAATAAAGTCATAATAGTAGTTCTGGGGTAAGTAGGGATATGGCTCAACTTACCCCATACACAGGTTAAGTTGACCATAGGAGACCACTTTTTTTTTGCATGCTATATTATCAATCCTAATTTTTTTTTTAAAGTAAACTGAAAACGTACCTTTTTAGTCTTGCTTTTAACTAAATCTTATATCATTAACTTTGTTTAAGTGTTTTAGCATTTATCTATTCTAGTTTTAATGACAGGATCGTCTTTTATTGAGCTATTTTGGTGCTCTTATTTTAGTATCTTTTACTGTGGTTTTTATTTCATTTTATTTATTATTTCTTAAATTTCATTCCATGTTTCTTTGTTTTTAGATTTTAACCTAAACCTCCAGTGTTTCCTTATCTTGAGTTTTATAATGACGTTTCCTCAGTGCGCGCATTCCACATTCCTGTTTCCACGAAATTAAGCCCTTTTTAAGTTTATGCATTTTAATACTGTTTCTGATGCATTTAGATTGTGGGGTGGGAATAAGGGGTTGGGCTGGGGTAGATTTGGGTATTCTTTGTTTCTTTTATTCCTTTTTCTGTGTAAAGCACTTTATGCTACAAGCTGTGTATGAAAAGTGCTACATAAATAAAGACTGATTGATTGATTAATTGATTGATCAAGACAGTTATGTTTGCACTCATTCTGTTGGTTTGCAGGGATACACATCTTGAAATAAATGCAGATACACTAGTTTGAGACAAAACTATGATTGCCTTGATGTAGTGATCTGAAATATGAAAAATGGCTCATCTTACCCCACTCTCCCCTACTGCCTGTTCCTACAGTCCTATAACATATCCAGACCACCACCTGCCTATTCTAACAAGTCAAAATCAGGCTTGTGGGCAGCTACCTTGTGATTTTTTTATGGGATGCTGCGATGAAACAGAAAATTGAAGAGCCTGTCAAACGGTCCTTAAAACACTGCTAGAGGCAGATCTTTACTGATCACAACCTTCTGAGCTGTGATGTATGTATGGTATTCAACAGGTACCCTTTTTATTTTCCAGCCCCTGCCCCCCAGACAGCCTGAAAACACCACTGAAATTCAAATTAGTCCTGTTAAAGCACCGGTGTCATCAGGTTCAAACTTTACGGAGCCACAATTAAGCAACATGGGATCATCTGATGGCTTGTGTGTTTGTGCGTGTGTGTGTTGTACAGAGTTTGTGGCTATGATGCTGGCTTACAAAGGGACAAACACTGCTTGATATGCAAGTGAACACATGCAATGTTAATGGATAATCTTTATAAGCTTAAAAATAATTCATACACTTTAGTTTCTATTATTGTTGGGGATTGTATTCTGATAGCTTGTTAAAAAAAAACGTACTTGACTTGATAAAATACCTTGAGGTTCAAATGTAGATACACATAATAGAAGCAAAATTGATCATAATGCTTAATAAACATTGAGCACACGCCATACAATTAAAAAATTTATTAAATAGTTCTGGTCTTTGTCCTCATTTTTTCTTGATCTTCTTGTCCTTTGCTTTCTTTTTGTTTGGCTTCTCAGCATTAGCCTTTTTGTAGAGGTAAAGTCCCACTAGGCCGAGTAGAGTGGGCACCAGGGCCAAACACACCAGGGGGAACACATCATTGACCATTTTCTGCCACGGCGTCTGCTGCGTCAGGGAAACAACCTCCACCTCGAACTCAAGAACAGCATCGCCTAGAACAAATTCATGGTCAGTGTTTTCAATCCAACAAGTGTTTATCTCTCTATTCTTTGAATTGTAAAAGAAAAATACACAATATACCAAAAAAAATAAAATAAAGGTAAAGTGACTAACATTCGAATTCAGTGTGGTTATATTCTATCTAAAAAAAACTATTTCTTATTCTTCATTCTTCAAAATTATTTTCACCACGGTGGTTTATTACAAGACATTGCCGTGCTACTGTAAATGCTCATCAGTGTTGATTAAAGTCACCTCTCAAAATAGTTCCTACAAATTTTGACTAATCTTATAGTATTTCTTACTAATTTCAGTGTTTTGCTGTTTTAGGATTGCACAGCCCTGTTTGATCAAGGGTATGTAGGTCTCAAAATCTGAGCACCAATAAAGCCTGATAGTTCCCTGTATTTCTTTGGTCTGTTTTGACAACAAAAATTGCAGGTTTTATTACTGGGCATTTGTCCAAATATTCCTCTTGAGACAGGCAGTAGATTCAGGAAATAAATAGTTGAAAGAGGGTTTTTTCAATCGATACCCTCTGCATTTTCCCACTGTCAATAAAACAAGTTTAAATTCCTTCTACAAAGATTGAAAAACGGCTGTATTGATGAAATTAATCAGAGAATTAATTTATTTAGCCTCTTTTACTCCCTGTGACCGTTTTTCTGGATGCAATCAAACTTAGCTGGTAGAACTATTTGATCTTTAAACAGGAAAATCAAAAAACTAAAATCATGTACCCTGCCTGAATTAGTCTGGATTCTCGATGAATTAATTTAGTACCTGGAATTGTAGGAGGGTAACCTTTTTTGCCATACGCAAGGTGAGATGGAATAGTGGCTTTGATTTTTTGCCTGAAAAAAAAAAAAGAAACGAAAAAGAGGTAAGAATTAGTCCCATAGGGAAGTATCCCTCAGAATCCATTAAAAATTATTATACATTCATGTGTGCACAATGAGATTACAGAGTACATGTATTGCACGACTTTCTGGCTGTACGACTTACCCTTCACACACACCAACCAAGCTTTGTTCTAGACCTGTTGAGAAGATAAAAAAGCAAGAAAGCCAATCACCAAAGTAGGCACACAACAGGCTGCAGTAATTTCTCACATACAATAAACATGTCAAAGTGCCACTGTTTAAATCATGCAAAGGGATTTACTGTTCGTTTACCAGGAATGACTGTTCTTTTTCCCAGCTCAACAACAAGAGGGTCCATGGATAGTGATGAGTCGATCACTTTCCCATCCATCAGTTTACCCTGAAGACAAAAGGCGAACAATGTGACACATGAGACTGTGACTGAAAAAGAAACACTACAAGAGGCAATGTATGGCAGACAACACATTAATAAATCCTGCTGTTTAGGGTGCTGTGCGAAGATCTTTTATGCTCAAAACTCTTCCCAGCTTATGGCTGGTGATTGACAATAGTAGTGGACAGATACAAGTTTTTCAAAGGCCAGTGCTAATACCAATAATAACGGAGCAGGTTGGCCAATGGCTGATATATAGTGACAATATCACATCGTTGTTTATTTATATATGTGCTGATAATAATGCTTACAAAAAAATCAAACACAATTTCTGAACTTGAGGCTTTATGTAATAAATGTAGATGGAAAATTAATTGGCTCAGTGAAACATCATCACATTAGTTTTACTAAAATGCATTATTGTCAACATTATAACATCAGTTATATTAAATATAAGCCAGTGCCTTTATTCGATTTAATAAGCTATCAAATGCGTTTTTATTCAGAAAGATAACAGCGATATTGGCCTTGTGAGGGCCAATGTGAATGTAATGCTGATTGCGTCAAAATGCCATCAACTGGCCTGACTGATCAGCCGACCAGTTAATCGGCCTATCTCTAACTGATAGTGTCATAAATATTGCTCAAAGACACCTTTCCCTGATACTTGACCATCTCTGCTACTGCAGAGGTCATTAGGATTTCTTACAGTAATGCGCCTATGACTGGACAAAATACACAATGTGTCTAAAGTGTGTTGTATAAATGATTAAAATCTGGCTCATATCCAAATGAAAAGGGACAAACTGTTTGTCACTTATCATGTTTGCAGATTACAATGCATTATTATTTAAGATGACACTGATTAGTGAAGAGGATACATCCATCTTAACCCTAGAACACTATCGCCGGGTCATTTTCACCCGACCAAACATGTTTATGTGATTTTAATTATGTTGCGTTTGTCTGGGTATCATGGGTCTCTGGGTAGCTTTAGCATTACCTTTGACATCTTTGAAGGCATATTTGTTTACTTGATCCAAAACCTGCTTTTTCCTACAGGCACTTGTTCAGGTGATTTTCACCTGCCAATAGTGATAGAGGGTAAGTAGGTTTGGGTGGATTTGATAGCTGCATGTAGGGAATAAGGTCAGTTAAGAGTGGTCCTGGAATTTGTATGCTATCTTTATTTAGTACAGTGGTTATAAATAACTATCACAAAGTGATTTTCAAGGGAATTCATATGGTAATAAGAAATATTTGAGTCAGCTGGTTATTTTTACTCACTCAAAATCTGCCATATTTTGGTTCTTTCTCTTGCAGCTGTTATTGTGCCGAGGACCCTGAGTCTTCACCAGTGAAGACTGACATGCTCCAGGAATAAGTGGAAAAGAAACTAAGTTTACAGTTTCTATACATATATAGTTTTAGGAATTTTTTGTTCATGAATGCCTAATTTCAGTGATTTTGTTACATTTTTATACAGTCCCCTCATGGCACTTTTTCCCCCTCCGTTTGGACATTACACGGTTAAAAATAAAAGAAAACTACTTTAATTTGTCATATATTGTCCTATTTTGATGTGTTTTGATGACAAGTACTTTTTCTTGAGTATATTATTCCAGGTAAAAATCACCCGGCGATAGTGATGGTGTTAATAGTTTTAGTGATAGTGTTACCAGTTCTAACATAGAATAGAGTAACTTAGTATATTTTTACCCTTAAATGTTTACAAAAGCCAGATGGTGTGAATGTCTGTCTAGTGTTGCCAGATTTTTTTTTCCAGTGGGGGGTAAATGAAGGTTCTTAGCTGGTTCACTTTCACTGTTATATAATACCTGTATCACAAATGACAGCTGTGACACATGGACATTGCTGTGTTATGCAAATCAATAAACAAAACTTCTAAAATTCAACAAGTGTGCAGGCTGGAAAAAAAACCCTCCATTGCACTGCTATGCCTGGACTGAAGTGCTCCTCCACTGACAGACGAGGGAGCTGATATTGCTGACGTGTTGCACCGCCCCATCATAGTAAAAACCAGAGGCGATCTTATCGAGCTCACGCTACGAAGCCAAGTAAGCACAATGGCGCACTCCAAACCACAATAAGCCAATATGTTATCTGTCATATATACCCTCATCTATCCATCAGACTATGAGACTGGTTCACACTCAGCTCCAGAGTGTGACTGTGCTGCGGTCTGCAAGTGAAGACGGTGCCACATAGACAATAACTGCATCTGAATAAGATGAATTAAAATACACACATGGTGAACAAATGACGTTCAAAATGAGAAAATGTGTGTTTGTCTTACCGTGTAGTGAATTTTTAGCGTGTCTCCCATTCTGGAAAGTACAGAGCAAGTTTCGGGTCTCACCTTAGGGTCAGAGGAGTTCACTGTTAACGCTAGAGAGCATTCATTTGGTGTTTTTGTGTAAGAGCTGCTCTATTATTGCAGTGTGGCAGAGTAAAAATGAGCCTCTCTCTCTGTCTCACTCACTCACTCACCAGGGTCTCCACCTGCAGCTCCTCGATGGCATTTTCTTCTCCCCAAGCGAGCCTGCAGGTAACAGCCAACAGCAGGAGCAGAAAGGCGATGGTCTTCATTGTGAACTTCTTGGAGAGAGCTGCCATCCAGCAACTTCCGCGTGGGCTCTTTTACACGGCTGCAAACCGAGAGAGAGAGAAAGGGAAGGGGAGTGTGAAAGGGGGGAGAGAGAGCGAGAGAGAGACGTCGACAAGTGCGACCAAAATGGCTCAGCCTAGCGTAATGCTGATGTGTTATAATGCTGTAGCGATAAGAGCTAGTATCCCGTGGACATTGCCCCAACACCTGGGTCTCCCTGAAGAGCCCGCCTCGAACATTCCCACAGCATCCCATTTACTGCCCCGCCGCCGGGGTAGAAACGGAAGCGAGGCTCACTAGAGCCGCTGGGGGCGGTGCTGAGCAGCTTCTGCCCGGCTCTGCTTCAGCTGCTTCTCGGTGCTAAAGCTCCTACAGGCGGCGGTCGGTCATATCCTGCAGAAACGTGCTGCTAACACGCCACGTCGCTGTTAGTCCTCATGGCGAGACAGTAGCCCTCAACAAGAACAAGAACACACTACTATTAAGAGCTGCATTTGGTATATCCATACATGCATTTCGTCTCGTCAAAATACATCTTACAAGAAAGAAAGGTCATTTTAAAGGTTTATTATTATTATTATTATTATTATTATTATTATTATTATTATTATTATTATTATTATTATTATTATTTAACCAGGTTTGTCCCATTGAGATCCAAGATCTGTTTTGCAAGAGACCTGACACCACAAATTACGGCCAGAAAATTCCATTTTTGTTGGAGCTGAAATGTTTATTTCACTTAATACTGAAAACCCCCCAAAATCGAAATGCCCTTAAAATTTAACAAATATATTTGTTTATCTTGTTTGATACATAAGATGATTTTTGAAACTAATAAACTATATGTGCCTTAAAAGACACATATTCATTTTCATATATTAATTTATTTAAGCTACATTTTTCCACAGCATTCAGTTTAGATACTGTAAACGTCATTCTTCCACAGAAAAATGTCGTCCCCATAATCATTTGTGTATTTTGTTTAAAATTCAGACATTCAGCAGATGTGATAAATTACAGCAATCATATATGAAGTGATCCTTATTTTGAAAATCTGTCATGTACATCATGGCTCGTGATTGTAGATTCCTTAAGTGAGAGTTTATCCCATTTATTTTTTATCCCAGATATCAAAATGCTACTTAATCGTAAATAGGCTATTAAAATATCCATGATGATATTCTTCAGTAGGTACTAATAACTGGTACTTTTGCCAATTCTATGAATTCTTACTGTCCAGAATAAACAATTCAGATATATGAAACAATTTATTTTCCCAAGATAAACTCCCATTTCACATAATAACCACTCATAGCTTCATGCTCAGAAATCTAAAACTAAAACTATAGTCCAGATATTCCAGATTCCAGATTTACTTAACGCAGCTTCAGATAACCATAATAACTTGCAATGAGGTAAAATGTCATAACAGACAGATCCAGCTTTATGAACTGCAGAAATAGGGTACCATTGTAGAATAGGACAGAATAGTAAAACATGTATCGCATTCCCACAAGTAATTACGGCAACTGAAGATAACTGGAATTGTGTTTTTACTAGTCGAACTGTACTTCAGTATACCAAAAACCCTTTTACAATGTATTGAGTGTATTGTAGTGAAAATCACAGGCAGTCATGCTAATGACTCATAATAGGCTGAGATATTGTGGAGGATCAGTCTTAAAAAACAACAATAAGGTTAGCCTGAGTTTTCCCCAATTTGTTTAAATCATGTTGGCCTCTGTGGTTGCCATAAATTAAGTTGGGTGTTCCCAGTGTTATTGCTCTGTTGATTTTAAAACAATATGATGTGTCCTTGGCTCACCTTCTTGGCATCTGGTTATCAGGCCGGATGAGACTCGCTCTTGTATTACACACCTAAAGAGATTTGCACTTGCAACACATCACCTAAAGGTACCTAACACACACACTTCACAGATGCACAATTGTAATACAAATTGTAACACACATTTATTATGTTTACGAACACACTCAGCAACATAAAAGTGAGGAAAAGGAGAGCTCAGGCTCCTCCAAAGACTCTGGTCTAGACTCTGTCAACTGTATTGATTTCTATATCTGTACAACAGACACCCAGGCTGCTCTTCAGATCTCAACCTGTCTCCTGTGCATTGATTTACTGTATACTACACATATTTTCAACAACATAACTTGGGTTGTAAAAATGATTTTTATAATATTTAAAATAATAAAAAAAAACAATACACATGCAAGAATGACATTGTGGACGTCTGAAATGCAAATATTGACTATGAAGAATAAAACTGGTTCATTTTTTAAAAACTGATTTCTACCTTATATCCCATTTTTTAAAATCCCTATTGTTTAAAACATCAGTAAGATTTTTAATGTAATTAATGCAATCACCAGTGGTCAGATGGTAAAAGCAAATCACCCACCACTGTCATCAGATTTGGATTTAAAAGTTCCTGAGATCTGATTGGTTTAACGCAGTAGCTTACATTAAAGCAGCTTTTATCAAATAAGCCTACTTCAATCTGCTGGAAAAAACAGAAAGAAAAAAGTTGATGTTCAGTGTTGACCAGTTCTCTCAGAGTCAGAGCCTGCATTTTCTGTAGCTTCAAAATCAACAGCTTTACATATACTTACTTTCATTTGCCCAGGGGTGGCTGAAAACTGTGGTAGGAGGTTTTTGTTAAATGCCCATTTATGAATCAAAATGAAAATCTATGCAGAGCTTTTGAAACAGCAAAACAGATATCGTGATTTTACAAAAAAAGTGCATGAGTGTACTGTAAATTCAGCTACAGATCCTTGATTCCCTGGTGGGTTATATCTTATTTAAAAGGAACAGGTGACATCCAGGAAATCTGTCTGTCACAGCATCACTGAGGATGCTGTGACACATGTTTTTCACCTATGACTCACTTTCTTTTACTATTTTAGGTTGCAGTGGAACATATGAGCACTATCACGAGCAGATCCTTTGAGCAGAAAACCCCTGTGACGTGCATTCTGATATAAACAAAATGAGAGGGTAATGTTTAATAAAAACATTGACCATTCAGCTTAATCTTGAGATAACGGCAGCTTAAGATATGTAGAACGTAAATTTTGATAAATTTTGAACCATGGGTAACCCAATGATCTTTGGTCATGGCTCTAAATATGTACATTTTGGTCTGAGAACTCAGTTTTTCACTGATTGTCTTTGAGCCAGTCACATATAACTCCTACTTCCTGTAGTTTAACTTGTAACAATAAACCACAAAATGAAAAACAATAAAACCACCAACTGTTTCAAGTCCACTGTTTGCCAATCGCCAGCTGGATATCACAGAAGTTCACAGACTGCACTGTCAATACTGCAGGCTCATGTATTGGTCATTAGATTGGTTTTTAGTGTTGATTTTGGTAGATTTTGCTTCTGATTGAAAAAAGAAGAAAAAAAAACAGACAGCTCAGCTATGGGTCATGCATGTGCTTAAGCACCAAAGCACATGAAAACAACCATAGTATAATACAGTGCATATGATGTGATCTAAAATGACAGGTGATACAGATTTCTGAGAGTTGTAACACCAGAATGCAGTGCTAAAATTAAAGTTGATGATGGTGGTGATGAAAATAGCTTCCAATCCCACATTACAAAACAAGATATAAGTATAAAGTCAATGTATAGGGTTCCATTTTTACCCCTAACCGCTGATTCAAAATGGTTTTTCAGTTCAGAAACTAAGCTTTACTCTCTGTTTGTGCCCTATGAAAACATTGCACAAGTGTTATACAACACCCGAGACTATTTCACTGATACTTCCTGTAATCTTCACACATTTAGCAGGAACTTTATGTAACAGGATGTCTGGCTCAGTTGTGAATACGAAAAGTACAACTTTAGAGTTCTGATTTCTGTTTATTTCAAGTTAATTAAATGCCTATCATCAGCATGTTCCCTATTATAATTTTGCATCAAGTGAGAGGTTTTTTAGCTCATCTTTTGGAAAAACCTCCTGGACTGGTTTACAGCGTGTTAATGACGGTTGGTAGTGGTTCTTAATATTTTGTGTTCTGAACATAATGTGAACCAGTGCTGCGGTTTTCATACAGCATAGCATGATCAGCACCACATTTTTTTAAGAGTAGGCTTTTGTTTCCAGTGTGTATACCAGAGATGAAAACCATTTCTTTTTACCCCAACTAGGCCTTACTTAAAACCCAGTTCGCAAACTCAAATTGATTTAAATCAAACTATAGAGAAGTATTAAAAGATTCATATAAGTAGATTAACAAAAACATGGTTTTATACTAAATATACGTGGTTGCATAAAAGTAATATTAATTCTGAATATTAAAACAGATTATTTTTTATAATATGCAAGTAATTATAATAACTAACCTATTGAGTGCTGAGCAGGTAGCTTTGTGTATAAAAGGAATGTATTTATACAGATCTTTGTAATTTATACAAATAGATTTTTTTTTAATCTCTAATTTGCAAGGAAGGGGAAGGACTAAATAAGCTTTTTGCTTCATTCTGTTCCTTCTCAAACTGTTTATTCTTGACATACAGTACATATGTTGTGTTAATTTATCTTTGACATGTACAGTTGTTTGGTGTACATATGTATTATTTTGTTTGGTGTCTTTGTTTCTAGTTGGGTTTTTTTGTTGTTGTTCTTAAAATTTCAGATAAATAAAGAAGAAAGAAACTAATAATTTTAAGATATCTAAGAAAAGGAAAAAAGAGGAAAGGGAAACTTCACATGAAGTATTTATTGATTGTAGTTTAAAGGTCACTAAACTGGTCATTGAAATGGTGGGAGACCAAGTCACTTGTCACACCCTTTTTAGCGACGTTTGTGAATGTTTATCTTGCAATCTGAAAGAGATGAATAACTAGACACAATAATAAGAAAATGCATACATTAATCGGTGATATCCACAAACCATTTGTCCAAACCTTCATTCCAGTCATAAAATCCTAGTTTGGCTTTGATCCCTTGTTCTCGCGAGATCTCAATTGCTGCTGCGTTGTCTGCTGCAAAGTACCGTGAGACGTTCGATAGTGGACCTCTCGGTTGAGGTAAGTGAATAAACCGACATCTCCATCATTCACGGCGATAGTATTCTTGAAGGTCGAGCACCCGAGGAAAAGAGTGGCGTGTTCGATAGCCTCCTCCGTGGCTGGTTGTTTATCCTTGTTGATGACCGGGCGGAAGCAGCGGCGGCAGGCGGCTCTTTGGCAGCAGGGTGCCCGCTGAGGTGATGGGGAGGATGGATGAATGAGGTTGGTTGGGACGGCAGTTACGCTAGTTAACCGTAACGTTTCTATGATTCAGCGATTTAATGCAGACGAAGCTGATACGAGAGCTGATAAAACATTAGAAAATGCGAAAGTTGTGATGCTGAGTAGCTGAGATTAAGGGGGAACCGTTCTCGAAAGCTGAAGGATGTACGGGGCCGATGTGAATAATGGCTGTAACGTTACCTACCGTAGCCTCACCGGCTAACATAACCTGAGTAACATAACCTGAGGTGGTTACTACTTTCCTTATGGAGCTGTAAACCCCTCTATTGGAGGATGAGTGTCAAAGTGGTGATCCTCTTCAGCACCATGGACAGCCTCACAACCTGACGATTTGATAGAGTATTTTATCTTCTAAGGTTTACTGTATTAAGCACATTTATACTCTAAATCCCCGATTGGGACTGTGGACTAAGTCAAACAGACAAAAAAACTATTAACTATTCTGGAAGTCCTCGGTAGACAAGCATCCATACATTTTGTTCGCTCATTATTTACTTGCCAGATCTTGACTTCTGCTGTCAACACACGTACAGATGTTTGTAAAACAGTTTTTGTCTTCATTTACTCAAATAAAGAAGGAAAAAACAACCTGTTCCCCGTAACTAGGGCTGGGCGATATGGGAAAAAGTTAATCACAATATATATTTTTTTCCATATCAGTCGATATAGATATATATCACAATTTAAAATATGAAATTTGAGAGTGCTTATTGATAGAATTTCTTTTGCAATACAGTAATCCACTGAGCAATAGATGGCTATTAGACATCTAGTCTGTATTTAGACCTAATTTCAACCGTCTAGATTCTGTATATTTTTAGACAGAATTTAGACGTTGCACTTTAACCCATTATTCGATAACTATTTATTTCAAAAAGCAACTGTGAGTTGCATAACTGTTCTCCAAGTACTTAACCAAAATAATTATGATAGCCGTTGAGTAATATACAGTTAGACCTCTGTTAGCCGGCTAGTCTAAACTTGGTCTAAATTTAGATGACTAACAAACTTAAATTTTTAGACCTATGGTAGCCTGATTTTAGACCAGTGGTCTAGGCTACATTTACACGTCTATTAGACCTCTTTTAGACCAAAAAATGCTTGGTGGGAAGCTACTGCGTCTGTGAGGACTTTGTGTCTCTTCAGTGTTTTGACGTAAGGCATTGTGCTCATAGACTGTATGGACAAATTAATTCCGCCTTCTGCCAGTATATGGATTTGAAGCCAAAAAGCTCTCGGTAATTCCACATTTTTTTCTCCATTTCCTGAAATCAACATTGCACGGTAGCGTTGTATGCACCCCATCACTTGCGCAGATGCATTGTATGAATTCGAAGGGAGGGTCGCCAAAAGTCGCTGTAATGACGCTCGGCTCAAACAGCGTATCCCTCAGGTGAGCTATGCCATCTTCGTACGTCTGTAGGCTGTATCAAGTGTCAATCAAACAAAACATGAACCCCCTAATAACTTTTAAAAATGGAGCTGTACAGAAAACAGGACTTGAGCACAAACCAGTCTTACAATAACTACATATCAACATCGCAAGCAGTGGGGAAAAAAATGTATGTTCTGTGTAATAAATTTCTAAAGTTCGTCCACAGCTCAATAAGCTTTGCTGGCGGAGGCCGGATTTATGACCTATACTGCAGCCCGTCACCAGAGGGTGCTGTTCTCGGAGTGGCTTCATCCATCGAGGAGGCAGACGCTGTCCATTCTATATACAGTCTATGGTTGTGCTAGAGAAAGCAGACTGAATGGTCAGCTTTTTCGGCTGCACAGGCACTATGGGCTCCTTGCTCTGCTCAGGGTTTGTAAACTTTTGCATCTGCTGCGTGGCGCTGCTTCAGGTGGTGAAAAAGATTTGAGGTTTGTCCCGGCTTTGCGGGATCATGTACTCGAAATAATTTGAAGTAGACATTACTCTGCTTCATGTTTGACCTAAAAAAAAAAACAAAATACCTCCACACCACCGACATTTTCATGCCAGTGTTGTTGACGATGTCAGTATCTGTTGAGCCCTCATCTGCATTTTCTCAACGACAGTGCTGTTGGCTTCACGTGTTGAAGTGCTATGGTTGGGTGTAGATGCAGCCTGCTACTACGCAGTTGTTTGCTACTTGGTTCTAATTCAGCACATGATTGGTTCAGCATGAAGCAACTCCCCTTTTCATTGGCTATTCATATAGTCTTCCAAAACATGGCAGAATGCCAACAATTAAAAGGATATTGACCATGTTTTACATTGATATTGAGAGAAATTAATTTTCGATATATATCATTATCGTTCTGTTGCTCAGCCCTACACGTAACCCACTTTTACAGGAAAATGGAGTTCTTATAATATACCCATACCTCTGGAGAAATGTACTGACTGGTTGCATTCTACAAAGCCTATATCAATACCCATTCAATTCATTATTATTTCCAAAAGAGACACTTATACACTATGAGAACACTAATGTTATCGCATGATCTCACACTCTACTCTTAATAGATTACATTGATCAGCCGATCAGCTCATTAACACTCAAAAATGTACACCGTATCATGACCTGGTTCTGGACATCTAAATGAATGATTTTTTAAGCATGGTAAACATGATTATGATTGTAAAATGAATTATAATGTGCATATGCAGAAGCAACCCTGCTGATAGATTTTTAGGAATGATGTCACCCTCTTTGCAAACAACAAACAGGCATTAAACTCACTGATTAAATATTGAAGATCCATCGAGTCAGTGCAGCACAGAACAAAACAGAGTTCTTGTATTGACCTTGAAGAGACAGTGTTGTTTATGGAAAGTTGAATAACTCTTGTGTAAGTGTTAGATATGCTTTCTCGTGCCATTCCTCCTTCACTCTGCTCGTCAAGTACAGAACTCTCCAGAGAGCTAACTATTTCAACTTTGTGTGAGGAAAATGTACTTGACATGTGTTATACTTTTAATACTTTAACCCCAGTTTTATCTGTTAAGATGACAAATGTTGGGTTTTGGACATATACTGAATCTAGTCAGCAGAGGGAGCTCCAGATCATTTGGCATCACAGTCGGTGAACACTACAGTGTCCATTTCAGTATGCAGACTATGCCAGTAATCTGTAGTGTATGGATTGTTTACTATTTAGCCTTTACCAGCTACAATGAGACCATGCATCAGAGCCGCAGAGAGAGGGTCTTCTCCTGTCCCTGTTTTAGTCCAGGTGGTTTTGTGGTGCGGTTGTGTTCAAGCTGGGCCTGGTAATGTGGGACATTTTGCATTTGCTCCGGGGGTTGGCAGCGTTGACGTTGCATGCCAACAGTTGAAGGAAAAAAGGAAAGCAAAAGGGTTTCTGAACAGATTGTGCTGCAGCCTGCAGTCATGGCAATGACATGCATCATCTCTGACATGATGACTGAGTGTGATTAGCAGGACCCGCACCTGTCCTTTTGGTGTGCACTGAGAAGTGAGATTTTCTGGCATGATGGTGTTTTTTAGAAGGGGAGCTGAAGGATGCACTCTTTGATATTTCAGCAAGGCCGTACAGACCAAGCATATTAGTAATCAGCATATCAGCATATTAGTAATCATCTCTTGAATTTAACATAGCAATAACAGCTTTGTAACAATCATTCATTTGAAAATGAACAAATGAGCTTTGATTAATATCACTACTGTAACTGATTAATTTAAGTTATATTGGGTCAATTTTGGGGCTTGAATGTATCAAAGTACTGCTTAATTTTGATATTTTTTGTAAGTTGTGGTTTAGGCCATTATTTTCATTAATCAGATCAGCTATTTTAATGCCCTGATTACCTTGTATCTAGGCAACGAACTCCAAAGTATTACAAAATGATGATTTTTCTGTCTCTTTCAGATCTACTTCACTATCTACTCTTACAGAGCCATAAAAATTTTCAAGGGCCCTGGTATCAAGATTATAGCGCACACTTAAGTTTAAAAACTTTATCTAAATCATGGGGAACATTTTCGGGAATTTGCTCAAGAGCCTCATCGGGAAAAAGGAGATGAGGATCTTGATGGTGGGGCTCGATGCTGCAGGAAAAACAACAATACTCTACAAGCTCAAACTGGGGGAAATAGTCACCACAATCCCAACAATCGGTATGTAAAAGCACCATCCAAATATTATACTTTTCAGTCATTTAACACTTCTGTATATCTAACCTGGCTCTTGCTTTCAGGGTTTAACGTGGAGACAGTTGAGTACAAGAACATTAGCTTCACAGTATGGGACGTGGGTGGGCAGGACAAGATCCGCCCCCTCTGGAGACACTACTTTCAAAACACACAGGGTGAGCAAAGCTAATAGGAGGGTAAACATCAAACTGAGGAGCACACTCTTCCTCCTCTTTCAAAGATAAAAGTTGACTTTTTGTTCCCTTGTCTCCGTTTCAGGTCTAATCTTTGTGGTGGACAGTAACGACAGAGAGCGTGTGAATGAAGCACGAGAGGAGCTGATGAGAATGCTTGCTGAGGATGAACTGAGAGATGCTGTCCTCCTTGTGTTTGCAAATAAACAGGCAAGAAACTACACTATTCATCATACTCACTGTACTTATGAATGAGTACACAACAGAGCTAGACCAACTGAAGTAACAAGCATCCTCCGTACTGGTGTCTCTTGGACTTCAAGCAGCAAAATTATTTGGGATTTGATTTATATTGCGGCTTTCCTAGTACCTTTAAAAAAGTCGCTTGAGGTCCCAAAGAAGCATCCACAGTTCACTGAAGTTTTCGGAGCTTTAATAACAGAAAAAACGCTTCCACAGTGACCAATGATTACACGCGCACATCAGACAGAACATGTGTACACTTTGCGACGTGTATCATTGCAAACAAAGAACATAAAGCGCGGTCAACAAAAATTACGGCTACCTAGGCTCACCTCTCCACCCCTTATATAACTTACCGGCCTTAAAACACAGTGCCCACGTGACCCAAGCCCAGTGAAACCAATAGCAACCAGACAAAAGTAACTGAACACAGGATAACCGATAAGCAAAGCAACATTATGACTCCTACAATTTATATGGTATAATGTTGTGAATCTGTAAAAAAAACTGGGTTTTTTTGTGCTTGGATTGATTACTACCTTTATTACATTGTTACATTTTAATGGTCCAAAAATGATAATTTTTTATCCTATGAAATTTTCATATCAATGTGGGATTTTAGCAAGATTTAAAATCATGACCTATGCCAGGTCATGGTGGCAGCACACAGAGCAAGCTGATCTGTGTCTCCAACATTCAAGCGCTTCACCAAGGGGTTCCAAGTTGGGGTCCAGGCCAGTGTGTTCTGGATCGACCCCAGAAATCAGCCTTGTTTATGGAGCAGGACCAGTTGACAGTGTTGGGCGAAGGGAGCAAAGCCTGCTGTGGTCATTGTTAGCTCCTTATCAGCCATTCTTGTGTAAATAGTGCCCTAGCTTTAGCTTGCCTAGGCTAACAACAATTTAGGTATGCGGGAGCAGAGGGTGTCCAGGTTAGCAGGGTGAGAGGTGGATAAGCACACAGGTTATCCAATTATTTTTTTCCAAACCCAAATAATATGACTAGGTAGACCTTTCAGGACTGCAGGACATCTTTTCTCTTGTTTTTAGGGAATAAAAATGATTTTTAGATATTTTTTTATTAACTTAAGGACTGTACTCTCTGCTCACTGACCTCTCCTTACTTTGACAGGACTTGCCAAACGCCATGAACGCTGCAGAAATCACAGACAAGCTGGGTTTACACTCCCTACGTCATCGTAACTGGTACATCCAGGCCACTTGCGCCACTAGCGGGGATGGTCTCTATGAGGGTCTTGATTGGCTGGCAAATCAGCTCAAGAACAAGAAATGAGAAGAAAAAACTGGATCATACCCGCCCCCTTTTTTCTTTTTTTTATTTGTTTGTTTTGGGAAATGGGGTGCAAGTTTGGTACAGGGTTTGCATTGATGGGTAAGTTCAAGATGTAGGGTTTGGGATGTGGGATCGTCATTTCCAGTCACTTGAGGTTCGTGATAATTTTCAGTGCTTATTGAAAACAGATCTACTTCAATTTGAATCACACACACGCACGCATACACACATAAACACATAAACACATAAACACTCAAATGCACACTAACTGTAAGCAATCATCAGACACTTGCTTTTCCTGTGTCCACCTCTTGTCCTTGGGTAAAATGTACTGTATGTTAGTCTCTAGGTGCTGTACCAAGTCACATGTGACTCCACTGAGTCAGCTGAATCAAGTCAGACTTGTTTTTTTTTTTAATGTGTCAGTCATCCGTGCGAGGAACTTTTCTGTGTTAGTTGCACTTCCTCTGTTTCTTTTCCTTTTCTTCGGTGTTACAGAGCCATGTTTAAGAACAATCACAGCTGGCAGTCAACAAAACTTACATAAATGGTGTACTTTCCCTTTAATTTCTGAGTACAGCTGATGCACTTTGATACTCAGATACATGCTGTGAGTTTGTGCAAGCAGCACCCGTCTGTATACTAATCTCACACGTCCTCCTGACTGCCTCATTTTAAGTATCCTTTTATATCTGTAGTATGTGTCTGATCTTTATGTGTAAGAACCTCTCATGGTACTTTAAAACACACAATGCTTAACTGATTGCCAAAGTTGCATGCGTCCTGCCTAACTTTGCTGATGTTGTGTATGTTCCATCCTTGGGACTGCAAGAAAACTAACCATACCGACCAATTACTGCGTTAGATGTCAGCATTGACGCAGTATATCCAGCTTTGACATCGAAGAGTTTTCTTTGTCAGCCTGTAAGTGCATCCACTTGAGGCCTCAAAGTGCATCAGGTTGCTCCTGGTATTCGTCTCGGACTTTCATATCTGGTGGGTGATTGTGTTGCCAATAACCTTTGTGTTACTGAATGTGAATATTGTTCATGGATCTCTTTCTGGTCGTGATATTTATTTGACCTTTCTGTCAGTGGTGTGTCAACAAAACCATGTGAAAGACAGCAGGTTCATTCATCAGCACATCCACAACTCACTTCTGAACAGCAGACAACTTACTGAGTGACCACTGATACCAGCAGAATCCACACGCTCCTGTCAATACAAATATTTCTCTGTGCCATATATGAGTTTAATGACAGTACAACAAACTGTAAGTAAAAACCTCAGATCTATGAGTGCGTTGTTCATATTCAGCATCTATGGTATGTTTAATCATAAGTTTGATTGTTTGGGTTTTGTGGCCTTATATTTAGTGATGACTTTAATGTTTTTGTTTCTGATTATGTCACATATATTTATCTATAAAGAATGATTTACAGATTTATTTCTCTATGCCCTTGAGGGGTTTTGCACCATGGTTAAGGATGTTTAGGCAATCGTTAGGTCTTTCTGTTTTGCCAGTACACTTGATTCATAGTTGGTGGTAAACTTCTTTGGTTTGATTTGGTTTTCTTTGAGATGTAGGAACTTTGATGTAGACTATCTGTGATGAACAATGATAAATCATACAAAGAAAAAATAAATACTTAAAAATTACTCCTGATGATTCATTCTGTACCTTTATAGTTACACAAGTAGGTTTAAAAATGATGATACCTTGTTTCTGTCCAGGAAACATCTGTATTTGATGTAAGACAACAAAGTCCTGCTGTATTACAAATAAACTCATTTTCCGTATGACCCGTCTCATCAAGTCTGAGTGATTGTTATTCAAGGATTTCTTGTGTGTAACTCCAAAAGGATTTTAAAAGAGGCTTTATTATGGCAAACTTCTACCAGAGGAGGGCAGTCTTTAGCAACAATCTTTATCCAACCTAAGACATGTGACAGAACCTTGACATGGATTACCACGACATACTTTGTTGATCTGTCATGTGTTTATCTGGAGGATGATGGCGTAAATTTTACTCGTAGGCATAAAATTGGACACATCTTGACAAGGGAAGACAAAGGAATACTTAAAGGGAAAATAAACTACAATGTAAAGAGAAATGTAGTACACAATTTTAATAAAGGATGACACACCAAATAAAGAAAGGCTTTTTTTTTTAATATTTAGAAGCACTGTGGGGCATACGGTTGTGTTTAAATCATGTTACTTTTTTAATGGACATGATAGATTAAAAGTTCACAGTCAGACATGGAAAAATACCCAAACTATGAAAGGCGTAGAGTAATTTTCAAATCTATTTTATCTCCATATTTCTGTGTTTGTCACACAGTTGTAATATCTGGCCTTGTTTTTTTACTTTTGCATTTATTTTTATTGTTTAGACATTGTAGGAGGTGTCCTAAATGTAAAGAATCCTAACAAATGCTGATGTTGAGGAATGGAGTCTGGCACTTAGCACTTGAGTGTGAGCGTGACACTTTGTTTTAACGAGCAGAACCTCAGAAAGACTCTGTTAATCCTACCAATTGGTTATAACCTACTTTGTTTCACTGAACTTCTCCTGTCCTCACTGGTTTGTGTTCCTAAGGGGACAAAAAAGAAAGAACTTTTTTAAAAGCTACTTCCTGGTTGTGGTGAACTATTAACTATCTGTTTTGAACATGTTGGAATGACTGACTAGAAACAGCTCTTTCTAATGAACCGGTGACCTCTTTTGTCTTTTAGATGTGTAATTCCCTGTAATTAAAGCCGTTCACATTGAGAAACAGTATGTTTTTCAGAGCATGTTTGTGTGTGAGACAGACAGACTTGAGGCGCAGGCTGAGCCAGTTTCCACAGAGCTGTTCAGCAGGCTCACCAACTCCTGAAGGCAGACAATTTTTGCATGACGCTTCAGTGACAAGATATGAAGATGACACAAAGATAAGATTTTCTGACCAGACTTGATGTTTGTGTGGGTAGAAGACAAACTTTTCTGCTCTACAACTTGACTTAAACATCATCAACACTGGAAGAAATTTGAAACAACATCCAGAATGTCAAACTTCTGAGTTCAACCATAAAATCATGCAGTAATAGAGTGATGCAGCAATAAAACAATCTGACATTTCCGGCACGAAGGAGTGGAGGGGTCAAAGCCCAATCTTGGTAAACTGATATACTCCCAATCATCATTATATGTGGCACTAAAAAAGGACCTGAACAGAAATAGTCAGGGCATGTTGGGCTTTTTTCAAGTGACTACATAAAAGTGTCTTTTGTTGGTTGAAGAAACACAATTTTAGTCATCAAGGTGAAAATAAAAAAGCTGTTTTGTTAATGATCCCTTTGAAGAAACTTTATAAACTGTCATACAAGGACAAGCAGGTATATATTTCGTATTCATGTCATTTTCATATCTTGTGTTAGTGCAGAGTTATAAGCAATTAAATAGAGAGTGTGAACATGTGACATATTGCCCCACCATCAGGTTAGTTGTCTCACTACATGGGGTAAGATGTCACAGTGGATTTTGCAGCTAATAAAACAAGGACAAAATTATTATTACAAGTCAGGCACAGAAAATGTTTATCGTTGAGCTAGAAAAAGTCATTGAACATTAGCCATTAAACAATCGTTAACATAAAATATTATGCAACATGCTCTGGAGTTTGGAGAGCTGTCTGACTCGGTGAATGCTTTTGCAGTACCAAGCCAAGGTATGGTAGTTAACATTGAAGTCCTCTATTGTACTCCAGATTGATTTATTAGGTAGGGTCACCTGTCTAGCTGCCCTCAGCATCACGTCAGGAACTGTACTACCATGTTCTGTTTTTCTTGTGTAATTCCTGATCTTGCCTTCTCGCTTTCTCCTCTCCTTTAAACCACTCTTTTCTCTGTAAAAATAAATTCAAAATTTCATTATGATTGACTGCTGATAAACAGACTCTCTGTGTTAATTTTAACCCTTTTAAACATGTGATAACTAACCCCAAAATGACTGAGACATGTTGCTTCACCCAGCAAGGAGGCAGACAGCGTCTATTCTATATACAGTCTATGAACAGGACACGATCCCTGACCATGTAATGGAAGAAAACTAGTATTCCACTTTTCAGTTGCGCCCTCTGGTAAGACCATGTGACAACAAGCCCCGGTCTCCCCTACTTTCTTCTCACTGTGTCTGCACCAACCACATAGGTCAATGCTTCATAAAATTCAAACCATAACAAACCATATTTAATATTTTGAGGCTTGCACTGTTGTTAAAGCTCTGTTATGTTAAAAGGACTCAGTGACTGGTTACAGTAAAGAAAAAATGAGTGTTTTCACTTCAGCAGAGCAGTAGACTCACACTGCATGCATAACAATAACAACAATAACAGCAACACACCCTTTCTTTTAGTTTTGCTTTAGTATTAGGAAAAAATGCATGTTTTTAATGTCACCATCAGGTTTTTTTTCTGGTTTCTTGATCAGTTGTATGTTCCTGTCTAGTTTTCCTAACAGCAGGCAGGTCTCTTCTGTTGTTGGATAAATCAGTGCCAGAGAATCAGACGCTCGCTCCTCTGATTGGCTGCTCGCTGCGCTCCAATCACTGCGCTGTAGTGATTTCTCTGTCGCAGGCTCGTAAAGTTACGGCTCAGTCAATTGTCAAACAGGGAAAAACAACGACACGTTTTGACCACTAAGCCGGATATACATTTTCAACTGTGACAAGAGTGAATAAAACAAGTGCTGCGGCTGGAACCGGATTAACCCAGGTTTACCTCCTCTGAATGGACTCTTACCTTTTTTAGGCGACTGTGGAAGTTTTTCTTAGCGAATACAGAGGCTGGACTGCCTTTAAGTAATATGAATTTAATGTTTATTTGAGACGTCGCTAGCTTGGGAATTTGAGAGGATGTCGGCCGCCCCCCTCACCAGGAAGGTGTTGCAGGTGCTGTGCGTCCTGCTGCCGTGTGCTCTCCAGCTCTGCAGCGCGCAGACGCAAGAAGGTAGGCTTAGAAACACCAACATTCACATTCACTACTTACACTTTTTTGTGTGTGTATAAGCAGAAAGTAACACATAACATGATTATAACACTTGTGGTGTAGTTTTCACAAATCCTGGTGCGCACTTTGATTGGAGCTGCGGACTCCACCGCGCGCTCTGATGAAGCACCTGTCTCGAGTCCCTCCTACTCCCTCACAAACATCAAAACCTGTTCCGCACACGTAAAACTTGTTTGCCGTGAGTCACTTGCGCCTCTCCCACGGCTCTGTGTGCTTTATCGTGCTTGACTCAATTGTTTCAAGGTTTTTTCGACACAGGGCCCAACCTTTCTGTTGACTCACAATCACAGTCAGACCCAAAGATCTTCGTCTCTGTGAGGCTCAACTCCTCCTGTACTTTAGCTAGAGGCGTGACACGTTCTTCTGATTTCTTTGTCGTTTAAAAAACAACACTAGAGTTTCTCCCCTAAACAGGCTAGTTAGAGTACAAACATATTGGAGACACATTGGAGCAGAAAGGTCTCTTTGGGTGTTGTTAAAAACCTCAAACATACTAGGCTTTTACTGTAAAGTTTAAACACAGTTGATTGAGGTGAAGCAATTATCTGCTATGTGAAATTTTGGGCACTTTATTCTTGAAAAATGGATTGCACACTAGAAGTTTTGCAAATCCTATATCTTTGCAGATGCATGTATCTTTCTATTATTCTGCAGATCAATATACAAGTTTTTGTATATGAAATATTGAATTAAAAAAGAAACGTTGAATGTTGAATTTACTATTTAAACTTTGCATCACCATCTTCTGGATGACAGAACTTTCACAGACAATTTAAATTTTTGAAAAATCAAGTAATTGACAGGTTGTGAAGTGTAAGTAACTTAACACAAAAGTTGTACAGGCTAAAACTTTTATAAATAAAACTTGGATGGCAAAGGAGTGCTATAAGTTTCTCTATAACATGGTGGAGTTAAAGCAAAACTAACACAAATGGTAGGGGAGAGTGGGGTAAGATGAGCCATTTTTCATATTTCAGATCACTACATCAAGGCAATCATAGTTTTGTCTCTAACTAGTGTATATTTTAAGATGTTGTGCATCTCTGCAAACCTACAGAATAAGTGTAAACATAACTGTCTTGATAATATAGCATGTATAAAAAAAAAGTGTTCTCCTATGGTCAACTTACCCCGTATATGGGGTAAGTTGACCATAGGAGCAGGGTAAATTGAGCCTAATTCAGACTAATTCACTTTCAAGAGTGAAAAATGTTTTTTGTAAATAAATGTCTAACCCCTTCACCCATGTTCTTCTAACCTTCACAGACTCCATGAATTGATGTCCATTTCCTAAATATTTGGTCACATGATCAATTTCTTTTACCATTTACAAGCAACAGGGGGTGGCTCAACTTACCCTCTGGCTCAACTTGCCCCAGTCTCCCCTATATGGAGTTTGCTACTTGAGTGTAACACTTCAGGAAATTAACTCAATAGCCTTTTTTACTACCTGTGGATGGTAATGTGTTTGCAACAAAGAAAGCTGTTATGATTTGAATCGTGGCAAGGCTCTGTGAACTTTGACCTCCTGCTGTTGTTTACATTACCTGGGCACAGGTGAGCTGGTTGAGTGTGAAAAACAACATGAGGTCATCATCTGTGACTGGGTGGCTGATCCTCAGGTGACAGAACCAAGCGCTAAAACTACAAAAGCCCTGTTTGGTCACATGAGGTTAGATTGTTTTCAACGGACTGAGTCAACATGGCAGTATACAACATTTCACATAAAATAAGCTTTGTTTATTCGGTGTGCACCCTGTGTTTCACAAAGGATAATCAATTGCATCAATGTTAACCCATGAGGCTGAAGTATTAGTCAGAGAAACCTCTACTGTTCAGGTCTTTGACATCTTAAACCAAAGACATGATCACTCATTGCGTCTTCTCTTGTCAGCCCTGGTTGTTAAACCAGTTGTTGAACAGGGTTTTGTTGTGCAGTGATCAGGCAGTTGTGAAACATGTTGCTGTTGTTTTGTTGATCTAGAAAGTTTCAGACTACGCACATTTGTTTGAACATGTCACATTACCGCAGATTAAATCACCTGGCCTTAGAATAACTAAAAATCTGTGCTTTGATTTATTTATTTTGCATATTAGTGCAAAAGGAGTGTCCTTTTTGCTTCAACGTAAGCAACAGGCCTGTCCTTAAGGAGTCATCTGCCCTACAAAGACAGGTGTTGCCATGTGTCATGGGTGCTTTTGACATAATCCATTTGTATGTTTATAAATCATAATCGCTGCAGATGTTTGTCACAAAAATTCAACATAAAAAACAGCCTCTTTGTAATGCTAAAGTGTGACATCCACAGAAATGCTGCAGATTTACTATAAAGAAGGATCTCTGCTCAGTGCTAGAAAGAAAAAAAGGCACACAACCTGTGTCTGTGAACCATGAATGCACCCTGAAATGTAATAGTTAATGTGCTCATGTGTGTGTGTGCACATGTGCGTGTGTATGTGTGTGTGTGTGCGTGCGCAAGTGCTCACTCATCAGGTATGCAGTAATCTCTGAGTGTCCTGTGCCAAGTTTCTGTTTACCTCAGTCATCGTCTCAACCGCTTTATTTGACTTGTTTATCTCCTCCCTCTTTTCTTTTCTTTTCTCTCTTTCTCCTTTTTTTTTTTTTTTTGTCAGAGCTGTAACCGTGGTAACTGTCGAGTGAAAATAAGAGCTGAACATGATCTGTGTTGTGTGTCTTCATCATGTGTTCAGTTTCACTTTGCTGCAGAGGACAATGACAGCATTCTGCCCTGAGTTAGTTTTACATTATAAGTTTGAATGATGGAATAAGTAGGAATGAAAGGTTGACATGTTGCAGTTTATGGACAAACATACACAGAGTAAAGTGTCGGCGGAGACACATATTGATGCACTGAAACACTTGTTCAGCTCCATCAAAATAGAGACATTGTGCACAACTCTGCATGTTTTCTCTCCATCATCCATCTGCCAACACTGAAAGTCCTCCTTTGACAGAGAAAACCCACTCAGCCTGTTCACATTTCAGCTGCAGCCTGTGCATTGTGCGTGAGGCTGACATACTGTTTTGTAGCGTACTGTATGTGTACACAGTGCACCGTTTTGTCCTCCTCCTCTGTGGGTGGTGCCTGTACAACACGCATACTGCCGTGTGTTAAAGGTTCTTGAATGTATGTGTGCAAATGCTTGTGAGTATTTCCCAACAGGCAATTCATACGTTGTAGAGTCAACAGCTCAAGTTATCCACTGATAGCACGGAGCTGCTCGACTTAGGCGGGGTAACTGACGAGCTTCAGGCTTGAGTGAGAAGCTCATAAAGCGACACTTTTCAGTTTAATGGCTTTTAATGGGCGAGTTTTTTTTCAACTGTCAACGTGACAAACCCACAAAGAAGCTACTGGAGTAATCTTTGACATGGATATTTACAGATATGTGGAAAAATAACTCACAATTGAACGCAAACTGGTTCAATGGAGGGGGAATATTTTCACACTTTGTCTAGGAGCGGCAGTCACTGTATAACATCTTCACGACCCTGAGCAAAAAAGCAGTGTGACACGATAGTCAAATTTTTGCTCTGTAGTGTCTACACAATCTCAACAAACAAGATATGCCATTGTAATTGATCATTAGAAACAAACAGAGATGCTACAGTGCAGATTTTGTCACCTCCAGAAAGAGCCGGGCCCTGTTTTGTTTATCAAAATAGAACTGCTTTGTTGAAAGAGACTGATACGACAGTTACAATGGCAAAATCTCAACTAAAAACATAACATAGTGTATTTTTTATAGTTGCCTACTTTATTTAATGTTTATTAGTAGCAAATTCAACCTGTTCGACAACAACCCAAAATGCCTGAGTCAGACAAAGTTTAAACTATTCTCTTCTTCTCGTTTAATCAATATATAAACTAGGACTTTAACACCCTGTCCTCTACTGTCCTTCAATCTAGCTGCTAATTTAAACTCAGAGTTTCTGTTGCCACATGTCCAGATAACCCTGACTGCATCAACAGCTCACATGTCTCATTAGTAGCTTTAATTACCATTTTAATGATGTCTACTTTGGCGCGCCCTATTTAGACTCCGTTAATTCCAAACATAAGTCGTGATTCTGTTGTTCAGTGTGTTGAAAAATCAAAAGATGTGTATCCTCACATTAAAGATGTTTAAGTAATGTGTTTCATGAGAAAGTCATTATCTCTGTGAAGTACGTCTTGTACAGTACAGCACAAACAAAACTGGTTTGACTTTTGGAATTCTAAGTCGAGCAACAACATCAGTAGCTGTAAAACCATTTCTTGTGGCCTAGTGTTCTCAGAAACCCAATAAATCTTGTTATCAGGATTTTATGGACTTGAGGGCAGACATGCTCATTGCGTTGCTCTATTTCCTCTTCTCTTTCACACTTAAACACACATTGTGCTTTGACCCCCCTCTGTCACTTAAGAGTTAATAATTATTAGCTATTTTATGCCCTTGTTGATCCTGTTGTTCTGCACAGCCCCATTTTTGCTCTATAGTGTTCGGCACTGGAATGTGTTTGTGAGTGTTTGAGCGCATGTCCTCGAGTGTTGGAGTCTGTGAGTGTAGTTAAATAAACTTTCGTTACATCCTTAAAAACAGCAATTTATAATTCTTATTTTTGCCTCTAAGAGTACAAAGGTCTATGCAGCCATCCATGTATCTTATATTATGAAACTTTGCCCAGAGTTATTATGCACATCCAACACTGTACTGTGTAAGTATGTAAAAGGAGTTGAGAATATAATTGGCAGAAAACAAACCTTTTTTTCATTTAAGTGCAAATGAACATTTCAGTGCAAAAGCATGTGAAAACATTCAGTATTTTCACACAGTTTGAAGCATGGTTGCAGTAAATTTGATATTATTTACAGTTTTGCTTTCTGATTCATCACCCAGTGTGAATTTAGGACTATGTTGAGGACTCTGTTGTCTTTCCAGCACCAAATACAAAAAAATGTATCTATCTTAGTATGTGGTCTAAACATCATGTTTGAGAGGGACCTTTTTTCTGTCAGAGTTTGATGTTCTCTACTATGCAAAAACATCCGCATATGTGGTCATTTGCAGATTTCTCTCATTTTGAACTGAGGGCGTGAACCCATGAAAAAACACTCTCAACACAGGGAGGAGGGTTAGGGCTAGTGTGCGTCTTTGTGCAAAGTTTTGATTACTAGGAAACCCTGTAGTAAGCAGCGTTGTTGACTTCTCTTTCCTGTATTTTATCCCTGCTACTCCTCTCCCATGTGACATTTGAATGGCAAAGCAGCCTTCGAGTGACGCTGAATGGCTGAACTCCCACACCCCATAAACAGGGCCTCGAAAGTTTGTCTCAGAGGAGGACATGCCCTGTACACAATGCTGAGTTTGTCTCACACTGTTACAGGGAATTCATTGATATGCTGTGAAAACTGGAGACAACAGCTTGTTGAAAGTGACATAAAAACACTGTTTGTAAGAATTTACACCGTTTTTATATTCATGATATAATAATAGAGGAACAATTTATTTTTACTGTGATACCACAACATGAGCATTAGGGTTGCTTTTCTTTATTTTTTTTTACTTTGTGTCAGCAGAAGCATTTCCTTAGATCAAGTAAAAATGCTTTAACTAATAAATAACTCAGCACTGGCTTATAAATACAACATAAAATATCTTAACTATTTGTGAAAGATAATGTCATTGTGATCACAAAGATCCCCAAAATGAAGCATTAAGACTAAGTTATAGCATTTTGCTTGGCTGTTCTATACGGCGGACAAAACCACCAGGATAACTGCGATTAATGATTAAATACATGATAAGCTTTAAAATGCGCTTGTCTATCCCACGGTTAAATCTGGATTTCAATAGATTCAGCTTTAAATCTGAATTTTGGACATAACCATACTAGTTTGACAGAAATGTGGACCCACTTCTTCTTGCTGTGACCTTTAGCCCACAAAGTTTCAAGCTTTAATGGAAAGTTCATTTTGTTTAAGGATCAGCTCTGAAAAACAAAAGGAATCTCTCAACTTGTTACGAACAAAACATATAGTGAGCAAAATTTACTGCTTTGTTTCAAGGCTGTTTTTGAGTTATTAACAAAATTGATAATGGAGGACCTAAACTCTATTTACAGTCGAGAGAATTGTGATTTTGTTTTTCAGACAAAGACTACAGATGGTCTACGTTACTGATAAAGAAACTGAATATTCATACTTGTCGGTTGAATCTGCGTATCAAATCAAATCTTTACATATTGGCATTAAACACACTTTTTAACAACAATGATTTTTTTATTTTTTCAGTGGTTGTTTGCTCCGGTACCCAGAATTTTCTGAGCACGACAGGAAACTCAGAGTTACAGTACAAGCAGATGAAGGAGCTGTACAGCGGCTGTGAGATTGTGATGGGAAACCTTGAGATTACCATGATGGAGCACGACAGAGACTTCTCCTTTCTACAGGTCAGACTATAAACACAAAGACATCATTGTACAGGAACATGTCTGGGAGGTGACCCGGGGTGGTATGAACCCCTAAAAACTAAACTTTGACTGGCCACCCCATGATGATTACTTTGTAGCCACAGTTTTTAACATCTAATTTTATATTGGTAACAATTTACAATCTACATAATATAGCTATGTAATAGGGACTAGAAATGTTTCCTTTTACTTTTATACTGTATGTGTGACACTCATTTTCAGTCACTATCTCATGTCTGGTATTGTGCCCAATGGAGTGGCTTGATGCTAACTTTAGCTGTCTGCAGTTAAAGGGTTATCAAACATGTAGGTCAGCCGGGAAAATATAACCAAATTTGCCTCTGAGTGTTGTTGTTTTGTGGTTCTTGATCCCCTGATGTGATAATGTGGTAAAAATTTGTTTGAATACTGCAAAGTCGACTAACAACCCGTAGTATGACATTACAGAGTCATCCTGAGTATGGCATAAGACATCACGTGAATTTTTGTCTGTACTTTACAGCGCAGTATATGGAGATACAACTTACTCGTGGAGACACTACATGGAGACATCAGAAAAGAAAAAAATATCTATCTATCTATCTATCTATCTATCTATCTATCTATCTATCTATCTATCTATATATATATATATATATATATATATATATATATATATACATATATATAAAGAGATGGTTATATATATATATATATACATTTTTTTTCTGATGTACAATGATGTCTCCATGTATATATATGTATATATTTTTTTTCTGATCTATCTATCTATCTATCTATCTATCTATCTATCTATCTATCTATCTATCTATCTATATATATATATAGATAGATAGATAGATAGATAGATAGATAGATAGATAGATAGATAGATAGATATACATACAGTATATATATTGACTCAACACCAGATACACAACACAGTAAAGGCCAATGAAACATGATTTAAAAGTGGTACAATAAAAGATAAGGACATGATTAAACACAACAAAAGCCTGATAAAAATGAATAGATACTAAAATGAAAAGAGATGGTTAATAGAGACAGAGAGGGAAAAAGTGATGTTTGTTTACATACACTGCAACCTCTGCATAAGTCAGTTCCCTGGATGGGACATCCCACGTAGAGAGTGTGGACACGCCCCTGCTGAAACAACAAAAAGTTCATTTTTCCCAGAACTATAAAGTATGTGTCATCGAGGACATCTTCACTGTTACTAGTCTAGACAAGGAGCTAGATCATTACCTTGAAGCTAGAAACAAACCACAACAGGTTGTTTGTCACCGACTTAGATTGATGTCATCTTTGTCTCAAGGGTACAGTGACTTCATGTATGTCCCAATCATTACCTTTTCGAAATCAATCACTGCTTTACAGTCATTGTGACTAACATCACAGGGAAAAATACTCAGTTATTGCCAGAAAGTTACTGATAATGATCAGTGAGACAAGTAAAAGTGGAAAAAAATAAAAGGGACTTTTTCTTGAAACCTGATGTCCTTCTCCTCATTATGGTTTTCTTACGCCTACAGTCCATCAGAGAGGTGACCGGGTACATTCTGTTTGCTGTCAATGAGTTCAGCCGTCTGCCTCTGGATCACCTGCGCATCATCAGGGGCACCACCCTGTACGAGGGCCAGTATGCTCTGGCCATCATGGTCAACTACCAGAAAGATGGACAGCATGGTTTGCAAGAGCTGGGCCTGACACACCTTACAGGTAACACAGCTCATCAGCCAGATTGTGTGTTTAAATCGTGGGAGGCCAGAGTAGAACAGATAAGGATGTGACACTTGGAGCTCCCACACCCACAAGTCACCACACCTGCAGGGTACCTGTTGTCAGAGCGGCAGAGCGAGGTCCTTGGAATGTCTAATTCAACTGCCAGTGTAACACGAGCTCTGGCTCATTACACTGTATGTGCTGTAGTAGTAAACAGTCGACAGTCAGAGTTTGATAGCGTGAGTCATGGGCATGTTCAGGCACGCCTTCAGTAATTCTTCTTCCCCGTTTTAACGTATGTTTGCCGCCCACAGAAATACTGGAGGGAGGGGTCAAGATCATCCAGAACAAGTACCTGAGCTATGCCCCCAAGGTGAACTGGCTGGACATAGTGAAGGATGGAACAACTCAAATTATGATCGAGGGAAACGGTCCTGAAAGTGAGTGGAAAAGGCATAATCACACAAATTAGCATCAGTAACCACCAGTTTTGATGTCAGACTGTGCTTTAGTTTATAAAGCTGCATCTTCTGATCATGAAATTGTCTTTTAGAGCCATGTCATGAAGATTGTAAAGACCTCGCATGTTGGGGTCCAGGAAATGACACATGCCAGTTCTGTAAGTAACATTAAAATGTCTTCATTTTTAATCCAATCCAATCTCTTTATTTATATTGCACATTTAAAAAAAACATTCAAGTTTACCAAAGTGCTGCACAATAAAATCAAAAGAACAGACACTGCAGAAAACATCAAGAGGAAATAAATAAAAGCAGGTAAAAAAAAAACATTTAAAATGAAATAAAATTAAAAGAAATAAAAACACAAAAGCATAAAAGAAATAAAAAGTGGTTAAAGGACCATTAAAGACATAATAGGATAGAGATCACACAACTCTCATGCTGAATAGTCAAGTCAAGGAATAAAAATGAGTTTTAAGAATGAACAACTTATTTCTTGTGCATTTAGTTATAAGAGCAACTTGGCTTGGAAAAGTATTGAGAATCTGTAGTAGTGTAACACTTTTAGTCCATTAATGTATACAATTTTGAATAATGTTTCTAAAAATTGAAAGTGAGGACAGAAGTTAAAGTTTGATACAAACAAGAGAGAGTGGAGAGTGACAATGACAGTTAATTGGCTTAGTTAATATGATGAATGAAATGAAAGTCCAAACAGCATGGCTTGTTTTCTGAGGCCTGAATTTAAAAAAGGGGGATTATGCTTTTTGATATTTACATGAAAAATTACAAAGTTACAGTGTTTGGTGTCCATACTAGATGTAAATTTTTAAATCACAAGGTAAGCGTTGTAATAATCCTAGAAAACAGACATTAACTGCTCAAAACGGTTCATTGAGAAACGAAGCTTTTCTGACCTGAAAACCATGTAAAGCTAGCAAAGAGGTTTTAGAAAGAAAATATGAAGTCTGAAAAAATCCATGATACCCCCACTTTAAACTTCACACTGATGTTAGACCTCATACAGTATGTCACATATTGCACATCACTCTTATTTTATTTATCATGAATTTAAAATCCATTCTCATTAGAAATTATTGGGGTAAAATTCTCAGCTGGTGTTTTATGAGTGGACATTGACTGTTTGATAAAAAAATTATGTTACCATGAAAGAAGTTCACCTTGGAATATAAAAGACTGATATCCCTGTTATGAAAGATGTTAAACCAACACACTCACACCTTTTCTTCCAGTGACAAAGACTGTGTGCGCCCCTCAGTGTAATGGACGATGCTTTGGCACAAACCCAAATGAGTGTTGTCACATTGAATGTGCCGGAGGATGCACTGGACCGCTGGACACTCACTGCTTTGTGAGTCTGCTGCTTTGAGACATATTTTAATACATGAGATGTTCTTATCTGGAACCACAGGAAGCCGAAGTGTGAATAATGAGGTTAATGAAGGTCAAATGATTTTAGGGTACTGGTACTGTATCACTGTGTGCACTTTACTGTGATAACTGAACACAAAATATACTCTGCCTTAAATCAAGAACTCCAATTGTTCTTTTCCTGAAACAACAATTTAAACAACTAATGTAAAAAAGGGATATCTTGGAAATGACTCAAGACATATCTACAAATAATGTGTTGTGTGTCATGTTTACAGGCCTGCAGGAACTTCAACAACTCAGGCTCCTGCGTACCTCTGTGTCCCCAGACCCTAATCTACAATAAACACACATTCAAACTGGAGCCCAATCCCAACGCCAAGTATCAATACGGCTCCATCTGTGTGGCCCAGTGCCCCAGTGAGTCCAATCACTCATAGTCACATGTCATCTATATGTACTCATAATCAATACTATTTTAATTCTGGTACAAAATTACAAGAGTTTTAAAGATTTTCCTAAAGCTACAAACCACTTCCACTTTTTTAAATCTTAACTTGTTCATAAAAATGTTTGATTATGTGATGTTTAAGTCTTTACTTAATGACCTCTATTGTTGTTGTTTTTTTCACCAGCAAACTTTGTGGTCGACAGCAGCTCATGTGTGAGCAGCTGCCCCTCTGAAAAAATGGAGGTGGAGAAAAATGGAGTGAAAAGATGTGAACCATGTGGAGGCCTGTGCCCAAAAGGTACGAGGACAGTTGATACGTCACAGTAGTGTTTTTATAACAACCAAAGAAGGTAATATAATGAAAGACTGAAATGACAAATGTAAATCAAAGTTCTGAATTCAAGATGTTTCTTTGTAAATGTGTAAGGCTAATATGAAATAAAAATCATCCATCAAATTGAATTATATTTCTTAAGAAGACATAGCTGATACTCTGGATTCTATTAAAGGCTACAGTTTTACTTTAAAAAAATGTATGCATGCTGGAATCTTACTTTGCAAAATCCTGTGGCTAAAGCTGTTGCATATATTTTATTTTTCCAGTCTGTCACGGCACAGGAAGTCCAACCAGACAGACAGTTGATGCTAGTAACATAGACAGTTTCATAAACTGCACCAAGATCCTGGGCAGCCTGCACTTCCTGGTGACTGGAATCGAAGGGTAAACAGAATTCTTTTGCATAAGTTTTCCTACTAAAATCCAAGGCCTTGAAAAGTATTTCCTTGAGAGCTGTGCTGGTGTTGTTTGTAATATGTCTCTGTTTATTCAGTGATTTATTTTTTTCTTCAAAGTGATGCTTACAATGGTGTACCAGCCCTTGATCCAGACAAACTGAAAATCTTCAACACTGTGAGGGAGATTACAGGTGTGTGTGTGTGTGTTTGTATGTGTGTGTCTTGGATTGTCACATTACAGTGTTTGCTGTCTGGTTCAGGCATCTGAAACTCAATGTCTCTCTTTCCAGACTTCCTTAGTATTCAGTCATGGCCAAAAAACATGTCAGACCTGTCAGTCTTCTCCAACCTCCAAACAGTTCAGGGCAGAACGCCATACAAGTGAGTCGTTTTTGTTGAAGCTCTGACACTTTTTTTACTTCGTAGACTACAGCCAAGTTCCTATTATCTCAGTAATTGTTACTTAAACTCATGTAAATAAATCTGATTGTCACTTTGTGTCATATCTCTTTCCCCGTGTTTAGAACAGTGAGCTCGAAAAGGTACAGTAAATGCTTCACATGTTTGCCTGCATCCACCTGGTGATTTAAAACATATGAAATAATGAAATTACTTGGTGTAGTCATAATTTATAAGGGTACATTAAAAGATGGGTTGTTGATTGAACTGGTGGTGGGCAAAACTCTCTCATGACTTAATGTGGGTTTCTTGCATGTTTGTTCTGATGGAAAGTGATTGTTTTACGCTGGTGAATAAAGCAGTGGCTTAATTTCTTTGTAGACTTTGTCCTGTACATGTTTAAGGCGTTTTTTCTGCACAAAACATCATCCTGTTGACTTGACTTACATACTTTTTCTTGTAGTGAAGACTTTAACAAGGTAAGAGTGGATTAAATGCCTCTGACACCGATATGGCAGCAGTTTTTTCAGGACCCAAAAACAGGAGATACTTTAAGAGATATTCTGGTGTAAAATTAAGTCAGGGTCAAACACACTGTAACACCGAGTAAGACACCCCTTCGAGAAATGAATTTCGCAGACCGCTTGCTTCTCTAGTTATACCAACTACTGTAACGGCTGCAGATAGCAATACAGAGAGCCACACGCTCAACCAAAACGCCACTCTATAGCCACAAATAATGCTCAGAACAGCACCTAACTTCATCAACAGTACATATAGGGTCACAGCCATAGTACTAGCCACCAAACATCTTTTCAACTTTGCCTGATTTCTTTAGCAAAGAAACTAAACACAACTCACCTACTCTCTTCCAGCAGCCACTTGTTTGTGGTGAGATCTCAGGCTAGTCCATCATAGACTGCAGCGGGGTGACGCAGCTCAAGGAAGAACATTTATGATCATTACTTTATCATTTCCTTAAAGTAATTATCACCATATTAATCATTTTGCACTGCAGACATGGTAGTTCTTCTGCCTTTGCATCTCGGTCTGATTGCATTCCCATGAGTTGTGTTTAGTCTCTTTGCTTAAAAAACTAGTCAAAGTTGAACAGATGTTTGGTGGCTAGTGCTATGGCTTGGACCCTATATGTCCTGTTGATGAAGTTAGGTGCTATTCTGAGCATTACTTGTGGCTATAGAGTGGCGTTTTGGTTGAGCGTGTGGTTCTCTGTATTGCTATCTGCAGCCATTACTGAAGTTGGTATAACTAGAGAAGCAAGTGGTCGGCGACATTCATCTCGGGTGTTAAACTCTGTGCTACGGTGTGTTTGACCCTAATCTAGTTTTACGCCGGAATATCCCTTTGAGCTCTTTTTTATGGCCTTATTGCTTTTGTTGGCCATTTAGAGACTTTACTATCAATTTCAGTCTATGGTTACATGGCCAGGTAAAAACATCACACAGGAGTTTTTACTGATGATCTGTTAGGGGTGAACTTAGAGATGAACTCGTGGAAACAAGATCATTTCTAAATGGCAACAAGAATCCATGATACACACTGTAACTATTCAGTTAAAAAACATGAGTCATGCATTCACTGTGCGTTGTATATTTTATGAATGTATAAGCTTTGTTCCCAGCCATAGAAATCTGACAAGCCAACTAGTCTAAGGAAATGAAAAAACAAAAGAAAAAAAAAGTTCATTTAGTTTAAAAGAGAGAGTAGACCAAGTAATCAAGCCCTAAAATAAGCTTTTTATTATAAACGTATGTTCTCTTTTTATTGAACTTGATAGAAAATGGGAAAATTGCCCCAAAACCCTGAGGCATGAAAATGAGTAAATACGTATTGTATATTCTAAATGTGCGTCTGAATGTGTGAAAAACAGAAACAGAATTCCCAGATGTTTTTGAGATAAAATTCCAGCAATTCAACACTTTTCCTTCTTCCATGTTAATCTATGGTCAACACAACATGTCACATTGTTGTAAAACTTCTATTTTCTTTCCTCCTTTTATCAATTGTTTCTTCCTTCAGAGGCTACTCCCTCCTGGTGATGAAGATCCCCTCTTTGACCTCACTGGGGTTGCGCTCTTTGAAAAAAATAAACGACGGCGGCGTCTACATCACTGGAAACAAGAAACTCTGCTACCATGACACAATCAACTGGACACGGATCCTGAGCAGCAGCTCCCGTCCACAGCGCCGGCAGAAGCACATCGACCTCAAGGATAACAGACCAAACAAACAGTGTGGTGAGTGGAGCGTAGAAGGTTCTGTTTGAGCCAGCAAGACTTTTTTTTCTTGGGTCAGGCTTTGATATCTTGGTGTTTTCAGTTGATGAAGGCCATGTCTGTGACCCCCTGTGCTCCTCTGATGGCTGCTGGGGCCCTGGTCCAAATCAGTGTGTGTCCTGTAAGAAGTACAGCAGAGGAGGAACATGTGTGCCGGACTGCATGTTCTTATCAGGGTCAGAAAAAAATCTACTTCAAACATGAAAAGTTAAAGTGTTTGTCTCAATATGAGGAATGTTTGCTGTAGTCAAGCTGCCTCAAGTGTTTCAGTGTTATCTAAAGTCTGTTCAAAGAGACTTTTTTCTTCCTCCTGAATGCAGGGAGAGGCGTGAATTTGCTACTAGGTCAGGGGAATGTATGCCCTGCCACCAAGAGTGTAAGGTCCAGGCTGGGAAGCAGACCTGCACAGGCCCGGTATGAGTTTCTCTTTCCTTTGTATTACTGCCACCTGCTGGCAAATTCCATTGATCAAAATCAGAGACAGTGTTGGATGATTTGAACCATGCCTATCTCTTTGTGAATTCCCACCTTTATTGTTTTTGTCTAACTTTGATGCCCTTCCCTCTTTTTAGGGAGCAGATCAGTGTGTAGCATGTGCCAGGCTGCAGGACGGACCTCACTGCGTCCCTTCGTGTCCTGAAGGCGTCATGGGGGGAGAGGAGGTTATCTTTAAGTACCCTAACAAGCAGGGCCGCTGTGAGCCATGTCACATCAACTGTACCCAAGGGTGAGGCTTTATCTGGCTCTTTCTCTCCCATTTTCATCCCTGTTTAGGTTTTATCCCAAACTTATTGGCAAACTTTTTTTTTTCTGCATTTTATCCTTAGGTGCTTTGGTCCAGGAATTGGAGACTGTGTTGGGTCCTCCCGCTATATGTCTGGGTATGTTACTCAGCTCAGTGTGCTGTTTAAGATAGTTCAGTAATTAACTACAGCATCAAATCCTGACAGTGTGACATCCTTTCTTCTTAAACAGACAAGCAACCACGGCCATCGTACTTGGAGTGATTGCCCTTCTCTTTGCTTCATTCTCTATTTTTGTGCTAACTGTTCTGTACCGCCGAGGCCTTGCCATTCGTCGTAAGCGGGCCATGCGGAGATACATCGAGAGTGGAGAGGTTAGTCAGAGTTTGGCATGGTCATGATGAAGCGTTGCATCTGTTTTACTTGTTTTAACATGTACTGTATGTGTGTTTGTGTGTCTTTAGAGCTTTGAGCCTCTGGATCCTGGAGAAAAAGGAGCTAAAGTGCATGTCAGGATCCTGAAGCCCACAGAGTTGCGTAAGATCAAGCTCCTAGGCAATGGAGTGTTCGGACAAGTCCACAAGGTAACAGAGGTAGTGGGGATAAGTCATAATGACCCTCCCCTTTCAAATTTAACATTAAATTAATAAATCTTTTTCTACCTCAAAGGGCATTTGGATCCCCGAGGGTGACACAGTGAAGCTTCCTGTGGCCATAAAGACAATTCACGATCGCAATGGACGGCAGACCTTCCACGAGCTGACTGAAGTAAGAAGACATACTTGATGGAGAAGGGCCTTTTTGTGTTATGCACTCACTGGTGGCAGTCATAAAAGTTGGCTCTGAAGTTTTGGCTATCTGGAAGTCACAAAAATGATGATGAATAGTCCTTTCTCAACTCCATTCAAGTTTGGTGATCTGGCACTTCTTTCTTTAGCACTAAGCCAAGATCTTTATGACTCATGGGCTGTCATTTCAAGCTGAATTCAGCCTCAAAATAAACAGTCAGACCATCGAGGAGTGATAATTTGTAACAGAGAGTTAGATTTGGGATATGTTCCTTTAAAACCTGATTGGTTGATTCTAATAACCCCTGTGTGTTTTCTGCAGCACATGATGACCATTGGAAGTTTAGACCATTTGAATGTGGTCAGGATACTGGGTATCTGTCCTGGTGCCAGCTTGCAGCTCATCACACAGATCAGTTGTCAGGGTTCCCTACTGGAGCATGTCAGGAACTGCAAAAACAAACTCAGTCCACAAAGGCTCCTTAACTGGTGTGTTCAAATTGCAAAGGTAAAGGACACATCTTTGTATTTCCACATGACTTCATTCACTCCAGAAACAGCTCAAGCCCTCTAAGGCATACCTTTTCTTCTTCATCAGGGGATGTATTACCTGGAGGAGAACCGGGTGGTCCACAGAAACCTGGCTGCCAGAAATGTTCTCCTAAAGAGTAACTACACGGCACAGATCTCAGACTACGGCATTGCAGATCTTCTTTACCCTGATGACAAGAAGTACTTTTACAACGAGATCAAGGTCCGCAGACTAGCAGTAAATGATATGAAATGAATGATATGATAAAGCAATCAGTAAAATGATCAAAGTTCAGTCAGAGGGCCTTTTGCATGAACTTATCGCTACACTGTGAGATATGATGCTGTTTTTTTCCACATTCACTGACCTCTTAAGTAATTAATGAAGACATTATCTGTTTAATTGTAGGCACCTATCAAATGGATGGCCTTAGAGAGCATCTTGTTTCGCAGATACACACATCAGAGTGATGTCTGGAGTTATGGTGAGACGTGAACCACCTCTCACCCAGTTTGATGAAATAATTACTTTTATGAAAACAGGAACATGTGAATGCTGAACTTACTCTGTTGTGATCTTTTAGGTGTGACTGTCTGGGAGATGATGTCCTATGGCGCAGAGCCATACTATGCAATGCGTCCTCAGGAGGTTCCTGATCTGCTGGAAAAGGGCGAGCGTCTCTCCCAGCCTCAAATTTGCACAATTGATGTCTACATGGTTATGGTCAAATGTGAGCGCCTCATAGCTCTCTATCTTTCTGTCTCTTCCACTTATCAGAACTGCAAAGTAGCTGCGTGTTTCCAGATTTTATGCAACACCATGCTAGCAGTCACTCTATGTTGATAATTTTATTTTCTATAATGCAACTGCAACAGTCTGACAATAAAAACAAACACAATGGTCAGAAATCAAATTGGTATTTAAGATGGCATAATTGATTCACAGCCACCACAGGCACTGATTGAGGAAGCGGTCACTGCCTGTATGATAGTGGCAGAGAAACCCTGAAAATACCACCACACCTCTGCACATGGAAAGCAATTCAATATGGTTGTTTAATAGCTTTTGTGTTTTTGTCTTCCAGGTTGGATGATAGATGAGAATGTCCGTCCAACATTCAAAGAGCTGGCAAATGAATTTACGAGAATGGCTAGAGATCCACCTCGCTACTTGGTGATCAAGGTAGGAAGGACTGCATATCTATTAAAAACAGCATTTACTGTTTTTTTTTCAATGGAATATCACAGTCTCCTTTTTCTGGATCTTGAGTAAGTGCATACAATATGCTGATCCATGTCTTACATCTGTCCCACCAGGAGGACTGTAGCCAAGTGGACTCACCTCCAGATGAACTTGCCCAGCGGAGTGCAGATCTAGATGACCTGGATGATCTGGACATGGAGCTTGTGGACCAGGAGGAAGGTGTGGTGGATAGCTTGACTCCGGCTCCACACTATCTGCCTCAGTCCAGGAGCCTTAGTCGTCTTTCGAGGCTGGACAATCAGCGAGTAAGAGACAAGGATCATGTTTCTAAAAAGGCCATTTTTGTCATCTTTGGAGTCTAAAACTGATTCCTGTATTTTCTTGTATAGGTGGCTCATGCTTCCTCAAATGTGGCAGGATATTTGCCAATGACCCCTGGAATTGACAACCTAGGGCAGGTAGGTCAAATAAGCTTTTTCATTACTGTCTCACCTTTATGTGCAACATCTTCAACTGAGTTACATTTTGTCAAAATACTTAGCACTTTACAAATGCAGTTCTACACTTGTGATTTTTATACAGGCCTCCTGGCAGTCACGCTCTCGTCTAAACTCAGCTCGAACCATATCTGAAAGCTCGGAGGGCTGCGGCACAGCAGTGGAGCTTGAGATGAGTGAGGGCTTTTTTCTGGTGGGGAGCCTGAAAAGGCGACGTTGCGGTGAAGACAGTGCTTACATGTCGCAGAGGGACAGCATGTCTGGTGGACCACCAGAGACTCCATCACCTGAGATAGAGGAAGAGGACCAGAATGGATATGTTCTTCCAGGAGACAGTCCAGAGAGAGGTAATATAATAATTCAAATATCACTGTCCATTAAAGGGATATTCCGGCGTAAAATTAATTTAGGGTCAAACACAACGTAAAACCGAATTAGACACCCCCTCTATCAATCAAATCAATCAATCAAATTTTATTTATATAGCACTTTACAATATCCCAAATGGTACCCAAAGTGCTTTACATAAAAGCAATAAAATAACACAAGAAAAAAAAAAAAAAAAAAAAAAATCATCTAGAGATGAATGTTGCCGACCGCTTACTTCTTTAGTTATACCAATCTTAATAACGACTACACGATAGCAATACACAGCTGTCTGAGGAGCCATAAACAAACCTCAACCAAAACGCCACTCTATAGCCACAAATAATGCTCAGAACGGCACCTAACTTCATCAACAGTACATATAGGGTCCTAGCCATAGCACTAGCCACCAAACATCTTTTTAACTTTGACTAATTTCTTTAGCAAAGAGACTAAACACAACTCACCTACTCTCCTCCAGCAGCAGCTTGTTTGTAGCGAGACCTCGGGCCAGTTTATTACCGACTACAGCAGGTTGATGCAGCTCAAGGAAGAACATTTATGATAATTTCTTCATGGAAATACAATCAGACTGAGACGCTAAGGCAGAAGAACTACCGTGTCTGCAGTGCAAAATGATCAATATGGTGATTATTACTTCAAGGAAATGATAAAGAAATTATCATAAATGTTCTTCCTTGAGCTGCGTCACCCCTGCAGCAGTCTGTAATGGACTGGTCAAGGTTGCGCTACAAACAAGCGGCTGTTGGAAAAGAGTAGGTGAGTTGTCTTTAGTCTCTTTGCTAAAGAAATTAAGTAAAGCTAAAAAGATGTTTTGAGGCTAGTACTATGGCTGGGACCCTATATGTACTGTTGATGAAGTTAGGTGCTGTTCTGAGTGGTCGTTACTAAAGTTGGTATAACTAGAGAAGCAAGCGGTTGGCAACATTCATCTCTCAAGGAGGTGTCTTACTCAGTGTTACGGTGTGTTTGACCCTAACTTAATTTTACGCCGCAATATCCTAGTAATGTGGCCTAAACAGTATTTCCAGGAAAAGGTAGAACAACCCTAAACTGCGTATCTTGATTGTTTTTGCTGGTCACAACCAGCATTTAATGAGACAAACAAATAAATAAACTACCTGGTTGAAGCATCGTTGTCATGTTTCTTCTGCCACTTGCAGGAGTGTCCTTCATGCCAGATACAGAGTGGAGTGATACTGATCTTCTTTTGTCAGGAATTAAAACGCCTTACTCCCCATACCCTAACCTCGCCCATTTTTCTTTCTCTTCAGAAAACCTACTATTCTCATCCCAAGTCACACCTGGTAGGATTGCCAAGTCCCATTCTACAGGCCTGTTGGATGATACTGACGATGAAGAATACCAGTACATGAACAAGCAGACGTGTGCAACATCTCTCTCGCCCAAGAAAAACAGCCACTGTATGAAGCCAAATAAGAAACGCACCTCCTCTTTATCTTCACAAGCAACAGCATACTCGGGAGATACTACACTGTCTGTGGAGGCAAGAGGTCACTCAGGAACCAGTCAAAGCTCAGATTCAGTGCAGCAGGGAATGAATGAAGTTGAATATGAATACATGGACATCAGGGGTAGTGAAAAGGAGGAAAGCCCTCCAGCATATCACCCCCCTCCTCCTCCTCCTGAACAGACTGCCCGAGAGGTGGAGGAGGACGAATATGTGGAGGAAAGTAACTACCATTACATGAACAGGCAACCAAAGCTGCGAGAAACTCTTCAAGACAGGGAGGAGATTAAGATGCAGGAAAGGGGCATGGGGGAGGTGTATGAGTATGAAGACATGGACAGTTTTGCTACATTGCGGCCTGGAGATGCAGTGGTGTACCAGAACATGCAAAGAGGAGCAGACGGGGCAGCAGGAAACTCTGAGCTACATCAGTCAGGGTTTGAACCCTATCTAAAAGTTAGAACTGGAGTTGGAGTTGGGGAACCTGCAAGCGGGGACCGATCCTTTGACAATCCAGACTACTGGCACAGCAGGATGTACCTGAAGCCCAAAGTGGTGTCAACATGAAGAACATTTTGAATTTCTAAAAACTTCCCCTTGTGTCTTATTCATGAAGGACCTGGAACAGGAAATGCAACTGAAAGCCATTGTAAAATATAGTCTATCACAAAATTTCAAAACATATTGTACTTTATCTCTGATTTGTTGTCTTTTACAGGCTGCCATTAGTATATTTGTATGGGCATTTCCACAAATAGTAGCACTAAGTGGTGAAAAACACTGAAAAGCAGATAACAAGCTAGACTCTTCTGTTTACATTGTGAAATGAACAAAGTTTGTGTTTTGTAACACATTTGTTTGGTTGGATTTATTTGACTTTTATGTTTTCTTTTTACCATGATTTATGAAATGTATTTTTATGCAATAAAAATATTTTGAATAGCAAGAGTGAGGTAGTGACTCTTAATTTTCATTTGTTGGTAAGAACCACAGAGACAGTGGACATGTTTGGGTTGTTTTTATTGTCCCATCAAGGTTTTGGGCGGTCCTTTTGGTTGGCACACCAAGTATTTGGTTCCCCCTTTTTTTTTTTTTTTAAACGCACAAGGATGTACTTTTTTACAAAGGCCATGGGGAAAACACACTGAGGCACTACTGTGATACTGCAGATTTTTTAAAATTCTTCTTCTGGACAAATTTCGATTTGCTACTACTCCTACAGCTTGAAGAGTTTCAGGACATATCATATATCAAACAATGTGGTTTGATTGGCATTGGTAAGCTATAACTTTTCTCCATTTAGGTCAATGGTACAAGCCCAAAAAAAGAGCAATTATTGGAGTTTCAACACCTATTGGCTAGGCACAGTTTTACCTAGAGATTCCATTTGAACTTTAAAATGTAGACACAAGTCTTGTCTATTGGTGTATTAATCCAGGTTTTAATAGGTATTGTAGTTTTTTATCACACACTGTTCCATGACCATGATCATTTTTTGAGAAATTTTGAGATTATCATGGGTGTGAATAAGTCCAAATGTGAGACCAGCATCAAGGCAAAAAATCACTTTTTATCCTCATTTTGACTGCCTCGGCCTGCTATGCGTCTATCATTGTGGGCGACCAGCTCAAGTTGCCGGGGCAACCTGTGAGCCTCAGGCCAGGACCACAGCTGATACCAATTAACTAATCAGGGACTGCTCTGATACCTCTGCATCATTAAATCACTTTTAGAACAATGTGATTAATGATAACACTGACTCTCAATCAAAATCTTTATCACAGCCACTTACCCTTGCTATAGCAACCATGCAAAAATACATTTCTAGAAGCCCTTTTAGGAACTTAAAGTGCTCTACGGATGCCTGTCCAGTGAGTAAAGCGTAACAGTGTCCTCTCATTACTTCAAATGGATAAGCTGAATAGGTTAAATCTGATAAGCTGCCCTGCTGGTAATTTACAGTATGAGTTCAGATATTGTACAAGGTTTGTGTCTTAAGTATAATACTTTTAAACTCTTTCATGACACAAAGTAGGTGCCTTTTCACGTTTTGTTCGTAAAACACCCTGAGCAGCCACTCACTGAAAGAGTGGTTTGTGGACCTCTATGTAAAGTGAGGACAGGGTATCTCCCTATCACAAAAGGGAGAGCCTCTCTTGTCTCAAGATTTTACACCTTTAAATCTCGGTAGAGGACTTCTTTATGCAGAGTGCTGTGTATACAGAGAGTCTCTGGGGCCTTTGATTAAAGCCCCATTCCTGAGTGACAGTCTATGCATGTTTTTAGCTGAAGTTATTTTTTAAATGCATAATTCAGTTTTTCTCTCCAAAATCAAGAAAATGATTGAGCTTGACCCTGTTAAAATTACTTATGAATGTCAAACTGATATATAACGAGATTTATATTAAATCCCCCCCCTCCAAAAAAATGACATCTACATAAAAATACAAGCATGTAGAGGAGAGTGGGGTAAGATGAGCCATTTTTCATATTTCAGATCACTACATCAAGACAATCCTAGTTTTGTCTCTAACTAGTGTATCTGCATATATTTCAAGATGTTGTGCATCCCTGCAAACCAACAGAATGAGTGTAAACATAACTGTCTTGATAATATAGCATGCCAAAAAAAAGTGGTCTTCTGTGGTCAACCTACCCCGTGTATGGGGTAAGTTGAGCTGTATCCCTACTACCCCCCCGCACACACACACACACACACACACACACACACACACACACACACACACACACACACACACACACACACACACACACACTCTCCACCCCAGCCCTCCTCCACTTTCTCTCTCCCTAAATAACAGTCGTTCGTTTTATTATTATTGCATATAACTGCTAAAAAGCTGCTTTGTAAAAAGCCGTTTTAACATGAGAATGTCTTTAAGTGATTCAGAACATTCACAGCTGTAGTTTTAAAAAGAAAAAGTCAAACATTTCAACAATCTGAACTGAAACTCTGATCCTCTCATCAGACTTCTTTACTTTCTCAGTTGATCAACTTTGGCTCAACTACTATTATGACTTTATCAGTCCTCTAAGCTAAAATGGTGGATTTTTATGTTGGTTTTTGGACTCATGTTGTAGCTCATAGATATCACAATTGCTATATAAAACAAATTTAAAATAATCTCTTTTGGTCTGAACACAATTCTAATGAAACTTATGGCAGACTAAATTCACTTTCAAGAGTGAAAAATGTTTGTTTGGAAATAAATGTCTAACCCCTTCACCCATGTGCTTCTAACCTTCACAGACTCCATGAATTGATGCCCATCTCCTAAATATTTGGTCACATAATCAATTTCTTTTACCATTTCCAAGCAACAGGGGGTAGCTCAACTTATCCTATGGCTCAACTTACCCCACTCTCCCCACACATGTTTCCAAAGTAGATGAATGACAGTCTCAGCAAGGTATCCCTTCACTATCCTTTTCCCAGTAATGATTTTGCTTGTTATGATGATAAACAATTTTTAAATAAACACAGGGCTCTCGAGTCTCACGCATTCAGCGTGTGACACACGCATTCCCACCCGTTCACATACTCACACGCCACATATTGTATTTCTCACGCATTTAAATGAACATGGTGATGTCCACCAAGTTGCACCTCTTTGACTATGGAACAGGTAGAAATCAACTGAGTTACTCCGAGAGTTCTGCGTGCCACGCCAAGCCAATCAAATAAAGTATATCTACTGAACAGCCAATAAAAAAAGCAGCATTGCTGTATCCGGGTAGATTTTGATATCTTACGGTTTGAGTACAGAGGAAGACAGACACTAATAAAGCAGGTTTTTATAAGGACGAGACAGACCTGATGATTACAGTAAGTCAGTAACCTACACATGCAGAGACCTCAACACCTCATGGCATATAAACTCATATGATAAACTAAAGCCCTATGCCATTGCTATTAACAGCTGTATTGAAGGATTTAGCCTCTGTACAGCCATTTCCGGCCATTTTCCCCTCCACAAAAGCAGCATTTCTCATATCCTATCTCAAATATAAGTTCTGATACTCATGACAGTGTTATGCTCATGTACCAAAGGATTAAGTATCTCCATGTTTGTGAAACCTATACTAAAGTAAAATTCATCTAAATGCTCCACAGTGCTGATTTTAACAACTCTCCTTCACAACAGGTAACTTTACGACTTTATTCTTATATATTAATGACTTGATTCTCCCAAATAATAACTTTATTCTTTAAGATTTAAAAACGTTTTTTTTTCTAATTGTGCCCCTTATACTTCGTTGTATTTAAGAGATAATTATACTAATAATTATCTTCAATCACCCCCCCAAGGAAATCTCACTCTAAGCTTAGTTCAAAACTTGAGAGCCCTGCGATTAAACAATGATCAATGACAATGATCAACTTTGGTTTTTTTTTTTAAAACAGGGGGACAAAGTGCTTTACAGATGTAGTTACTGCTCTAAAATATTGATATGATAGGAGTATATATAGACTATTTTTAGTAGCCTTCTAAAGAAAATCGACTGAATTTAATTGAAGTAAAGGCTTCAGTGGAATTTATAATGAAACACAGTTTCCAGTTTTTGTTAGGTTACCTATGAGACAAAGGCCTACTTAGCTATAGTTTTCAAAACGTTGTCGTTTTGTACCGAAATAAGGAAGGTTTTTAAACTAAAATGCTTTTAAACTCTTAAACTAGTTGACGAAAAATAACCTCCACTTTACTTCAAGAGATATTTATATTCTATTGAGATTAAAGTAAATTAAAGATAATATTAAACTTTTAGATATAACCTACCAGTGTAAGGGTTTTTCTAAAGTAAACAGCATTTTAAATCTCCATGGTAACCTGTAACGATGTAAAAACTTTAAATCATTACAAGCAAAAGAGAGCGGTCATTTCTGAAGATCAAATCTGAAGAGAACAGCACGAAAAACTTAAGCGGCTCACGAACTTACAACTTTTGATGGCTTCATCGTAAATAAAACCTCACCAGACGACTAAGGACTCGGACTAATACCTCTAACCAACACCTGAACAAAGAGGACAACATCTACGACATGGAGACGGTAAGATTTCATGACAATATTATCATACAAACTTGTGTTACTGTCGAGACTTTCGTGATGGTTAGCGATGCATCGACAAGGAGTATATGTGTGCATAGATATTTACAGTGTTTATGACTTCAATGTGACAGGCATTATCAAAACTAGAAAAAATTGCATTTCCTTGCAGAAAATGCGTGGAAATGCTGAATGCTGGAAGCTGAAAAAGCAATGCTAAACTGCTAAAAAAAAAAAAAAAAATGGAGGAAGGTTTAAATGTAAACTTGGTCAAAGAGCTGGAGAAAGAAAAGTAGAAGTTAGATGAAAGTGAAAATTGCTGAAGTACAAATAGTATGAATGTGCTTCATAAATTAAAATTGCATTCATGCTAAATAAGGCTAGAAAAACTGTCTGAAATTGCAAAAAAATTGTATAAGGAAGAAAATTACCTTAAAACACAGAAAAGTAAGAAGCGGCATAGGTTTAAGTTGAAGTACTAGAAGAAGTCTGATAATAG